ACAAAGAGGCAGTGGATCAAACCCTGCCGCTTCAACAAGGGTTGGGAAGAGATCAACATATTCCGTTAGGCGTTCTGTTACTAACCCTTTATCAGTCAATCCAGGGACGCGAACCATCATAGGTGCGTGAGTTGCATCTTCAAAATTAGTATGTTTACACCATTCACCGTGTTCACCAAGCTGCCAACCATGATCTCCCCAAAATGAAACGATCGTACTTTCAGCTAACCCCAACTTCACCAATTCTGCCATTACCTTTCCTACTAATGAATCGGTATACGATAGGGCGCTATAGTAAGCTCTTCTGAGATCGATCACTACGTCATCAGGCAGCGTACTGTTAATGGTACCGGACGCATGCAGACCACTGATATCATGATACACTCCTAACTCTTCCTTGATATAATTACTCCAGGCTATTTCAGGCATGTTTACTGGAATATATGGATTGTATGGTAACCGTATGCTTTTCCGCGGATAAAGAGACAGGAATTCTTCTGGGAAAACAAAGGGCAGGTGGGGTTTATGGAAGCCAACCGCAACAAAGAAATTCTGATGTCCATTCTTAGCAGCTGGAGCAACTCGATTCAGAGCCTTGATAGCATTATCGGCTATTTGCATATCTGGTAATGGGCGAATGTTGTATTCGTCTTTAGAGACCGCCCTCCAACTGACATTTACAGATCGAAACTTTTCATCTGGGGCATGATAGTATGGTTCTGTCCAGGAAATTGGATCATCGAATCCTGAAGCTTTGCCGGGATGAAATATCTTCCCCATTCCAATACTCCTATAGCCGTTATTCTTGAAAAACTCTGGAATTGTTGTGTAATTTCCACCTACATTTCTAAAATAATGATTGAGGTCGTAAACGTGAGTTGTATCCGGACGACGTCCTGTCAGTAGAGATGTTCTCGTTGGAGAACAAACTGCTTGTTGAACGTAAGCACGCTTTAACAGTAAACTTTGGGCGGCTAATGCATCAAGATTTGGAGAATGGACCGTCGGATGAATTGGAGCTGGAAAGTCAGGGCCGAGGAAGACTCCGAGTTCTGGTCGCATGTCATCTGCGGCGAAGAACAGAATATTCTTTTTCTGACATTTTGTTGTTTTTACACACAGAAGCACAAGCAAAGATACACATATGTATCTGTACATCCCTTATTGTTCAATCTCAGAAGCTTAGTAATTAAACTTTATAATATTGCCCAATCTGACCCTGACCTTTGAATCCGTGATAACGTTACATTGTTATCTATATTTAAAGAGATAATAGGTGAGTAGAATGTCATATAAATAGTGTGACTGACAGGGTCGCTGATGCATCTTAGGACAATCATGAATAAAAATGTTTTCAATCAATAAAACTATGTCACAATATGTCAGCAGAGGAATTTCTGATTCAGGAAAATTTCATTCAAATTGATCAACTATGAACCGAGAACTAAGCGAATGAAATTTCTGTCTAGCCTCGGCCATCATTACTAAAGTCAGTACGATAAACAGCATAGTCTCGATTATCCAATTAATCGTTTAATCGAGAAGGAAAGTTATGCAGTAAATCGGCTCACAATCCACTTAGGATCGCAGACTAGCGATGCCATCTAGAGTTGATTATGGTCTGGATAAGTTAATTAATTTCTAATTAATAATTTAGATAACATTTCAGACCTAAATAAAGACTTGCAATATACAGATTTAGCTCTTGCATAATGTATGTTTAAAGTTTATCACAGTATAATTATTCCATCGATATTGGGAGAATATCATGACCTCCCACTCCCAATTTTGATCTGGCATTAGTGGCATCAAACTTGTTTATTCACTACAGAGAGCTGCTGCAGTTGCGTCTTCGTCACAAAGAGGCAATGGATCAAACCCTGCCGCTTCAACAAGGGTTGAGAAAAGATCGACATATTCCGTTAGGCGTTCAGTCGAGGGACGCGAATCATCATAGGTGCGTGATTTGCATCTTCAAAATTAGTATGTTAACACCATTCTCCGGGTTCAAAAAGCAGCCAACTATGATCTCCCCAAAAAGATACGATCGTACTTTCAGCTAGTCCCAACTTCACCGATTATACGATAGGGCGCTATAATAAGCCCTTCTAATATATACTACTACGTCACCAGGCAGCGTACTGTTAATGACATTCAAATTGATCAACTATGAACCGAGAACTAAGCGAATGAAATTTCTGTCTAGCCTCGGCCATCATTACTAAAGTCAGTACGATAAACAGCATAGTCTCGATTATCCAATTAATCGTTTAATCGAGAAGGAAAGTTATGCAGTAAATCGGCTCACAATCCACTTAGGATCGCAGACTAGCGATGCCATCTAGAGTTGATTATGGTCTGGATAAGTTAATTAATTTCTAATTAATAATTTAGATAACATTTCAGACCTAAAGAAAGACTTGCAATATACAGATTTAGCTCTTGCATAATGTATGTTTAAAGTTTATCACAGTATAATTATTCCATCGATATTGGGAGAATATCATGACCTCCCACTCCCAATTTTGATCTGGCATTAGTGGCATCAAACTTGTTTATTCACTACAGAGAGCTGCTGCAGTTGCGTCTTCGTCACAAAGAGGCAATGGATCAAACCCTGCCGCTTCAACAAGGGTTGAGAAAAGATCGACATATTCCGTTAGGCGTTCAGTCCAGGGACGCGAATTATCATAGGTGCGTGATTTGCATCTTCAAAATTAGTATGTTAACACCATTCACCGGGTTCAAAAAGCAGCCAACTATGATCTCCCCAAAAAGATACGATCGTACTTTCAGCTAGTCCCAACTTCACCGATTATACGATAGGGCGCTATAATAAGCCCTTCTAATATATACTACTACGTCACCAGGCAGCGTACTGTTAATGACATCGGTTGCATGCAGACGATTAATATCATGGTACACTCCCAACTCTTCCGTAATGTAATTAATCCAGGCTATTTCAGGCATGTTTCCTGAAGCATGTGGATTATCTGGTAATCGTATGCTTTCTTTGGGATAAAGAGACGGAAATTCTTCTGGAAAAACAAAGGGCAGGTGGGGTTTGTGGAAGCCAACCGCAACAAAGAAATGAGATTTTGATGTCCACATTTAGCAGCTAGAGCAACTCGATTCGGGGTCTTGGCACTGTCGACTATTTGCATATCTGGTAGTGGACGAATGATGTATTCGTTTTTAGAGACAGCTCTCCACCTGAAATTCGCAGATCCGAACTTTTGATCTGCATGATGTGGTTCAGACCAAGATATTGGATCATCAAATCCAGAAGCTCTACCTGGGTGAAATATCTTCCCCATTCCAATACTCCTATAGCCGTTATTCTTGAAAAAGTCGGGAATTGTTGTGTAATTTCCACCTACATTTCTAAAATAATGATTAGGTCCGTAAACTGCTGTTTTTATTAGAGGTAACCAGTGTATGTTAATAACAGGCCAATTGCCTACACATGAACATAAACAGTTCATACGGGCGGCTTATCTGACGGTCCCATTTCACTCGCAAAGAGGTACACCGTCAAAAGTGAAAATTTTACGTTTTTGAGTTTTGTCTTAATAATGAGTAATTGCTCCATCAATCCTCAGACATTCAGCAATTCGTCGTGACATGCTCCTAATCAACCGTCCAATCACGATTTGGGGCAATCTGACCCACTACTCTTGCAGTGCCACGGTCAATTCTTGCAGTGTTGTCGGTTGACATTGACGTCGACGAACACGTCCACCGATCAAAGTAACACACTAAAGCAAAGATACGCTAAACAGTAAATCTTATGCAAGAACCGATAGGAAAGCAAACATGGGTAGATAAACCAGCACGCGGCAGTTTTCATCAACCCTTCCTTGAAGTGTCAAATTTGACAATGAACCCCTCCCCCGCTATTGCGTGTCGTGTGTGCAGCTCAGTGGTTCTGTTGCGGCGATAAGTTCTTCATCTGTGAACATACTCTCGAGGCATGTCAAATGTCCATGACTATTTATCATATCGCAACCTGCATATGTATTTGCATTTCAATATCCCCTACTTTTTTTGAAGAGTATATTATTTAACATTTAATTAAGAAAAAAAAGATCAACAGTAGATAATCTCCCAGCTTAGATTCAATCTAATTAAACATGCATTATGCAAGAGCTGAATCTGCAGGTCTTTCTTTAGGCCTGACATGTTATCTAAATTATTAATTAGATTTTAATTAACTTATCCAGTCCATAATCAACTCTCGATGCCATCGTTAGCCTGTGGTATTTAGTGGATTTGAATACATTTTGTGATGGATAATTCAACGTAAAAATGGATGATCGAGACTTTGTTTATCATAGTACTGACGATCGAGGCTAGCCTGAAATTGAATCGCTAATATCTCGGTCCAGAGTGAGGCATTCTGATTGAAATGTTCAGAATATTTTGTTTTCAATATCTATTTTTTAACTATTATAGCGAGAACTGTCAGCTCTTTATCTAATCTTACCTAATGTCCAATGAAACTACGTGCAGGGCTGAACTATGATAGCTTGAGTTGCCTATATCCTAGATATTGTCCTCATGCCTAAACTTGACAATTATATCTTTGTACATACTGAACGGAACTGGACTATTTGTTAACTTATATTCCTGTCAGAGATTCGACTTTCACAATAGTGTAGTTTGCAAGATTTTTACAATCCATCAAATGACGTTAAGAGACTAAGTTATAAAATCTATATAATTATTTCAGCACCATTCTGAAATACTTATGATTTAAAATCAGTTTCAGGCAATTTTGCACTTCTATGTTTACGTGTTGATTCGGGATAATAAAATAAACACCACAGCAATAAGTACGGTACTTGTGCACGTATGTTGAAAAGAACCGCATTGGCGTTGGCTAATGTGAGTTCAAGATAGCAACTTCAAGGAACTATGGAAATGGGTTACTCGGGTAATTAAAATGAATTATTCGTGCAGGTAATGGGAAACAACTCTCTTTGATCTCAAATTCGCTCCCTTGAAACGCTATAAAGCTTGAATGAAAACAATAAAACATCACATCCGATGACATCTAATGATCTATGCGACGGTCCATTCCATTGTATAGTCTTGAATGAACCCGACGATGAAACAACACGGAAAACATTCGATATGAACAAGGATTAGTTAAGGTATAAAACAAGAAGACCTTTTTCGTGGGGCAATCTCAATCTTGAATCTGAACGTAAATGAGTCTTAGGCCCCTTGGGCTTGGCCTTAGGTTAGGCTCTAGTACCAGTGGCAGTAGTAGTAAAAGTATAGTAGTACTAAAATAGTGGGCCTACGCATTAGGCCTATATAAAAAATTTTGAGAGCCGCGGTGGCTCAGTAAGTAAGATGCTGGCTAGCTTGACTGAAGGTCTTGAGTTTGCTCTCGGTGTTGGCCGAGAATGTTCCACAGTGTTTTAATTATGGTGTGGTTCCCCTTGTAAGTGCCTCGATCGGTGGTGCAGAACGGCCTACCACCTAGAAAAGTAGAAGGACAACTGTTAAGTCATTCAGAAGGAAAGGAAGACAGAGGTCACGTGTACACAATCGCGTGCACTTAAAAGATCCCATGGCTGTCGGAATTAGTTATAATAGTAGGTTGTAGTGCCGCTGTCTGGACAAAAATTTCCTCATAGCACACTGGTGTATGCATGTGACGTCTTCATTAGCCCAGTCAGAGCAGAATTAAACTGTAGGACGTTAAATCCTATTTCATATAATTTGATATAACATTAAAGATCTATTTCACACTAAAACTTATGTAACTAAGAAATAACAACAGGTATGTCAGAAATTTGCAAATATGTGCTCCTTTAACAAGCTCTGTGAACCCCATGATTTTGGCTTGTTACATTGACTGTCCCCTCCCCCTAGATGAATTTTATTATGACTATGAGGGATGTGAACAATATAAACCAGTTATTCCATAATGTAAGTTTTACTTTGTTCCTGGTTCTAAACAAATTACGAGTGAATCCTGTTGCACCTGGGGGGTTGGATGGCTGAATGGTTAGCGTGCGCGCGCTGTATCATAAAGTCTGTCATTGAGTCGACTGGCTTGGTTTCAAATCCCCGGTTGTACGTGACAAGGAGTACGGTCGCCTGTCCAACTTCGTGGGTTTTCTCCGGGTCCTCCGGTTTCCTCCCACTGCTAAAGACCCCTACGCGCAAGCGAATTATTGAAATAAAATTAAACCATATGTTAGTCCCGAAATGACCTAGTTTGTGGACGTTAAACCCCATTTCTCTCTCTCTCTTGTTGCACCTGTTTGCATTCTGCCAAATGTTGATTGTGGTGAGCTTTATAAGCTGATGAATGGTGACATGATGGTGGTATTACTATTATTGTAAACTGGGTATGGATTTGCTGTAAGGAGTCACTCTTCAGTTACTAAAAGGCACTCAAAGAAGTTAAAGATACATTTGTATTTTCTTATTTTAATAACATTTTTCAGGAACAGAAAGAATGGTTCTTATCAACTTCTGCCACTGGAGTACAAAAACAAACATATCATGTGACAAGATATCATCAGATGGTTACGAAGTCGAAAATTTAATATCATCAGACCCATCCAAGAAGAGGAAGGGATATTTAGCTGAAAGATTCATTAAACTTCCTATAAATATAACTTTTCATTTCCCGTGTCCAATATCCATTTGGAGAATTGTCATTGATCCTGTAGTCGGGTCCCAAAAATCGTCATCAATTGGGGTCTTTGCGCCAGCGTCTGACACAGCACCAGCACAGAAAGAAGCTAGTCAAGAGAAACAAAATAATATCTCCAAGTCATCAGAACTTTCAAATACTATTCAACCTCGGACATTTTCTGGAAGAAGTATGGAAACATTTGTTAGTAGAATTTCTATGACATCTCCAGGAAAAATGTGCTTCTATGATTCACAGTTTCGTGCAAGAAAGCCCTACTCTGCAGAGGGGTTCAATTCTCTTGATCATTACAGTTTTGTCTCAGAGCTTCGACATATTAGACAGGTATATTGTACAAGAAACATCACAATTAGAATTTATCAGACTTTTCATGGGTCAGTGGGGGCCATAAAAAGTATAGAAATATGGGGTCAACCTCTGGCAAGCTGCCCCAAAGACTTTCAAAATAATTTATACAAAGTTTATATGGAACAAACAAATCTAATAAGACCTAATCATATATTTCCTAACAGTGATAATTTTTCTACTACGGACAAAGATGATGTTGTTATTACTGATGTATCAAACAGTTCAAATCTCTATCCGGAAAGAAGAAAAATCCAGGACGTCGATATTCCAGAAGATTTTGTTGATCCTATAAGTTGTGAAATAATGGTGATCCCAATGCTGTTACCATGTGGACGTAACATTGATAAGTCTACCTTAGATCGCTTTGTCTCCATTGAAGAAACATGGGGTAGGGCACCAAGTGACCCCTTTACAAATGTGCTGTTTAATTCTGACTCTTATCCAATACCTAACGATGGTTTGAAAGGTCGAATAGATCAGTTTCTATTTTCGAATAAAAATTCAGTGAAATTACAGTCCGTTCCACGTACAGTAGCTACAATTTACCAAAAGCAAAAACCGTGTAAACGAAAACAGCCATTGAATAATCATGCAGATAGTGGAGATCAACATAGTAATAATGAACTTAATGGTTCCATGCCAAAGAAAATAAGCTTACGTGTGAATGAAAACATTTTAGGTAGATCAAATCTAACTGCTTCACCTACCTTAACAACAAACTCAAAAAAATATGAAATAATATCGACGCAAGAAACCAGAACAATAGGCAACTCTCATGAACAGCTATTACAAAATAGTTTAGATAGTGCATTATCTAATGTTCTGGGCAGTTTTCCTTCTTTTACAAAAGGAAAATCTACTTCAGAATATAGTGAATTAGAATTAAAATGTAGCCATTGTAAATTAGAATTATCAGAAGATGTCGTACAATATAAACTACCATGTACTCATATCATTTGTAGAGGTTGTTTGACCAAGACTAATATTAAAAGAACTTCTATCCTCTGTCAAACCTGTGGTACAACCTCGGAAAAAAAACTTATAGAAAGACAACATCCTAATTCATAGAACTTCTAAACTGTGTTAATGAAATGATTACAATATATTATATAGTTTTCTCACTTCAAAATTTATTAAATTTGAAATTTGTGTGCATAAATTATGAATTCATTATTAAATTATATTTTATGCAGTCTGTATTTATATACTGATAATATATGCCCAGAATAAACATTTCTTTTCATAATTTTTGGGGGTGAAAAATTAATAAAGTCCCTCATTACATAAATATTTGGGGGCCAATTAATTCTTAACTCTTGTATTTATTGTTTACTTTGGTGTCTGTTATTTAGAGCTTGTAGACTACATGTATATTCCCACCCCCAACAGGCACTGCGTTGAGCCGGGTAAAAGGAAGTGTAAGGGTCCGCCCGGTTGCATGTGTATGATTCTGATATAAAGGGAGACAACTACAGTTCTATGAAATTTCGATATTGGATTAGTCTCCCTTGTTCTCCATGTTATTCAACCTGAACATGGCCAACAGATTGGTAGAAGATTGTCAGCTATTGATTAATTTATATAAATGCGTGAAAAAATTATCAACTAAATTATTATATTCAATAATTAGTTGAATGCATCGAAAGAAAAACTAATCAAAAGTCGAAAATCAAATATCGCGGGAAATGTTCACACCCCAGGATGCATTGCAATGGTATTATTGGTAATGGCTGCGGTAACAATTGAGAGTGAAAGAAACTTTCAATATTTAAGATAATGCAAGATATACAAGTGCCAACAAACTTGCAACATGAAATTTAGAAAAGTAAAAGCCAAACCTTCAGAAGAAATTACAGATAGAAAACCTACTTCTCGTCTGTCACGACATAAATACCAGTGCGATGTGGAATTGAAGCTCACCACGTCCACGACGATGCCGACGATGGGTACTTCGTCAAATAATAGAGTGACAGCCACTCGAGAAAAGAGAAAATCGCCAAAAGGTGACTGCAAAAAAGCGGGTGTATATTTTTGAAATTATAACTATGTACGTTTGTAATAATGAAAGTTTTTTTAAGGACCTGAATAACAATTTTAGTGTTTTTTGGGGTTTTTTTTGGTGAGCACATTGTTTTTTGACTAGAGCGTGTTTCCAAAACATAAACATTGGAGTTGTCTCCCTTGGGCATTTGTAGTTTTTGCCCAAACTTTTAATTTGTTCCGTTCCGGGCATATTCCTCCGACAAAAAGTTGATTGTGGATGTGAATTAAAACTAAATTTTAGGTTTCACACTATATTTTGCAAATTGTAGACACATGTCATAGCCATGGATTAAAAATTGCAAGGTGCTTCTTAAGGACACTGGTCTTCTAGTCCTTAGTCTTGGTTAGTAAGAATTCCTTGTAGGCAAATGTTTTGTAGCTTGATGTTCAAAAACATAACACATAACACATTCAGATAGTTTGTCAACTTGCTGTGTAATTGAATGGGTTTGACATGATCATTTACAGCAACTTTAACAATCTGGGAATTGATGGGCTTGCAATGCCAAAATCTCTTGATTTCGACATTGCTACCAATGAAAACAAAAAATATCATTCATGTTTTAATGCAATTGAACAAAGTATTTCTTACTGTCTAAACCGTTGTAAATTTTAAACAGATTTATGGTTACCGGGTATTAAAAACTTGCGTATGTGTTTGAAATCATCTCCGGTTAATTAAAATCCTCCTAGCTGCCAATACAGTTTTATTTAGCATGAGGGAAAGTCTTTATCAAAACTATTGTAATAATTTCAAGTTTACAGTTGTACAAATACCTTGTGCACAATCACATACTATTATCACAGGAGTATAATTTGCATACCATAAGCTTATTAAACACAATGACTAATAAATTTGGACGTCGATATTTTAAAATTGAAAAATTTATTCTCCTTACATGAGCATTAGCTCGTCTTCTGTGGCCAGAGCCATTCTGGCCTTTAAGCTGAGGAGGCTGTGAATATAATGTTCCGCTAGGAACTCCGAATGATGTCTGAAGGGAAATTTAACCATGCTCATTTTTATATAAAAAGTATAGATGTGTCAGCATCTATATAGATGTACCATTTTTGGGTAAGTGTTTCGTATGAGCATCGTTTTAGGTCAACATTATTCAATTTAATTGTACTAATGTGTGCACCCGATGCCTGGACGATAGTACCCTACTTTCAGCAATTGATGGTGGCAGAAAATGCCTGCGAGTCAGTCTAAGAAACTTGAATCTTGCAAAATACCTACTTAGCCTATTTCTTGTTTTCACCCATTCGTTTAACTACTTCAATATATTAAACAGAGCACCTTTCATAGACATAAAATAACCCTATAGTATTACATCAAATTTAAAACAGAAACGATGCTAAATTAATGTTTTATTTTTCAAAATGATCTAAAACTTACATACTGTATTGAAATAGCCTATACATGTATATAGATTTTCTGATCATAAAAGTCCTGGATAATGTCATTGACTGAGATAATGTTTCATTCTGATATTTTGTCCTGCTTCACCTATACTATTTGAATCATGGTAAATCCAACACTTGCGAAAAACTTGGTGGTACTTCTTTTCCCTGGCTAATCCAGGGCCGAGTTTTTAGCATTTGTTACTAGACACTGTTCAACTGTTGCTGTTTCCATATACATGACAACCCCATTGTAATCAATTAAATGAACATTTTCAGTCCAAGCCTTTTAGATTACTCCAACATGGTTTTTACAATGAAAGCAATTTTTAATGCCTGTTCTAAAAGCACTTGACATTATGCCATACACAAAGGGATTGATACAGTTGTTGGTATAAGCCATCACTCTGAAGAGTACATCCAAGTCTTTCATAAGTTCTGTAGAAGCATTATAGTCACTCAAAAGAAACATATTCTTGCAATGAACTGGAAAAAGGAGACATGCAAATAAAAGTACAACCAAAACCACCATGTAGGAAACTTGTCTCTTTTCTTTAACGGTTACTGTTTTCATTGCCGTTATTACGGTTCTTGCCTTGATGGAGTGAAAAATGATCAACATGGACAGTGGCACAATATACGAAAATACACTGAAGCATATCAAATAATCTCTCAGTCCTGTTGGACTTTGGGGATTCGGTAGGCAAGTGTTATACACAAGATTGTTGTGTTTGACAATTTTTGGGTTAGCTGTGATAAATAACGGTGACACCATAACCAGGATCATAATCCACAAACCAGTGATACACTTTACCACATTTTTGTTGGTTAGATATTTCTCTGCTTGAAACGGATGAACCAGGAAAAAATAACGAATCACAGACAAAAGAACTAAGTGATAGGCCGCAGAATAAGCCGAAACTTGTAATAAGAATAACTGCAACTTACACAATATTGTTGTGTTAATTGTTTTGCCCAATACATCAGTTATTTCCTTTGTTAGTCTGACGGAAACCATTATTAAATCGGAGGCAGCCAGACCACAAATGACAATAAAAGTTGGATTGCGCATGTATTTGTTTATGATAACTTGTAGAATTATAAGACTGTTGCCTATTACTCCAGTTATTAGTAGAACACTGAAACATACAAGAGCTACGATTGTTCTCACAGTATCATCGTGTGATTTAAATTCAGTTCCATTGTTACTACCGGTGCCGTTCATCTTTGTAAATAGAGTCTTCACAGATCAAGCTATATTTGCGTGTCTCGTAAGTTAGAGGATATGAATGTGTAGTAATATTAATGTGTTTTTATCTGAAAAAGCTTATTTATTACCAGTTCCAGTTTTATATTGTATTACCGAACATTGTTAATGCTAGGTTCCCACTGTCGTGCGATGCGTTACAATAAGAATGTCCCTACTGAGTCCACTATCTGGTACCTGCAGAAAAGTTCGGATACGTTTCAATACCATCAACACGATTGCTACCAATGACCTCAATATATGATAAGACCTGATAGAATCACCATGATTACTCCAAGATTACTCCTCGATTAAAACCACGAATTGTGAAAGCGTGAATTTAGCATAATAGATATGGATCAGATTTTTATATATATATACATGTATATATATTTGTAGTAGCATGGTAGTAATCCTGTATTCCTCCTGGGGTTTTAAGATTCCTTCCTACGTACAAACTGTGTGATTTGATAAGTATTTGAATCAAAAACATATTCAAACTTATAACTGAAAAGTTTGCTTTGCATCCCTTTCGAAATATTTTATTCTCAAGGAACTACTCCAAGCTCTTTTAAGCAGTCTTGTTTGTCACATCACATGACTGAGGGACAATGCATTTGCTTTAAGTGCTGACCATTTACCATAAATATCGAAGCCTGTCATATGATCAATGCATGCATGTATCATGTGCTCCCTGATTTGTCAAGTAAAAAACAAGCCCACTGGCTGCCAGTTTGTGATACTTTACATTTTTTTTCCGTCGTTTAATTGTCTATTGGATGCTTAATTCTCTCAATGTTCTTACAGCCATTAGTATATCACCTAAAGGACATACTGCCTTTTATGGATTCCCTCACATTTTTGTCTTATGAATGTCCATGGATGTTTTTTGGGGAATCCGGTAATTTTCTAGCAAGGTTGGGTGTCTGTACTTTACATATTTTCCAAAATTGCCATACTTTTATTAGAAATAATAATCTACTTGATAAATATCTTTATGGGAATGTAGCTTTAAATGAAATTAATTTGTGTATACATGTAATAGCAAGAGTATATACTTAATCCTAATGGGTTTTTTGAATAGGATGGTAATAATGATAAAAATGATAAATGAATAATTTATATGAAAAGGAGTAGTTAGTTAATCATGGAGATGGATTAATATAAGCTTTATAGCTTGTTTCCAAACCCATATCATTTATTATGTATTATATATAGTATGTAATTATATGTTAAATATAAAGTACTGTTTAAATCAAATATGTATTCCAATAATGTAAGTAGATGTTTTGTTTATATCTTTCCCCATTTAATTAAATAATTTACTGAACATTATGTTACCAAAAATTTGGCGTTGGTGCGGAAAAACCCTGGTCTACCTACAAAAGGATTGATCTCTACCAATGATATTATATTTACAACCATAAAATTGTAGTACAGTTACTAAATCACTCATTTCTGATACGACAAAATTGGCTCTTGGACTGAGAAAAAATGTTCTACCCAGCAAAGGTACAAAAGAGCTACCTGCTACCTGTCAAAATGTGCCAAAAGTTTGGGTGTTCTCTTTTAAATCCACTTTAGACCATTGCACATGCAACTATTAAACCCTTTCGCTTTTATCATATACTCACAGATTAGATGACTATATGGATTGTTCAAGTCTGGCCTTCACCTTTCAGTGATGGCACTAGTGCAGCTGACAAAGAAAGTGTGACTAGTCATTTGGATGGTACAAAAAATGAGTTTCATAAAATAAGCCTTTCAGTTGGATGATCTGTATAAAATTTATATGCTTCATTTAAACTAGGGATACGAAGAAGCCTATTGAAGTTCAGTAATTTGCGTTTATTATGTCTAGAGTTATGGCCCTTGTTATGGGCATGATCTAATTGCTTAATAAAATAAACAATTGGGCCGCAGCTATATTTTCCATATATGAAAAGTAATTGAATGAGAATTGTTTTTTGTGACTGATAGTTTATTATTCCAAATATATGCCGCAATAGATCTAACAACATAGCCTTAATCAATGTTTGTTAATCAATGTCGTGATTTTAAGTTAGGAGACAGTAACGGCTGTCCTAAGTTAAAATTGATTTTAGTTAAAAAAAAAAAGTCCCGACAGTCACTACAGAATTTATTTGCGTTAGACTTTTTAAAAGAGACAAATTTTTATAGAAAATTTTAATTCATGTATACTTGTTTTGTCATGTTTCATATTTTAAATATTAATATACATAAACTGTGTTATTTAATTTTAATTATGCTAACTGTGATACTTGTTTTTATTTATGTATATTAATACATTGTGATTTCATATAATTTATCTCTAGATGTCACCATATGTTCGGCGCAATATAGCCTGGTTGGAGCTGACGTGCCATTAAACCACATTTCATTTCATAATCTCCAGCCCCGTATCAGCATATAACTAAAAATGAGGATCATTCCTTCTAAGAATAATTAGATCATCTGCTTGATCCCTATGTGGTTCATAGTTCTTAGCCTTCCATTTAGTTATATATTGTAAGTTAAGGTTCATCAACCATCCAGACCATTTTATAGTACTTTTCTTTTTCAGAAAATGAGAGAATGGCCCGGTCATCTTCAGGTCCAAGAAATAATTCAATTCCAAATACTCGAATATTACAGACTACTGGTGGACAAGATATAGAATCTAATACTAAAGGTGATTAGAATAATTACTCTTATCTCATTTAAAAAGAAGGCGCTTCTACCTGTTATTCTTCCAAGTACAGATTGGTCTTAGTTTTGGGGTTTTATAGGTACATGCTAGATATAAACTTAAAAAGTTAAAAGTTCAACTTCAATAGTAACTGACATTTTGTCAGGTAAAATTAAATTAATTATTTCAAGGCCTGAATAACATACAGATTTAGATTTCTGATATAGATTTTACAAATTTTAGTTCTCATGCAATTTTAGATATAAATGAATATCCTAATCCAGAAAAACAGAAGAGAAAAACATCTTCCTTATCACCTGGCCAGAGAAAAAAGACCTCGGGTAAGTAAAACTTTCATGAATTGAGATAGGGGAGGGGCCATGCAGCGTGTACTGCAGTGGCATATCTACAGTATGGTACATATACTCATATAGGTAGGGCATATGCCCTGGACGGAGCAGAACAGTAGGGCGTTAAAGCCCATTTCATTTCCTTTGCCTTGGACAACACTTGAAGGAGGCACCACTTGCAGGTACTAGCAGTAAGACCATGTAATCAAGGAAAGCAAGGATGGTGAAATTGTAATTTTAATGTAGCGCCGTAATTTGTTGGTTGAAAGATTACGAAACTGACATGTAAGAGTAAAAAACAAAACAAAAAAAGGGTATCAGGTTTTTAGACATGGTTGATAGTCCATTGTTTACTACAGATATTATTTTCCTCAGATACGTCACTGGTGTGCTGTGAAAGAATATTTAATTTCAAAGTGTCAGGGGGTCTGCTAAATCTCTGTTTTTATCCTTTTTGAATAATTAGAATCTTTTTTTCTAGGTCCTTAATCCTGCATCATTGACGAGGGGAAACCAGGCTTGAAAATCATAAACGAATATTAAGATTGAATTACACAATAAGTACTCATAAAAACATCTAACTTTGCAAAAAAAAATATAGAATTATCTCATCGAATTTGATTTATTATATTTTTTCTTATAGATGCATCAAAAGCCGCTTATAGACCAACCAGACCTATCCCTGAGACTAGAACAAATTCCCATAACACACATCACCCGTATGAAGACGAACATCAGAGTAAAAGACAAGAACATGTCAGTAGATTTCAATCCTGGGATCTAAGTTATGTTCGACCTACAGGTACATGTATGTTCAGTTGCATATGGTTATTAGGGTAGAGAACTGGCTGAATGGTTTCTAGCTAATTTCAGGAACATTCACCCTCTGCAAATATTCAGCTACAAGTACCAACTTACAATTTTAAAAACATTTGGCACAAGATCATTTTCATATCTGGCAGCTTCTTATTGGAATAACCTTCCTAATTACTTGGGGGGGGGGGGTTGGATGGCTGAATGGTTAGCATGTGCACGCTGTATCATAAGGCCTGTCATTGAGTCAACTGGCATGGTTTCGAATTCCCTTTTGAACGTGACAAGGAGTAGGGTCGCCTGTCCAACCTCGTGGGTTTTCTCCGGGCCCTCCGGTTTCCTCCCACTGCAAGCGAATTATTGAAATAGAATTAAAACCATATGTTACTCCCGAAATGACCTAGTTTGTGTCGAGTGGACGTTAAACCCCATTTCTCTCTCTCTCTCTCTCTCTCTCTCTCTCCTAATTACTTAAAACAATGTCCATCCCTATCAACTTTCAAATCATCACTGAAGTCTTATCTAATTCAATGCCATGTTTAGTATTGTCTTGTAAATATTGCTTGAATTGTAGAGAACTGAACTCTTTTCATACACTGTGAGCATACAGAAAGTGTGGAATAGCGCAATAAAAATGTCCACATTATTATTAAGCATGAAATGTCATTAGCAACACGGTGATGCTCTCTCAGAAGTTCCTTGGAGTTTTTCCATTCTGGTTTCTCTTTGTCAGTGGTTCTGTATGCAGAATATTGAACGGCACACTAAGAAAATGCGAAAAACCACATGATCCCAATTGAGTATTCACCGGTGTCTACTGATAAGTTCATAGCTGTGTTTTTCTTTATTTAGTTTGAGTCATTCTATGTGTCTATGTTTAGTCTCTGTCTAAGGTTCAGTCTGAATTGCCATGTTTTTGTATTTTGCAAAATTCAAATATGTTTCATATATATTATTTAGCCAGGTGTGGTTGAGAACCACTGATGTACGGTCTGGCAAGGACAATATCTATTTGTTTTTTTGATGGTACGAAAAACCGAGATCTCCTGACAATTGGAAATCGAAATAAGGGTTTTAGCAAATCTTTGCTGTAATGGGAAAAAAATTACCCTTACTGCATTATGTAGTAAAGTAAGACATTACTTTTCATTTCAATATGCTAATAGTCCATCGAAAAACTACTGAAATATCTTTTGTGAGCTCATCAAATCCTGAAGTTATTTATTAAAATTATTTGAGATACCGTGCAGATAGATTTCTGGTTTAGGTTTAACAGAAACCTTGAGCTGTAGATTTTCTGGAGTAACCAGCTTTAGCAATTATCATCTTGAACAAATGATCTTTTTCAGAAAATTAGATGAATGATCATTTATGGAATCCTTGGCTCCATATATTTTTCTACTGTGCCCTAAATCTGCCAAACTTGTAATCATTAAAGGGACAATAACACTCTTGCTGGCTTGAAAGCTCCAGAAAATAAATAATATCTCTATCTAAGTACTAGATGTTTAAGTGTCCTACCTGTTGTGTAAATTATCCATTAGATCCTATTTTACTTCTAAATCGAAGTTTCATTTGAAAAGGTTTACGTTAGACGTTTCAAACCCTTATGTTGAATTTTTCAAAATTTTTAAATAAGGTGTGTTAAGATGAAATTTGTATCATCAATTAATTGAAATATTCTAAAATAGTACAATTTGTTGACCAGAATAAAGATTGGGACATATTATTCAGTTACAACAAGAGTGGTATTGAGCCTTTAATACATGCTTGTTCTTTACTGAATGAATTTATATTTTCAGGAAATAGTCCAATGAAGTCATTACAAAGAAATGAAGTCAAGGATTCAACCCAAGGTGAATTTTCACAACATTATTCTAATGGTCGTGGTGCCAAGAGAACTCCATCTGAAGGTTCTTTCTTTCAAAGACAAGACCCATCAAGTCAAGCTCATTTTGACAGATATGAACACAAACATGTCTTTAACTCGACGCCTTACTATGAAGGTCCTCTGTCCAGACATTATCCAGAGCACCTAAACCTAGAATTATACTCTAATAGACATGAACGCTTTACTCCTGTGAATGCCAGAAGAAGTGCGTATTATGGATATGATGCAAGGAGAAATGTATATTATGATAACTATAGTTTTGATCCCAGGAGAGAGTCCAATGTTGTCAACGTGAATTGGACACGGAATGAAAGATCACCATGCTCATCAGACAATGAATCACTAATGCAGGATATATCACCACAGCATGAATCTCCTCCCAATATCCATAACACTGATGTATCAGACAATGATGATAATGTTCCAGAGCAGTATCCCGTAAACATGAGAAATATGCAAAATTTTCATAGCAATCCATCAAAGATGTATCCATTTACATCACTTAAATATTCCAGGCCTAAAATACCATTGCCATTTCAATCATGTAGAAATCCTATTTCAAAACATCGACCTTTCACTACCAAGTATGAGAGGCCTACAACATCAGTACTTTCTCCTGTTGAAAGAATTGTTCATAGTGATGCAGTTGAAGTTGTTGAAATGGTATTTGATGCAAGTCCAAAAAGAAGTGATTTTCCAGTTCCGAAGAAATATATTCAAAAAAAGAAGATAGTTTCCAATAAAGCTAAAAATAGACCAATAGAGTCAGAGTGTATGATTATCGAAATGGAAACAAGAAAAGTAGTTCACAATAAAAAACAAGTTCAGTTATTACCATTAGATTCTAAAATAGCTGACGATATGGTTATTTTATCTGGATCTAGTGATGAGGATGACTTGATGGAAACCTTACCAAAAACTACCTCACAGAGTCCTAAGGTAAACTGCCAAAGTCCTTTTGATAAAGCCGTAATTTCTGCGTGTGAAACAGAAGATAACATTAATCCAGGTGTGATATGTGTAAGTGTGAAAGACTCACTAGATAATGCAAGAGTAGATACCGATGTTGTATTAGCATCTACCAAGTCATTGAAACTTGTGAAGAGTGAGCAAAAGAAATCAAAAGATTCTGTTAAACAAAGCTGTCCTCTTTCTAAGAAAAGAACTCCACAGGGTGATAGAATTTTATTGGACTGCAAGACATCAGCAAATAATCAAACCTCACATGAGTTAGACGTGGTGATTGATAGAAGTTCTAAAAATAAGAATTTCCCTGTTCCTAAAAAATCTGTGAAAATGAGAAAGTTTCCTAGACAAGATACAAAGAAACCTGTAGGAAAAGATTATATGGTTATTGACATGGAAAAATCCACGACTAACCTAAAAAAGAGTCCTCCTAGGGCTAACTTCCATAGCCCTTTTGATAAATTCTTGAGCTCTCCATTTGAAAGACCAGAGAAATTGATATGTCAGAGGCACAAGCCAGTGAAACGTTTAAAAAAATCAGCTAAGACAGATGTGAAGTCCACATTAAGTAAGAAAAGTCAATCAGATCCCCTCTCTGGTGAGACTCCACAGAAGAAACTTGAAGGTCGGAAACCAGTAATTAAAAAACAGACAGGGTCCATATTATTTACTGATAATAGTCCAGAATTGACATGCATAAGTGTAGATGACTCATCCGATAATTGTGATACTGTAGCGTTACAGAATCATAAGGTATCACTGTCTTCCAAATCACCAACTCTACAGGCTAAGCATAGCACTAGCAAAGATACCCTGAAACAAAGGTCCCCTCTTTCTAATAAGCCATCAAAGAAGAAAATCTTGCAAGATGGAGGAATTCTAAAGGATTCTAAGATATCAAAAACACCAAGTCCACCTAATAGTGGAATAGTCAAGTCATCAAACCCTTCACCTTCAAAGAAACAAAGTTCTCAAGATGAAGTGGTTTTATGGGACTTAAGTTCATCACCAAATAAGATGCCAGAAAGCCTAATAGATAATATTGCAACCCCATCAAAGAAGCATACAGAAGAAAACAAAGGATTTTTCACAGACCAGGTAGTTGTTTCACCAAACACAGAAGAAACCCGAAAAAAGCATGGAAAGAAGATGGATGTTTCAGACTTACATATTCCAGATCTTTTGGAACTATTATCTAACAGACTATCCTTTAACATACCTCCAAACAAGTTGAACCCCTTACTAACACCCCTGGTTGTACTACAAAGAACACATTTTTATAAAACAAGCTATCGAAAAAGAACCATTGGAAAGCATAAGAGAAAAGAATTAAGATTCATTAGCTACCTTGAAAAGTGTGCAGATAAATTTGATGCAGCTAAAAGCAGGTTATTTTTAAAACAGGAAGATGAAAAACAAAAAGAAATGGAGACATCTGCTGTTGACAATGAAGATAGTAATGATGATGATGATGATATGCTGTATTCCTTGGTAGAAACAGGGTCTTCCTCAGTTTGCCTTAATGATGGTGATGATGCAGAACAAAAAGTAATGGAAAATGAAATATGTTCATCTGCAATTGAAGAAGAGGATGATGATGTGTTATATTCCATATCTGAGGAAGAAATTAATGACATTATTCCCATAGAGCCTGAAGATGATGTATCATCAACTGTAGATATTGTGTCAGACCAAGATACAGCACAAAACAGATCAACAGTATTACCAAATAGTGCCCTTATTCAGAATTATAGTGAAACAAGCCCACAATTTGATACATGCTTCACATCGAATTCTTCCACCAAAAAAAGTGTCAAAAACCGGTGTAGAAAGAAGGAAAATAAACCAACTTGTGTAAACCGAACCTGTGAGAATTTGAGTTCTCCTCAGTCAAAATGTTCCAAATCGAAATCAGTGTCAAGTATAGAAAATAATGAGTCATCTTTTTCTTTAGATACATCATTAGATGTGAGCATGCCTGAAACGATGTCCACAATGATACCAAATTTACCTGATTGTGAAACAATGCAAGACCTTAGTCTATCGTCTAAAAATGAAACCAGTATGAACATTTTGGATTCTCTTTCTTGTGGATCACCTTGTGAGAAGATACCCAAAAAACGAGGAAGAAAGAAGAAGCAACTGGTGTTGACAAAGGATGAACATTGTGCTGATGGAAAGGAAAGAGATGATAGTCTTAATGGTAATAATAAGAATATTATTGATAATTTTCTGGGAGGAAATATGGTAGAGATAGTATCCTGCTTATCTGATGATTCTGGAAATGAAACTAAACTTTTTGTTGAGGAACAGGTACAGAAATCAGAAAAATTATTGAGCCCAACACTTCCAAGTACTTCCACACCCAAAGTTTTTCATGGCTATAAGAATTTAGTGGAACCTGAACTTAGTGAGATATCAGAAGAAGATGAAACTTTAATGAAAATATCAACAAATGAATATCCTTCAATAGCCGAGGATCAGAAAGTTAATACACCTCATTGTCTAGAAAATGAAACGACCAGTGAACAAAAAGCTCAAGAAAAGATTACCAAAAAGAGGGGAAGGAAATTAAAGGCGTGTCGTAATCAAAAGAGTAAAAAATCAACAAAAAGTAAATCTACAAAGAATGTGTCGGCTAGCATGGCATTAGAGGAAGCAACTAAACTAAACTTAATGAGTGCATCTGGTGAATCTGATCAGTCCTTTATCTCATCAAATGCAGACATATTCTTAAGACATGATACATCATCCACAGAATTTAGCAGAGAAGAGATTGGTGAATGTCATGAAGATAATTTTACCAATATGTCTCGTGATGAATTATGTAAATTAGCTGTTTCTGTCAGTAAAGGCAGTATCGACACTGTGAAAAAAGCAGCAGATAGTACCAGCGACATTGGAACTTTAAGGACTCTTATCGAAGATACAGGGAATATAAAAGAAGTTGTGCAAGTATACCTAGAAAATCTTGTTAAAGATCCAAGTGTATATTTTGATGATTCTGGAATAGAGACTCCCACATATAACCCAAAAACTTTTTTGAATTTGGATAACATTGATCTTGAGGAATTGCCTTACAATACGAGTAGAATAACCGGTCCAATGAATGCAAGTTCAGTTGACAACGCACTGACTGCTCAAGATGAAATACGTCAACTTGCGCAAACAAATGTTGAGATATTACAAGAAATGTCTGCACTGTTGTCTGGATTTAAAGATAATGACACAATTAGTATGGACAGAAACAAACATACAGAATTTTATAAGAATGACAGTACCAATAACAGTCGAGATAAAACAAGTTACTCTACTCTTGAGGAGGATCTTAGAATTGATTCATCTTCTAGTGACACTGAGGCAGAAAAGGCAACTGAAGTGATAGAATTGGAAAACATGGGAAAGAAAACAAGCCTCTTTTCTCCAGGAAGTCGAAGCTTTTCGGTAACTGATATAGAAAACAAAGAAACAGATGTAAGTCGAGCTGCAGTTCCAGGAAACGTTAATAGTCCATCAAAACAAGAAATGTTCAGTCCACAAGATAGTATTGTGTCAAGTCCACTTAAGAGTGAAAGTCCCACAACGGTCCTGTTCAGTCAACATAATAGTTCGGTCAAGGTTCTTAGTACTGGCAGTTCTCCCAAAACTCTCTTCACTCAACAAGATAGTACTGTTTCAAATCCAGTCAAGATTATTACTGCTAGTTCTCCGATATCTCAGGTTGGTCAACAAGATAGTACTGTGTCAAGTCCAATCAATATTAATACTAGTAATTCTCCAAAGACTAAGTTTGGTCAACAAGATTGTCTTATTGAGAGTCCAGTCAAGATTCTTACGGGTAGTCCTCCCAGTCAACAAGATAGTGATGTGAAAAGTCGAGCCAAGATTATTACTTCCAGTTCTCCCAAAACTCTGGTTGGTGAACAAGACAGTGTTGTAGCAAGTCCAGTCAAGATTATTACTGGTAGTCCTCTCAAGTCTCAGATTGATGAGCAAAGTTATGTTGTGGAGAGCCCAGTCAAAATTATTATTGATAGTTCTTCCAAAACTCTTGGTCAACAAGATAGTGTTGTGCAGCATCCAATAATCAACTATAGCTCTTCAAAATGTGAAATTTTTAGTCCAAAAAGTATCAACAGTTCAGGTAGCTCAAATGTTCAAGAACCAAAAGAGGAACTTTCTGAAGTAACATTTACAGAAGCTGATGTTAAGGATCGCAACGATCAAAGTTGGCCGTCTGAAGAAGGAAGTTCACATGTCATGGTGAGTGTCAACAAGGTACTTTTGAAACCAAAAGAAGAAATAGACAAGGAGATTGCAGAGATCCATGTGTCAAAAGATCAGGAATATGAAGAGGAATTGTTGAATAATATGTGCTTAACAAAAGTTTCCAAAGTTGTTCCTAATGCTGAAATTGCAGAAGAACCTGCCTGTTCAGATCTTGTTGATGTAGTTACCACCAAATGGCTTCCTTGTAACCTTGCTATGCAAAGTACTCCTGTTTTTCAACAGATCTTTAAACACAGAGCCTCTGTAATAATTCAGCCCTTGAAAAAGAAAATAGTGGTTGACGGAAAGATTTGGAAAAAACATGGACATGTCTGGAGCATTAAAAAACATGCAAAGAAGACCATTTCTGAAACTGCGGAATCCAAGTCGTCTTCCATGGAAATTTCTAAGTTTATAGAAGATATTAGAAAGGGCGGCATTCCTGTTCAACAAGAAAAGGGGGGTAGCAGTTTGAAAGAAAATAATGAGAACAAGAATTCTCTGACAGAATTTGAAAAAGCCATATGCAATCCTCAGAAAGATTCCCACAAAAAGCCTAAAAGAGTGAAAATAGCTAGATCTATTTCTGAAGAACTTGAAGATACTAAATTGGACCCGACATGCAATGCGAAAGAATGTTTACAAAATATCCAGAAACAATTAAATGTTAACAGACCTGTGTCTAAATTAGCTAGACAAATTTTAAAGAAGAAGGCTCTCGAAGAACAAGCTTCAAAGAGTAAAGCAGAGCTAATTTTAGAACCTATTGGAACATTTGAATCAATTCTTTCGAAGACATCAAAGTTATCAAATGTCTCCTATCAATCAGATAAAGGAGATGACAGTTCCGGCAAAAGTTCTTTTACCATACCAAAATTTAACAGTAGTTTCAAGATACCCACTCATTCGAAGCAAAAATCTGAGGAAAGTGAGGGATCGCTAGTTTCCCCACTGAACAGAACATATAAAGATGATTCATCATCTTCTTCCCTTGAGTTTTTGAATACCAAACCTACCAGTCATCTGCAGTCTGGAAAATCACAAACAGAGCAATCCTGTTTTGTTTTTGGAGATACAAAACTTTCTTTATCATCTTTTGGGAAAAAGAAATCTCTTGAGGATATGAAAACAAGTTTTACTTTTGGCAAGACAAGCTTCAACACTTCTTTTAAAGTAAATGAGTCCAAAAAGAAAGAACTGTTAAGAAATTTGGAATCAGTTATAAACAGCAGTTCAAATTCCTTACATGACTTGAGCTCCACTTCATCGACATTTTCGTTCGGGAAGATAGACACTAATGAAAAAGACTTTCAAGTTCCTCTTGATTATAATTCTGAAGCTGATTATCCATGTCCAGATTCCCCAGCAGATTCATTTTCTACAATTTCTAGTAGATCCACATCTTCTGGTTACGCAATCAATAAATTAAAGAGAAGAATATGCACCAATTCCACAGTTTTTGATTCTCCATTGAAGAGATTCAGTTTTTCCGAGCAACCTCATCCCGAGAAGTTTTCACCTAGTCCGAATAAAAACTCAGATTATGTTCAAGTTTCTGATGTAGACACAACTAATATCAAACACATTGCCAACATTAAACCTACAACTACGGCCATTGTTGATGCAAATATCTCTTTAGAAAGTGAAGAACTGAACTATGAAGAATCTATTATGGAAGAAGTGAAGGAAGAAGATGAGCTAGAAGATGAAATAGATGATGAAATAGATGAAGATAATGATTTGGAAAATCAAGGTGTATCTGAAGTGAAAATCAAAGATGTTGAAGATGTGCAGAAGACTGAACACATATCCTCTACTGAAATTATACCCGAAGACAAAACCAAGACATTGTCTATTACCAGTTATTTGAAAGAACCATCTGCTGATACAAGCATTACTAATCCTGGTTTTGAAATACTGCCTCATGTTCCCACAAACCATAATGAAAAGACTTCTGATATTCTCAATGTCACAGAAGAAACTCCATTTAAGTCCAACAATAATAGAGATGAAACTTTGCTGGAAGGAGATGGAAGTCAGATTGAATGGTCCCAGATGGGTGGCACTTTCAATTTGACAAAAGAGCAGTATGAAGTTGCTGATATGGATATTGGTGACTCCAATGACGACATCAATACAGCTGATAGTTCAGGTGAAGACTTTTGTTCAGATAAGAGTGAAGATAAATTTGATGGAGATAACAACAAGGAAGAGAGCGAAGCTGAAAGTTCAGATGATGCTCTATCTGAGAGTCAAGAATCAAAACCTGAAGGGATACCTAAAGAAGGAGATACTATCTCAGAGGAAGATGAAGATGTCAAATCCAAAGATGATGTTCTTTCCCTTTTGCCATCAGATGATGAATTTATGGATGAGTTTGAAATTGAAAGTCAAACGTAAGTTGTTTGTTCTGTGTTTCACACATATTCTTGCATATGTTCTCTTATCTCTATTGCTGTGCTGTTAACTCTTGTGAACCCAATGGATTCTGTACAGTGTAGGGAGGCACAGTGAATGTGGCACACCATTAACCTTGAGGTCCAAGTGTTGGCTAAGACAATTCCTCTGGATTTTCCTCTCACCATTGGTGCAGAACGGAAGGCAGGGCAAAAAACAATCTGACTGAAATACAGATCTATATTTCGTTTCGGTTTTTTTTTTACCTTCGATTGCCTCCACTACATAAAGATCTGACCGGTGGTAGTGGGAGGTTGCATCAGTGGTCATACGAGCAGCTTTTGACCCTATGATGTCAGACATTTGATTAACACATCAGCGTGGATGTATTTAATGAGATACCCACAGACAGGTCTGTACACTCGCCGCAACAGACTCTTTCATCAGCAAATCCCTCACATCAACCAGAAAGCGGGTTATATAACAACTCTTCCAGATCCTAGTGTAGTAAAGACAAGTAAAACAGAATTTTGAACTATAAAAAACAAAACGCAATAGGATCTGTACATGTGTTTTAATCAGATTAAGGCAAGTAAAAGCCTCTAATTGTTTGGATGGAACAGGAAAAACCATGTGGTCCTGTGTATGCCATTAGCAGGACGTTATACATCCTGTAACAGTTGGAACTCAATTAGACTGGTGTTGGTGTAGAAAAGTAAAACATTAAACTCTGATTTTTATACGCCCACATTTTTATGTGGACGTATATTGTCGTTGCCCCTGTCCGTCCGTCCACAATTGTTTGTGAACAGTCTACAGGTCACAATTTTTATCCGATTTCAATGAAACTTGAAATATAGGTTTATCACCCTAAGATCTCGGTTCCTTTCGATATTGCCATATATCGGACTGTAACTTCATGGATTATGGCCCCTGATTGTACGAAAAATCACGTTTTTAGCTTGTGAACACTGTAGAGGTCACAATTTTTATCCGATTTAGTTTAAACTTGAAATGTATGATTATAACCCAAAGATCTCAGTTCCTTTCGATATTCGCACATATCAGAACGTAACTTCTTGAATTATGACCCCTGATTGTACGAAAAATCGCGTTTTTAACTTGTGGACCCTATAGAGTTCATAATTTTTATCTGATTTAAAAAATCGTATTATTATATCACCGTTAAACCCTAAGGTGCCGAGTTTGAATTTCGTGAAAATCGGCCCAAAACTGACAGACAAAATGGTCGCCCTTCGTTCTTAAATAGCGTAAAAATAGCGTATTTCAAGGTTGTGGACCCTAAAGAGGTCACAATTATAATATCCGATTTTGTTGAGACTTGAAATGTAAGTTTATAACCCAAAGATCTCGGTTCCTTTCGATATTCGCGCATATCAGACTAACTTCCTGAATTATGGCCCCTGATTGTATGAAAAATCACTTTCTTTTTAGCTTGTTCTCTATCCATCTCTCGAAAATGTGGGCGTATCCTGCCTGGCAGCCGCTGGTTACACATTGATATCGTATGTTGTTTGACTTATCCAATTTCTACAATTTTATTTCACTTCTGCATAACGTCCATTGTAAGCCTTAAAGTGCAATTCAGTCAGCGCAGAACAGTAGAAGTACATTAAACCCCATTTCATCTCATTTCAAGTGAAGTTTGTATATCGGCTAGAAAATCGATAGAGATGTAGTAATCATTAGCACGGTTTTGAGGAATTATAAGTTGGGATTAATATAAGATTTCTTTAGTCAGTAGACCTCAGTGACTTTCATACACTTTTATATTACACTCCTCTATATTTCTGTTAAATTTGTGGAGCTACGGTGGCTAAGTGAATAAGACGCTACTCACTCCCGGTGATGACTGAGAAAGTTCATCAGGATTTTCCAGCGTGGTTTTCCCTTGTCAGTGGTGCAGAATGGAGAGCCTGACTAGGACAGTCATCTGGTCATTCTGATGGGACGGAAAACCGAGGCCCCACATAAACATTGGCATGCACTTAAAAGATCCCATGGCAGTTGGAATTCGATATATGTAGGCATGTTGGCAAACTTTTAATTTGATATCTTTTTAAATACAGAATGAAACTGAGCAATTTGGGGGCTGGTATTCCTTTCAGAGATTCAAATTTAGAAATAGTATAGTTTGCAAGGGAATTGGCACCCTCAAATGATAACAAGAGACTTTAAGCCCATTAGCATTTTCATACATTTATCTTTTGTTACATTTATAGTGTATCTAAAGCCAGCAAGAAATCTAACATACCGGTTGAGTTCATTGAAAAACCATCCAGTAGTAAAGACTGTAAAAAATCGGTTGAGTTCTTTGAAAAACCATCTAGTAGTAAAGACTGTAAAAAATTGGAAGACGTTGTAGAAAAAGAAAAGATTAAAACCAATGAGGATGTTAGTGAAAGTAAGAGGGAAGCACCTATAGTCAAGGTGAGCACCATAGTTCTTAATCAATTTTGAAACCTATTGCCAATATTGGGTCAAATGGGGTAAAGGTAGGAAATAGGGTAATTTTAAGCTTCCATTCTCTTTAATATAACCAGACTTCATCAAAAATAATCTTGATAATTTGTTATGGAGAATGTCATATTCTAATGTTTGTGATTACCACAAAAATAAAGACAAATAGGTACACCTTTTTAAAATTATCCATATTTAATTCACATACCAGCTTGAAGTTCTTGTCAGTAATATTCCTGATTAAATTACTGTCTTTGTTTATTCGATGAAAAGTTTGTGTTTCATCAGTTGATCGAAAATATTAGGATTTTTCTACTACTGCCAGTATTAGAAAATGCCGTAGCCAAAATAAGCTGATATGGCACCATGGTATTTCTTCTATCACATAACTTGAGATAGTTGTAGCCCACAAGCAAGTTAACGAGTAATAATTAACCCATCATAATTTAGCCGAAAGTAGATTGATTTATGATACCATAGTGGCCTGTTCATTGTTTTACCAATCAAAACATTAATCTGCTAAAGCCAACAAAAATATGTTTAATTATTAGTTTGTTTTCACTGTTTGAATTTTAATTTAATGGCCATGAACCTGAACTACAGATCTTGGTTGTCTAGCCAGCATAAACAATTGGACTTGTTGATGGAGACCCCATTTCATATCCACTATTTTCTTATGTGACTTGGATTTAGGTTGCTTTCTTTTGATTGTTAGTTTATTTTGAACTTTTTTCTTCAGATTGATAAAAGATTGATACCTCCTAACTATTGTTGGGATTTGCAGAATTGTAAGAGAAAGATCTGCACCTTTATCCATAGAAGACCATCAGAAGTAAGTGTAGCAATATGTTGTTCTGGTAACTTGGTGAGTATTGAGCTAGCTCACTAACTAGGATATCCTAGGTTCGTTCCTGTGTTGCCTTAGAAAATTTGTCAGGATTTCCCAGTGTTGTTTATCCATGTAAGTTGTGCAGGATGTTTGCCCTGGCAATAAATAAAGGCATATCATTTTAGATGAGAGAGTTGGAAATCAAAATAGGAATAAACCGATGTCAGACAAAATTTCCAGATTCAAATCTTCATTAGCCTAATTGGTGCGGAAAAGTAAGACTTTAAACCATGTTTCATGTAATTTCATTTCTCCTACATGAAATTATGTTTGTTTTTTTTTAAGGCTGGGTCTTTGTTGTATCGAATTAGATTGACAAAGACTATATATTGGGAGAATAGTATTGTATGACAGTCTGATTTTTGAAGTGTGTTTTTGTGTTATCAAATTAACAGTGGAGCGACTCTTGCCTGGATTGACAAGGAATATGTTTTTGAGAATAGTATATTTTTGTTTACTTCAGGAAGACATACATCACCAAGCCACAAAAATGATAAGTCATGCTTTGCATGTTAAAAATTACAAGGAGGCTGTGGATGTTTATGTGAATGCTAAGAAACAAGAGATTAAAGGAGCGTTTCAACCTGTTGATCAAATGATACCATTGTTAAATGCTTGTTTTATGTTGGGGTATAAGTACTCAGATGTAGCTTATAGCTTGTTGTGCGTTTTATACATTTCACAGAGCCCTCCTTTGGATGACAGGTATGTATTTTTCTTAAAGATTGTCATTGTAGGGATTTTTAATTTGCAAACTGAAATATTTTCAAAGTTAAATCTCCAAAGGGAATATAGGGGGGTTGGATGGCTCAATGGTTAGCACATAGAGTCAAATGGCATGGTTTCGATTGCCCGGTTGTACATGACAAGGAATAGGGTCGTCTGTCCAACCTCGTGGGTTTCCTCCGGGTCCTCAGGTTTCCTCCCACTGCTAAAGACCACTACGCGCAAGCGAATTATTGAATAAAATTGAACCAATGTGTAAGTCCCGAAATGACCTATTTTGTGTCAAGTGGATGTTAAACCCCATTTCTCTCCTCCCTCTCTCTCTCTCTCTGCATGAAGCGAGGAGACAGACATGGCCTCTAACATCAGTTTATTTATAGCTTGAGCTATCCCCCTGCATATACAAAGGTTTGAGAGGGATTTAAAGCAAATTTTTGATAGATTAATAACATGTAGTTTTAATATTATTTTAGTCCAAATATATCATCAAATCACAAAGTTTGTATGCGGGAAAGTATCTTTAAATGTTTAAATAGTTGCCAGCAGAGAATTATATTGAATGTTTTGTAGATAATAAATAATGCATGTTTTGTTGTAGAACAATTAAAGTTAGTTGTTTTGTGGGAATCTTATCAATGACAAGGAGGGGTTCATTATTTGTCATTTTCTATTTGTGCACCTTTATTTTCTAGAACAAAGCCACAACAACTGACACTTGGAATATATATTTATATTTCAGAATGTGTTGTGAATTTATCAACATGTGTAGTGTGAACAGAGAAATGTATTCTTCTCAGATCGGACAAATATTTGATATTATGAAATCTCTTAATCTGCTGCCATCAAAAATAGACTCAATGATTACTTTACTTATGTAAGTTTTTCTCTAATTTCTTTCATCTAGACTTCTTATGTTATCATGGAGCTGCTGTGGCTCAGTGAGTAAGACACTGGCTCACTAAACGGGTCTGAAAAGGGCAGTGTTTAGTTGTTTGGATAGTACAAAGAAAATGAGGTCCCGTGTACACATTGATGTGCACATCCTTGACAGTTGGAATTCGATAAAAGAGTAGGCTGTTGCACCATTGTCTGGGAAAAATTCCCTTCTATCACACTGTAAAGACCGAGCTATTACAGAACTCAATGTTCTTGGTAAGGTCATTCAAATGAAAAATATTCAGTTTCTCGGACAAACCTTTAAACAAATTCTCTAGTTTTGATCAACCAATGACAAAATCTGAAATTTTATAGAAAGTTAAATCTATTTATTTATTGAGAATCCAAATATTTATTGTTTTTCAGGACGTTTTATGAACTGAAGGATTATAATAAGTTGTTTCAAATTATGATATATTTGAATGAGTGTGAATTTCTGTGTATACCATTATTTATAAGGGAAGCAACTCTTTTACACGTTATTACACATAGCTATCATCAAATCTACCTCGATTTAACCTCCAAATGGATTGATCAAACCCATGAACATTTGTTGTTAGATTTAAACAAGGAGGTTAGTATATTTGAAATTCAATTAAGCATTAAAAATATTGTTAGCCTTTTTAATTTCTTGAAAAAATGCATTTCAAAACACTCTTTAGAATGATACACAGCATCTGACATCATTCACTAGTGTTGTAAATATATACATTTCAGTTAGGATTGGGTGGTATACCGCAAAGCACGTAATATGGTAGTATTTATTTTAAACAATATTGTATTGTCAGCCAAAATGTAGATAAAAATGTTACAGTAATGCATTAAAAGATGTACAGGTATTGTCTGAATCTTTATTTGTTATGCCATCTATTCCAATTTTATGAGGTGGCAGATATTGGTTTATATTGTTTGATTCAGCAAGCGACCCGTAGAACGTGTTTAGATTAAAGTGATGTACCTGTTCCTAGCAGAACCGAACCCTGAACAATTAGTCCGACAAATCAAATAGATTTATGTGAACAGTTCTTAATTACAAATTAGAAAACTTTTAAATGATATTTATCATTATCATCAGTACTGTATTATCTAAGTTAAAGTAAGTCATTAATCGTCTATATTTATTAATCGTCTATATTTATTTCAGATTTTACTTCAGTTATTAGCGATATTTCAAAAACTTGATTCACTGAGTACAATACAGAAGTTGGAATGGGTTCTCCATGTTAAGCCAGAGGTATTTACTTTTCATTAACGAAAATGGATCAATGATGTTTGATGATGACCCTTGTATATTAATATAGTATAAGAGATATTAACTCTATTGACTTGGCTGTTTCAAAATCTTATAATGCAATAAAATAATTCTTAAATAAAAAATAAATTAATTATTAAAGTCAATTTTAAAAACAACATGAGTATTTCCATATAAAGTTAATAAAAAAAAAAAGAAAAAAGATGTAAGAATAAAATCATGTCCGCATATTTGAAAACAAAAACTCTATTTTACTTAGAGTAGTAAAGATTGTTTTCACTTAGGTTAATTAATTATAAATCTGTAAATACTTTTATTTAATTTGATAAAAAAAATTGTAATATTTAAAGATTATACCTGAAATAGAAGAACCAGATATTGATAGAGAAGAAGCTGAGTTAATGGCGTCTGCTAATTTTTCAAGTCAGGAACTACAAATGAATGAGAAAAAGTCATATATGCACAGAATTCAGGTATAACTAATTTAATAAAATAGTCATCCTGATTGAATGGGAATAGATCTTAATCGGAATGCTGGGCGACTTTGACTCGGCCTTGGCCATTTCTTATGTTATCTGCAGTGAATGATGAAGATTGTTAGATTTTCAGTTCATCATACCTTTGTAAATACTGAATGGAATTGAGCCATTTTTCGGATTGGCTTTAACCTTTATGTGGTTTTCAAAATAAATATGTCTAAAGGAATATTTTGAATGATTTCGCTGAAGGACTGCTTCTAATAGTAAGTAGAAGTTTATTCTGAAGCTTTGGAAAAAGACATTTTGGCTTTATAAGATAGATGTCAGATGAACTTTCAAGGTTTCAAGATGTCAGGAGCAATATTATTAAAACATCTGTAATTAACTTATGTATTAAATCTATATGATAAACAATGGTTAACCTATGTATTTCCATTTCAGGGCTGTAAATCTTCGTGTAATTGGGAATATCTAGCTCAGATATTTATAGATCTGTGTAATTCAACATGGCCAAGAAACTCTGACTATATTGATGGTTATATAGACACCATAACCGCACATAAACTAAAAATGGAGGAAGCTTTTCATCAATTTCTTACAAATATTGGAAAACATGTTGATAAAGGTTTAGTATTACATATAAATTTGAGTGATTATGTCTTTACTGCACTAGAATATGGAAGAGTTGTTATATGACTCGCCTTCTGGATTGTGTGAGGTATTGGCCAATGAAAAGGTCTGTTACGGCGAGTTTTTGGCATGAAGTGCATGGAACTGTGGGTAATCCACTAGAATCGTCAACATCAATTGGTTAATCAAATGTCTGATGTCAAAGGGTCAAAAGCCGCTCCTACGACACGACCTTCCAGTACAACCAGTTTAGATCTTCATGTAGTAGAGGGCATCGAAAGTGTAAAAAAACTAAACAAAACATAGATCTGTATTTTAATCAGATCGGTGTTGGCCAATATAAAGTACCTTAGGCTTTTTCAACTTGGTTTCCCTTTTTTGAAGGGCCTGGCAAGAAACGGTGTACATGTTGGCATGTAAAAGAACCTTTGACGGTTCGAATTTGAAACAATAGTATATGTAAGTGTGATGGTTGGGCAAAATTTCCCTCATAGCACACTGCATGGCGTATACCGAATTGGTTCAGAAAAGTAGGTAATTAAACCATGTTTTAATTTATTTCCAAATAGAAATGATAATTGCTTTGTTTTTTTCAGAGAAAACAGAGAATGTTTTGTTTGAGTTTGATCAGAGGTCGTTGAGTTTAATAGGCAGTGGTATTATACATGAATGTTGTCATAAAGAATTATTTGAACAAGGATCGAAAATTCTCTTTCTCATGTTAAAATGGAGTATTAAAATATGTGAAGTAAAGCCCCATGACATTCACAGATCTGTACAAAATATATTAATTATATGTTCAAAAGTAAATCAGCCCAAATTAGCAGTTGAAGCATTAGAAGGTGAGTATAGCGTTGGCTCTCAAACTAGGGCTTACTGGTTTTTATAACTTTTTGGGCCGCTAATGTACCTCTCGATTGGCTTGTGATTGCATTTTAGCCTATACTATTCAAAAAAAGTAGGGGATATTTGATTTTTAAGTGTTATTAAAGTCACCTAATGAAACTGACGAAGAAACAAATGATAAAATGAAATGAAGTTCACATTCATCGATTTATTCCAAATGATCGTTAGACTAAGTAAGGCACAGACTGACCATTATAAGGGTAAAATGATACCCGGGGTCAAACAGCAAAGTTACCACAGCATCACAACCAAGTCAGTAACGGGTAAATCCTCCTCTGTTTGCCAAACAAGCATTGATCCGACGTGGCATACTCCTAATGAGACGTCTAAGGTCATTTTGGTCCAGATTGTCCCATTCCTGTTGCAACGCAGCAGCAAGTTCTTGGACATTGGCAGGACGTTGTTGACGTTGACGTAACCTCTGTCCAAGCATGTCCCAGACATGCTCGATGGGGGAGAGGTCGGGACTCAGTGCTGGCCAAGGTAATGTGGTGATGTTCTGTTGTTGGAGGTAACCTGTAACGATCCTGGCCCTGTGACATCTTGCGTTGTCATCCTGGAAGATGAAACGGCGGCCATGACGTCGTGCGAACGGCACAACATGGACTGCCAAGATGTTGTCCCGGTAGTACTGGCCTGTAACACGCCCTGCAACAACATGTAAAGCCGTTCTTCCAGCAACAGTGATGCCTCCCCACACCATAACAGAACCACCCCCAAATCGATCATGTCTGATGACGTTAACGTCTTGGAAGCGCTCGTTTCGACGACGCCACACCCTCCTACGTCTGTCCAAAAAATCAACAGTGAACCTTGACTCATCTGAAAACATCACATTGCTCCAGCGTCGATTATCCCAGTGTTGACGATCCCTACACCAACGACGTCTTGCCTGAATGTGATGATCTCTCAAACAAGGGATCACGCGAGGACGTCGGGCGCGAAGGTGACCCCTATGCAGTCGATTCCGAATTGTCTGGCCACTCACTCTCACACCAGTGTCTGTTTGAAGACGAGCGCTGATCTGATTTGCTGTGATGACACGATTTCTCAAGGCCAAGGTACGGATAAATCGATCCTGGGCTTGAGTTGTCGCCCTTGGTCGACCTGAGCGTGGTGTGTCCTGTACAGATTGTGTATCACGGTATCTGGACCATAGCCTGCTTATGACAGACTGAGAAACATTCATCGTCCGCGCCACAACCGCCTGTGTTGTGCCGATCTGTAGCATGCCAAGGGCACGTAACCTTTCATTTTGGGTAAGCCGAGGCATATCAAAATTTGTTTTCTGGTCACTAAAACAATTAAACTGATGTTTCCACCCTGGAATTCAATGCCACAATGACTGTAACATTCAAAGTCAGAGTCGTGCAAATCTTGGGTTGGACCCCCATGATGATCCCAAGCATCACCTGCATTCCATGCGGTAGCTATTGGTGCGTTTGGGCGTCACATGTAACTGGAAATGTTTCTTCTGTTAGGTTCTATAGTGACTTTTTTCGTAGTCATTTGCATATTTTAGTATTATGCCCCCAAAATCAAATATCCCCTACTTTTTTTGAATAGTATATTTTGAACATAGTGAAATATTGCCGTACTACTTCATTTTATAAAGGAATGCTATTTCAAAATTTTGCATGGCGGACATTTTTAGTTAGGATTAACAGAGTCCAGAATTAGGTCACCAGAAGACTTGTTCGCTTCATTAAATAGGGTCAGTAAGCTTCCATTCTCTTTAATGGACTTCAACTAGGAATATTTAGATATTTACTTCACTAATAGAAATTTACATACAATATCACAGATAGTAATGTAGAACAGTTTTATGTGGGGTGGTGGAGGGGGGACCGAATGGTTAGATCACAAAGTCTGTCATTGAGTCAAGTGGTGTGGTTTCAATCCGCAACTGGTACGTAACAAGGAGTAGAATCGCCTGTCCAACCTCGTGGGTTTTCTCCGAGTCCTCCGGTTTCCTCCCACTTCTAAAGACGCCTGTGTGCAAGCAAATTATTGAAATAAAATTTAACCATATGTTAGTTTGTGTTGGGTGGAAGTTAAACCCTGTTTCTCTGACTGTATGTGATCTGAAGTTTGTTGCTGAATCTCTTCTTCAGGTTTACAGTGGTTAAAACATAATTTGAGTCCAGTTACTAATCTTGGTATTTATATCATACACCTCAATGAATTAATAAAGTGTTTAGTAAAGAAAGATGTTTGTAAACAAGCCTTTGATGTTCTACTATTCTTTGTGGATATTTTAAAACGAAGTAAGTACAGACTTTAGGATATTGGGATGTGATTCATGAATATTTAAATTAAAATATTCAAAGCAGGAAACTATTTCATTGGCTGCATGTTTTGATTATTTTTGTGAATAAAGCTCATTAATATTAATGTGAGGTAAGTCATATGAATGGATTTAACCAAAAAGTGCCTGGTAGTCATGGAGATGTTAGAACACCTCTCTCTTTTTTTCTCGCTGTAATTAATGCCACTTGACATCATTTTGGGGATTTTCCATCCCTTGCAAATTACAATTTTGTGGAAGTTGAATCAGACATAAAAGGGTTGCATTCTTTTAAAGATATAATGATTGAAATTATTTCAGCATTTTCTGTAAAATAAAGCACTCCCTGTGTAAAATGTGAGATTAATCTGTTTAAATAATCATTCAACTCTTATTGAAAGAGTTATTTATCTATAGTATCTTATTGTATTTCAGGTGGCAGTGATATTGAAGGAATGAACAGTATGTATTATTTATTCTGATAATATAAAAGACAAGTATTAGTGCAAGATATTGCTTGTCGGGTGACTGTAAGATCAATGCTGGGATATTCGGTCATAAACCAAAAGGCCCCAGATCCTATCCTGGTTTAACCGAGAAAAGTCCTTGGGATTTTTCTGGCCTGGTTTCCGTAGTGGTGCAAGGCAGAAAAACAAGGTTCTGTTTGCAAATTAGTGTTAACATAAAGCAATCCTTGATGGTTGGAATTCGTTGAAATCCTATGTCAGGCCAAAATTGTCTTCCAAGTTTTGTTGAGTTGACCAACAAATTTCATTTGCTTCTGTTTTCTCTGGATCCTATTAATTCCTTCCAGTGCTAACAACCCGATCTACGTGAAAACGAAATATTGAAATAAAATGTACAATATGTTGGTCCCGAAATCAAATTGCACTTCTCTCTCTTTCTTTCTCTATTATTTAACTCTATCTGAAACGCTAATAATAAATTCTTCTTGTGTTTCAGGTGTTCGTATGCATTTTCCAGAAATAGTATGTAGATGCTTAACATTTGGCATACTACAAACTGCCATTGATACATTTAAACTGTTTAAAGATATTTGTTCTACAAGAGTGGGATTCAGTGAATCTATTTTACGTTCTTTATTTTCTGCTTGTTACGAAATTGGAAATTTTCAACAAACACAAGAATTATACAGATACATGTACAATAGCTTTTTCAAAAAATATGCTGTACCAAATCTTGAGGATCCAAGCCACAAGAAAATCATGTTAGGTAGTCGATTATCTCATGCTGAAATAATTTATGTGTTAAAAGATTGGTTAATGAATTTGTACAGATATTTCTGTACGGTATTGGAAAAAGGGACATCACTCACAATGGATGATTTAAATGTTACTGTGGAGTTTGTTCGTGGTGGTGATCCAGATATAAGGGAGTTATTTCCCTACTTGTCAAGCATACCTCAGTCTGAGTTCGCAGCTCACGAGATATTGAGATTGTCTTTATCTAAGCTGGAACCAGCTCTGGAAACTAATTATATTCCCGCCGAAGGATGTCATGAACTGTCTAGTAATTGCCTGAAGGAATATCTTCTTGTGCTGGATTTAGAAGGTAATAAGTTTTATTTTATAAAACCGAAAAAAATGTTTTTTCTAATTTTAAAAGGAAAATTAGCTTTGAAAATTAAAGAAAAAAAATGTTTCGGTATTATGGTATGTTTCTTTTTGTTATGTAAAGAGCTGAATATATTGGGGGGGTTGGATGGCTGAATGGTTAGCGTGCGCGTGCTGTATCATAAAGTCTGTCATTGAGTCGACTGGCGTGGTTTCGAATCCCCGGTTGTACGTGACAAGGAGTAGGGTCGCCTGTCCAACCTCGTCGGTTTTCTCCGGGTCCTCCGGTTTCCTCCCACTGCTAAAGACCCCTACGGGCAAGCGAATTATTGAAATAAAATTAAACCATTTGTTAGTCCCGAAATGACCTAGTTTGTGTCGAGTGGACGTTAAACCCCATTTCTCTCTCTCTCTCTCTCTCTAAATATATTGAAAATTTCAGTCAGATAACTGTCAAAATTTAGAATAGAGCAGGGATTTTTTGTAGAGTTTTTATATCCCCTGATCTTGAAAGCCACCCATAAAAAAAGCTGCTGATGCATTCGTATGCAACTTTTTTATAGGCTATTAAAATGACAATCTGATTAAAACACAGATCCTATTTCGTTTCGTTTTTTATAGTTCAAAATTCCGGAAGAGTTGTTATATAACATGCGTTCTAGTTGATGTGAGTAATTAGCGAATGAAAGGGTCTGTTACGGCGAGTTCTTGGCGTGCTCTGCACGGAACTGGGGGTAAACCCCTAAAACTGTCATTGCTGATAGTAGTTTAATCAGTGTCTGACGTCATAGGCATAGGCGTAGGAGCCGGGGGGGGGGGGGGGCATTTTGCCCCCCCAAACATTTATTTTCGAGCAATGAAAAATTTGACGACCTTTTTTTTCTATTAACGTTTAGAGAAAAAATATAGCTAACTTATTTCTATGAGATCCACACTGTCTGAAAATTATTTTCTCGACTTTTTCTTGTCCACTGCATGCCCGAAAATATGCCCGAAGCTCCCTTATGATATGTATGCCCGAAAAAACGGTATTGATTTCAGGCAATTTTCTCTTATGCCCCCCTGAATTACCTTGAGCTCCTACGCCTATGGTCATAGGGTTAAAAACCGCTCATATGACCCTGGTCAGATCTTCATGTAGTGTAGGCCATTGAAAGTATAAAAAAAAAACCAAAATATACCGGTAGATATCTGTATTTTAATCAGATTTGTTGAAATGAGAATTCACTATGCTTCAAATCTGAAGAATTAAAAAATGTTTTTTGAGGTAAATTTACAAAGTTAACATTCATTTAATTATGGATGTGATTAAATAACAACCCCCTTTATTTGTTTATTTTTCAGAAAGGAATATTGGATTACGATTTGATCCTCCACGTGTTGCAAGACGTCCTTTGTTAAATTTTAACAACATGCCTAATAGAGGTGGATATTCCGACCGACCACCTCCCCTACATGCCAGGTACAATAGACGGGGTAATTATTATGGGGGACGTCCAACACGCCCTTGGATCAACCCCAGAGGAAATATAAGTTGAGATTGTATAATATAAAGAAAGCATTATAGTTTATACATGTAGTATGGTTGACACAAAGTGAAAGTTGAGATTTAAACACTGTGAAAGTGTATATTATCAGATACAAAGTTATAGTTGGAATTTATCTTGTGAATTAATATCTCATGAGTGATGATAGTGTTTTTAAAAATATACCCAGTGAAAGGGTTTGATATGTGCAGTATGGTTAATATCATATAAAGTATTGTGTTACAAATAAATAAATTGAATATGAGTGTGTATTATATGTGCACTATATCGGAAATGTGTGTGATACATGAAGTATGTGTAATATTAAACTAAGTGGAAGTTTTTTGAATGTCATAATATGTGCATTATATCAGAACATGAAGTATGTTTAATAATATCAGATAACTGATTGTGTTGCAAATAAAGTGCAAGTTGACATCATATTCTTTTGTGCATTATATCGGAATGTGAAGTATATTTGATATTGGATAACAGATTGTGTTACAAAAAAATACAGTGGAAGTTTTGGGGGTTTTTTTTACTGTTATCCGTGCATTATATCTGAAATCAAGTGATATACTGTAGCTAAAAAATTAATGATTATGAAGTTTATTGAGTACTGTACCAGTATGTGTGTTCTGCATTACTTCAGACAAGAAGTGATATGGACCTACCATGTGTTACAAATTGATCGAACCATTTTATAACAAAAACAATAGTGTATGTATGAATGGAACAAAAGAACATTTGTTTGTTTCTTTAAAATGTGTGTTTCATGAAGAGAACATGTGAAATGATTTTTTTATAAATTTTATAGCCAAATGTTTTACATTTCGTGTGTCTGTAATGTAAAGATTACTATTATTGTAAGTGGTTAGGGAATAAGAATCTCTGTGAGTGAAAGGTTTAGACTTTTAAAGATGGAACTGAATGTTTGTTTAAAGTGAAATAGGATTCTTTGATTTCAAAATATTCACTGGAAGTGAAATGAGATTATTGTGTCTAGTCTAAAATATCGTTAAACTATTTTCAAGTAAAAAGGAAATAAAAATCAATGGAAGCAGTTTAGCTTTGTCAAAGATCTGAAACAGTTTTGCTGACAAACGTCTGGAAAGTCAATAGTCTGGTATACTCTGGAAACAGTTTAGGCTGTAAATAATCTGGTATACTCTGGAAACTGTGAATAGTCTGGTATACTCTGGAAACAGTTTAGCTGTGAATAGTCTGGTATACTCTGGAAACAGTTTAGCTGTGAATAGTCTGGTATACTCTAAAAACAGTTTAGCTGTGAATAGTCTGGAAATGTTGCATGATAAATTAATAGTACAGTTAAAAGAGAATCATTTGGTGCTTCTATAAATAATATGTGGAACATATACTTGGCATTTATACATTATCATGCATTTTATAGGTCATTGTTCAGTTTGTTAAATCCGAAATTATCTTGTGTTTAATTAGACTGTATACATTCCTATGGTCTGTTAAAACAGATTTTCAGGGAATCAATTCTTTTGTTTTTGTTGTTGAAATGTCTGGGAAAGGCAGATTTTGTTTTGTTATGTTAGTTTTTGTACTGTGTAAACACGAACAACTTTTAAAATGAATTAAGATTGTTATCTTGTTTAAAAGATTTTAGAAATATAAAGAGATTCATGGGAACAAAAAGATTTTTTTTTTTTTTTTTTTTTTCATCTCTTTTTAAATTATGTAAAATGTATCGATCGGTCCAGGTAGGTATCATGATTTCCTTTCGTTTTTCATATTTTTTTCCCCTTTCGCCCGAATATGGAATTTGAAAAATATTGAGTTAAAAATGTTTTGTGGAAAATTACATGCAGTAATAATATATTCAATGATTCTTTAATAAATGGTAATCTTTTGGTTTTAACTAAAGATACATTCATATCGCAGAGAGCTGAATCGGCCAATTGCAGGTGTTTTTTTCTGACTTTTTTTTTTTAGACGTTTATTCACTTGACAAGCCATAATCAATTCTGTAGACCCGTTGGATGGCCGAGATGCCAACTGGATTTAGACCATCAACGCCTTATATTGTTAAAATGGAGTCAGTAGATTGAGGCTCTAGAATCGAGATTTATATCTTATTGCCTTAAGAAAGAACACAAGCAAAGTTTATGTTTTAGATTCATAATTGCAAAACAAATTACGAAAGCGACTTAAATTGTTAATTGGTCTATAGCCATGTAAATAAATAACCTAAAAATGTCATCAGGGTCCTGTTTCAGTTTCACAAATTTTAACTAAAATAGTATTATTTATGTTTGTGAGTACAGTTTCAATTATTTAAAAAACATCTTCATAAATACTTTTTTTTGGTACATTTTAGACATTTATATACATGTGTGGTTTTGTAAGCAAAATTAGAAAAAAATGTATTTTTGGTCAAAGACATGACTGGAATATAACTCCTCATTTGTCATCATTTAAAATATAGATATGTTTTATATATCACAGTGCCTTTATACAATAAATACTTACATCTTAATATTTGTGTTGCATATCTATCCCAGTGTTGGTTGAGGGGGGGGGGGGCAGAATAATGTATATCCAAGCATTGGTAAATAATGATGTCCCCGGTGTTAGTCAAAATGTTCCCACACCGCATATGGTGTACATGTATTCCTGTCTTAATTAGCAGAACAGTAGGGTCAAATGACGTTCAGCAGTGCAATTTTAATGAGCAATTATCACTCTGGCATAGAAGATTAATATCATATAATATCTTATTCAAAATAACATTAAACTTACTAAATTATTGAAAATGCACTAAGAGCAATTGTATTCCTTAAATTCTTTGAAAAGCACAAATCAATTAGTACAACTCATAAATTGAAAATTAAGACATAACAGTAAGACTTGGGAGATTTGTGCCTGCCGCCTCGTAGAGAATCCAGCTCTCTTTAAATATAAGCTTTTTGTGGCAGGGGGTTGGGTGGCCAAATGGTTAATGTGTGTGCATTGTATCATAAGGTCTGTCATTGAGTCAAGTGTTGATTTCCCGCTTGTACATGACTAGGAGTAGAGTCGCCTGTCCAACCTCGTAGGTTTACTCCCACTGCTAAAGACCCCTACGCACAAGCGAACTAATAGAATAAAACTAAACTATATATTAGTACCAAAATGACCTATTCTCTCTCTTCACGTCAGAAATACTAACAAATTGCAACATACACTAGCTCACTTCAACATCAGGATTAAAATGTAATAAGACCCCATATCTTTGAATATTTTAATGGAAATTCTTTTCGTGTAAAATGTAAAAAAATACAAAAACATAAATTTATCACATGAAAGTAGAAAAACATGATTATATGTATTGCCATAGATTCTGAACATCAAATTTAACAATATAGGTGAAATACTTCATTATGCTTGTTCAGGATAACATCTACCATGATGTTAACCTGATAAGGAAAGTGTGCCTAATTGTTCAGATGGGACAAACCCAGCAGTCCACCCATGTATACATTAGAAATTAGCAAGCACATATAATAGTTGATATTAGAAAACTGAAGATTATGTGAAAATGCAGCTGTCTTGTCAACTCTTACCTCACATTGCACCCAGAATAGAAATAAAAATTAGCATTTTCGTCTGAAAATGACCACCTTCTCTGTAACTTCTCTATAGATACATAGTGTAACATTAATTTTGTGTAAGTTTTGTCTATACCCTATCAAATACTAATAAACATATTCAGGGATTACATGTATATGGTTCACATGGCTAAGCGGGTAAGACGCTGGCTCGCTAGCCTGGAGGTCGGGTGTTCGATCCCTGCATTGGCCGAGAAAGTTCATTCAGATTTTCTGACGTGGTTTCCCCTTGTCAGTGATGCAGAATGGAGGGCCTGTGACAAGGACAGCTGTCTAGTCGTTCGGATGGGACGAGAAACTGAGGTCCCGTGTACACATTGGCGTGCACATAAAAAATCCCTTGGCAGTTGGAATTCGATATAAGAGTAGGCCATAGCGCCGCTGCCCAGACAAAATTTCCCTCATAGTACACTGTATGGCGTATGCCCATCTTCATTAGCCCAGGTTAGGAGCAGAACAGTAGGACGTTAAACCCCATTTCATTTCATTTCATTTCCTTCAATGGGGATGTCCAGGGCAGAATAACAAAATCAAAACTCAACCCTCGTCTTATTCTACCTGGGATATAACCCTGACATGAAACATAAGGTAAAGCCTTCTACTTATTACATAAAATAATAAATAATATATACATACAAAAAATAAAAATACATCCAGTTAAAACAAATCATTCTGATATACATCAAATCATAAGGTACCGGTACATGTAGCTGTATATAATGTTTATATAATTAAAGATCAGTCATACAGTTTTATACATGCGTAGAATAATATATAGATTACCTTGACAATAGATTATAAATAATATCACGTATTTTTTTAAATATACAATACATACATGTAATATGACATTATCTTACTTGATCTTCTGGGTATAATTTGACAAATATATAATTTATAGAAGTAAAGAAATTAAATGAATGTCAATAGATCAATTATGTAATCTGGCTGTACACTTAACAATATGTAATTAACAATTAAATAATTAAAAGATAGTACAAAAATGAGGGGTTTAAAAAATCCTGTACAGCGTGGAAGTAAAATTTGTATATTTACAAGTATATATATATATTGACATTAAATCCAGTGGTGTAGGAATGGAAGCGACCAAACCTCTAGCTGGGCACATTTTTCAAAAGAGACACTCTTTTTTTAACTCTTATAATGTTTACTTGTGTGACAAAAGCCTCATAATTTTTTACCACATGACCATTGACTCCATACATGTACTTTAGCTGATCAACCCCTGTGTTTTTTTATTCTAAAAAAAACAAATATAATTGTACTTTTCATGGTTGCCTTTTTATGTGCTTGCAACCCTTGACTACACCCCTGATTGTATCACATGATAACTAAATTAATTGAATATAAACATAGATCAATCATCAACTGTTATTGATAATGATTTAATACTGGATAAATTTTTTTGTATTCTATCTTTGTACTCTTCTTTCGTTGTTTCCATTAATCCATTCATTTGAAAATAACTTTCACTGTATATTTTAAAAGCTTCTGTATTATATGTAGTCTGAAATAGATGACACAATACAGGTTATGTAAACAGCAAACAGATGTTTTACATTAAATATGTTTTTCAGGTTCAAGGAGTTGTTGGGGGGGGGGGGGTGTAGCCGGTACATTGCTCCAGGCCAATATATATTTTTAATTTTTTACGACGAAATTTAGATCTGTATTTTATTTTAATCAGATTGACCAAATTGAGGTTCTTGAAAGTCCTGATTTTTTACCATGCATAACCTGCTAGAACCATGAGACTAAGTCTAAATTGGTGTCTTGCATTATCTGTGACAGGTGCCTTATTTCCAGGCTTGAATTACCTGAGAATTTATCAGTGATTCAAATGATGGTTGTATATATTCTATTCTACCATTACGAAGTTTGGGCATATCTTCCTTTAATGCAGTATTCCGATACATAAACTCTTCTCTTGCTGCATGTAGGGACTTTTTAGCCTAGAAATAAATAGTGACAAACCATGAAAGTTTTTGGGGTTTTTTAAATTAAAACAAAACAAAATTGGGTTTAATATCCTATCTTCTGGATCAACTGGGCTAATGAATATGTGCAAACACCATATATTATGCTATGAGGGGAATCTTTTACAGACAGTGGGCACTACTTAACTGCCTACTCTTATTTCCATTTCCTAAAATTAAACCATATGTTAGTCCCGAAATGACCTAGTTGTGTCGAGTGGACGTTAAACCCCATTTCTCTCTCTCTCTCTCTCTTATTTCCATTTCCAAATGTCAGAGGATCCTGAACATGCTGCCAGTGGTATGTATACCTGGGACCTCATCCAAACGACTAGACACCTCACCTAACCAGGTCACCCTTTCTGCAATACTGACAAAGGTGGAACCATCCGGTTGGAAAAATCTGGTGAAACTTTCTTGATTAACATTGAGATCAAACCCAAGACCTCTAGATTATTAAGCCTGTGTCTTTAATCTGAAGAACAGGACTTGGTGAGAGAATACACTTTCAAGAAACTATATTATCAATATGCTGGTGTCTATTTCGAATCCTTTCTGTATAATCAAAACATATAAATATATTCTTACCGATTCTTGTTTAACTCTGTTGATTCCTGTTCTATCTCTTAATTCATATTTATCAACTTTCATTTGACATTTTTGATATTCCTAAAAAATAACCAAGATACATATTATGGATATATAATCGTTGAGAGGCATTTAGCAACTGACTTATAATATAAGTATGGATACAATCACTTGGTTTATTATACTGCAATGTTTCAACAAGATTTTACAAGTCGTTTTCAAGCAAATATATACCTAATGTACAAATGAGACATATCATGGGTGAAATATATGTCAACAATATCGTTAATTAATAAGCTGCATAGACAGGTTGCAGTGTAATAAACCAAGTGATTGTATCCACACTAAGTGTTCTATATTATGGATATAATGCCTCCATTTTATAGCTACATCTAAAATAATCCAAGCTGAAGTTTCAGTAAATTTCCATTACTCTTTTGGACCCGGAACTAGTCCCCACGTGTCAAGTGTATTTTTCTTGGGATTACGCTCTTCCAAAAAAGCCTTTAAAGCTCCGCAAATTCAAGTACGATCGACATGAAACTTGGCATGTTTGTTACTTGCACAACTGCACTTCCATTGACATATTTTTCATATGACGTCACAATTCCAAGATGTTGGCGATGACGTCCTGCTCGGTTCCTGACCTGATACATACAGTACTATTGTACTTGTTATAGGAACTGCTAGTAATATTTTATAACATAACAAAAACAACACTTAGAAACATTCAATACTAATCTATGTGTACTTGTGATGTGTTTTAGGGTGCTCAAATTATCAGAATTGCATCTTAGAGTCATAGAGCCCAGCCACAGTTCTGCCTGTCCCGAAAACAGATGTGGTGTGAGCAGAACCGTGTCATAATCAAACATTTTAACCAAACCATGGTTTTGTTCACAGTTGGCACCTGCCTTATCGCCTGAAATCCTTGCATATCTTTTGCAAATCCGAGAAAAATCAATCTCGAAATATTTAACTGAGTATCCCCATAATGCCAGACTAAAGATTTGGTTCAACAATTCCTACCTGTAAAGCTTGATCTCTTTTCTTTACTGCTGTTTGAACACCAGGGAAAATACTGCTAAACCTAAAATTAACAATACATTTAATTAAATATACAGTATTTGGAACATACAAATTATTAATGGAATTTTAGGTACATGCACATATGGCTCCACTTAATCAAAATGCATCAATAACATTAAGCTCTGCAAACCTGGAATCTGAAACTGACAAAGGCAGGTACAAATCCTATGTTTTTGTGATTTATTTTAATTCAAGTCTGGTACAAAATTAAATATATGTCAGGTACCAATTCAACAGTGCCCGACATTTTGTCATATACAACAAAATCAGACCTGCTGTGTAATTTTTGTCAATTCAGATATTTATCATTAGTGACTTACCCCTGTACCTGACACTAATTAACTAGTACTTGACATTTTTAACCTTGTGTCTGGACATGGACTAATGAAGACGGGCATATGCCATGCTGTGTGCTATGAGGAAAATTTTGCCCGGGCAGCTGCACTACGTCCTACTCTTTTATCGAATTCCAACTGTCATGAGATCTTTTACGTGCACGCCAATGTGTACCCGGGACCTGTTCTTTTGTCCCATTCAAACGACTATACATTGTCCCTTGCCAGGCCCTCTGTCCTGCACCACTGACATGGAGAAACCACGCCAGAAAATCCCAATGAACTTTTCTGGCCAATGCAGAGATCGAACACAGGGCTAGACAAAATTACAGGCAACTTAGATTTTGTTCCTGAAAAAGTCTGAATTTGTGCCTGACATTGTCTTTGACAGGTTCCTTTTATCCAGGTTTGACTCCCTCATTAATATACATGTATGACACAATACAATCAAATCTAGTTAGAGCTACAAACAAATATTACATGTCACTTACTTTTTCATTGGTTCTATAACAGTCTTTTGGACACAATTACTCTGAAATAAACATTAAAACATATATTTCTTCCTCAGATGAGTCACCATACTCATCTGTTAAAGTGGTGTATACTTCCATTCGAAGTTAGCCATATTCTAGCTCCATGAGCCAATTTTCCCACCTTTCTGATCGATGACAAAACACAATTATTTCTGTTGGTTGTTTTCCTTATCCAGCATGGATAATCCAGGACATAATGCCATCTTCAAATATCCTCTATTTCAATGTGTTTAAAATAGCAGAGGTGTTGTTTTCACAACTTATTTTAAAACCTGCCGGTTTTGTTGAAAGTAAGCTACCTCTGTTCAAATTGCAACTGGGTGAGGTTGTCTTCCATGATGAATACTTCCTTTGGAAATACTACATTTTTTTGGTAAAAATGATAATGCTTCTTTACAGTTTCTGGTATTTTACGTGTCTAACATTTAAAACTTTATATGATCAGGTAATGAGAGAGAGAGATGGGGTTTAACGTCCACTCGACACAAACTAGGTCATTTCGGGACTAACATATGGTTTTAATTTTGTTTCATTAATTCGCTTGCGCTTAGGGGTCTTTAGCAGTGGGAGGAAACCGGAGGACCCGGAGAAAACCCACGAGGTTGGACAGGCGACCCTACTCCTTGTCACGTACAACCGGGGATTCGAAACCATGCCAGTTGACTCAATGACAGGCTTTATGATACAGCGCGCACGTGCTAACTATTCGGCCATCCAACCCCTCTGATCAGATAATGAGTTGGAAATGGGTAAATGCAGACACTCTCCATTCCTCTGTGTGTGTGTGGGAGGGATATAATCTTTTTAATACACACTTCCACAATAAAGTAATATTGCCTTTCCCCGTTAGTAAATATTTTTATACTGTACCATGTCATGGGTGTAGACCTCTAGTTTATTAACAGAACGGTCCCAATCTTCTACTTGTTGTTTTAATTCTTCATCTGTCTGACACAAGGTACTATTCAACAGGTCTTGGGTAATTTTTCTCTCACTTTTAGCAGCAACTGAATCAAAGAAGATATTGTTGATTCCTTAGCATTGACATTCTCTCAATTTGGAATCTATGTTAATAGCACACATATTTACTGGTGATCAGTTTGCCCTCTGACTATATATAACTACATTGAAACATACATAGGATGGGGGGGTTGGGATGGTCTAGTGGTCTAGAGTGCCGCGCTTCGACCTCTAGCTGGCCGGTTACCTCTGGCTTGCGGTTGTGGTTTCGATCCCTGGTATGAGTGTATGTGGCTTAGAGATAGGGGCGCCTTCTCAACCTTGTGGGTTTACTCCGGGTATTCCTGTTTCCTCACACACTATTTAAAACCCACACAATCCATGATATAAATAGATCAAATACAGTAATGCATTATGTTATAGTATTTTTTAGACCTACCTTGTTTAGCTTCAGTACTCCTTTTTACATCTTTATACAGTTTTTTAGTCACTTGATCAAGTCTGAAAAATGAAATGAACAGAATAAGTCAACTGTAAAAACATTGGGCATACTTGATCAAACATTCTCTCAATCCCCTGAAAGGTGTCAATCGAGTACTTGGATATAGACTTGAAAATGACTGATGGTATCATAAAACCTTATATCTGGGGTATATAGACTTTAAAATGACAGACTATAACTTACTCCTCTAATTTCTTCACTTCCTTGTCAAATTCTCGTTCTTCCTGAAAAATAAGTTTTCATTTAATTCTCCTGTAAAGCAACAGAAACCTGGTTGTACTTGTACATATAACAAAATGATTGTTTGGTCAACAAATTGAAACCATATGCTAAGTATTGGTTGTCCAAAATATATCTTCCTAAAAAATTAAAGATGTTTTCCCACATACAAACCGTGTGATTTGATGACACATCTATATTTGGAATAAAAACATACTTATAAACTAATCTATTTATATCAAAACATTTTAATCCAACTACACCATGCCTCGTGATTGCCAAGAATCTATTTTTTCAGCTATGTTTATCATGTGACTTGATTGAGGGAGAATGCATTATCAGCTTGTATTTGTTATAAGTGGCTGTCTAAAGCCTACGTAAATTCCTGGATTATACTCTGCCAACGTCTTTTTCCGACATTTAGTCGGAGAGTGTAGGCTACTGGACGTTTAATTATCTTAATGTTCTCACAACCGTTACCAATTAGATCAACAGATAAGAAGCGCTCCTTACCTGTACATTACTCAAGGAGACACACAGCCTTTTAGGGATACCCTCACATTTTTGTCTTGTGTGCGCCCTATAGGCATTTTTTAGGGAATCCAGTATTTTCTAGTAAAGATTGGGTGTATCTATTTTCCATATTATATCAAAATTGCCATATTGGAAATAACTGCCCTATAAATACTTTCATGATAATGTACATGTATCTTGAAGGACATGATCTAATGATAATTAACAGATAGAAATAAATGTATGGATGGCCCAAAAAGACAATGATGTCAAATTTTAATGTGAGCATATAAAAACTTAAACCTATATGATTCATTCGCATTGGTTTAGTATGGTACCTGAATATAAATATTGCTGTAGTTTTAATGTTACAAAATGAAGCACATGTAGCCATGGCCTGTTTAAAGATTATACATGTACTACAAAAATAATAACTTATATACTCACTGTCCTTGTAATTACTGACTTTTTAGGAGATGATCGAAATGGGTTCCTATAAATATAAAATGCTGTTTATAAAAATTGAAGATATTGATAACGGTAGGCCTACATTATTTTTTCTAACAAAATATAACAGATAAAAAAAAATGGCATTTAATCTGAGCCAGGTCAATTATCCGCTTCTGGTATTATAGTAAGTACTTATACAGAAGGATCGCACTATACGCAAACAAAACCCATTAGAAAGACATACCTGCAAACAATGGGAATCAAGAATAGCACAGACATTATAAACAATAAACGGTATATCAAATTAAGCGATCTACAGGCAATATGACTCAGAATGGAAAAACAAACTCAACAATGAATAAAACAGAAAAACTGAACAACATGAATACAAGAAAATCGCAATAGAACAAATGCAACTGTTCTTGATTGTATGTAATTGTCTGCTGATTGGCATTTCTGAACAGCGATTGTCTGACAGATGTCAGATGATGTCATGAGTTAGAACGTAAATTCTTTTACCAATAATAAAGTGATAATTCGGATAGAATTTCCGAAAGCGTTAAAACAGGAGCAACATTTACATAGCACTCTAGTCTGAAATTGTATCCCAATATATACATGACTCTTGACCCTGTGCAAATTTGCATACTACTTGTAAGTTGTCCTTAATTGGCTTAATAATACCTAACAGTAATTTCACAGTAAACATTTACCAGCTCATTATATGAGAGAATCAGCTACAATAGTTAAAAGTAAGCTCTATTATTGTCTTTACGGCAAATTTTAATCAGGGTGCTTGACTGACAGGAACACGTAATTCATTATATTCTAATTAACTAACGGTAAATTGTAAACAACTTAATCCCGTTCCTCTACTGATCGTATTTTTAGAAGGTCCATGCTAACAACAGTAACAGGTGTTTTTAACGAAAGTACAATAGTCTTAAAACCAAATGCAACGATTACCGTATACTTTCAATTATCAGATTTTTAAATATTTATTACAACAGATCTGTACTTATTTTCAAAATGAACTTAACTTGTCTGAAGAAAAATACTTTAACGCGGCTGTTTTAAAGATCAAAAGCTTGTCAAATTTTTGATTGGAGAGTAAATTCCAATATGGCAGCCCCCATACAAAAATTAGCTAGTTTTGCTAGAAATGTTTTTAGCAGAATGAATAGCGATGTTAACTTCCACGACAAACTTAAACACCTCAGAACAATGATTAACGGTATATCCGCCAAAGATGTTGGTTTTGATATTGAAGATTTGAAGAAATCGGAAACATACGGCAGAGACGAAGTTGCCCCCGTCACCTACGTTCATTTATGGGAGGATGAAACCTTTTCGATGGGGATTTTTGTTGTGAAGCCCGGTGGTCGACTACCGCTTCATGATCATCCCGACATGTATGGTTTTTGTAAAGTCATTCACGGTGAAATGATGGTGCGAAGCTTCAATGTTATTAAAACCTCAGAACAAACAGAAATGCCTTATGAAATAAAATCAAAATTAAAACTTTGGCAAATGCCACAGACCAAACAAGTGAAACTGAATACAGAGTCATTGGTGGCAGATAATGATGAGTGTTGTGTGCTGAATCCGGCAATTGGTAACATACACGAAATAAAACCTGTTAATGGAACTACAGCATTTTTAGACATTTTAGCACCCCCGTATGATCACCAGCAGATGGGATTACATGAGTGCCATTACTATGAAGATTTGTCATGCGGTTCTGGAGACTTGAGATGGTTATCACTAATAAATCAGCCTTCAGATTTCTGGTGTGATGCCTTAGAATACGAGGGTCCGAAAATAGACTTGCCTCCCTTGTCACCTAAATCTAGTAGAAAATGAATCAAAATGTGTCTCTTGTAATCTTGTGAGATAAAATAGACTAAATTACAAACACAAAGTTCAAGATGTCAGCTGTTAATTACCACAATAACCACACAATCAATTAGACATAATTTATTTTAAAATTTTAAATATATGCGCTTTATTTAAATATAAATATACCGGTATGCATCTTATTTAAGCTTACATATGCTCAATAATGCGCAAGCTAAATTATTTAACTTATACATTTTACCTATATTATAGAGGTAAATTTAGGGTATGAGTAAGGGGGTAACCCATACTCAAAACACCCCAAACATTTATTACCAGCTTAAATTTCAGAAATGGTAGAATTTAGAAAACATTTACCACAAACAAAAGAAATAGAAAGCAATCCCAGACAAATATTTATATAAAATATGAAATTAAAAGGGTTTTAACAGCCTACTGGTCTGTACTGACTACGCTAATGAAAATGGTTAATAAAATATACCAAACCTATGAGTATGAAAACATATAGTACCGGTAATATCCAAAATGTTTTATGTAAAAACATTCTGATTGACATAACTGAAGTTTTTCAACTCCACTCTAAATGGGTTACACATTTAAAGCTACGCTCCCAGAAAAGTATTTTATCGGGTGGTTATCTCCAATAAAAGTATGGCAATTTTGGTATATCGAAAGTAGAAATATCCAATCTTACTAGAAAAATACTGGATTCCCTGAAAAACACTCATGGAGCGCATACAGGACAAAAATGTACGGGTTTCCCTAATCGACAGCCCTACGATTAGGAGTGTCTGCACAAGTGACGTCGAAGGTTGCACACAGAGATTGAGCGCTTGATGTACATGTTGATAAACTTTATGAAGAGTTAGATGTACAACACTTTCTGAGATAAAAATCACAGAAAAAGACATGAGCAGTGGATAATCCGAGAATTTAATTAGGCTTCGATATTTGTAATAAATAGTCAGCGATAAAGGCAACATCGTCTTTTGTATGCAATGAATTCTCCTCCGACATCACACCTGTTGTGTCACATGACACAAACATGACCTCTTTTGATCGAGTTTTTATAGCCGGGTATTGCCTGACAATTGCAATGTTTTGAGAAGGATTTGAAGCAAAATTATGATAAATTAATTAGTTTGAAAATGTTTTTAGTCCAAATATATCATCAAATCACCCAGTTTGTACCCGGGAATGTATCTTTAATCATCTCAAAATTGTCCAAATACTTGTCAAAGATCACTTTATATTCATAAATTTTTGTAATTGTGTTTAAAATACACATCTACATCTATTATTTCTGAAACATTAAATAGTGACAGTAATGTGGGGTTATTTTGGGGTTGGTGGCTGGGTTACACCCTTTTGTCATATCCATAAATTTTATATAATTTAGCTTTGATGTTACTCTTTAACACTAAATGCAATGTGTGCTGTGATGAATTATATGAATAATAACATTGCATTACAAACTTCTTCCTTTTTTAGCCTTTGTACTGTTTGCATAATTTATGTCAATTTTTGAATAACTTTGCTTCTGTTAATTTATTGTTTATATTCATTTTGTCTGGCCAGCAAACTGATTTCATTTGATACTAGTACATTTTCATACAAATCATAATTTATATATATGCTTAATACTTAGACTATGGATCTCAATGTTCATGAATGATAACATGTTCCTCAACCTGAAACCCAAGTAATATAATTTTATCATTGACCAATGAAATGGAGTTTAAAGTCTCCTACATTTCTTGGCTACTCTTTATCTTATTCCAAAGGTTCATTTATGTGAACGTCAATTTGTCCATCTGAATGAGGGAGCCTCAGTGGGTAGGACGTTGCCTCGCTAACCTGGAGATCCCGTGTTGGCCAATAAAGTTCATCAGGATTTTCCGGCGTGGTTCCCCCTTGTCAGTGGCGTGCATGTCAAAGAACCCTTGACAGTTGAAATTTGAAATAAGAATAGGCCATACATGTAGATGTAGCACTGCTGTCCGGGCAAAATTTCCCTCATAGCACACTGCATGAAGCATGCCCGTTTTTATTAGCCCAGTAGGACATTAAACCCCATTTCATTTCCATTTGAATGAATAGACACTGTTCCTTGCCGGGCTCTCCATCTTGCACCACTCAACACTTTTCCAGACTGGAAAGTCCTGAGGAACTTTGTGTCTATAATTTTATATTTCCTGGTCATTAGAAATATCATAATAAAAGTTTTTAGGGTCAAACAGATGATAAATATAATTGAAGGTACATACCATACATACCTTTGTGTACACGAATGTAGAATTGTGCATGAATCGTGTGGAACAAAGGAAAGACAATGCACAGTAGACAGTGTTGATATGTTTACATCCCAGACAATCACATAATAATGTCAATGCTAAAAAAATAATAATAGCACCAGGTTTTTAAGGAGCAGTCCCATTTATTTATTTGTTTTGTGAAAAAGTTGGTTTATTCGGTTTTAATGAGTTTGGCACAACTATCGGAAGCTCTGTGATATGTTCTCAGTAGTGTTATTCCCTGGATAACCATTAACCATATACCGATATTATTTGCCATATTTAAAGTGCTAAGGGATTGCCACGATTATCGAATCACTCATACAATTGAAGATCCTTAAATTTTTGTACATGGAAAATAGGCTGTATCATCACATTTTTGTATTTAATTTACTTAATTAAATTCACCATCATTTACTGTGTCCTATAATTTTGAGACTTCTGCTACGAGTGACAAAATTCTCAAAATATATGTAAACTATACAATACTATATAGTATGAAAATGTGCTGCCAACATAGAGTCTGTATCTGGTGACATTGATTAAAGGTACGGACATCATTTGTATTGCTTTCTTGACAGATATGGAGATCCGATTTTCCTGTCATGGTGATCACTGAACTTCTAGCTTACTGGCATATGCCAATTTATAGCATAATGTAGTTTATTCAATTGGTTGTGATTAATGATCTCCATTAATGCTGAAATTAAATTACATTGCATTCTAGCTTACATTCTAGCTTACTGGCATATGCCAATTTATAGCATAATGTAGCTTATTCAATTGGTTGTGATTAATGATCTTCATTAATGCTGAAATTAAATTACATTGCATATAGTTCTGATTATCTTAAAGATGTATTATCTAAGATTTAGATAAAGAGTTGGCCATTGTTGCTATACAAGCTCAAAAATAGATAATGAGAAATGAATAGATTGAAAAAATTTTTGGGTTTGTTAAAATACTTTATTCTGAGCGAAGTTATTAGTCTTTTAAATTTTTGACATGATAATCTCGATTGTCAAGTACCAGAAAATAAAGTCTCAATTATCCATTTAATTGTCAAATTATTAAATTGCCAGGGGGTACTAAACCATTCAATATCATGGCCATTCCATTGCCTAGAGGATTAAAGTTGATTATGGGTTTGTCATGTGCATAAATGTCTAAATAATAATTTATATAACATTTGGAGCTAGAAAAAAGACCTTGCAAATAGGCAGATTTATCTCTTATATAAATGCGTCTTTAATAAAAGGCCTGCTGCACCACATATACATGCAACTGCAAATGCACAACCTTTGGAGTTACCCTAATACTAACCAGTTAGCACCTACTGGCACCAGTTTTCACCACTCGTAAAAGTGTGCAGATCATCTTAATTGTTACTGCATGTATGTATTATTATAATTGGTTCAAGTATATGGTTTATTATTTGATTCCTGTATCTAGTTTACTACACCTGACAGTTGTAAATTGAAATAAGATTAGGTGGTAGCTTCTCTGTTTGAGCAAAATTTCCCTCATAGCACACTGCAAGGTGTGTGCTTGCTTTTATTAGCCCAGTTGGTGTAGAAAAGCAAGACTTTAAACCCAATTTTCATAAAACAATGCTTTAGAATTTTATTGACATTGAAGTCACCCCACCCTCCTTACTTCAAAAGTCTTGTTTAGGAGTAGAATTTTGCTAAATGGTTTGTAAGCTGATCAGCCCACCCAGATAACGTGATAGCTGCTGCCCAGATAACATGATAGCCGCTGGGCAAAAATTGTCCTTGTGATCAACCTTATTTTGTTTTGTTAAGTTTGAATTATAAAATTATGTAATAATTTATGTTTGTAGGTAATTTCATATGTATTATTCTGTATATTTTAATCTATTTTATTTCTATGTCAAATTTAGTAATAAGTATAAAGATTTATAAATATAAACATTATGTATATATGTGTATATTTCAAAAGATTGTGATACCTTTTAAGTATGAAGTAAATAGTTTTTTGAATATTCTGAGATCTTTATACTGATTTTATACCCCACATTTAGGCCACACCAATTTGTATTTTTGTTCTTGGGGAACACCCATTACAAAATTGAATTCTTATTTCTTCTAGAAATGGTTGCTCTTCTCAAAAGCTTTATTCCAAGATTTTATGTTCCCAAAACTCGAGTGGTCATTTGTTTATCAAGACCATGAAATTGGTTTGGCCTTAATGTGGTTTTATACAGTCACCCCAGCTTTCATCGACAATGCCTTGTGGGAGTGAATGAGCATTAGGGACAAGTAGCCTCACCTCTTTAGAAGCCCAAAAATTTATTTAAAAGGAATTGTACCGCACAAACAGAAACCAATAACCCACGGACAAGACACACAGCCATTGCGAGCCAACACACACTAAGGGTACTATCAAATCAAGTAAGGTTTGTTTTCGTTGTCCAAGAAAGTTCCTCAGCATTTTTTGGCACAGTTTCTCCTTGTCAGTGGTGCAGGATGGGGGGGGGGGCACGAGAAGAATGTCTAGTCGTTTGGATGGGTCAAAAACCCAAGGTCCCTCATAGTAGTACACTGTATGGCATATGCCGTCTTCATTAAACCAGTCAGTGCAGGAAAGTAGGACGTTAAATCCCATTTCATTTCAATTATATGTCGCGCCCTTGTAATAAAGCTAACCAAATGTCTTGGGTTTGAAGGTTCCTGATACACATGAAAGATTTTTGAATCAACTGTATGTTTAAAAATTTGTGAAGATGTAGTGTCGTAACATCTTTATTATAACATGTTTATCGTTCTCGGTCCTAATAAGGATTTATTGATGCCAGAGGGTAGTTGCTTCATGCATATTTACAATTTATGTATATTATTTATGAATTTCTATCAATTGATCAGCTTAGTTTGACTACACCATCAAGACAGAGGTTGTGTTAGTTTAATAATGTGTTCAAGTATCAAAGACATTCTTTCGTGGATTTGTTTTCATTTTGAGTGAAACCTGTAGGTAGGAGTTGTACTTTAAAGGTCACATGCTGCATTTTCATTGCCTTTCAGAATATTTCTGGGATCTTTCGACTCATATGGTCTAAGTTTGGCCTAAATTAATAAGGCCTTTAAATATGTAGAATAGAGTCAATAAATAATCATTTCATAATTTATTAAAAGCAGAACAATTCTATTAAAAAAAAATAAATTATAAAAAATTAATTTTTACAACTGATATTTCATAAACCAACAATCATTGATAGCTGAATACATTAAGCTTTACAGATAGTCTTTAAATGGCCTTTAGTAATTGAGGAACACATTTAAAAGAACACACTACATGTATTTATGGCAAAAAACAAGAATATATCTATTGAAACATTGTGCTCATGTAATAAAGCCTGTGACTGTTCCCCATAAAAATTATATTCTGTTAAAGATGCATTATGTAGATAAAGTGTTGGTTGTTCTCTACTGCAATAGTTCAAAACTAGTAAATCAAAAATAAATATATAGAAAGAATTAAATAGTGCTGCTGTTCTAATCCAGTTAATATCTCGGCCATCTGATGACCTAGAGAGTTGACTGTGACCTTGTCACATGAATAAATGTCTAAACAATAATTTTTTTAACGTTTAAACTAAAGACAGTAAAAAGACCTGTAATAGGCAGATTTAGCTCTTACATAATACATCTTTTAAGTCTTAAAGATATTAAAGTCTTCCTCGATCCCAGGTCAAAAATGGAGGATATCCTTCTTAAGGCCATACACCATACAAGACACATGTACATTAGTTAGATATTAGAATCATTACAATTCCCAAGTAATTACTCATGTGTCCTCATGTAAAATCTAATTTATGAATTCCTATATCTAAAGCAACATAAAGTCTTCCAGGATCAAAGACAAGAGAATAAACAGGACTACTTCTGTTTCTTCCACTGTAATATTGCTAAAATAAAAAAAAATAAAAATCAACAATAGTCAAAGTCAAGTCAATTATTGTTCAGCTTTTCAATACACATGCAATATAAATCTCTCCTAAAACAACAAATTTGATTTTTTTTTTAAATAAAAATAATTTGTCATACCTAGTAAATGACTGTAGAGATGAACAAACTTTAATTAAGGCAAGGGAGATATGTTCTGGAAACAAAACCAGATGGTCAGGCCGCATTTACATATCAATTCTTAATTTCATTTAGAACGTGACAATAAAATGAATACACGACAAATAGTTAGTGCAAACTAGATGTCTACTGGAACCTACACATTAAAGGACATTATTGATAAATATTTTGTTGTAATTGTACATGTGGGAGCCTCGGTATGGTAAGGTGAGTAAGGTGCTGGCTTACTAAAAAGTACCAGGGAGGTCCCAGGTTTTATCAAGGAGAAAGTTCCTCATGTTTTCCGGCATGGTTTCCCCTTGATGGAACAGGATGGAGAGCGTCTAGTTGTACGGATAGGACAAAAAATGAGGTCCCAAGTACATGTTGCTGTATAAGTAAAAGGACCCTTTACAGTTGGAATTGGAAATCAGAGTAGGCCATAGTGCCGGTGTATGGGAAAACTTTCCCTCATACTACACTGCATGCTCGTCTTAATTAGCCCGAATGAATAAAAAAAAAGTAGGAAGTTAAATCCCATTTTATGTGTAATTGTAAAGAGAATATTACCTGTATCGAGATTGTTTTTCTTTTATCCCACAATCTGGTCATACCATAACGTGCAGTACCAGTTACGATAGAATAATTACCATCAGTTTGAAAACAATAAACTGTTGAATCAAAAGGCTCTGTCCACCTTGCCACACTGAAAATCAAATAGAAAAATAATATTATCTTCTCTTTGAATTCATATAAGAAGGCGGTTAACCCCTTAGAACTACCAGATGGCAGATACTACTCTTAGCTAGACTGCTTCAATTACATGTATAGTTGTGAACTACTTATTAAGGACCATAGAGTTGTTCTGATACTCTTGAGATAGTTTTGGGAGCAATAGTTTTGAAAATGAGATGATAAAAAAACATCAATGTTATAATAAATTTTCAAGGATTCGGGGTTGTTAATATTTGCATGAAGTTAAAAGTTATGGGCTAAGACACAATAAGTAAAAATTATAGTTTGATTTCAATATACATGCATGTATACACTTAAATGGGGCATATTTAAATTACACTGTGTTTAAAAAACTTACTTATCCTTTGCTGAGAGAGAAAATCCCAGCACCAGGCCCGTAGCCAGCGGGGGACAAGGGGGGATAATGTCCCCGTGAAAAAATGTTTTGTCCCCCCCCCCAAAAAAAAAATTTGCTGACCATAGCTCTAAAATACCTACTGTAGACTGATCTGGGTGTGCCCCCCCCCCCCCCCTGAGAACTACACTGCCCCTCCGCAGCCAGCAAGCTGGCTACGGGCCTGCCCAGTACAAAACTGAGCTCTTATCCAAGGAAAAGGTGGCATATATTTCAGTTGTAAGTTTTTGTGAATAAGTTCCATGTTTTCTCATGTTCAAATTTACCAGTCCTACATTAGATGTTTTTGTGGCATTCAAGTAGTTTAACAAATGTTCCAGACCTACCATGTATCTGTCCTCAGATCCCACATAGAAAGATTTGTATCATAACCACATGTCAATAGAGTATGAGGTGTTTCAAACTTTATATCTAATATACCAGCACCAGCCTGATGATCTGGATCTAATGTACTCAACATTTCACCACTACAATAAATATATATAAATGGAAAATTACTAGGTAATACATTAAAATGTTGCTTTTACAGAGTTTTACTACAGCATTCAAGTTAACTTATCTTGTATTCCCTTCAACATTGGTGTTGGTCAAAAGTTTCTACAGATTCTCAAACCTGGGTTCATCTTTGTCAGTGGTGCAAGACAAAGGAAAAGCATCTAGTTGCTTTATAGGAGCAAAAATCTGAGCTCCTGTGACTACCGGTACCCAAAATAAGCGTGGTCATAGCACCGCTGTTTGGCCAAAATTACTCTCTTAGTAATATTTAAATGTCTGCAAAGAGAGAAAAATGGTTTAACATCCATTTAACACAAACAAGGTCACTTTGGGACTAACATGGTACAAATTTCTTTCAATAAACTTCTTGTGCACAGGAGTGTTTAAAACACCCACGCCAAGAGTTTATTATTAAACCAATTCCAGATACTTACGTTTTTAAATCCCATGTAGTTAAAGCAGGTAAACCCTTATTACCAGCAGTTCCAGTAGCTAATAAACTGAAAAAAAAATATTTGTAGCATTGATAAAAAGTCAATAGTCATCAGTTTGGATAAATAAGTTTGACATCTAGAACATGATTCCAATCATGAACTGTTTATTCCAGTGACAGACATACTGTCCAAAAGAAGAGAAGATGGATAGAACGCAAACAGTGATTAGACCACTCATAGGGCTAACTCTACAGGGTAAAAATAACAAAATTCATTGAATGAATAATTATTTAATTGGTTTTTTTTTTCATTTTTCAATCCATCTGACAATTTATATTAAAAACAGATAGATTACCCAGTAGAACTGTGAATTGTAGAAGATAATAAATAATATATAAGGGTATATAATGCAGACTTTTCACTTCAACATTTTGGCAGCCTATCATTTTATAATGTTTATTGTTTACTTTGAATTAGCAAGATATCTTTTTTCTCCAAAATATGACAATTTTTAACATTATCCCCATTTTTTAAATATATTTTTAAGTGTTTTTACCCATAATTATTAATGTATGCATAGTGTCCTAATGTTAAACATTTTGAAATTCATGGCATGTAAATTGACTGATTGGTCAGTTTTCCCCCATCTTGTATGAATAATGTACAATGGGCACAGTACCATTTTTTAAAATAATGGTAAGCCAACATATGAGAGAGAGAAATGGGGTTTAACTCAAACTCGACACATACTAGGTCATTTCAGGACTAACATATGGTTCAATTTTATTTCAATAATTTGCTTGCATGTAAGGGTCTTTAGCAGTGGGAGGAAACTGGAGAAAACCCACGAGGTTGGACAGACGACCCTACTCTTTGTCACGTACAATCGAGGTATCAAACCATGCCAGTTGACTCAATGACAGATCTTATGATACAGTGCGCACATGCTATCCATTCAGCCATCCAACCCCCCACGCCAACATGAAAGGAAGATGTCATTTTAATCAGTTTTAATGTCATTTTGTAGAACTTTACCTGCCACATGGTGATAATTTAATAGACCATACTCGATCACCCATGTAGATTGTTTTCTTCAGGAGATCTGTTGCATCTCTCTCAGGTTTCATTGAGACAACCTGTAATAGATATTGTAAAACTTTTTATAATTCACCATGTAGAAGTATATTGAGTCACTTTTGACATTTTTCTTCTTCAAACAGAACCATTCTAATTGATGAAAGACTAATGATAATGCTGGGATATATGCAGATAAATGCTCATTACCATTTGGGAGTCGTGGCTCGGTGAGAATCGCACTGGCTCACTAACCAGGAGGTCTAGGTTTCCCATTGTACTGGATGGTGAGACTGGCAAGGAAATGCATCTAGTCATTCGGTTGGGACAAAAAAGGTTCTGTATAAACCATTGGTAGCATGTTAAAGATTTTCCAACAGTTGGAAATCAAAAATAAACAGTAGGCCATAGCGCCACAATAGCACCCCTGCCAGGACAAATTTTCCCTTATAGCATGTCTTCAATAGCCTGGTTGCTGTAGCAAAGTACACATTTTTCAATTCAATTTAGTTGACTGAGTTCTTTGAATTCATTTAAAATTAAAATATAAAATGTAGGTATTTGATAGAAGTTTACCGGTACCTTAACAGTCTTGTCTCTGGAACCAGATACCATTGTCTGATCATAAAAATCAACACAATGTACTTCACTATCGTGTAATTCATCATATTTAAACATCATATCACATGATTCATTCTTCCAACCGCATACACTGCCATCTCTAAAAAAACAGAAATAACTAAAATATATACACTTCCATTTCCATCAATAATATGAGTTTCAACAATAGATCTTCTAATAAACACAAAAACCATAATAAATAACACAATTACTATTTTAATAAAAGCAACGTTTAGTTGGCCATAATTCTGGCAGTAATTATTGAAAATCTTTGGAAATCTGTAAGTTTCTTCATCTCATGGCCTTAATTTTAAATTCAATACGATATATGATTTAGCCTACACAAGATTGTTCAAAGTGATCAAGTGCCATAACTCTGACATGACCTTAAATACTGTGTATAAATATAAAGTCCATCGGATATTAACCTTAGCCTCTAGAGCATTCAAAATTCAGATGGATGGACAGACCAACGGAGGGGAGTACTATACGACCACATTTCAATGTGGGCACATAAAAATCATATTTTAACAACACATTTATTCTAATGAACAATACTTTATCCTTTGTAAAAAAAGTTGGTAAAGTAAAATAGGACTTTAATTCCAATTCCATCCATTCAGTCATTCACAAACGAGGCTCTACTTCAGTATACCAATCCCCATTCATGATCGACCTTCTTCTACTGACCTTAGGCTAGATGGGGTTTAGAGGGAGGTAAAGTACCTACCTACAAGCACCGACAGTAACATCATCTTTAATTATAAATCTACTAACATCATCATTTAATCCATAAAGTTGTCTGTTTTTCCTTTCCCGAAGATTACCATTTTTCTGGACACAGAAACAGCGGATTATATTTTTTGTGGACATCCAGAGATTAGATTCTACCTTTTGAATCCATGGCATCAACCTAAAACAAAATACTGGTGGTATACAATATCTGTTTGGTGTTAGATTGTAAGATCATAATTCTTGCATGAATAGGCCTATCCCAAATTTCAGAAATTATGGAGATTGAAATACTTGAATATTGACTATTGTGGAGATTGAAATACCAAACTTGAATCTTTAAATGTATAATTTTAGAAATTAAGGTTATTGGCACTCAATGTGCCAATGTACAAAAGTCCCAATAATACATTTTTTTACAAAAAGAATGATTGGAGCTATACACATACCTTGTTCCATGAGAAACCTGACTTGTTTCTCTAAATGCACCATTACTCCAATTAAGGCTTGCTTTATACTGAGTTTTACGGTCAAAACTCGATGATGTACGTCTGAAAATAAAATTATTTAATATAATAAACAAATACTGTCTTATATCTCAGGTTGACCTACATGTAGCTTTTAATAACACAATGTTAGTGTTAAGAGAAATTTTCAAGTTTAAGACTAAAACTTAAAGTGTTCTAGATAAATCAGTATTAAAGTTTACACAAAACAGAAAAATCAAAAACATGGCTATTGACTATCCAGAGACATGTAATCCAAGTGATTTGCTTATAACAAACAATCAAAGATACAAGCTTTCAATCACACCTCCAGAAAGCAATGTAAATGTAGTGGCGCAGTTGAATTAACGAACAGCTGTTACGGAAGAAATTTTTTTTTTTAAACTGACCATTTAACAGACAGGTAATCCCAGGGATTTCCTTATAACAACCAATCAAAGATACACTTTTAATCATACTTCCATAAAGCAGTAGCTCAGTAGGCTAGAACAGCTGTTGCGAAGAAAATGGTCGGCTTGTGTAGACTTGGTTCAATTACTTATACATAAAGGGAATTCTAAACACAAAATTGTTTGAGCATTGTCCACAAAGTTCCAATTTAAAAGTTGTTTATACTTTACCTGTGTATATATCCACCATATTTAAATTCTGAATAGGACAGGGCGCTTTCAATCAGAACAGGTCTACTGTTTAAATGCTGCAACCAAACGCAGTCTTTGTTTGACAAGTATTTGAAGAATCTACAGACTTGACAAATTCGACATAGTGATTTGACATCGAGGAATGAAAAAATATGATACAGTATATCATCTGGTAAATTGGTTATCGTAAAACTCGGCATTTTTTTGTCTTGACTTTGTTTTTGTTTTTGTGACACCTGAAAATTCCTGCTGAGATTGTTTTCTTGAGTTTGCGTTTGAACTTTGGAATTTGTAGTATTCATTTTCCATACATTGATAAATTAGTGAACTAAACAGGGGGTTTGAATCCTTAAATATAATATAAGACATCTTGCTATGTCCAAATAATTTTCAATATTTCGCAATCATCTCAAAATACATCATGAACTATTTTAGTATGTTTTGTTTACTGATATAAGACCTTGACCTTATATCACCTGCATTTCCCGGAAATCGTTCTTTGTTTGGCGTAAATCTAAATATGTTTGATTTTTTTAAAGTCACAAGTAATGCATATTTAGTGCAGAATTACACAAAGCGAATAACATTTACAACTGACAGCTCTATGTGAAGATGAGAAAAAACCTATGTCGTAAATATTGTTTATTTAGACTAGATTGTGGTAATTAGGCCATGTGAACCATGTGACCTACTTTCAATTGATATTGATAAACAGCAATACTTTCGACTGTCAGTTGTTGTTTTGGCAGTTCGTATATACTAGGAACGTTTATTTTGATGTAAAAATACGCTACATGGGATTAACAACATGTAGAATTTGTGTTTTCACCATTATCTTTACTCATATTCATGATATTTTCAGTAAGTATATGATTTTTTCAGCAATGATGAGTGTCAGAAAGCTGTCTGGGGAAACTGGTCCGAATTTCTTGTGAAATGATGGGGTTATGCAACCATGATATTTGCATATTAAAGAATTATAAAAACAGCGGTTTGATATTTAAATTATCAAGAGATGCAACTTATTAGAACCTGTAACACCGTTCTGTGTAGGGCCGACATAGTCACATACCCTCAAAAATCTTAATATATTAGTCTATAGTATCAGATTGTATCAAATTAAAATGAAGACGAAATTTATAAATTAACTATTTTCAATTACTGTTCAAGAAATGAATTTAAAGGGGACATTTTTCTTCATGGAAATAAAATATTGCAAGCTTATTTCTTTAGGAGGTAATAAAACATAGATAAAGCAGATCATATAATTTATGATTCATAAAATGTCTAAATGTTATTATGGCTTAATTTCACTCCTCATAAATCTAGGTGATGCCATGTAGACAGAGACAGCATAAAAATAACCCTGAAACTTTTTTAAATTTGGAAGTCTGAATAATATTTCTGTTGATAAAAAAGGTTCAGAATTATTTCAACTTTATCCCTTGTACATGTATAGACACACATCTCCTACATTTTTGACGAGTGAAAGCCGTTGTTTGGAAACATTGATATTAAAGATTTTGACAGTTTTAGAACCAGACTAGTAATATGTAATTTATTGAACAGAATACAATATCAGTGATTACAGTTTTATGATTTTTGGTGTATATTACCTAACTTCTGATGTATATGACTCTGCTTAAGAAATTGCATAAAACGTGAGACCTGCTTGGTTAAATTGTTGGCTGGTATAAAAAACGTTAACAGTTGAGATAAAAGTTACCTGGTTCCGATTCTGATCTGTTGTAAAGTATTTAAATAACATGTCCTGATAGTATTAATGCACATGTACATGTATATATTGAAAAGTTGTATTTGGGAGATACATGTACTTGTAGAGCCTACAAGAATGTTCTGGCTAACACTCCTCATTGGGTATGACGATTCTAAAATTATATCTTATAAATTAAAATATGTACAGAATTGGTGGAAGTCAAAGGCTTTCCTTATTTTAGACATTCCCTGGAGTGTGTACTGTAACCCAAAGAAAATGTCATTATTAACGGTATTATTATTATTTTGTCCCAGATCAAAGGTCATTCTGTTTAAAGATAACAAACAAAATTGCGCTTTATAATTAACAAGATGTCAGGTTACAAAATCTTAATCAAGAATGTGCTTATCAATTCAAAGGTGATGTACCATAATGTACCACTTGATTACAAGGCGTAAAATATCAATGATCACAGTAAACAGGAGACCACAATGACCTAAAGTGATTTGTCATAACATGGACAGGGGACAATGTGTCCCATTTTTTTATTATTATTATTAAATGTGATCATATAAATGTATATACACATGAGTGGCCTTAATACTGAGTTGGCCCAGTACTGGTGTGGTTTCGACTCCCCAGTTGTACCGGGTCCTCCGGTTTCCTCCCACTGCTAAATTAAATAAAATTAAACCATATGTTAGTCCCGAAATGACCTAGTTTGTGTCGAGTGGACGTTAAACCCCATTTCTCTCTCTCTCCCCAGTTGTACATGTACATGACAAGGGGTAGGTCTCCTCCCACTGCTAAAGACCCCTACATGTATTTGGGTGCGAATTATTGAAATAAAATTAAACCATATGTTAGTCCGGAAAGGACCTAGTTTGTGTCGAGTGGACGTTAAACCCCATTTCTCTCTCTCTCAGTACTGGTGACCTTTGTGGCCAGTAGAAAAAAGGGAGTTGTATATACATGTACCCATAGTTGTATTAAATATGGTTGTATACTATCACTTGAGTGGCCCATAATACTGTGTTGGTCGTTAAGTGGTATTTCACCGTAGTAGCAATAGGCCCAGTACTGGTGACCATTGTGACTAGTAACAAAAAGGTAGTGTAAAATAGTTTGCCCATGTAAGCTTTAAATTTGACATTTATATTTCAGACTGATGTAAAATAATGATGCTGAATGTCTGCTATGAAAATAAACAATATTCCTTTCACAGTGTCCATACCATTACTTGGTATAGGAGCACTCACTCTCCTACTCAGTCTAATCTTTTGCTGTTATATGTGGAAGTAAGTAATAATGATAATAAAAATATCTTTATTTCAGAAGGGTTAAAAAATTAGGCTTTGTCTTCTATCTTTCTTTAATTGCCCTTAAATAAGTTATACATGTATGTATATATACAGTCCGATTTTGAAAGTATGAAACCAAGCAAGAATAAATTAGATACATTATTAAAACAAACTTATGTACATATTTACATGTCTGTAGTTTTTATGAGTTCCTATATGGAAAGTCCCAGATTTTGCAGCACACCATAAATCAAAATGGCTATCAGTATCTAAATCATCTGCCATGTCTTTTAATATCAACTGGAACGTTATAACCGGTACAAAGAACTGATCCTTTAGACAGAATAATCTGTTGAGCTTTCTGTTCATTTAATATTTTCAGTCTTGATCCCTGCATTGACCAAGAAAGTTCATCCAGTTTTTCTGGCGTGGTTTCCCCTTGTCAGTGATGCAGGACGGAGGGCCTTACAAGGACAGCTGTCTAGTCATTCTGATGGGACAAAAAACCAAGGCCCTATGTATACATTGGCATGCACGTAAAAGATCCCTTGGCAGTTGGAATTCAATATAAGAGTAGTGCCGCTGTCCGGGCAAAATTTCCCTCATTACACACTGTATGGCATATGCCCATCTTTATTAGCCCAGTTTGGAGCAAATTGGTATGAGTTGTTCCTTTTGTGAGGCGGGCCGGGTGGCTGAATGGTCTAGAGGCCTGCCCTTTAGATCATGATGTCTGTCATTGAGTCAAGTGGTTTCTATTCCTTGCTTGTCTGCGACAGAGAGTAGGTTCGCATGTCCGAACTTGTGGGTTTTTCCCCGAGTCCCTCTGGTTTTCTCCCTCTGCTAAAGGCCCCTAAGAGAAGTGTGAAATAAATTTGATCCATGTGTTAGTCTCGAAATGACTAAGTTTGTGTCGAGTTGACGTTAAACCTCATATCTCTCTCTTTCCCTCTTTTTGCAAAGAATAGCATGCAATGATTTTATGATGTTATTATTCGATTTTATTTAGATTGAAAAGACAGGGTGCATATGAAAGAGGTTACAAACAGGTACAGTAAATTGTTAAACAATTTTTATGAGATAGCTGGAGTGATGTTAGGACATACAAAAAAAAATATTCTGATTCTCAGAAAATACTTTTAAAAAGAGAGGATACAGGAGGGAGGCTTTTATTTTTATACCCCTGTCCATCCGTCAACATTTTGTTTGTATGCACTCTACAGGTCACAATTGTTATCCGATTTTGAAACTTCCCGTCAAAGTATTAAAGCATGTAATGCCAAGGTTGTGCATGCTCTAGAGGTCACAATTTTTATCCAATTTTGACAAAACTTGAAATATAGGTATATATCCCAAGTTCTTGGTTCTTCAGGAAATTGGCATCGTAACTTCGTGGATTATGGCCCCTAAATTACGGAAAATCGTGTCATTAGCTTGTGGACATTCTAGGTCACAATTTTTATCCAATTTTGATGAAACTTAATATGTATGTTTATATACCAACGTTCTTGGTTCCTTTTGATATTGATGCATGTCGGACTGTAACATCCTGGATTATGGCCACTTATTGTATTCCATTTTAGCTTGTTCTCTGTCCATTTCTTGCAAAGTGTAAGCTTTTCAGCATGGCAACCGCTGTTTTTTTGGGGTTTTTTTGTGAAAGATCATTCACCTGACACAATCACCAAAATGAACACAAAGATCACAATGGAAGTTTCTATATTTATCTCATCATTTGTTTATTTAATGCAGAAGAGCAATTAATTGCTGTAATTACTCAATGTCTTCCCAAAATAATAAATACCTGTATAACACTATCCTAAATGTAAGTTTATGTAATTGCCGATTTTTCCAGTACATCTAAGATGCGTTCTTGATAATTGAGTCAATGGTTAATTGAGTCCATGGTTAACCGTAAATTTTTAATAGAGTTACCTTCCTTTACTGCAGAAGGTATGAGCGTGTTGTAATCCCTAAAAAAACGTGTCATGTGTCCATCAGGGAATATTTTAACCAGATTTGCATCAAAATTCTGCTGATCATGACTATATCACTGGGTGCAAAGTGTTTAACAGTTGATAATAAAATTTGTCGTCTACGCTAAAATACACTACTATCCATGACGTAGATAAAAAAATACGATTCTGATTCTGTTTTGTTCAGTCCCTTGTCAGTGATGCAGGACGGATGGCCTGACAAAGAAAACTGTCTAGTCCTTCGGATGAGACGGAAAACCGAAGTCCCGTGTATACATTGGAATGCACGTAAAAGATCCCTTGGCAGTTGGAATTCGATATAGGTGATAGTGCCGCTGCCCGGGCAAAATTTCCCTCATAGCACACTGTATGGCGTATGCCCATCTTCATTAGCCCAGTATAGGAGCAGAACAGTAGGACATTAAACCCCATTTCATTTCATTTCATTTTTGTTTTGTTCAATCAATAACAGTAGATAATTTCCGTCCATAATTCATATTATTTCATCATGTGCCACAGGCAATGCAATTTCTCATTATTAATCTTTTAGAGGCATTTAGTAACTGGATAGAGCAATAAACTATAACACATAATTATGGAAGAACAAGTACTAATTTATTGTTACTCATTATTGTTACTGGTTCATTATAGCCCGGTTGGTGCTGATATAGAAATATCACGTGTAATGAAGCGCTATATAAATCGAACAATAATAATAATAATAATTGTTTATTACACACATTAGCACACACATACCATGTACACAATAATAGACAACATCACCTGTGGAGCACAAGAATACAATTGCAGATCCCTCTACATTACTTATTATTCTGTTTGTATGAAACGTGTCAATCTGAGCTTTTTGTTGGTTTGGCAATCTGATTCAAACACAGATCCTATTTTGTTTTGTTTTTTTATAGCTCAAAATTTCGTTTTACTTGTCTTTACTACACTAGGATCTGGAAGAGTTGTAATGTAACCCGTGTTTTGATTGTTGTGAGGGTTTAGCAAATGAAACCCACTGTTACGGCGAATTCTTGGTGTGAGGTGTAGAGAACTGTTGGTAGCCTTGGCTAATCAAATGTCTGACATCATAGGGTCAAAAGCCGCTTGTATGACCTCTGATGTGACCTCCCACTACAACTGGTCAGATCTTCATGTAGCGTAGGTCATCGAAAGTACAAAAAAAAAACAAAAGGAAATATAGATCTGTATTTTAATCAGATTGTTTGTTGGGGTGATGAAGTTGATGAAATTGAATGTTATATTCCGGTCCACATATGCTACACAAGTCACAATGACATCCCAATCTTTCAAAATTCTCCTTTAGGACCCCTGGGTCCCTTCTAACTAAATATCCACCATTGCAAGAATATCTTACACTTCGAAAAACTGTTAATCAATTTTATAAATTGTTTTTGAAACTTAATCATTTGCCCATAGATTCAAAATATTTTCTTTCTATTATCTATTAATGATACGCCAGGATCTGAGAACCAGGGTGTTTTTTTAATATAGCCTTGTATATATGTAGTGTTTCGATTCCAAATATGTTGCTGATTTGATATGTTTTTCCCCCATTGAACAACTTTTTGTTACATTGTTTGAATGGCATCAAGTAACTGAACTAGAAATACAAGAATAGAGAATCTTAGTGGAAACATCTCTCAGTTATAAACAATAAATTGTATTCTATTGAATTGTGTCCTGTATATTTTATGTTAAAAGTAGAACAAAGGGAGTATATATATACAATGTACCACATGCTGTGAATATGATTAAATATGTTATTGTTGTTTATGCTTCCTGTTTCAGGTGACTTATTCTCCACAAAAGAAAATCTTGCCAAATGACGTAAGTTAGACATATTGTATAGCATCCTCAAGGGTTTTCACTTTAAAACATTTCCAGACGGTCCATTATTAATGTATTTTGTTTATTTTGGATAAGCAAAGAATATGAACATTTTTAGCACAATCCAAATTGATTTTAGTATGCATAAAAACTATAAATATAACTGTATTTATTGTCTTTATTGCATTATTTTAAATCCTAATTTTATGACGTGTATATTGACTGACCGGTAAATTCTCATACCAATAAATTTCACTGTTAGTCAGTCAAGACTGGTAAACAGATTGAAACAAGAGTGCTGGTATCTACATGTACTGATGAGCAAACAGTCCCCCCCCCCCACACCACCACTTCCATGTAGTTCAGATTAATCTATATCTAAATTCCAATCTGATTGAAACACAGATCCTATTTTGTTTCATTACTATAGTTTAAAATTTCGTTTTACTTGTCTTTACTACACTAAGATCTGGAAGAGTTGTTATGTAACAGGCGTTCTACTTGATGGGAGGAATTAGCCAATGAAACGGTCTGTTACGGCGAGTTCTTGGCCTTTTTTATGCACAGAACTGTGGGTAAACCACTAGAACCGTCAACGCCAATTGATTAATCAATGTCTGACGTCATAGGGTCAAAAGCCGGTCGTTTAACCCCTGAAGTGAACTCGCACTATAACTTGTCAGATCTTCATGTCGTGTAGGCTGTCGAAAGTATAAAAATGGAAACGAAATATAGATCTGTATTTTAATCAGATTGTGTAAATTCTTATAGATTAGCTTAAATATGCGTTATGCAAGAGCTAAATCTGCCTATTGCAGGTCTTTCTTTAGGCCTGAAAAGTTATATAAACTATTAATTAGACATGATGAAAAGACTTTAATCAACTCTCGATGGCATCAGATTTCTCCGATATTAAATAGATTAGAATGGTTCAGCAATACTTTGATTTAATCAAATATGGAGGATCGAGACTTAGCTTCGATCAACCAGTACGGTGGTTGAAATTATTGCACACGTCTGTCAAACCTTCAAAGGCTAATATCTTCGCTTGCAATAGAGTAATTTGAATAAAATAAAACCAAGTACGACCAATCCAAACCATAAGACAAAATTCGAAGTCCTAAAAAACGTTACAGGCAAAATAGTGTAATCAGCAAATGGACTTCTCCTCCTGTACAAAATACACGACAAACAGTGGTAACAGGTGTCCGGAAGAGTAAGCTTACCCCGCCAAACTATTAGGCGAAATGTCGGTAAAATAGCGTGGTTGGCCAATGAACTATCGGTATGCAAAATGCACGCGATGAACTGTGTTAACGATGTAGTAGACATTATCAGGGAGATAGTAATAGTATATGTGTCAATTAAATATATCTATAATAATAGCCGAGAGAGACACGTTATATTTACCAATCAAATCAATATGACGGCCATAAAACTTTTTAAAGGTTTTAATAAGTTTAGTGCGCAAGTATCCTTGTAGTTGAAGCTTAGATGACAAATGCCTCGATCTACTTAAAAAATCAGAATAAAAGGAACAAGCTCTCGCCTAACGAATTAGCTGAGACACAAACACTCCATAAGCTGGTGATATTGGAATGTTACTACTAATAAATGGAAAGTTAACAATCGGAAAGTCAAAGTCATCACGTTTATCGTACAATTTAACACTCAGTTTATGGCAATTGTCAAAATCGAGACGCAGATTCAAGAAGGAAGCGTAATTGTCACTGTCAGTGGTGTTTTTAATTTCGAGCTCATCAGGATATATGAATTCTACATAATCACTAAATTTAGGATTATTAAGTGATAAAACGTCATCGATATAATGAAATTTTCAAATTATTCATTTTACATCATCTACTTTTGAACTATTATAGCAAGAATGGCTAGTTCTTTATCTAAATCTTACATAATGTATCTTTAATCCTAAATGTGTTCAGTATGTTCTCGCTTTTAATCATTTATATGTACCAATGAGCTTACAGCCCACTACCACCCATGTAGTTAAAATTACTCTATATTTGAATAACCCATAGTGGATTGTTTAAGATTAAAAAATTTTAGAAGACAGAAATGATAAAAATATCAGAGCTTGAAATACATCTTCTCACTTGTGACTAGCATATACACACTATGTTCCGCTGACAAGATGCAATCTCATGTAATCTTAGAATGTTTAGATTGGCATATACAACATGTATTTAATCAAATATAAATGATTGGTCTGATATTGATTTAATGAGAAGATTTTATATTTTGAGCTTAATTATGAATGGAGTCACACCTTAATTTTATTTGATTACTTCTCAGGTTTGCGAGTTTTTCGCCAAGTTTGCAATAATCAATGGCTTAACAGGAATTAAGTTACATGTACTATAGAAATTGATATTAATTTGTCTTATAAATAAATCAATAAATTCATACACCTGTTAGATTATTTGTAAATATACAAAACGAGATGTCTGTTAGAACTTGGGGGGTTGGATGGTCGAAAGGTTAGCATGTGCGTGCTGTATCATAAGGCCTGTCATTGAGTCAACTGGCATGGTTTTGAATCCCCGGCTGTACGTGACAAGGAGTAGGGTCGCATGTCCAACCTCGTGGGTTTTCTCCGGGTCATCCAGTTTCCTCCCACTGCTAAAGACCCCTTCGCGCAAGCGAATTATTGAAATAAAATTAAACCATGTGTTAGTCCCGAAATGACCTAGTTTGTGTCGAGTGGACGTTAAACCCTATTTCTCTCTCTCTATCTGTCAGAACTTTAAGAAATGAAAGTGTCATGAAGTTAAGCAAGTTTAATGTCTTACTTCTCTGCACCACCCAGGCTATGGAAGAAATATCACCCAGACGGTGGTATCTTCACCTTCTCTTCTGCCATACCTACTACTAAGAATTTTTTTTTTTTACTTGTACACAGGACTTCGTTTTTTATCGCATCGGAACAACCAGACACTTTTCCTTGTCGGCCCCCCTCTTGTCTTGGTCCACTGATATGGGGAAACTAGGCTGGAAAATTGTGAGAAAACTTTCTCAGCCAAACCTGGGATCAAACCCTTGATATCTTGGTTAATGAGCCAGCACCTTTATCACTATGGCACTCTCAGAATGACATAAATGGTTTTTGAAATGAATGCTATCCGTCGTAACTATATAAAAAAAAGCAGCTTATTGATTTTCAACAATCTCTGACATTACAGTTATGTCACACTCATGTTCCGATCATTGTACATTTCTCCCTACTATATAAGAGGAAAAATTGTTTCAGTGGCATTTAGTAATTGAACTGGAATATACAGGTCACAATTCTATGGAATACAATTACTGTACTGTATCATTGCTTGATAATGACTAGAGAAGCCTAGGCAAAATATCGCTCAGTAATAAGCAGTAATTGTATTCTATAGAATTGTGACCTGTATATATAAGAGGAAGAAGTCTACTGATTTTCCACGATTTCTCAGCACATTAACTTTTGGAGTTTTGGCCATTTGTTAAATCTAATGATGCTACAGTTATAGAATGTATTTCCTAATAAAAGCGGTAAACAGTTGTGATAGTTTTTGTAGCTTGGACAACATAATTGTTGGTGAATATGTTTAGTTGCCTGGCAACCCATATTTTAACATTTTAATTGCAGTTGTGTTTAATTCTCTGGCCAAGCTTCTTTTTTTTAAAATAAAAATGACTTAAGAAATTATTAGATGTGTCTTAAATCTTACGTTTATTGATATGTTTTTTTTTTTAGACTTGTCCAGTTTGTTTAGAAGATTTTAAATCCAATGAAAAATTAGCTATTTGTCCTTGTAAGCATGGATTTCATCAGAGGTAAGTAGACTTCCCTCTTGTATATAAATAAACATTTATCCAATATATAAGTGTCAAATTCAAACCACACTGGGTATATAAATTATTTATTTTATTTCCTATAGAATTATAAACCATAACCATTGTTTGTGATTATAATAAACAAAGGTATATAATTTTGCTGGTCTTTTATACAAATTTCTAAAAAGAAAAACAATTCAATAAATGTAAGTTCGAACCACAGATATTTAAAAATTATTTATTATATTCCCTATTGTTTGTGATTATAATAAACAAATTTCTAAAAAAGAAAGACAATTAAATGAATTAAGTTCAAACTACACTTGATATTTATAAATGATTTATTTTGTTTCCTATGAAGTGTTGTAAACCTCAAGCATTGTTTGTGATTATGAAATAAATGTAAATATGCCGTGTTTAATTCTTTTAAATTTCTTTAAAAAAAATCAAACCTACTATTAGTGAAACAATATATTTTAAAAAAAAATTAAATATGATGTTTGATAATTGATTTAAAAAAAGAAAACAAACTAGAACAGGTTATTGTAGTTACTAACAATAGTTTATATACAGTGTGTAATATCACAGAGTTTATTTAGTGTAGCTATTAAAGGGACTCATTTCCTTTCCTTGTATAGATTAAATCTTCATTAAATATAATGTTTCTTATAAATCTAAAATAAACCAATCAGGTCATCAGTTGGTGTTTAATTAACTTACAAAAAATAGTAAGATAAATTTTACCTACATTACTTGAATACCAATTTTTCCAGAATTCTTTAATCTTGAGATAAGAATTGTGTTAGAATTGTATTAGAGAGAGAGGAGGGGGTGGGGGGAGAAAGAGAGAGAGAGATAGAGAGAGAGACTAGGTCATTTCGGGACTAACATATGGTTCAATTTTATTTCAATAATTCGGTTGCGCGTAGGGGTCTATAGCAATGGGAGGAAACCGAAGGACCCAGAGAAAACCCATGAGGTTGGACAGGCAAACCAATTCCTTGCCACGCACAAGCGGGGAATCTAAACCACACCACTCGACTCAATGGCAGACTGTCTGATCCAATGCGCATGTGTTAACCATTCGGACCCCCCCCCCCCAAAAAAAAAAAAATTTCATTACAGGTGAAGCAAAGAATTTACTATAGCCAAAAATATATACAGGTATAATTAGTATGCATTGTAAATTATATCTATACTAATATTTGTGACTGTCGTTTGTCTGTCTGTTCGGGGGTTGGCGGCTACACTAGGTCTGCCCAAAGTCTGAAATTTGGGGTATAGGGGTAGCTCGGACCGGGGAGTAACATAGGCCAGGTGGCATTAGTCTACCACTTCCGGTTTCGGGGTTATGACTCCCGAGCGAAACCGGGCATTCTTCTAGTATACATATGGATAACAATAACATATTTATAATCCCACCCCTTTATTGCAAACTCCTATCAGTAAAAAAAAAAACCAACACAAAACAAACTAAACATGTGTTTTAACAGTGTATACAACAGTTCTATGTAAAGAAATTACTGTATTTTTAATCAGGACTATGTTTCTATGATGATTATCTCGTCATTTTCAAGCACAAATATACTTTATTGTAGAAAGAAGGCAGCTCCAATAAAATACAATAATCATAGAACTGGTGTGTTTATTTTTAATGTGTTCATTACTGTTCAATGAAAAAATGTTGTATAGATAGTACAATAGATAGCAGTGAGGTGTATTAAACAGGCTTTATCTAAGAACTAAATCTTGCTATTGCGGGTCTTTCTTTAGGCCTTAAATGTTATATAAACTATTAATTAGACATTTATTAATATGGCAAGACCATAATCAACTCTCGATGCCATCGGATGGATCCAATTTTAAGTAGATTAGAACGGTTTGGCCATTTAGTGATTTAATTTAACTATGGAGAAGCAAGGCTAAGACTTGAATGACCAGCACACATCTTGTCAAAACTACAACCATTGATAACTTCGCTCAAAATAAAATAATTTGAATGAAAATTTCAATATATTTATTTTTATATTTTTAATGCTACATTTTCATGTTGACGTATATTGCCGTCGAACCAGTGCGTCCGAACATCCATCCGTCCACAATTTGTTTTTAGACTCTACAGGTCACAACTTTTTATCTGATTTTGACGAAAATTAAAATATAGGTCTATCTCCCAAAGATCTCGGATTGTTTCGAAATTGGCATGTATTGGACCGTAACTTCATGGATTATGGCCCTTGACTGTACGAAAAATCACATTTTTAGCTTGTGGACACTCTAGAGGTCAAAATTTTCATCCGATTTTGATGAAACTTGATATGTATGTTTATAACCCAAAGATTTTGGTTGCTTTCAATATTCATGCATATCGGATCATAACTTCCTGAATTATGGCCTCTAATTGTACATAAAATCACATTTTTAGCTTGTGGTCTCTCTAGAGATCACAATTTTTATCCTATTTAAAAAACGTTCGAATATATCACCGTTACACCATAATGATTGTTGAGGTTAAATTTCGTGAAAATCAGACCAAAACTGCCGGACAAAATGGCTGCTCCTTGTACGCAAATAGTGTAAAAGTACACTGTATTGTATATCAAAGTTCTGGACCCTCTAGAGGTCACAATTTTGATAAAACTTGAAATGTATGTTTATAACCCAATTATCTCGGTTCCTGTCGATATTCACTCATATTGGACTATAACTTCCTGGATCATGTCCCCTTATTGTACGAAAAATCATGTTTTTTTAGTAGTTTGTGGAACCTCTAAAAGTCACAGTTTTTATCTGATTTTAAAAAAAAACAAAAACGTTTAAATATATCACTGTTACACCCTAATGATGGTTGAATTAAAATTACATGAAAATCAGACTGAAACTGCCTGACAAAATGACTGATACTTGTACGCAAGTAATGTAAAAAAAATATGTAATAGCAAGGTTGTGGACCCTCTAGAAGTCACAATTTTTATCCGATATTGATGAAAGTTAAGACATATGTTTATATCCAAAAGATCTTGGTTCCTTTCGACATTCGTGCATATTGGACCGTAACCTCCAGGATTATGGCCCCTGATAGTATAAAAAATCACATTTTATTTTTTTTAGCTTCTCTGTCCATCTCTTGCAAAATGTGGGCGTATCTTGCCTGGCAATCACTAGTTGAAATATTATGGAGAGAACGACCAGCTCTCTATCTAAATCTTACGTAATACCCCTTAAAGCCAGCTATCCCTGTAATAAGGGTATTTCACTATAATTTTATAGTTAAACTCTACGAGTGAAAACTTGTAGCCAGTCATCCAAAGGTAACATCGTGCTATCTGTTCATATGTCGTAAGTAGCTTGTACCATTTATAAGCTATTTTTATATGCTTATGTTGAAATGCGGTATACATATATATTGTCAACATCCCTGTCTGTTCAATCGTTGGTCTGTCTTGAGGCTAAAGTGATCATCCAATTGCCTTGAAATATTTACACCGTATTTATGTTCTTGTGATGAAAATTTCCAATAATTAATTATCATCTGATTCATGTATATGTCTGGTTTATGTTAGCTCTAGGAAGAAGTAGAAGCCAATCAAATTTTAATTATTTCTGATAATTACTTTGTGAGTTGTTTCCCTTGATCATAAGTTGTGTTTAGGTTCTTGCAAATGAGAGAGAGAGAGAGAGAGAGAGAAAGAGAGAGAGAAAAATGGGGTATAACGCCCACTTGACACAAGCTAGTTTATTTCGGTACTAACATGGTTAATTTCATTTCAATAATTCGCTTGCGCGTAGGGGTCTTTAGCAATGGGAGGAAACCGGAGGACCCGGAGAAAACCCACGAGGTTGGACAGGCGATCCTACTCTTTGTCACGTACAACCGGGGATTCGAAACCACGCCAGTTGACTCATTGACAGGCTTTATGATACAGCATGCATGTGCTAACCATTCGGCCATCCAACCACCCTGTCTTGTAAATGCTACCATTACTTAAAAAGAATAAATATGTGACAGCTTTTTAGGATTTATAGACCTCTGTTAGTGTACATTGCATTGCCTGGCAACTAATTTTCATTCAAAAGATATATATATTGTTCTGAATAATGTCAAATTGTATCTCACTAAGCAATGGCTGCTGTGTCATAAACTGCTATTATATTGTATGGTAAATTGGTATACTAAAATATTAATGTGCTGATAGAAAGTACAGGTGATTATCGTGTTTTAATTAAGACATTATAGAACATTATACTCTCGACTATATCAACAGTTTTACATTCATTAGTGAAAATTATCACGTTTTATCAGTTATTTCGCCTTATTAATTCCATTATAAATTTATTTCCTATGACTCATGCATCTGTTGCAGCTAGAATAAAAGACACTATAACAATAATAGAATAACGTATTTTTCTGTACCAACTTGGCTGTGGTGAAGTCAGGCATATATGTACATCATGTGGTGTGCTGATATGCAGAAATCAATTAACAATTGGCTTGCTTTCGATTCCTCGCTTGGACATGACAAGAAGTAGGGTTGTCTGTCCAACCTCATGGGTTTTCTCCAGGTCCTCCAATTTCCTCCTATTGCTCTGAAATAAAATTGAACGATATGTTAGTCCTGAAATGACCTAGTTGGTGTTGAGTGGATGTTTAACCCCACTTCTCTCTCTCTCAAATACCTACTCTAAGGGATATTTACATTCTTTATCACAATTCCAAGATGGCTGCAATGTCATCATAGTCAGTTCCTGGTCCATAGTAAGGTGATACTTGTTTGATATATTTTTAAGTGTTTTTACACATAAAAAACTAAAAACTAAACTATAAAATCAACTCTATTTATTGTGTTTAACAGTTCAATTCTTTCTTTGACACTTTAATTTCATAGCATGCAAATTAACCGACATTTATCATTCAACATTCTAAAATTTCTTTGAAATAGCACTCCTACCAAAATGAGCCAAAAGATGAACAAAATTGGCACCAAACACTCAAGAGTGCACACAATTTAAAAGGCATGCAAATACAAAAATCACATGATTTGCAGTTTTAGAGCATAGATGACATTGCAATTTGTAATCCAAGTATGCAAACAATAATTTGTTAAGTGTTTGTGATACCTATTTGAAACAAATTATGGAAAGTGAATGTATTATTATTATTATTATTATTATACAATATTTATAAAGCACACATCCTTCACTCAAGTGTTCAGTCATCTAGAATACCAATATATTTTATATTCCTGAAGCAATGACCCAAGAAATGACTGGGATTTTCTTAATCAAACGAAACACTGTGAGGTGTGTGGCAGAATACCAGTATATTTTATTTCATATTTACTTTGTGATTCATATTTAAACGACTTATGTATATTTCAGATGTTTGAGTCAATGGTTACATAGAAAGAATACCTGTCCACTGTGTAAAGCAAAGGTGCAGCCATTTTTAGGGGAGCGAACTGGTTTAGTGCCTTTTGCAGTGACCACCCTATGATATTGGAGAAAATTAATACTATAAAGCATCTGTTGATAAAAAAAAGTAAAGAACAAAGTTGAGTAAATGCAACATGGAAATATAATATAAATAATTTGTTTAATTTCCGATCTCGTATTTAAATTTTAAACCACATGTACAGACTTAGAAATATGACATCACCAGTCTATTAAAGGACATTTTTCACTGACAAGGAGCCGGTCTATAAACCACTGTGGAATTTATGTGTACCACTATATTCAAACCATAGCAATGAGTATACATGTATATTCAAAACAAACCAGGGTTCAGTACTCTGATTGTCAAATATTATGTTTATTCCTATAGCTATGAGTATATTCAAACCAAACCAGGATTCAGTTCTCTGATTATCAACTAGTGTGTTTATTCCTATAGCAATGAGTATATTCGAACCAAACCAGGATTCAGTAATCTAATTGTCAAATATTATGTTTATTCCTATAGCAATGAGTATATTCAAACCAAACCAGGATTCAGTTCTCTGAATGTCAACTATTATTTTTATTCCTTTAGCAATGAGTATATTCAAACCAAACCAGGATCCAGTTCTCTGATTGTCAAATATTGTGTTTATTCCTATAGCAATGAGTATATTCAAACCAAACCAGGATTCAGTACTCTGAATGTTAACTATTGTGTTTATTCCTATAGCAATGAGTATATTCAAACCAAACCAGGATCCAGTTCTCTGATTGTCAAATATTGTGTTTATTCCTATAGCAATGAGTATATTCAAACCATGTCTGGATTCATTTCTCTGAATGTCAACTATTATCAGTATCCCTATAGTAAAACTACCAGTATAATCAAACCAAGCTGGGATTTAGTGCTCTGAATGTCAACTATTGTGTTTATTTCTGTAGTAACTAACACTGACTGACTGACCAACTGGATACAGTTTAACATCTGCTTCCACATTAACATTTTGATTGTGATTCTTATAGTTAGTGAAGAAAAAAGCCAAGTACATGTTTAAAAGGAGGATGGTTGTGATCTTGAACTGCTTATGATAAAAATGTGATAATATTCGCTTTATAAACTAGAATGACTCTATCTAATATCAATATCATATAAGAAACATATTATAGGAAGTATGAATCAACGAAAATAAATTATTTCTTGATGATATGATATAATCAATATTTTATTCCAATAGTATATATGCATGTGACTATATCTGTCATTTTTAATAACTTAGGCCATACAAAAAAAGAAACTGATTGATTAAGTGATGTGTCATTATCCAAGAATCAAAATGTTTTTTTTTATATGACCTTAATTACACTATGCTTTTACTTGTAGACCTACATTTATTCTATCTTTGTTGATAAACTCACTTTACTATGAAGGCTGCGGCAGTGACATTTGAGGTGATTGAAAAAGTCTTTTCCTATGGCAACAAATATATATTTAATTGAAAGAATGTAACTTCCTTAAAATATTAAAAGGGCTTTATGGGAGATTAGATCAAGAGATGACATTTCTCACTATAATAATTAAAAATAGATAATGTAAAGAAAATATGTTGAAAATTTCACTCAAATTGCTTCACTCTGAACAGGGATATTAGCGATTGAATTTTAGACCTAGCCTCGATCATCATTACTAAAGTCGGTACGATAAAAAACAAATTCTTGGTTATCCATTTTGACGTTAAATCATCCATCGCAAAATGTATTCAAATTCAGTAAACATCGCAGGGTAGCGATGGCATCGAAAGTTGATTATAGTCTGGATAAGTTAATTAATGTGTCGTCAGTACATGTATATGATGAATCCTATTGATTTTCAGACAATTACTACCAGACTTAGTTGCTGCAACATATATTTCTTTACTTCCGTTAAAATTATCGATTTGAATAATGCTTGCATCAAAATATTTTTTAAAAAGTACTTTGGCTTGTGTATGGTCTCAAACTCTGTACTTGGAGCAAAATGCCCTTTTTTTTTGAATAGGAATAATTTTGATTCTGAATGATATTTGACTGTTATAATGGAATTATTTGAATAGTTTTTGGACCAAAATGCTTTGTTAATGAGTAGTTTTTTATTTCGTAAACTACATCATAATTATTTGTGCTAAGGGGGTTGGGTGGCTGAATGGTCTGCCAACGTGTGCATTTTAGATAACAAGGCCTGTCACTGAATCAAGTGGTGTGGTTTTGATCTACCACAGTGACAAGGAGTAGAATCACCTGCCTAACCTTGTGGGTTTTCTCCTGGCCCCCAGTTTCCTCCCAAGTTCATCTCTCTCTCTCTCTCTCTCTCTCTCTCTCTCCCCCTCCCTCCCTCTACCCCCTTCCCGTCCTCCTAATTATTCATTTATGTTGAGGCTTTAGTTAAACTCTAGAGAGTAAACTACATGTATATATTGAGTATATTCCACCCACCAGTTCCTGATATCTGATATAATATACATGTAAGTAGACAATCATGTAGATAATTCAATAGAAATTGTTTAATGACATCTCAGATGATCGAAGATATCATTACATTATTAATGCTTTTGGAATAATGTTAAGGCATGGTGTGCTGTTGTTGATCAGGATATTTAAATAATTTATCAATGTTTGTTTCAAACAATTGATTGGATATTGTTTATCTTAAGAATATTTCTAATGAAATTCAATTTAGGATAATAATATAGTAAAGTAGTTCATCCAAATTGTGGTTTATTTTTACCATTTTATAATTATAATAATAAAAGTATACAGGTCATAAGAGGCATATTACAGTGCATGATAAACTTGAAATATTTAAATTCAATGACAGAATATATATCTTTAAGCTGGATGCACATTTAAACAAAATCATGTACCTGCTGTTTTTCATATCAGTGTACACACTGTACACTGTGCAGTGATAAAAATGATTAACTTTAATTTAACTAAACAATAAACACCAAATAAATATTTTTTTTTTTTTTTTATCATTTAACTAAACGAGGCTGGATTGCACCTCAGCGCAAGTGTCATGTGACATTCACAATGGCAACCCACATCGAAGTTACTTGTGCTGATAGATTTTACTTGTATAAGATGAAAAGAACTTGGGAAATTAACTTAAAATTACTGTATGCTGTCATTTTGAAATCATGTGATATTTCGGTGATTTTATCACCCAGTCCTGGTAATATTTGGTTGTTTTTTATATATTTTTGTTCGACAGTATGCGGTTATGTTTCAGATTTGTGAGTAGTACATGATAAACAAGAAACATTAACTACACAAATCTCTTTCTGTTTATAGTTTATTTGAATCAGTGCATACCTGGCTATATCTCTATTTACTATAATAAAAATTCATTTAGTCTGTCACACTTTTAATTAACGAAAATTTGATATTCATCAAAGTTATACGACACACTATAACCACCATAATCTAAAACTAGTAATGAACTGTGAATTTTACTTTACGATTCTGTGAGATAGCTTTATTTAAATTCCTCTTTCACCGAAGTGATATATGGGACAATATCTTTACTACAAAATTTATAATTTAAAAAATATTGGTCTGATATTATTAGGCGCCTGCCTTCTGTGTTTCCGCTTTTTAATGATGAAAGTTTTAAGATTTTTATTGAATTGTATTGAATTTTTCAATTCAATGATGTTTCGGTGATAATGATAATTATATAGGTCAAATATACGTACCAGTAATCTAAAAAAAATAAATAAAATGAAATGAGATGGTGTTAACATGCTACTGTTCTGCTCTGACTGGGCTAATGAAGAAGGGCATATGCCATACAGTGTGCTGTGCAGGGAATTTTGCCCTTACAGTGGCACTACGGCTTAGTCTTGTATCGAATTCCAACTGTCATGGGTTCTTTTACGTACATGCCAATGTGTACATGGGACCTTGCTTTTTCATCTCATCTGAACGACTATACCCATTGACATGCCATCCGTCCAGCATCACTGGCAATTGGGAACCATGCCAGAAAATCTTGATGAACTTTCTCGGTCATCACAGGGATCAAACACGGAACCTCCCCATTATATGAGTCAGCCAACATCTTACTCAATGTGCCATCATGACAGGTAACTAACATTGTTTGAGGTTTTGAACATAGATGTTTGGATTCATTGAGGCACATATATGTAGGAGTATGCAGTCAAACTGTGCAGATGCTAAGAATAGTGTAACATTCTTTCAACTGTGTTCCATTTGTTTGTTTGTAGTTGTACAAATTTGAATGGGAATCTACTATCCCTAAAAGTCGACTATTGTTTCATTTGTATAGTGTTCGTACAAATTTGAATGGGAAGCTGCTGTCTCTAAATATTAAGCCTAAACAAGGTATGATCTATAGTTTTATTTTATTGTATAAAACACTGATAACGTTTAAATGTAGGTCTACGAATATGTTTATATACAGTATATACAAGTGTTTATTTGATATCGACAGCTTTAAATTGAATGTTCATTTTAAGCAATCTTCATAATTGAAATATAAAAGCTGAATATAATACAGCTCAAATTGATGATGGTGTCGCATGAATATCCAGTATCTTTTGTAAAATTAAGAACCCCACCATTACTTATTACAGTGTCATGCACCAGTTTTGTTCATTCCAAGAGTTAGATCCCACATATACTTGAGTGTAAATGGGATCCCATTCTATAAAACCTGGTAGTCAGCATTGGACCCAATGAAGCTGGTAGTTGGGTGGGATTCCCCTCCATGAAGATGGTAGTCAGCATGGGATCCTACTCTATGAAGCTAGTAGTTGGGTAGAATCCTTCTCAATGAAGTTGATGTGGTCAGCCTGGGATCCCATTCTTTGAAGCTGGTTATCAGCATTGGACCCAATAAAGTCAGTAGTTGGGTTGGATCCAACTCAATGAATCTAGTAGTCAGCATGTGATTCCCCTCCTTAAAGCTGGTAGCCAGCATGGGATCCCACTTTATAAAGCTAGTAGTTGGATAGGATCCTACTCTATGAAGCTAGTAAATTCAGTGAAGCTAGTAGTTGAGTAGGATCCTACTCAGTGAAGCAAGTAGTCAGGTAGGATCCCACTATATAAAGCTAGTAATCAGCATGGGATTCAACTCTATAAAGCTCATTGTCAGCCTGGATTGCCACCACTCCATGAAACTTATAGCTGAGTGGGATCCAACTCAATGAAGCCGATGGTCAGCGTGAGATCCCACATAAGCATGGGGTCTTACTCTTTCAAACTGTAGTCACCCCAGAATGTCAGCATGGAACTCCGCCCAATTCTACATTAATGTACCATTTTCCTTGGAACTTGGGTTGGATCCTACACATCCACTACAGAACAACATCATTATTCATCCATAGCTTGTACTGTCCATTAGTACTTAGCTTTTCAATGCAACCAACTTTGTTATTTACTATGTATTAAAGGCATGTATATGTATATCATTTGCAATATTTTTCTTATTTCCATAAATCTATGTATTTATTATTAATAATTATATATCCAATATATTTTATTATTATATCCAATTTGTTATTCATGTCATGTTCTAACAGACAGTTTATAAAATATAAACTACTGTTAGTTCTTGGAAATGGTTGTTATGTGAATTTAAATTCAATTTGTGTTGTAGCTGAAATACTCACAGGGAAACTGTATTGTCCATTATTGAAACCTTATTTCAGTTGGACAGGTAAAATAAATGGATTTTAGCCGTTTACAGATTTTGAAATGAATTCACAAATTGTTCTTTTGACCATGACTAGGTGAATGACATATATAAACCAACTTAAAATACAGATGTGTCGTCATCCCGTAGGTTATGGTTATTACGTTATTCCCAATTAATATGGTATGGGCAATGTTATAATCGGACATTATTTAGACAGGACTTCAGAAATATTGTACTTACGTGATAATTTCTATGCACGTGGAAGTTAGTCAATCTGTATTTTATGTTGCTTTGTAAATGTTGTGTGCAAGACATTGCAGTGGCAATATATTAGTTAATGTCATGCTCTCAACCGTTAAAGCACACATATGAAATCATTAAAATTTAAAGTATTTTTAATAATCTAACATAATTAATTAATTAGCATTTTTCATAGTCATCATTTTTTAAATAATATTCATTTCATAAATTTACATTTTTCTTACATCATTATTTAATTAGTTTATGTATAGTTATAGAATAACTTACAGTGTATATTTACACAGGTAGATGTATGTATATATATATATAAGTAATACAGGTCAAAGCTTGCTCAAAGACTTGAAGCCAGGAGTTAATTTATGCTTTTATCAAGGTATCCATTGTATTGACAGAACATAGAGAGAGAGAGAAATGGGGTTTAATGTCCACTCGACACAAACTAGGTTATTTCGGGACTAACATATGGTTTAATTTTATTTCAATAATTTGCTTGCGCATAGGGGTCTTTAGCAGTGAGAGGAAACCGGAGGACCCAGAGAAAACCCACGAGGTTGGACAGGCGACCCTACTCCTTGTCACGTACAACCGGGGATTCGAAACCACGCTAGTCGACTCAATGACAGACTTTATGATACAGCGCGCGCACGCTAACCATTCAGCCATCCAACCCCCCTTGACAGAACATAAATTCTGGACTAGGAACTGTTCCCCAAGTGCTACTGATCTTCTTGTTCTTGGGGTGGGGGGGGGGGGCGCGTCACTCTTTATAAAAGCCTAAGACTCTGCCAATTCATGTTTGATCGGCATGAAACTTGGCATGCTTGTTCCTTGGACAATTGTGCATCGATTGAAGGACTTCGATTTTTGATATGACATCACAATTCCAAGATGGCTGCGATGACGTGATAGTTAGTTCCTGGTCTATAGTACTCTTGTGTTTTTTATTGAAACAATCACTGGTTTTATTATATAAGCACAAGATTTGATACTTCTGTAATAAAATCAGTGATTGTGTCACAAAAATAATTATGTTCTGTTAAAGATGCATTATGTAAGACCTAAATCTGCCTATTGCAAGTCTTTTTTTTCGGGTGGGGGGGGCTTTAAATGTTATATAAAATACTATTTAAACATTTATTAACATGACAAGCCTATAATCAAATCTCCGGATAATCTGAAGACTCTGATTTTAAGTAGATTAGAACACTGCCATCATTTAAGAGTTTAATGATAAAATAGGTTACAATATTAAACAATCTATGCTACATTTTGTCAAAACTTTAAACATCTATAACTTTGAACAGAATAAATTATTATCTAAACATTATCATGACCAGCTCATAATCAAATCTCTGGGTCATCTGAAGGCTCCTATTTTAAGTAGATAAGAACACTGCGGCCATTTAAGAGTTTAACAATAAAATAGGTTATGATAATAAACAATCTACGCTACATTTTTTCAAAACTTTAAACATCTATAACTTTGAACAGAATAAATGATTATTTAAACATTATCATGACCAGCCCATAATCAAATCTCTGGGTCATCTGAAGGCTCCTATTTTAAGTAGATTAGAACAAGCTGCGGTCATTTAAGAGTTTAACAATGAAATAGATTATGATAATAAACAATCTATGCTACATTTTGTCAAAACTTTAAACACTCATAACTTTGCGCAGAATAAAATATTGAAACTTTCAAAATATTCATTTTTCATTCTCTATGGTTAAACTATTAGAGCATGAATGGTCAGCTCTGTATCTAAATCTTGCACAATGCATCTTTAATATGCTTCTCAATTACTAAATGCCACTTAAGGACTATATCCATTGTAAGGTAATAATTATGTTACAGTGTGTATCATATCTTGAACTGGGGAGTTGGATGGCTGAATGGTTAGCACGTGCACGCTGTATCATAAAGAAGTCTGTCATTGAGTCAACTGGCGTGGTTTCGAATCCCTGGTTGTACGTGACAAGGAGTAGGGTTGCCTGTCCAACCTCGTGAGTTTTCTCTGGGCCCTCCAGTTTCCTCCCACTGCTAAAGACCCCTACGCGCAAGCAATTTATGGAAATAAAATTGAACCATATGTTAGTCCCGAAATGACCTAGTTTGTGTTGTGGACATTAAACCCCATTTCTCTCTCTCTTACTTTTGTTATTACTCAACCAACCATGCCCAGTCTTTACATGGGGTTAAAACATACTATTATTATGGTCATTAGGGTATTTTTGAAGGAATCATGAGCACTGGGGTATAATTGGAAGGTGAGGGGGGAGGGGTGTATTGGACAGAGTCAAAAAAGCATAATGACTGACAAATTTTTGCCAACAAATGTTGTATTTTGTACCACCAAATCGTTATAAATCGTGTTTCAAGCATATTATTGTATTATCTAGTTGGAGTAAAACATATTTTATCGGTAGGGCGAACACTAAAAAATGCCCTTATGGCCATCTACAAACTTTTTGAATCTCACAAATTTCCACTTTCTCAAATTCTCCAAGATACAATTTGTTTACATCAAGAAACATTAGTAGGAGATAAATAATGGGCATTATTCCAGAATATTGCAAGTACCAGAGCCTAATATTAGAATTCATAAATTAATAGGCATATTCAACATTTAGTACGACTAATAGCTGATTACATTAACGAAAAATTATTTTGGCTTGCATATGACATATTGACTCTTTAAGCATACAAAGTTTCATATACAGAATATACACATATGTAATAAGTTATTATCCATCCATTTTATTGTGTCTATACGTACATATCCATAAGTTGTACTACCAAAACCCATTCAAGTCTCTGAGCACCATTGAGAGATTAAAGAATCGCTCACAATCTACAATATTGTGAAACTTGATTTTCTAAAATAAATTTAATATCAGTCCAAAATGGCTCAATTCCATTTCAGTATTTACAAGAGAGAGAGAGAGAAATAGGGTTTAACGTCCACTCAACACAAACTGGGCCATTTCGGGACTAACATATGTTTTTTTTAATTTTATTTACATAATTCGCTTGCGCGTAGGGGTCTTTAGTAGTGGGAGGAAACCGGAGGACCCGGAGAAAACCCACGAGGTTGGACAGGCGACCCTACTCCTTGTCACGTACAACCGGGGATTCGAAACCACGCCAGTCGACTCAATGACAGACTTTATGATACAGCGCGTGCACGCTAACCATTCAGACATCCAACCCCCCCAGTATTTACAAAGATTTGAGGAATTGAAAATTCGTCAACGTTCATCGTCCTCTGCAGGCGATATAAATAGGATACAGTCAAAGTTAGCCAGCACCACCTAATTCTTCGTGGAAATCTTTTTAATGTGATTAAATCCAAGCTAGGGTATTTTTTACCGTTGATATTATGTTTTTGTTTTCTTTTATTAAATGTTAAATAACCAGTCTGTACATTTTAGCATCAATTAAACCATAAAAATTTGATATTACCCCGGAAAATGCAAATGAAGCACAGAAGCTTTAAGAAAATATTGTTATACAAAAGATAAAATAGATCCAATTCACTTGGGGCATATTTAATTTACAGTATTACAGTGGGGGTATATAAGATAATTGAATACCAAAGCCCACTCATGTCTGTTCATTACTGTAGTTTCCTATCTTGTCAGTGGTGCCAGGATCAGCATCTAGTCTTTCGGATTGGACAAAAAACAAACCCTTGTAAAAGAGCCCTTGACATTCGGGCAAAATTCCTCTCATACCAAGCTGCATGGAATATACCTACCCGTCTTTATTATCGTAGATGTTGCAGACATGTAGGACTTTAAACAGCAGTGATCACTTTACAGCTATAACTGCTTTAAGAGAGTTCATAAGGTTGTGCAGCTACCATATCGTCGCGTTTCTGGCAAACCGACGAATCTGATATATTTAAGTAATGTACTGTAATGTATATGTATCAAATATTACATCACAAATGTATGTTATTATTTGATGTCCACAGATATAACAACAGAACGCAAATTTCAAACACATAATTCTCAATACTTAAATATATCAGATTCGTCACTTCACCAGAAACGCGACGATATATCTAGTCTATCATGGATTGTCTGGTGATAGCATATTTGATTTGTCAGAAGTGACTATGAAATGAAATGTTTTTTTAACATCCTACTGTCAAGGGTTTGTGTATATACACAACGACTTTGTACACAGGACCTCAGTGTTCATCCCATCCAAACGACTAAGCCAGGGTTGTTTTCTGGTTTCACTGACAAAGAAGTAACTTTAAAAACGGATGCAAAACTACACAAAAAGTATTGGACAGGCGTAAGGTTGGGGTATTTATAATGATTACAGAGAACTAGACTATGTCTTAGTTGTCTTTTTTTTCTGCCAGTTTGGTATATTTCTGTCATAGATTAAAATAATGGTAGTAGAAATTGATGTGTATGAGAGTCATTGTAAAAAAATCTAAATGTCATAATAAAATATTCATGAATATGGTTGATCTACGAATGATTTATTTGTTATTATCCCATTAAAGAGGAATTCATTAACCATGGACAGCTTTAAGCCATTTAGATCAATTACCTCACTATTGAACCCTATCTTAGGGTAACAGGGCCGTATCTAGCGGGGGTCACTGTAGGGGGTACATTGCACCCCCAGAAAAATAAGGCGCCCCGAGAAATTGTGCCCCCCACCCCATCCCCCCCCCCCAAAAAATTATTTGACAATCTTTCAATTATAAAATAATACACTTGATTGCGATCACACAGTGATGCTCTTAAGGCACTGATCAGTTGATCGGTTTTAAGGGCGCCCACACGCCAATGGGTTCGTTTGACATGATCCAAACTTTCTTATATCACATACGTGGAGGCTATGGCGCCCCACCACTCTGCTGCTCCCCCACTTTTAAAATCCTACACACGGCCCTGTAGGGTAATTGACTCGATTTCGGGTTTCAGAAAGATCTGTATGCTGTGATCGTAATCAGATTGCTGTCGACACATCCTTGCTACTATAGCCATTACATGTATAATACAAAATGAAATGAAATGAAATGGGGTTTAACGTCTTACTGTTTTGCTCCGAACTGGGCTAATGAAGACGGGCATACGCCATACAGTGTGCTATGAGGGAAATTTTGCCCGGGCACTATGGCCTACTCTTATATCAAATTCCAACTGCCAAGGGATCTTTTTACCTGCATGCCAATGTATACACAGGACCTCGGTTTTTCGTCCCATCCGAACGACTAGAAAGCTTAGAAAGCTATTCTTGTCAGGCCCTCCATCCTGCACCACTGACAAGGGGAAACCATGCTGGAAAATCTTGATGAACTTTCTTGTGATTGGAAGTGGTCTGATTAAAATACAGATCTACATGTATATTTCGTTTTGTTTTTTTATACTTTCGATGGCCTGTACTATATGAAGATCTGACGGGCTGTAGTGGAAGGTCGCGTCAGCAGTCATACAAGCGTTTTTTTACCCTATGACAACCAATCAGTGTTGATGTTTCTAGTAGGTTACTCACAGTTTTGTGTACCTCACACCAAAATTTGTAACAGACCATTTCATTGGCTAATCCCTCACATCATCCAGAATTCAGGTTATATAACAACTCTTCCAGATCCTAGTGTAGTAAAGACAAGTAATACGAAATTTTGAATTATAAAAAATGGAACGAAATATAATCTGTGTTTTAATGACATTGGGTTTGGTACATAACACTAGAACAAACTACAATGTGGCTGGAAGGGTACTTCAAACTCGGACAAACTGCAATATGGTTGGAAGGATACTTCAAAATGGAACAAACTGCAAAATAGCTAGAAGGGTACTTTAAACTAGAACAATCTGCTATATGGTTTGAAGGGTACTTCACACTAGAACAAACTGCAATATAAACTAGTGTCCAAAAGAAACGATACCACCTGTTTGCAACGACAGAAAAGAAAAACAAAGCAGAAGTTTAGGATTAGTGTTATTCTTTTGAGAAATCCTTTCACAACATCTGTACACAAAATCATTTCAATCAAATCTGTACAATCAATATGACAAGCCGTTAAAGATCGGTGGGGTTGAAAAATAAACATTTCGTTAGAATGACACACCACATGTCTAAAAATCAAGTCAGTAGCGAGTATGTCCACCGTGAGCATCAATACATGCCAGAACACGCCTGCGGACTGATGACGTCAAACGTTGCCATTCCTCGAGGAGACATCGTTCCAAGTCCTGCACGTTGACTGGAGGCACAAGGCGACGTCGGATTTGCCGATCGAGGTGGTCCCATATGTGCTCGATGGGATTCAAGTCCGGTGAACATGCTGGCCATGGCAAAACGTGTACGTTGGCGTTGGCAAGGAAGTTCTGTGTCAATCTTGCTGTGTGTGGCCTTGCATTGTCATGTTGGAAAATGATTCCACGAGGCTGTTGCTGGCAATGCTGCAGAAAGGGCACCACGACAGGCCGTAAGATGTCATCACGATAACTCTGTGCATTCAGGTTTCCACGAATTACGACAAGCCTCGTTGTGACGTCACCACATAAGCCACCCCAAACCATTAACCCTCCACCTCCAAATGGCCGGACCTGTAGGACACAGTTAGGCGCCAAACGTTCACCAACTCTTTGGTATACAAGCTGCCGTCCATCGGAACTGCTGCATCAACCTGGTGATAGTGATGCGTGCGCAGCCCAACCTTCTGGCGCGTCGACATGTGACGCTCCTTGTTGAACCATTCCAACGGCTCTCTCTCTCTCTCGATGGCTGTCATACGTGGCATATCTTGTGTTCTTTTTGTTGCTGTGACATCAACGTGTCTGATCAGCCGTTTTATACAGTTTTCATGCACGTGCAGAACATGCTAGAGAGGGAAATGTCACTTTCACGAAATTTACGTTTTTTCCCTCAAGTGATCTAGTGTTCCCGGTATTTTTATGGACTATGCTGTGTTAGGGATGTGCAATACGAATTGGCATGTTTTCATACTAAAATTTTCATTAGAAAAAAATTAATTGGAAAGAAAGTTGGTATCGTTTCTTTTGGACACTAGTTTAGTTGGAAGGGTACTTTACTAGTTTATCAAAATCAATTAGATCAGAACAATTCTTGTTAAAACAAAATTATCTTTTGTTTAGATTTGAAGATATGTTGTAACTGGAAAAGTAATTATTAACAACAATGTATATTTTGTTTAGATTTGGCGATGAATACTAGTTTATCAATACTTTTCATTTTCAGCTATTTTTATCATAAAATGTGATAATGCATCATTAATGTCTATATAAATTGTTTGACCTTATGTTTTGTAATAATGAGTTTTTAATAATATTCAGCTGTATAATGGAGTATTGATTGCAAACACATTAGAAATGTTATAATTATAGGGTGAGAGAGAGAAATGGGGTTTAACGTCCACTCAACACAGACTAGGTCATTCGGGACTAACATATGGTTTAATTTTATTTCAATAATTCGCTTGCCAGTAAGGGTTTTTTAGCAGTGGGAGGAAACCGGAGGACCCGGAGAAAACCCACGAGGTTGGACAGGCAACCCTACTCCTTGTCACGTACCACCGGGGATTCAAAACCACGCCAGTTGACTCATGATACAGAGCGCAGATGCTAACCATTCAACCATCCAACCCCCCAATTATAGGGTGGGTGGTATGTGAAATGAAAATGAAATAAAAGTTACATAGTCTTAAAATGACTGAATTACTGGGTTGACCCAACATTAAACCAATTTCATTCCATGGTTCGTTGGGGGGGATGGTGCTTATTATTGTCAGTGGTGCAGGACGGTAGACCTAGCAAGAAACAATGTCTAGTCATTCAGATGGGACGGAAATGACATAAAATGTCATAAAAGAACCCTTGACAGTTGCAATTTGAAATAAGAGTAGACCGTAGCAAAGCTGTAAGGAGAAACTTTCCCTCATAGAACACCCGCGTATCCTTGTCTTGATTAGCGCAGTTGGAGCCCAGAAGTGAGGACAAGAAGTTGAATACTAAATCTGCCCCTTCTCAACCTCAAAGCGGTTAAGTGACCCTTTTTATCTAAATAAGCACCATCCAAGATCAACCTCAAAGCGGTTAAGTGACCCTTATTATCTAAATAAGCACCATCCAAGAAACAGAGAATGGAATGGGATTTAAACTACATCTCATCCACACAATACTTTAGTCATTTTGAGACTAAAGTCCCCTCACTCGCTCAATTTAATTTGAACAACTCTGAAAAAACCTTACTCAAGCAATATGAATTGAAATGGGGTTTAGTACCCTACTTTTCTGCTCCAACTAGGCCATGCTATGAGAGAAAATTAAGTATATAAACTTATTTCAATTTTTTTTATGGACCCTGTTTTTCATCCAGGGTAAGTGAGCCAGCACCTTAATCAGTAAACCGATGTGGCTAGAATAAGTCAAACATTTACTTACAGAGGACAGATAGTGGGTATGACAAACTAATGATTAATTTCTCAGACTTCTCTTTTTCATTCATTCACTTGAGACAAGGTATAAATATATATAAAGATTGTGGGGACCCTTTGGGACTAAATCTTATGAAATTATAGCCATTCGTTGCAAAAGTTCTTAAGTGTGAATCCATTTCAATTTAAAATGGTTCAAATATTATCCAACGTGACATATTGTTTATTTCTCAGTCAGGATCAGTCATGGAAAGCCCAATTACTTGCATCTTAACATTCTACTTTCATATCAGCCATCTAAATGATTTGACTGGCTTTTTTCGGGGGTTTATGGGTTAGAGACGAGGGTTTTTTACATTTCAGCAGGTCCTATGTAATTTTAAGTACATGGTCTTCCAATATAGAAATGAAATGAAACGTCCTACTGTTCTGCTCCTATGCTGGGCTAATGAAGACGGGCATACGCCATACAGTGTGCTATGAGGGAAATTTTGCCTGGGCAGCGGCACTATCGCCTACTCTTATATCACATTCCAACTGCCAAGGGATCTTTTACATGCATTCTAATGTATACACAGGACCTTGGTTTTTCGTCTCATCCGAAAGACTAGACAGCTGCCCTTGTCAGGCCCTCCGTCCTGCATCCCTGCATCACTGACAACTTCCAATATAGTTCTGGTAACAACAAAAAACAAAACTGTTCTTTAATAGCTTTACAATAAAAATAATAGTAATTCATATAACAACGAAACTAAGAACTCTTGAGCTGTATATAACGTTTGTAATTATACTAATATATATGATAAATATGGAAGGCTTTGCCGATAGTTTTTTTTGGGATAAAACTGAAAATGAACAATGTGTTTAATACTGTAGATCATGAATATAGAAAAGTAAAGCTAGCTTGTGAAAATAAAATAAAGTTTACAATGACATATATATAAAATCTGACAAAACAATTTAATGACAAGCTTTAAAAGAGTAATTATTTACACAATCAGGCCAACTGACATTTATTAAAAGAAACAGTGACAAATTCTTCACCTTGTTCATTTGAAATAGGTCAACAGAAATAATACCTGTGTTTAGGGTTGCTTGACCAAACATATTGGACTGATGTAAATTTCAGTACATGACCCAATTTAAATCACTCTGGAAATCGGTGACAAATTTAAGGGACGGCAATATTAGATCAAGAAAATAAGACTTGGCAGGGTAACTGTAAACACTGGGGTTATTTTTGGCTTCAGGAGTATATGTAAGTTTGTTCGATACCAATATTAGCAGTACATTGAACAGTCTTGGAGCTAAGACAATATCTGTCAACTGGCATTAAAATAGTGAAAATTAACTTCTAGAAATTTATAAGATGATCAAGGTAGATAACTCTGTAAATAATACCTGATCTGCACTGATTTAAAAATGTAAACGAATTGAGATAAATCTGCCTATTGCAAGTCTTTTTTCTAGCTTCATATGTTATGTAAATTATTATTTATTATTGTAGCAATGGTCCTTGACAATCAAGAATATGCTATTCCAGTCAAAAATTCAAACATTCATAACTATACTCCAAATAAAGTAATTTAACTGAAATTGATAAATGTCATTGATGGGAAGATGACACAAAATTCAAACACACTGAGAGATCATTAATAACATTTCCCCGAGGAAAATGTCCTAACATGGATGGGACAACATATAATCACATTAAGAGTTAAATTTTATACAATATTTGATACCATACTCACATACTCAACTTTCATTTACGGCCTTTTTACATTGAAAACAGGGATTTTGCATCAAAAATATTTCCAGCCAGTTAATCACTGACATATTTTATTTATCACAAATTTTGACATTATCTCAATTTCAAATACTTTTAAAAGTGTTTTTAACTGTAGACATTGTATTTTAAGATAAAATTCTTTGAAATATTAATTTTACATCATGCAAGGTTTAATATCCAGTGGGTCAATTTCACTGCCAGTCAATTGAAACTGACATGTGACTGAAATGAGTGTATTGCTTAAAATATAAATTACAATTCTTCCTGTAGTAGCCTAAAACAAACATTTGAACATATAAAAACTTATTTGACTGACAAATTACAATATTTTCAAATCTTCACAAAATGATTAATAGATTCAAAGGGACTAGATAACTATTGAGAATAAATGTTTATTACATATTCATTATCAACAAAAATTATATGGATTTTATTAAAGTAAATGTGTACGATTTACATTTTTCAGAAAAAATCACATTCTCAGACTTAAGTTGAGAATTTACTCAACTTTCAATCACTGCTTATGAGAAATATGTTGGTTCCAGAAACACAAAACTTTGCACATACTTTCTTATTGATGTATTTGATACATTGAAAGAACACAAGTTTTATAAAGGGTTATATATTAGTTAATATAATGTGAACAATTTTGAGTAAATTCTTAACTTAAGTCTGAGAATGTTTTGTGAACTCGGGGCCAAATTTCTCACAGTTTAATCCCCTCTAATATGTATTCAGATTGATTAACATTTAATTAAGAAAACAAAATCAAAATGACAATGTCACATAATCCCCCCCCCCCCCCTGCTTAAAAACAGGCCCACCAATTAGATTTCGTCCAACATAAAAATGGTGGTGGGTTTGTTTACATTGGGAGCAGCATAGATAGATGGAATTTCAGTTCTTCACATCTGTGTAAATACCAAACCAAATTGAACCATATTTTGACTGATATTCCAATTTGAGATTCAACTTTTACAATATTGTAGTTTTCAAGATCTTCCTATATCAGAAGGAAAAAATATCAAAAGATTCGACTGATCATCAATTGAGGGAATCTCTACAAACTAAAACATTCACCATCCTTTGCAGACAATATGTAAACAATATAGTGTGCAGTAAAATCTCTTGATGACCTCTTTATAATGGCAGAAAAGTAGGATGTTAAACCCCATTTTATTCATTTATTGCTCTTAATAATCAAACTGAATCCAAACCAGGAGATTATGTAACATTGATAATTTGGACTTTGTAATTGTGTTAAATAACACATTTGATTACATTTTAACATGGATTAAGTCGCGAAAATTTAGATATGGTCTGAAAAATGTAAATGACGATCAGGAGTATGTGAGTGTAAATATACATGTATGACTAGTTCGTAAATTTATCTACCACCTACTATTTGACCAATTGTAATTTATAAACTGTAAATATTACCTGCTAAGTTTTAAAATAACAGCAAATAAAGATGATAGAAGCACTGAAGGTGATATTACATTAATGTTTAAAATGGTACATACAGTGGACTCTGTCACATCCGACATCGTACGGGATCGTTACAATATTTCGGATCACACAGCGTGTCGGAATACCCAGCTTTCTCCAAAACCGGAAATACTGTAACTTCGAAAACCGGAAGTATTTTTATATTGTAGCTTCGAATCACCAGAATGCTATTCCCTTTAAAAATGATAAACCTTTCTGTACTTTTTACTTCTGGCGCGTACAAACCACTCATGTGTCATTGTTTTGACGTCTTCAAATTTTGAGTTGGTGTAAAATCGTTTCTTACTGCAGTTTAAATTATCGGCAAACTTCTGTTTAAATTCATCTTTACGCTTTAATATGTCTGACACTGTAGCTCAGCCAATTGAATACTTAACGGCTAAATTCCTTCTGCGCAGGTTGTGGAACTTTCTTGAAATCTGCTATAAGTTGCCGCTTTACATCTAATGTCAAATCTGTTCGGGCACGCTTTGCAGGACATTCAGACATTTTGTATACAATAATGTATAATGATTCTTCAATCGCGGCAATTTTTATATAATGTCGCGGTATTTGACATGAGTAACTAAAATCAAATACCAAGCGCACTCTTACAAGAGATTATAAATTGAAAAATAATCAACAAAGAATTTATAACATTATCAAAGTAATCAACACAGACCGGCGCTTGCGAGTTTTAATCTCACCGATAATTGATTGGTGATTGCTTGTTAATCTTTTCTGGCTTCACACCCATTGAGTTTTAATCTCACCGATAATTGGATGCTTCACACCCACCGTTTATATGGATTATACGGTGTCGATCAATGGAAATTATGTGACGGGACGGCTGATCGATGTCGTTATCTGGAACATACAGAATCCGGATTTACCAGCGATTTTTTGGCTGAAGAAATAAGGAAATAAATCGGGACATGAAAATCATGTCGGACGTCACAGCAATCCGGAGTGATCAGACATCGGATGTGACAGAGTCCACTGTATATGTAATATATCCTGAAAGATCCTACATATAATCAACTTATCTAACGATTCATGAAATCAAGTGCAATGCATGTGTAATATAAAGTTTTCATGAATGGCCGTCAGATGAAAATGTCTTTTAACTTCTTCTTTAACTTCTATATACACAAGATGAAATTCTAAATTAAATTTATGGAATCACGTCTCTGATATGAAATTTCTGTATATTGAATTTTTATGACTTTAAAAATGTAGTGTGATAGATAATGTTTGAGATATAAGGTAGTCATATAGATCCGTATTAATGTGAGTTGTTTATTTCGGATCCTCGGTGGCGAACTACCACTTTACCCTCTACTGTGCCAAAATATACCATCTTTGCTGTTCGCAAAAACAAACCGGTTTCTATGACACCTAAAATATACAATATTTACTCTTTGTATAAACATTTGGTTAGATACAGATGTTTTAACTTACACATTTCAATGATGGGGTTTAACGTCCACTCCACATGGTTTAATTTTATTTCAATAATCCGTGTACAGGTCTTTAGCAGTAGGAGGAAACAGGAGGACCGAGAGAAAACCCACAAGGTTGGACAGACGACCCTACTCCTTGTCATGTACAACCGGGGGATCAAAACCACGCCAGTTGACTCAATGACAGACCTTATGATACAGTGCGAAGGGGCTAACCATTCAGCCATCCAACCCCCCACACTATAAGGGACTTAATAACCCCATAAAAGACTTATCAAACTTCACCTCTCATGACGTTAAAATCATCCAATCATTTGATTTGATATGCATTTGTTGTTTTAAATGTCTGTGTATATTGTGTGTCATGTCCGTGGGTTTGTCTTGAGTAATTGTTTATGTGTGGTGCCATTCATCGATTGCTTATTTAAATGAAGATAATATTTTACCTGGAATGGAATGAAGGAATGGATTACTTATCTAAATGCAAATAATGTTTTACCTGGAATGGAATGAAAGAATGTGTCCACCTTCTGCCAATCGTGTTTACCTTCAAACATCCAATCTAATAAAAAATTACCATTATCTGTTACAACTGGTCCCTGCAAAAATGAACATAACCTTGGTCAGTGGGGGACACAGGATATTTAAAAGGGGTAGGGACTGAGGTACAAACAAATGTCTTGCTGAGCGTACCTTTTTTAGTGGTAGTGCTTTTTCCGAGAAAGAACCCAAGTAACGTTGACTGCAAGGTGCAAGCTGTTATATTTGACATCATAACATTTTTTGACATTCTTGTTTCCATGGGAGCCGCTTGTATTCAATCAGATTAAAAGAAATCCATCAAAAGATGGCTCTGGCTTGTGTTGACTTTATCCTATACCGTATATCATAGTGGATTCTGAATGTTGACAAATTTCCAATTGATCATATCTTTGAAAATGTTGAACGACACTTAAAGATACATTCCCGCGTACAAACTTTATGATTTGATGATATATTTGGACTAAAAACATATTCAAAGTAACCAATCTATCAACAATTTGCTTCAAATCCCTCTCAAAACTTTGTATTCACCGGGGATACCTATAGCTATAAGGAAGCTGTTGTTAGACGCAATGTCTGTCAACTTAGCTTCATTGTGGGAGGGTCCATTTTATTGACATACTTTTATTGGAAAGAACCACTCGATCAATACTTTTCTGGGAAAGTATCTTTAACCACTTTTGGTTGGACCGATACAATATTGTAGTTTGCAAGGGATTATAATTATAATAGTAATCTCTCAAATGATAATCAGAGACTTTCATAAACACACATTTTCAACTTACAGCTTTTTTGGCAGCCATTCTTAGATTCACTGTACCGCCTAGCATATTCTGTATCTTCAATTGTACAGGTTTATAGGACATTGGAATGACTTCAAGTGGTATACCTCTCTTCCAGTTCTCACCTAAAAACTCACTGTCTTTTCTGATAAATAGATAGTAGATATTTACAAAACTGTGCGAGGAATATTAATGAAGCAAAAATACGAATCGAGCAGAAACTTGACTAGCTTGTAGAGGTGGAAACTTGAGTTCCACGACTAAAGTCCAACTTAAGTCACATCAAAGATCTGACTAGTGTCTCAAAATATTTATTGCGACGTGAAGCAGACTGGAAAACCCTGAGGAACCATTTCGGCAAACACTGGATCAAACCTTGTACCTCATGGTTAGTGAACTAGCGTCAAACTCACTGAGCCTCTGTGGCTTCAAAACAAATGTGCACACTATTATAACATAATGTATCACAGCATGTGCATGTAGTAGTGTCATACTAACCTTTCATCAGCAACAACGATAAAATCTCTAGCACAATAATCAACAATCTTCTCTTGAGTCAGGCAGCCTCCGCCACCTTTTATACAGTTTAAACTAGCATCAACTTCATCAGCTCCATCTATAGCTACATCTAACTATAACACATAAACATTATATAAACAGCTACATCTAACTATAAACATTGGCAAAGTGGGTAAAACGCTGGCTCGCTAGCCTGGAGGTCGGGTGTTCGAACCCTGCATTGGCCGAGAAAGTGCATCCAGATTTTCCGACGTGGTTCCCCCTTGTCAGTGATGCAGGACGGAGGGCCCGAAAAGGACAGCTGTCTAGTCCTTCGGATGATACGAAAAACAGAGGTCCCGTGTATACATTGGAATGCATGTAAAAGATCCCTTGGCAGTTGGAATTCGATATAAGAGGAGGCGATAGTGCCGCTGCCCGGGCAAAATTTCCCTCATAGCACACTGTATGGCGTATGCACGTCTTCATTAGCCCGGTATAGGAGCAGAACAGTAGGACGTTAAACCCCATTTCATTTCATTTCATACACATTGCATAAACAGCTAGATATAACTAACACATGAACATTGCTACATCTAAATATAACACATGAACATTGCTACATCTAAATATAACACATAAACATTGTATAAACAATTAGATATAACTAACACATAAACATTGTATAAACAGCTACATCTGACTATAATGCATAAACATTGTATAGAATGCTACATCTGACTATAACACATAAACATTATAATCTTTAAGTGGCATTTAGCAAATGGGAAACACAGGACACAATTCCTATGGGAAACCAATCACTGGTTTTATTCTAAAAGTATGACATTTCAACAAGTATCCTCTTATTGTTGTTATCACGCACAATGACATTTACTTGTTATTGTTGTTTAATACAAATTTAACGTCCAATACACAAGGTATGATCTTATGGACATTTACTGACTGAAGTTGGTTCTTTAATGTCTGCTTCCACTGAAGTGATATGGACATTTAGTTTCTTCATTCCTGGATTTTTACGTTGGTAGTAGGAGAGAACAAATTATTCACTGTAAACTGCACTGTTCTAAAAGTAATCTTAATTTTCACAACTTCTTAATACATGTATCAAATAATCCATCATGTAGATGTGGCCATAACATTGAACATAGTTACCACTTCCTTCTACATTGGTCAAATTATTTTAATGAACGACAAACAACTATAAAAACTCTCCCATCGATAAACATGATATTCGCATCTTACTATATGGTGACTCGAATTCAGACAAATCAACTAACGAAAATATTGTATGTGCTGTTCATGATCTTATCAAATTATCCAAGCGCTTTGAAATTTAATAATTAATAATTATCAATTCAAATAACTGTACCCTGTCGAATAGTTTCATTATGGATGCTACACAGTCTTTTCGAAGTCCTTTGTACATTGTACCTCCTCCCCGCCCCGCCCCGCCCACCCACCAACGTCGGTTATACATTACAATAGCTGCCCATGATTTTTAGGTAAATAACTTAAACTCAGCAGTCGAGTATCGCCCTCTTCTAGGTAATGATGCTAGCTAAAACTTGATTACATTCTTCCCGTAATCTTATTATATATGTAATTTAATACTCCATATACATGTATATTGATAATTATAATATGATTTATGTATCTTGCTTTTGGGAAGCCGATTTATATAAGCCTTTGGCTTGTTTCGGTATCCTGTGAATAAAATATTGTTTTAAAAAAAAGTGATATTGTAGACAAGACATTTCGTAAATTTGAGGTTAATATACTTTTCAAAAAAAGTAGGGGATATTGAAATGCAAATACCTATGCAGGTTGTGATATGATAAATAGTCATGGACACTTGACATGCTTTGAGAGTATGTTTACAGATGAAAAACTTATCGCCCCAACAGAACCACTGAGCTGCACATGCAACATGAAATAGAGCCATACACTTGGGAGGGGTTCATTGTCAAATTTGACACTTCAAGGAAGGGTTGATGAAAACTGCCGCGTGCTGGTTTATCTATCAATGTTTGCTTTCCTATCGGTTCTTGCATAAGATTTACTGTTTAGCGTATCTTTGCTTTAGTGTGTTACGTTTAATTTCATTGGGAGACGTGTTCGTCGACGTCAACCGTCAACACTGCAAGAATTGGATGTGGCACTGCAATAGGAGTGGGTCAGATTGCCCCAAATCGTGATTGGACGGTTGATTAGGAGCATGCCACGACGAATTGCGGAATGTCTGAGGATTGGTGGAGCAATTACTCATTATTAAGACAAAAATCAAAAACGTCCATTTTCACTTTTGACGGTGTATATCTTTGCGAGTGAAATGGGGCCGTCAGATAAGCCGCCCACATGAACTGTTTATGTTCATGTGTAGGCAATTGACCTGTTATTAACATACACTGGTTACCTCTATTAAAAACAGCAGTGCATTTCCGCAGTTTTGTATTGTTTCTGAATAACCCCTACAAATTTTGAAGAGTATATATAAGATATGCATGATGAAGCAATTTTCAGAGATTAAAATAATGATAACAATGAGAAGTAAAATGTAAAAAGATCAACAAAAAAACAAAACAAGATAACTGACTAGGTACATAAACAATCCAGACATACAGTAATGATTAACTAGTTATGAAGACAATCAAAGGGAGTCATAAGTTAAACTGGGTAAGGTTGACAAGGTGTTAATAGTGAGACCATTTACATATCTAAATAATAATAAACAATGAGAAGTAAGATGTAAACAGGTTAACAAAAAACAAAACAGGTTAATTGTCTAACTAAATAAACACACCAGACATATAGTAATAATTAACAGGCTATGGAGGCCTTCAAGGGGAGCCATAAGTTAAACTGGTAAGGTTGATAATAGATATCCCTGCGCAAGTATTCCACGAGCGATAGGGAGTGGAATGCGGCAGGGATACACTCGAGTGAACCATTGAATAACCTCAGCGGTATTCAATGGTCATTGAGTTCTATCTATATAGTCTATAGGCTATTCAATGGCCATTGAATACAACTATACATGTAGGTTATTAAATGGCTGTATTCAATGGCCGTATTCAATGATATTTGCTTGTATTTGCATGTAGTTATAGAATACTTACATATATTTAATGTAAATAACACATAACAATTAGAAATATAAACACCACAATATGAGCTAACTAAATAAGCAATATGGGCTAAATAGTAATGAAAGGTTGTTAGGACAGGCTAGTTATAAGATCCTTTACATTCAAGGACCACATTTAGTAATCATAGTATTAATTAATACTATGTTTTAATAATAAAGACAGTTTTAGTACCTAAAAAAAAGTTGCTATTTAGAATAAGGAATTTTTAAGTGTTTAACAGCTAACCAAGATAATAAGACATTCACCAGATTTAACAGAGACAGGGGTTACATACGATCAGGATGCATAATACAATTTAATATCTGGACCTCGTTCCATTTGACTCTATGTTGTTGGTGGTTCTGGAGATGCTTCTGTGTTCGGATATACTTTTGGTTTCCGAAATGTATGACTGATTACAGGAACAATTGACTTGATAGACGACTCCTTTGGGCTGGATGGGATGAGTTGGTTTTAGTTTGCCATTGGCTTTTAGAATCTGTTTCAAGGTGGTAGGGACAGAGAAGGTGGTATCGATATCTGACTTCTTTAGTATATTGCTCACTTAGTACGTTAGGTTGCCATAAAAGGGCAACGTTATTCTAATGGGTGATTTTTCTTGTTTTCGATGGTCTATTCTGGTGTTTTTTCTTGTTTCACTGATCTGCTTATTAACTATTGATAGGGGGTAATTATTCAAACCACAAAACACATGGCGTAGGTTTTCAAATTCATCCTGCAGAAATTCAGGTTTTGGGGGGGGGGGGGGGGGGGTTGACACTATTTATTCAATAAATATTTACATATTATAAAAGTACATTATATGATTGTGGGATCTGAAAACAAGCCAGGGCTTATATAAATTCATCTCCCGAGTACATTATTTACAATAAAATATAAATACTTTGTATAAGATTGTAACCATAAATAACAAACTGGTATAAAATTACAAGGTTAACAAATGTTTATGGATATGGAGTTGAAATTGATATATTGATCTGTGTTGGTTGGTTTTCGATTATTTCGGTTTTCATCTGGTTTTGTCTTACATTGTCGGTAGATAATTCAGTTTCCAGGGGTACTTCAAGATCATCTATTCGAGAGCGGACGACTTCAATGGCTTCTTGACGGGGAACATTGGTAAAAAGATCAACCACACCGTACGACACAATTCTTCTAGGGCGGCTTATTTATTCTTATATCAAATACCAATTGCCAAGGGATATTTTCCATCCCATCCGGACGACTAGACAGCTGCTTGTGTCAGACCCTCCGTCTTGCACCACTGACAAGTGGTAACAACGCCAAAAAATCACGAACTTTCTAGGTCAACACCAGGACTGAACCCGCGACCTCCAGACTAGCAAGCCAGCATCTTACTCACTTAGCCACCGTGGCTCCCTCTAACTATAACACATAAGCATTGTATAACAGCTACATCTGACTATAACACATAAACATTGTGTAAACAGTACATCTAAAACAGCTACATACTATAGGAGTCATGGTGGCACAGGGTGTAAGGTGCTGGCTCTGGCTTGCTAACCAGCATATCCAGGGTTCAATCTTTCATGGGAAACAATGTATCTTTAAAGATACATTATGGGAGATTTTTATAAGGAGTTAGCCATTCTTGCTATAACAGTTCAAAAATAGATGAATATATTGATAATTTCAGCCAAATTACTTTATTCTGAACATAGTTATCACCAGTGTAATTTTTGACTAGAAATTGGATTGAATTTCATCTTCACCGATTCTTAGTATGGCCGATCGTTTGATTGACAGGTGTTAACTCCACCTACATAATCTCTGCTGTCTTTTGTCTGCTGTCATCATATCCGAATTTGTGTTTTACCTTTTTGAATTTTTATAACAATTGGAAAAAAATGAGTGAGAGGTTAAATTTTCATTCTTACTTGTATTTTAGGCATGCATTAAATCAATTGAATATAGGCCATAATATTATAATACAATTATGATAAATCTATAGGTATACACCAGTGCCTATTGGGGAAATAAAAATATTTTTATTGATATTATTAAGACAGAAGACCTGTCCATCTGTATTAGTCATCACACGGTCTGGAATTGTATAATTTGTCATTATCTATCTGTGTTTAGTTTATTGCACTTTAAATAGTTTAGATGTCATTTAAAATTAAATCAGTCAACGAAATCCCGTTTAAATCCAAGCTGAATCCAAGCCATCCGTGGGTCTACAGAGTTGATTTTGGGCTTGTTGTGTAAATCTAATTATAATTTCTATGACATATGAAGCCTAAATAAGGACTTGCAATAATCAGAGTTAGCTCTTGCATAATGTATGTTTAATATAGGTTATTCAACATAGGTATCTAATATACCAGTAGGTGTTTAGGTTAAAATAAGATAAAAATCTATATCAACACACTACATAGTTTATCTAGCATTTAGCTAGTTCAAATATTTTCTAATAAAATGTTCAACAACAATGCTGATATGTAACGTTATGTTATGCTAACATTTAAAATCCACAAAACTGGCACATAATAATAGGAGCTTTGACAGCAAAATGTTTCCTAAATAATTTTTAACCAAATGAACAAAATGTTGAAAAAGACTCAAAAATATCATTTTTAATGATTTACATGAAAGCTAAAAGTTTAGATTTAACAAATAAAAGAAATTTAAAGACTTAGATAAAGACCTGAGCAAAGTTTTGAGAGTTTTGACAAGATAGTCTTGACAGTCACATACAATTGCTATAACAATAAACCATGTCTCGATTATCCATTTTAACGTTAAATTATGAAATGTTAAAAGAGTTGTAATTCTAATCCATTAAATATTATGGCTATCCAAGGGCCAAGACTCAAGAGAGTGATTATTGGCTTGCCAAATGAATAAATGCCTAATTAATAATTCATATAACATTTGAAGAAAAAAAAAAGATCTGCAATAGGCAGATTTAGCTAATATAATGCATCTTTAATATAAAGCAGCTATTTCTAACCTATTTTTGTGCTCATATTGTAAAACAATGACATGCAGCTGCTGATCTATTTTCCTGTCACAGCTGTCCTAATCTTAAACATGTAGATAAATTTAGCTTTTCTAGTTCAAGATATATTATAACTCAAGTAATGAATAACAAAATATATATTATTTCTTGGTTTATTACACATAATGTTTCAATACTATAAATATGTTTCAACTGCTTTCAACTAGTTGTAAGCATGCTTATGTTAATCAAATCATCAACTAGCAAAAATTGAATTCGGAGAAATTTTGCGACTCAGAGCGGATAGCTACATGTATTACAATTTATTAAGTGATTGTTAATTCCCTGATCACATGATCAACAAAATGGGGAATTCCTTAGAAGATGCATCCCAATTGCAGGGTCTGTTTTGCCACAATTCTATTATTACATTATTGTCGACATCATCAACACTTGGTGTCTATGTTAGCTTCCATTTAGCCTACTTACACTGTCACATGCAATATTTCTCTTATCATGCGATGCTGTTTCCATGGATATGGATCTAAGTCAGCTGTGAGAGCACTTATATCCACGGCAAAGCTAGTTGCTGCTAGTTGAAACGAGTTACAGAAAGTTAACCAAGGGCAAAAGGCTTCAACTGACCGGAACCAGTTGCTTTGAATCGTAAGGAGCGCTCAAATTGACAATTTTCAGTTGAAGCCAGTTGCCAAAACACCAGTTGTAAGGTTGTGTATGACATACACAGTTTAAACAGCATTTAGTAAGTGAACATATTAAATTAAAACAACAGTTAATAGAGCTACATTCCTATACAAAGATTCTCTTGTCATTTTCAAGCATAAAGTAAATGCATAAAGTAAATTAAAAGTTGTAAATCCATCAAGTTATGTTTTTCTACTTATAATTTAATAAATCTAAGAGAGAAATGGGGTTTAACTTCCACTCGACACAGACTGGGCCATCTCGGGACCAACATATGGTTTAATTTCATTTCAATAATTCTCTTGCATGTAGGGGTCTTTAGCAGTGGGAGGAAACAGGAGGACCTGGAGAAAATCCCTGAGGAAGGACAGACGACCCTACTCCTTGTCACGTACAACCGAGGATTCAAAACCATGCCAGTTGACTCAATGACAGGCCTTATGATACAGCGCGCACATACTAACCATTCGGCCATCCGACCCCCGCCCTAATAAATCTAAGAATTTTACAAAAAAATCAAAACAGAAAGAAAATGACCGTCTAAATTCTTGGTCACTTAAAAAACATTATTCATCAATAACAAACTTCAAACATTAGGCCACACAAAAAACCATTCTGGTTCTCAAAAATGGGCTGTGTCTCTCGTTTTAATTTTTTAAAAATAAAAAGAAAGTTAATAATTTATGCAGGTTCATAATTCCCATGATCAAGGGAAGTAATTCTATAAAAATATTTACAAAATATTTAGAAAAACTAAATAAAAGTTAAATTTTACAAAAAAATATCAAATAAAAGTTTGGAGGAACATGTCAGTTTTTATTTCATTTCTAACAGTAAGAAAAATATTTTGGCTAATTCAAAATACATGTACCTCCTCAAGTGGACAATTATATCTTTTCCGAAAAATATGACCGACAGCATTCCCTGTCGGGAGACTGATGGAGCAGATGTCGATTTAAATTGCCAGCAAAATGCATGCTGTGACGTGATGTTGGCAAAACAAAAAATGATGGATTTTAAAACATTTTATTCAGGAGTTAATCTAGATGAAGTCACAGAGTTATTCAGCCGTTATTTCAAAATCTTATTATTTGTTTTTCTTATTAAGTGTTATTCTGATTTTGTCTGTTTCTTAAAAATGAAAAAAATCACCAGATTTTGAAAAATAAAAAAAACCCAAAATCCCCCTCCAGGCTCTGGCATCAATTTTTTTTGTAGAATTACCTGAGAACCAAGATATCATTTTTATGTGGCCTTACTTTAGACCTTTGGATTTTGAGTTTTAAAAGCAATTTCTAAAAGTCTTCAAGATGTCGACCAAAATTCTAGTAGGCCTGTGCAGTGTATATTTACCTTGGGATACATTGTTAGCTGTCCTAATGAAAGACCATTTTCCAATATAGCTTGCTCTGCCTAAATATAAAACAAATCATACTGAAATTATCTTCTCTTTATAACTTAAATGAGAGAGAGAGAGGGAGAGTTTAGCAAACTAGGTCATTATTGGGCTAACATATGATACAATTTTATTACCATAATTCACTTGTGGGTAGTGGTCTGAAGCCGTGGGAGGAAACCTGAGAAAACCGACCCTACTCCCCAGCTTCAATGGAAATGAATTATGCCACCTCGCAAGGTTGAATCCTGACACGCGCGAAGAACCTTATGGATTTTTTTCAAGTCTCACCTTGCGAGGCTGAGAAGTAAAGTGTGATTTGTTGTTAGAATGGGACAAAAAAAACACATTGGCAAGCCCATACCAGAACCCTTGACAGTTGGATATCAATGAAGAGTAAGAGGAAATGGTGCTGTCAGGGCAAAATTCCCCTTGTCTAAGAAACAAATCCAAATACTAGTATCTATGTGGCTTACTTGAAAACTGGTTGGTACACAGATCAGCTTTAAATTTTCTTTTTTCACTCTTTCAACTTCAAAAGTAGTAAATTTATTTTTTAGCTTTAAAATCATATTCAATATTTAGTTGTCATTACCTTAAAAATACTCAGCATCCATGTACATGTATGTTATTATGACACCTGATATCTAAGATAGGTTGCCAGGCAACGAAACATACGCCCACAACAGCTATATCGCCCGGACAGTCAACAAGAGTTGTCACATATTTTTACTTTTTTCGGTAATGAAACATTTATAATGCATTAAAATCTGATTAAGAGTAACAACTCATTAAGTAATTATCAGAAAACCATTAGAATTTGTTTAGTTTTTATAAAGTTATGTCCCATGCTAACGTTTAGTATACGAAACTTTTAACATCATGGATTTAGCTGTTTCAAGTCATAAAGATTCATTGAAAATCAATATACTTGTTCGTCTCAAGACCTAAAACTCTGTGTATCAATCTGAAGTCAATCGGATGATAACTTTAGCCTCTAGAGCGTCACAAGGTTTTTCAAAGTGATCAAGGGCCATAACTCTGGCAGTAATTATCCGAAATCGTTGAATATCAATATGATTCTTCATCTCATGGCCTCAAACACTGTGTATAAATTTAAAATCAATCGGATATTAACTTTATGAAACAGCATATATGCCCATACTGTGTCCTATGAGGGAAATTTTGCCCTGACTGCCGCACTATGACCTACACTTATTTAAAATTTCAATTGTCAATTCTAATTGACACTCGCCATGAACGACAAGATAGTGTGAAACCGCTTCCTGCCAGGTCCTCAGACCTGCACAATTGAAATGGGGAAATCACCTTCTACAGTACCAAGTTATAGACTTAAATCCTTTGGGTTTCGACGATTTTCCCATAGAGTGCCAAAACTATGGAACTCTTTACCCGTAAATCTCAAACTTCGCAATGTATGGAAACTTTCAAATCAAAACTAAAATCTTGTATGTTTGAATCCTTTTATAAAGAGTGAACTATAACACTGATGAGCTAAACAAACCTGCGCCATGAGCACACTGTTTGGATGGAATGCGTGCATTATAAATATTCATTATTATTATTACTATTCAGATAGTCTTCCAAATAGACAATTCGCAAGGTGGTAAAAATATATGTTTTAGAATTTTCCTAATTCAACTGAACTGTTACATCTGTGGTGTTCAGATTAGATTGTTCATGAAATCTGAGACAGATGTGAAAATCCATTTCTAATGTATGCATGTTTTAAGATTTTATAGCCATTACTCGCCATTAGTGATTTTCAGAATGTTGGAAATATTATGAAATTTGGTTCAACATCCTATTTTTCCTGTACCAAGCAGGCTGATGAGAGAAAGAGAGAAATGGGGTTTAATGTCCACTCGACACAAACTATGTCATTTTGGGACTATTGGGTAAGGGTCTTTAACAGGGGGGGAAAACTGAGGACCCAGAGAAAACCCATGAGGTTGGACAGGTGACCTTACTCCTCATCACGTATATTATAGGAATCGAAAATGTGCCGCTTGACACAATGATATAGGCGTTAACAGTTCTCAGGCTAATGAAGATGTGAGTTCAAAAAGAGGACCTGGAGAAATCCCATGAGGTTTGACAGGCGACCCTACTCCTTGTCACGTACAAGCAGGGAATCAAAACCGTGTTCAAACTGACACTTATGTAATGAACTTCACTCTTAATAGCTTGGATTTTCTGTAATTAGGCGAGTTTCAGGAAATGTTATATGAAAATAAATTAGAAAGTGATAATGTCTCTTTAAGTATGGTACAACCATGACAAACACATTAATACAAAATCTATTATACCTATTCTATCTATAGCATAAATAATAGTTGATCCACTGCCAATACCAATAACCTGATTATCCTGTAATACATAAAATCAATAATTAGAGAGCGAGAGGTTTAACATCCACTAATCACAAACCAGGTCATTTCAAGACTAACATAGGTTCAATCTAATTTCAATAATTTGCATGTGCATAGGGGTCTCTAGCAGTGGGAAATAAATGAAATGAAATGGGGTTTAACATCCTACTGTTCTGCACCTAAACTGGGCTAATAAAAACGGGCATACGTGTGCTATGAGGGAAATTTTGCCCGGGCAGCGGCACTACAGCCTACTGAGCCCACTCTTATATCGAATTCCAACTGCCAAAGGATCTTTTACGTGCAAGCCAATGGGTACACGGGACCTTGGTTTTTCGTCTCATCCGAACGACTAGACAGCTGTCCTTGTTAGGCCCTCCATCCTGCATCACCGACAAGGTGGAAACCACGCCGTAAAATCTGAATGAACTTTCTCGGCCAATGCAGGGATTGAGTCAGCGTCTTACCCACTTAGCCACGTGATCCCAGCAGTGGGAAGTAACCGAAAGGATCCAGAGAAAGCAGTGGGAAGTAACCAAAGGATTCAGGAGAACCAACAAGGTTGGACAGGTGACCCTACTACATGTGACATACAAGCTTGAGATCAAATCCCTACCACTTGTCTCATGATCTTATATACACACATTGGACCGCTCAACCCAACCCTCCGGTATGATATCGGATAGTTATTTGATTTGATAATACTTTATGTTGTTGATTTTTTATACTGCCAATGAAATTAATTTTTTTTTCTAAATTAAATGTTAGATAATCAATATGAGCAGTTTTCGGTGTGAAAATTTAAATATTGTCTGAAAAATGCAAATGATGATCAGGAATATGCGAGTGTAAATATATGACTAGTTTGTACCTTTATACCACCTACTATTAGGAACTGTAAATATTACCTGCTATGTTTTAAAATTACACAAACAAGCCAACAGTGAGGCTGATGTCCCCCGCCGAAATCCGCAAATAAATAGATGCCACATATTAATTAATCGCACATCTATTTTTTTCAAAAGTATCGAGCAATCAAACTGTTTATCAACTATACACTAAATTTCATCACTCTCTATCAGACAGAATCAAAGTTATATTGTCCCAAAGCATCGACCAAGGAAATTGCTTATCTCTGCTTAGCTTGAGATCGATATGTTAATCATTGAACTCAGTCAAGACGAACATCTACATCAAGTTTAAACATTCTACCTCAATTAGAAGCAGTGTGAACATTTTAGCTCAATTAGAAGGAGAGTTATTGTGTTCGGAAGTCTCGGCCAATCAAATTGCTTATCGCTCTGCTTACCCTGAGCAGAAAATGCTCATCATCGAACTTAGTCAAGGTACTGATGTAATAAAACTATACACCAAGTTTCATCACTCTCACTTAATTAGAACTAAAGTTATCGTGTCCCAAAGCATCAACCAATCAAATTGCTTATCTCTGCTTACACTAAGCAGAAAATGCTCATCTTCGAACTCCATCAAAGCATTGACCTAATATACACCCACACCAAGTTTGAACATTCTAGGTCAATTAGAAGGAGAGTTATTGTGTCCCAAAAAGTGTGACGGACAGACAGACGGACGGACAGGCAGGCGGACAGACAGACAGACGGACGAACCCATTTTAATAGTCCCCTGCTTTCTTCAAAAGGCGGGGGACAACTAAAGTTATCGTGTCCCAAAGCATCAACCAATCAAATTGCTTATCTCTGCTTACCCTAAGCGGAAAATGCTCATCTTCGAACTCCATCAAGGCATTGACCTAATCAACACATACACCAAGTTTGAACATTCTAGCTCAATTAGGAAGAGAGTTATCGTGCCCCAAAGTATCAACCAATCAAATTGCTTATCTCGGCTTACCCTAAGCGGAAAATGCTCATCTTCGAACTCCATCAAGGCATTGACCTAATAAACACATACACCAAGTTTGAACATTGTAGCTCAATTAAAAGTTATCGTGTCCCAAAGCATCAACCAATCAAATTGCTTATCTCTGCTTACCCTAAGCGGAAAATGCTCATCTTCGAACTCCATCAAGGCATTGACCTAATCAACACATACACCAAGTTTGAACATTCTAGCCCAATTAGGAAGAGAGTTATCGTGTCCCAAAGCATCAACCAATCAAATTGCTTATCTCTGCTTACCCTAAGCGGAAAATGCTCATCTTCGAACTCCATCAAGGCATTGACCTAATAAACACATACACCAAGTTTGAACATTCTAGCTCAATTAGGAAGAGAGTTATTGTGTCCCAAAAAGTGTGACGGACAGACAGACGGACAGACAGACAGACAGACAGACGGACGAACCCATTTTAATAGTCCCCTGCTTTCTTCGAAAGGCGGGGGACAATAAAGATAATAGAAGCACTGAAGGTGATATTACATTAATGTTTAAAATGGTAAAAAAAATGTAATATATTCTGAAAGATCCTACATATAAATCAATTTTTAATTAACTTATCAATTGATTCACGAAAAGATGTCTAATTGATTTTGAGAAAATATATGTAATACAAGAGCATCGCTAACGCTGCAATATACGTCCACATTCCAGCTTTGATTGATATGGTACTTTTTAAAATGAAGAAAATGAAATATGAAATGGCTGTAATATGATCAGAGGCAAAGAAGGCTAGGCGTCGGGTTTGTTTTGCCAAATTTACAGACAAAATACTAACAGTAAAGTGGGTGTGACACTGCCCCAAGAGGTCCGGGCAAGTATCAAAATAAATTGTTGCTGTCTTTATGGTATAAGGAATAAATATGCAAAGTTCCAAGATGATTCAGAATTGCAGCCTGTAGACGATAAATACAAAAACTGGGCGTGGCTCTGCCCATGGGGGTTGGATATGGAAACAATATAAACAGGTACCATCCTGTTATTGAAATGGCAACATCACTAGTTGCCGTCCTTAGGGTATAAGGAATAAGTACACCAAGTTCCAAAATAATCCATTCAGAATTGTGGCCTTTGGGCGTTAAAGGCAAAAATTGGGCGTTGCTCTGCCCCTGGGCGTTGGGGCATTCACCAAAATCAATAGTTGATGCCCTTAGGCTATAAGGAATACATATGCCAAATACCAAGTTGATCCATCCAGAATTCGGGCCTGTAAACGATATACATAAAAATTGGGCATGACTGCCCCTGGGGGTCGTGACATGCAGTTGTCGTCCTTAGGCTATAAGGAAAACATATCCCAAGTTCAAAGACAATCCATTAGGAATCGTGGCCTGTAGGCAACTCACAGAGACACAAAGAAAAAATGGGTGTGGCTCTGCCCCTGGGGGTTGGGCAATCACCAAAAAAATAGAGGTCAGCCTTGGGGTATAATGTATAAGTATAAAAAAGTTTTCAAGATGATCGATTAAGCATTGCAGGCTGTAGGTGACATACAGACACACAAAAAGAAAATGGGTGTGGCTCTGTCCCTGGGGGCTGGGCATTCACCACAAACAATAGGGATGTTCCTTAGGATAGAAGGAGTAAGCATGCAAAGTTTCAAGGTGATACGTTACGAAATGCGGTCTGTAGATAACAAACAATGAATATAAGAAATGGGCGTGGCTCTGCCACTGGGGGTCGGACATGCACCAAGAACAATAGGGATCATCCTTAGGGTATAAGGAATTCATATGAAATTTTTTCAAGACGGTCGATTAAGAATTGTGGCCTGTAGGCGACACACAGACACACAAAGAGAAAATGGGCGTGGCTCTGCCCCTGGGGGTTGGGCATGCACCCCAAACGATAGGGGTGTTCCTTAGGGTACAAAGAAAAAGTATGCAAAGTTTCAATATGATGCGTTAAGAAATGCGGCCTGTAGACGACAAACAAACAAATACAAGAAATGGGCGTGGCTCTGCCCCTGGGGGTCGGGCATGCACCAAAAACAATAGGGATCTTCCTTGGGGTATAAGGAATAAGTATACCAAGTTTGAAGAAAATCCAGTAAGAATTGCGCCCTGTAGGCGACACAAAGACACACGAAAAGAAAATGGGCGTGGCTCTGCCCGTGGCTCTGCCCCTGGGGGTTGGGCATGTACCCCAAACGATAGGGATGTTCCTTAGGGTACAAAGAATGTGTATGCAAGATTATAAGTTAAGAAATGTGGCCTGTAGACGACAAACAAACAAATACTAGAAATGGGCGTGGCTCTGCCCCTGGGGGTCGGGCATGCACCAAAAACAATAGGGATCTTCCTTGGGGTATAAGGAATAAGTATACCAAGTTTGAAGAAAATCCAGTAAGAATTGCGCCCTGTAGGCGACACAAAGACACACGAAAAGAAAATGGGCGTGGCTCTGCCCCTGGGGGTTGGGCATGCACCCCAAACGATAGGGATGTTCCTTAGGGTACAAAGAATGTGTATGCAAAGTTTCAAGATTATTAGTTAAGAAATGTGGCCTGTAGACGACAAACAAACAAATACTAGAAATGGGCGTGGCTCTGCCCCGGGGGGTCGGGCATGCACCAAAAACAATAGGGATCTTCCTTGGGGTATAAGGAATAAGTATACCAAGTTTGAAGAAAATCCATGAAGAATTGCGCCCTGTAGGCGAACCACAGACACACACACACACACACATACATACATACACACACACACACACACACACACACACACAGACAGGGGCGACGGCATAATACGTTCACATTATGAATGTGGACCTATAAAAATCTACTATTACTAATATATCCTATTTATAGTCAGCAGGACATTAAATAGGAAATAGGTCATTTTACTTAAAATTAACCATATTACATCCCTGTTTTCTTATCTTAGCAAAAATCAAAAAAAAATGCAAGTCATTATAGGTTATATCCTATTACGGTAAAATTTGGGGGGCTGACTATCATTTACAATGTAGAATTCCCTGATGAAATTCATCATCGTTCAATTGTTGCACATTATGTTTTACCTACACACGATATCAAACATGCCAGTCATCAATAAATGTACATTTATGAATCTACAACACTTTCAATCAACACAAATTCAACAGTGTTGTACCATATATACAGGTCACAATTCTATGGAATACAATTACTGCTTTTTACTGAGCGACGTTTCGACTAGGCTTTTCTAGTCAAAACGTCGCTCAGTAAAAAGCAGTAATTGTATTCCATAGAATTGTGACCTGTATACTATAGTTCAATTACTAAATGCCATTGAAACAGTTGTACCATATACTAGGCTAAAGCTATTACATGGTACTGTACTACCGTATTTGATCAAATAAATGCCCTGTCCAGCTAAACAAACGAAATGAAATAGGTTTAACCCCTTATATTACTTTACTGTCTAGACATGGCTAATGTATGAAGAGAGGCATACAACAAGCAGTGTACAACAAGGGAAATCGGATAAAAAAATTGTGACCTCTAGAGAATCCACAAGCTAAAAAACACGATTTTTTTGTACAATCAGTGGCCATAATCCCGAAAGTTACGATCAAATATATGCGAATATCGGAAGGAACCAAGATCTTTGGGTTATAACGTGTATTTTAAGTTTCATCAAAACCGGATCAAAATTGTGTTCTCTAGAGGGTCCACAACCTTGATATACCATATATTTACACAATTTGCGTACGAGGGGTGGCCAATTTGTTCGTCTGTTTTGGTCTGATTTTCATGAAATTCGAACTCAGTCATCATTAGGGTGTAACGGTGATACATGTATAACTGAAGAAGTGAGTATTTTTACTGACGAAATGTTGGATAAAACGATGGTTTTTGGTATTGTATTCTATTAATTATTGTATATCAAATCTGAATATCAAATGCATCATTTTGACTTAGTCAAAATTGATCCCATCAAACTACCTGTGCTACCTGTTTCTATTGATTGAAAGTTTCACATGGAAACGTGAGCGCATAATAAAAACGCAGATTGAGCCCTTGCCTCTTGAATAATGCCCCTTTCATAAACTTTCAGTCAATAAAAATGAAATGTTCTGTTTAATATTACCTACGTATATAAGACTGTCAACGAAATAAAATGCTTAAGAATTTGTGAATGCCTTGACGACACGACACAAAATACTTCATACATTTTAGCAACATGAGTATTGTAATGAAATCTTTACATCAACATAATTATATCCAAATCTCATATGTTTTGGAATTCAGATGTACTAATAAATCAATGCCTCCAAAATAATTGTGTAAGGATGCGGTAATGAAGGCTACATGATTCAGCAAAATGAGCAAGAAAAAAGGACAAAAACAAATTGAAATTATTTCATGAAACACCACCACCTAATTAATATTAGGCCTATTAAAAGTGTGGCACAATTTACCCAAATCAATCCTTATTTCAACTTACATAGACAATAATTTTTGGCCTACCGATATTTAATAATATACAGTTGTTTATGCTAAATTGTCATTATTTACAATCGTAACATTTGGTGTCAAAATGCCCCTCATAATAAGATTTCCAAGCAAGTTTGGAAGTAAATTGTAACCAAATTCATCATTATTTAACTCATATATCACAATAATTTCTAACGATATTAGATAATATATGCATACTATTCTTTATGCTAAACTGTCTTTTTGAATTTAAAATCGTAATGTTTTTTGTATCAAAATCCCCCCTGAAAATGTGGTTTCCAAGCAAGTTTGAAAGTTGTAACCAAGGGATGTAACTCGTGTATTGCACAAAATCGCTTGTTTGAAAACTGCATTTTGAGGGACTTTTTTTTAAACAATTAAGACGTAACGATTTTAAATTAAAAATGCCAATTTAATGAACAGTACCGGTATATTATCAAATATAGATATAAATTATAAATCATTATTATGACTTGAATTTGGGTAGAACGTGCTGCGGCTATTAAAAGTAGAATCTATTTACCTTTCGTTTTTAGGGTTTTTTTTTTTTTTTAAGGCTTGGCACCGTTACTGTCAGGGCGAGTGTAACAGTCTAACACGAGAACTGACGTTCAGAACTAAACTACCATTCAACGATCCTGCAAGTTAATCCATTTTATTCTATAACTACATGCAAATACAAGCAACCATCATTGAATAATAATAATAATAATGTACATTTGTAATTGCGCTCACTCCATCCATATTGCATGCTCTAATTAAGTGCATGGAAGATAATAGCTAATCCTGATAATAGGTAACAACCTATGGTCGTATTTAATGGCTTGTACGCATACTCCAGAATGACGTCACTTTCAGAATTACGTCAAACTGTAATGAAGTCACCAGCACTAGCAACCACAATTTTTGTAAAAAAAAGAAAGAAAAAAGGGCAGAACCTATGATGAATTTTAACGTTATTGGTGATTTTGTTTTTGATAATCTGAATAGTATTTTTTTTAGTACAGTGTATTTTGAGATGTACATGTAGTTATAGAACATCTCAACGACCATTGGATACCGCTCGGGTCATTCAATGGTTTACTCGAGTGTATCCCTCTCTTGAACCATTGACTAACAAGAGGCCGAGCGGTATTCATCAATGGTCATTAAGTTCTATCTATTTCTTGGTGAAAGTGGTTCAATAATAGACACCAGGTCAATTATTACGTCAAATACGGTATCTGAACTTCCACAAACGCTCCTGCCTATGTTATTTTTTAAGCCAATGTTCAATCGAGTCCATTTCACGCAATAGCGGATAATGAAAACATTTATAAATAAACATTCGAACATTTATTTACTACGTTACATTCAATTGATAAATTTATCGTATAATAATACCTTTACATGATCATCAACTGCCCGTACAGCCGCAGCTTTTTTACCCGCTTTTATGCCTTCTTCCATTTTAACTGTTGACAGTCCTGGTTTACCCATGAATACAAATAAATTGTTAACGACCCGTGAACTTCGATTTGTCAACAGCTTTGATGGCATGAAACGGAACCACATGGCCTCGTCAATACAATAAACAGGTTGCTACAAATTTAATAACTAATTCATTCGGAAACAAAGATATCAGTTAGCCTTATCTGCCTTATAAACCACGATTCAAGGTATGCTGCTGCTGATGTCATATGACCGCATTTTTGTTTTTAATTTTAAATAAATAGTATGTTGTGGTTTTATTGGGGGAAAATTGTTTATGTTCATTTTCGTTTCGGTTTATTTACAGTAGATCTCCGAATATCCAGACTCTAGCAAGATGTATACTCAATTACTGGGAATAGTGGGCTAAATCTATTTGTTAAGGCCAACTCAATTTGTGTCAAGGTTGCTGAATTTAGGACACGCACAGAGTGTATTTTTACTCTGTGGGATATGTGATTGTTGGCAAGATTGTAGGTTAGGGTAAGCATTGGGGCGAGGTCCAAGGTTAGGGTTAGGGTTGGGATTAGCGCTAGCCCTGTTTACATCTCGTGACCAATGACGAAAAATTGAGCTGGCCTGAATCTACCAGATGAACAAAAGCGCAAGGCACTGAGCCAACTTAGACTCGGTGCACATAAGCTTGAAATAGAGACAAGATGGCATAAAAAAAAACAACTTTTCTCCACAGGGCACTGGAATAAGAGGACCTGTAAAAATTATACTAGCGGAGAAGTAGGAGATGAAAAGCACGTTCTTCTCCATTGCTCCGCCCACAATAATCTTTGGAGAAAGTTTTTAAGTCGTCACATAAAATCTAGTTTGAATGATTCAATAATGCATATATGAACGCTGATAAATGTATATATACAAGATGTTGCAACGTTCGTATGTTTAAAAATAGACATTATAAATACCATTTGCTATTATAAGGCCTATTATCCTTACTAACATTATGAATATAATTTAATATACTTTTAGAAACCTCTGTAAACCTTTTTCTATGTTTTTTGATATTTATTATTGTTTTTCTATGTTTTTTGATGTTTATTATTGTTTTGTACTTTAATTGTATTGTACTTTACCATACTCGTGTTATATTGACCATGTAAGTTGTGTAATAAAGCATTATTATTATTATTATTATGACGAACCGTAATACGATTACTAGTAACAGTCCTACGGTACAGAAGCCTACATCAGTTTAAAAGCTTAAAAGAAAATAATGTCCTTTCTTTTATAGCTCTTTTCTGAAATAACACATATGGAGATAAAACTATGGTGGCTGAAAGCGTCCATTTAGATCGGCGGGTTTCTAGATGCAACGCGAGAGTCGCCGTTAAGCCAGCACGACGAAAAAGGCGCCGATCGGCGACTTTTTCGTCGTAGGCCTACTAGCTTAACGGCGACCCGCGACTTTCACAACACGAGAGTCGCCGTTAAGCCACGCGACGAAAAATTCGCCGAAAAAATCGGCGCCTTTTTCGGCGACTTTTTGGTTGCTCTGGGTTAACGGCGACTCTCGCCTCGGAAGTTTATAGTTAGTTACATGCGCAATGGCTACATTTTACGCACACAGATCACCAAATATTTCTACGCCGTCACCCACCAATGTAGGGCGAAAGTTATTTTTAGTCTTTCTCTCCCTTTCCCTTTTCCCCCTTTTGCATAGCGATTTTTGGTGTAGAATCGAAGAAAGGGGTCTGAAAATACATTTTCTGCCAGGTTTTGGTAAATATTCATGATTTTGAGAGGTCAGTTAGGTTGAAATGTAGAGCCGAAAATTGCATATTTACTTGTCTCTACTTCCAGCTTGTGTATTTCAAGTTTTTCATGGTGAACCTCATACATGCTTTTGTGCAAGAGTTTGCCACATGTTGCTCCATCTGGTGGCAGAAAGCGTTCTACCCAACGAAAATTTTGGAAAAAGTGAGAGCCGGTCTAAGATACGAGAATGGGGAAATATTGAGTGAAATAAAGACGTGTACATTTTAAATCTAATTCCAGTGTAACTAAACAAGTTTTGAAAGTACACGTGTCTGTAACACTCATAAATTTTAATTTGCCCTAGTGTCACTGAAGATGTTGATATAGCTCGACAGCCCAAACTCATCCAAAATCTCCTCCATTCTGATTTTATATACAAGAAGTAAAATGTAGCCATTGCGCATGTAACTTACTATAAACTTCCGAGGCGAGAGTCGCCGTTAAGCCAGAGCGACGAAAAAGTCGCCGAAAAAGTCGCCGATTTTTTCGGCGACTTTTTGTCGCGTGGCTTAACGGCGACTCTCGCGTTGTATCTAGAAACCCGCCGATTTAAATAGATGCTTTCAGCCACCATCTAAAACAACGTAAAATTATGTAAGATTTAGTTAAAGAGCTGACCGTTCTTGCTATAATAAATTATAGTTCAAAATGGCGGATAATGCAAAATGAATATTGAAATTTTCATTCATTTCAAATTACTTAATTATTCTGAGCGAAGATATTATAGCCTTTGAAGGTTTGACCATTTGATCTATATATTGACAAGATGTGTCACTGATTTCGAAGCTTTACTAGATTAAATCATTAAATGGCTGAACCGTTCAAATCTAATCTACTTAAAATCGGACCTATCTGCAATGTCATGTGAATAAATGTCTAATCAATATTATGGTTTATGTAACATTTAAGGCCCAAAGAAAGACCTGCAATAGGCAGATTGCTCTCAATTGCATAATGCCTGTTAGAGTAACTGCGCAATAAGATATCATGTGGTAAACTGGTCAGACGTAAACATTCGATTGGGCTTTCGCATTACCGCTATGAAATAGAGTATTATTAGTGTGTGTGTGGGGGGGGGGGGGGTCGTTCGTTCATAGGGTTTTATATCCGCTTCCACCTAGGCCGATACCGCACACAATGATCATTATATAGATCCAGTGACGTCGGGGGTGGGGGGAGAGCATCGATTATCAAGATTGCAAACAGTTTTTCATACTATTAATAACCCTGGGACCACTATTAGCTTCTCAACCTGTACATGATTACAAATGTACGCTATTGGACGTTAAAATGGCAATTTATAACAATAACAACAACAACGAGTTTAAATTTATCCAATTTCTGATATGCTTTCTTTTTCTTTCATTTTTTTTTTTTTTTTTTAAGTAACGTTTCAAAACATGTCATTGAATTTAAAGGGAAAAACACTGTACCTTTTAATTTAACTGATGGCCTAAATGTTATAATTCGGTCCATATAATAATAATAAATAATTTGTAGAGTGCTGAGTGTTCAGCTAATAAGCTGCAGGTCACTCTTTACAATAAAAATACATAGAACGCAAAACAATAGTTTTTAAAACATTAAAATGTCACCATTTTCAAAGTTTAAAAGCACTTTAAAAATATGCGCCACAAATTACCACTGACATCCCAGAGTTTGTCGATCCGATACTGCCGGTACATCCAGATTCTTAAGCGGTGGACACACTAGCCGAATGATTCGGCATCGAAATTCGCCTAGTGTGTCCTCTGTCATTCGGCCCAATGATTCGCCCGAATCAAACAGGTTTGATATATTTGGTCAAATTATAGTCGCATGGTGTGTCCGCTTTCCCCGAAGTAGAATTCATTAGCCAATCACCACTCATCATCCACTCATATCGAGAAGTCACGTGATTGTTTGAAGACATAGACGCCGCCATGTTTAATCATGTAACGTGAAACTTTGTGACACAATCACAGTTTTACTCTGTGATGCGATCGACTGGTGAATCGGGCGAAGCATTCTGCTAGTGTGTCCACCCATTCGGCCGAATAAAATTCGGCGCCGATTGATTCGGCCGAAAGATTCGGCTAATGTGTCTACTGCTTTAGTCGATGGCAGAATAGGAAGCAGTGGAGTCAAATATAGACAAGATATTTTTTCAAATTTTATTTTATTAAAAATTTTAAACGTGTCATATTTCTATGGTGGTTGGTGTAGGACACGCCAAAAAAAATAATATCTCGAGATACTAAGTCGAGCGCTCGAGATAATTAAGTCGAGCGCTCGAGATAGGCTAATTAAGTCGAGCGCTCGGGATAGGCTACTATTACTAAGTCGAGCGCTCGGGATAGGCTACTATTACTAAGTCGAGCGCTCGAGATAATAGGCCTACAATCGAACACATCTCAACCAATGCTTTAAGCTGTATAACCTAACCTTGTGCATTATTTAATGATAAACTTGTAGAATAAAGATATTCATTTGTTCGTTTTTACAGCCCATTCAATTATCCCGGGCGCTCGACTATATTTGTTCTGGAAATATAGGGATCACACTGGTTCTGGAATTCGCTAAGCTGGCCATTTTTGTGGAGCATTTGCATTAATAGAATTTTTTTTAGGTTAGAACCGACTTAAAAGGAAAGGAAATAGGGAAATCTACATATGTAACTTACCCACATTCTGAGAGAGAACCGTCAGCACCACGCTTACCGAATTTAAATAATTTTTCTGCATTTTTAAAGGCTTCCGTGCACCTTTCCAGCTCAGCAGCATCACATCCGCTTGATCTATTAATACTGATACCTGTAGCAAATAAAACAACTTAACTTCCAATGCAAAATTCTATCATTCGGCTGAATATGGTTGATAAATGGACATGACTGTTGTGAGGGCAGTGGTTAAAGGACTTTAATATCAAGGGAAATACAATATTGTACAGTCTTTCGAAATAGTAGACTCAGGGTTCGAAAGTACATTTCACTTGGATTTTTGTTTGTTTGAATGCGGGCACCAGCTATATAATGGTGCAGTAGACTAAATAAGCACGTGGGAAGTTTCGGAAATGGAATTGGGCTTGACGTACAACTGTTATACGCAGGGGCGTACATAACGATTTTGTTTGGGGGGGGGAGGGGTGTTTAGCGCAAATGCGACCGACTGATGCCCATACCCCTAGTACGAGTGACACAGTCAGGAACCGAGCACCACAGGTGCAAGTTTTGTAGGGGCCATGTGAAATAGCGGATCTAGATAGCGGTAGGGGGGGGGGGGGGTGTCCAAATCTAGGGCGCGACCTCAGCCACAATCCCACACCACAATGAATGTCAACAAAATACTGGCTATAACATTAAGCGTCCCGGTAGAACATAGATGGTATTGTATAATTATATAGTTGTTTGCCGATCGTTGTCTCGCTGGAAAGCAGTTTTATTTAAGTTGACATAAAGTTTATGTCATATATGATGGTTGTGCCTATAACACTGAGCAACCTGAGAAAATTTTGAAAAATTGAGTCAATATCTTAGCATTTGAGGTCATTGCTGGGAGAAATTCTTGTGGACGAGGGGGCCAGAAATGTGAGTCAATTAGACAAAATCTCGAGATCTACCCCCTGTCAATTCCGCCTGTTTTGCAAGAGTTGACAGAGCTTTTGTATAGTCTGACGCCCCACGACCCAGTGCCAGTGGTACTACTAACATAACTAGGCAGTTCAGTATAACCGTGAATATGGTAGTGCTAAGACAGCATAAAACAACAGAGGAGTGGAAGAATGATGTTATAATGGAATCGAGCGCCCTAGGCGCGAAAAAATTTGAGATGTGTAACCGAGCTTTTAATTTTTGGGACTGGGCCTGATAATTTTAGTCAATGTCATGGCAAATGGATCCAAATTCTCGTTAACGAGAGGATAAGAAATGGGACAGAATCTTGAGGCCTATCTGTCAATGTCGCCTGTTTTGTGAGAGTAGAACTAACAATTCTACAGTCTTTTGACCCACGACTCACTCACTAGTGGTACTACTAACTGGGCGATTCACTGTAACTGTGAATATGATAGTGATGAGATAGTAAAAGTCAGAGAAGGAGTTGAAGAATGATGGCATAATGGAATTGAGCGCCGATATGTAACTGAGCTTTTAACTTTTGAGGACTGGGCCTGAGGGCACTTTACCTCAATGGGGCGCTTACTTGGTCTCTGAAATGCCCTGGACTTTGGGGAGAGATTTTGCAGAATTCTGATGGTCAGAAAACACCCCATTAATTCTTTTAGTCTGCGACCGACTGCGGTGAACTCACTATTTTTGAGACCGACTATTTTTTTGCCATGGGGTGAAAAACATTTTTTTTCAAACATGATAAGTCGACAAGGTTATTTTATACTAAAGTTTTGCGTGAGTAGAGTGACGTGTGCAGTGAGCATTTATTTTGATACCGACTGCTCATATCTTACGACCGACTGCACTGATTTTGCGACCGACTAGTATTTGGGATATATTCTGGCATTATTTGTTTACCTCATTAATTTATTAAGACGGCGATGCATAATTTTGAGACCGACTGCAGTGACTGCATTTATTTTGAGACCGACTATTTTTCTCCCTGGGGGAAATTTTGTTCTTAGACCTACATACTCACAACAGAATAAGAGTGAAACACATTAAGTTGACAAGGTTATTTTATACTAACGTTTTGCGTGAGTAGCGAGACGTGTGCAGTCAGCACTTATTTTGATACCAACTGCTCTTATTTTGCGACCGACTGCACTGATTTTGCGACTGCTCTTATTTTGCGACCGACTGCACTGATTTTGCGACCGACTATTTTTTTTCCTGGGGGGGGGGGGGTGTACCACTTGGCATGCTTGTTCCTTGGACAATTGAACATCGAGTGACGGCACACGACCCCATTCCATTTCATTACTTCTAACGTTACTGATATTCTGTGTGAGTGTGTATGTTGGGGGGGGGGGGCTCACTAGGCCCGATTGCCCAGCCTATAAGGGCGGTACGCCCAGATTATCGGTAAATGTCGGAATTGGAAGCAGTGCGGCAAGAACTAAAGACCATATCTTTACAATATTTTTTTTATTTAAAGTTACAAACATGTTATATTTCTCAACTTCAATAATTAGTCACTAGTCACTAAACATATCACACTAGACCTTGGCTGTGAAAACACAATATTAGTTGTTAGTTAGTTTATAGTGGTTATTGTACTGCAGACAGAACGGGTTACGGATATAACGGCCATATACCATAACGGCCGACAAATTTGGTCAAAACAGCAAAAATATTAGCCGATATGAACAAATTATTGCCATTTTGATTTTTGACCAAAGTGAATTTTGGTCGTTATCGTTTATGGCCGTTCTGACCTAATCCCGACACAACACACAATAAATCCACAGCAGACTTATAAAGTTTGAATCAACAGTTAAAAATTTCATCAAGAGATCTAAGACCATGGCGCATGATGTCTTTCATGGCGGATGCCGCGCCAGGCGAACACACACGTAGGGTTTCATGAGCAACACAATCTGGTATTCTTCCCACAGAACTGCATTGAAAAAGAAAACAAAACTAGTGGGCAGTTTTATTTTATTTAAAAAAAAAATCAGAGAAACTTTAAAGTTACAATTTCATATTTTCTAAGAAAGTCAAAACATAATTATTTCTATGTCTTTTGTTAATAGGTTGTCAACTCACTATTATACGATCATAGGTGTCATTCTCACTCTTAAAAATCATAACACCAGAAATAATAACACAATTACCTCCCAATTACCTCCCTTGTTTTCATATTCCCCACCATGGAATAGCTATCTCCAAACGTTTGAATTTGAAGTTGAAAATGATATTTTTGCCAATTTCTCAACTGGCAATAGTGAATTATAGGATTAATAGGATTATTCTTTAACAAGGTAGGACTGTTTATAGATACTATCTATTTTAGGGCTTTATATTAATACATTTTAAAAATAAACTTAAAAATATGAAATTGTAACTTTAAGTATTGAGCATGTAACTGGAGAACCGAGGAGCCGACCCCAAAATGTCACATTTTCAACTATATTCACTTTATCAAAAATCAATCAAAATGTCCATTTGTTTTATTTCAGGTTTTATTAACTTTATATTTAACATTCAGTTGATTTGGCTCCACCCATTAGAATCATAACCACCGCATTATTAATTTATACAAATGCCAAAAGAAAAGAAAGCCGAAAACGTAGCTAATATACTGTCACTGGTTGCCGTACATGGGTGCCGCTGTGGCTCAGTGAGTAAGACGTTGGCTCACCTACCTGGCGTCCGTGTTCGATCCCGGTGTTGGCCGAGAAAGTTCGGAATTCGATATACATGTAAGAATAGGCCGTAGCGCCGTTGTCGGGGTAAAATCTCCCTCATAGCACACTGTGTGGCAAAGCCCGTCTTTATTGACCCAGTCGGGGCATAACAATAGGACGTTAAACCGACTTTCTTTTCATTTTTCGCAAGCTTCCATCAAAGATGATATCGTAGACATTGCTTGAAGTGATATCCCTTTTAAACCTTACCCCCCCCCCCCAACTTCCGAAATTCCCTAATAAATCATCACTGTATCTTATTTACATGACAATTTAAATATAAACTAATTTTAGACCATTACTTACCTACAAGCATCACCAGATGAATTCATATCAGACTGAAAGTTTTTAATACAAGTATACACAGCATCTTCTACATCTGGGTTATCAAAACAGTCCATATTTGCTAAAGTTTCTGAAAATACAGGAATAGATATGATACATTATCTTAGGGCTGGATTAATGGGTGAAGGGGGAATCCGGAGAAAACCCGCCAGGTTGGACAGGCGCCCTTCATATATTTATGTGAGGTTAAAACCTAAATAAAGAATCCTACATGTTTTGGCGTGTTTTTAACTAACGACCCCGTGACACGTACAAGTTCTACAACCGGGGAATCGAAACCACGCCAGTTGACTCAATGACAGACCTTATGATACAGCGCGCACGTGCCATGTAGGAATATATTTGCTTCTCAAAACATTGCCAGGTCATTTGATAAAGAAGCCATGGCTCATGAACAAGATGTCCTTGTTCAAGCTTGTTTCCAGCTTCCTAGGGACAATGCTTGCGGGCTGGCAAGGAAATTATGTCTAGCCCTTCCCATGGGACGAAAACCGAAGTTCACCCGTGTACACATTGGGTTGTATTTATAAAAAAGTTGGAATACGACGAAGTCCATGACATAGATTAACGTATGCTAATTTCAAATTAACTCCTATCTTGATAACCGATACCAGAAGGATGCACTTTTACATTATTATATATTTTTACTTACCATTTCTACCACCACCACACATGTAACCAAATGAATCTACCACTAATCTAGCACTGAACCAAGCTTCTGTTCCAGCACAATTAGCTAGAAGATTATTTCTATTCAAACAAGTAACCATATCATTGTATAATCTAAAATAACAATAATAAATTATTTCAACAAGTAACCATTTCACTATATAATCTAAAATAATAACAGTAAAAAAAAAATAGTAACCATTTTCGCCATATAATCAAAATATTAAAAATAATACCAAGTAACCATTTTACCATATACTCTAAAATAAAAATAATAATAAGTAATCATTTCTAAGATATTAAAAATAATAAATAATCATTTAACTACATAATCTAAAATAAGGATAAAAATAATAAATTAGTTTCGTACGTAACAACTTTCGCTGTATAATCTAAAATAACAAAATAATAAGTAACAATTTCATTGTATAGTCTAGAATAATGAAAATATAATGGATTATTTCCAAAAGTAACCATTATATAAAATCTAATATTAATCTATAATTAATTGAAAAGGTACGCATTTCACTAAATAATCTGGTAATGAAAATAATGATAAAAATTTTGGTTGAACATTAGTTCTGAAAACGCGGCAAGCTTACTCTTTTTAATAACAGCTTTATAGATAAAATTCACTAGGTTTATTAAAGACTAACATATGACTAACATATGGTTCAATTTTATTTCAATAATTCGCTTGCACGTAGGGGTCTTTAGCAGTAGGAGGAAACCGAAGGACCCGGAGAAAACCCACGAGATTGGACAAGCGACCCTACTACTTGCCACGTGCAACCGTGGAATCAAAACCACGCCAGTTGACTCAATGACAGACCTTATGATACAACCGCCATTCGGTTACCCCCCCTCCCTTCCCCCTCGCCCCCGTTTATTAAAGGAAGCAAGTCTTTATCTCAATATCATCCAAAATCTTCGACATTGGTTTATTTAAATCAACATTGATGTTATCTTACCGTGAAAAGATGGGCTTCTGATGAGCATTGTAAAATTGGCACGCGAGTCGCGCGCCAGGATGCTTTTGGGTGTCATTTGTAATGTAGCGACTCGAGAACGAAACTAAACATATCCCACAATACCGGTGTAGACTTGAATAACCATGCGCCAAAGACTGCTATTCAATTTGGACGAATCGCGTACTCGCCGAACATAACTGGTTAGTTTATATACATTCATATTACATTATTATATGCGTTGCGACCCATTTGTGTTCATTTCTAGGCGCCAAAGTATAGCGATTTAACGCCTTAAAAAGCAACGTTTCAATGACGGTACTCTCACCGTTGTCAAGCAATGATACAATCAATGTGTGTGAAATAGCTTTATTTAACGCCCGCTTCCAATCAAACATGTTACAGAGGGTTAAATGCAAACGGTTAACAATAAACAAATTAACAGATGGAAGCCATTCAAAGACCATTTGATATGGTGTTAAACGGTAGGTCTTCCTTCTTTTTTAAGAAGGTATACTATCCTATTAATTATTTAAAAAAAATTAGGTCTGAGGTCGGACTAATGTCCAACACCGTATCAATTCCGGTATTTGTTAATTTGTTTATTGATATTCATAAAGCTCTCTATTTAGATCGCTTTCAATAAAAATGCCTTTTACTATTTTCATTTACATTTATTCTGGAAATGTGCTAAGGTAATCACGTTTGTTCTGGAAAGCAACGAGAATATATTTATTTAACTTACCCACATTCTGAGAGAGGACCGTTGGTACCACGTTTACCGAATGTAAATATTTTTTCTGCATCTGTCATGGCTTCCGTGCACCTATCCAGCTGAGCAGTATCACAGCCACTTGATCTCCTAATACTGGTACCTGTACCAAATAAAACAACTTAACTTCCAATGCAAATTTCTATCATTCGGCTGAATATTATTTATTACGGTTGATAAATTGACATGACTGTTATGAGGGCAGCGGTTAAAGGACTTTAAAATCCGTGAAAAGTGCAAAGGGAAGTATTTCTCGAAATAGTAGATCCCCCACCCCCCACTCCCGAGTTCGAAAGTAATATTTCATTTCGATTTTTGTTTGTTTGAATGTGGGCATCAGATATAATGGTGCAGTCGACTAAATAAGCAAGGGGGAAGTTTTGGAAATGAAATGGGGAGTAACGTACTTTTTTTCTATTCCATCATGGACTATTGCAGATGGGGCCGATGGAGGAGAACGGCTTACGTCGACGAAAATGCCCACGCTCATACCTTAGAAACCGTGCTTGACTTCGGCTCATAACACAGGCGGTCCAGCAGTTTACCGAGAAAGTGCTTCTAGAATTTTCCACGTGGTTTCACCATGTCAGTGGTGTAGAAAGGGGGTTCTGGAGATAAATATCTTCTAGTCATTCGAATGGTACGAAAACGTAGAATGGGTGGAAAAGTGTCTGTCCGGAAAAATTTTTCCTCATAGCACTATGCATGATGTAAGCCCGATTTCATAATCCCGGTTGGTACAGAAAGGTAAGACGTTAAACCCCATCTCATTTCAGTAACCGGGGGGGGGGGGGGGGGCTGAATGGTTAGCGTGCGCGCGCTGTATCATAAAGTCTGTCATTGAGTCGACTGGCGTGGTTTCGAATCCCCGGTTGTACGTGACAAGGAGTAGGTACGCCTGTCCAATTTCGTGGGTTTACTCCGGGTCCTCCGGTTTCCTCCCACTGCTAAAGACCCCTACGCGCAAGCTAATTATGGAAATAAAATTGAACCATATTATGTTAGTCCCGAAATGACCTAGTTTGTGTCGAGTGGACGTTAAATCCCATCTCTCTCTCTCTCTCTCTCTCTCTCTCTCATTTCAGTAACCACAATGTCACTTTCAAATGCACCTACATGGATACATTCCATACAATAAATAAAAGATTGAACCATTTACTTACCCAATGCTGTCGAGATCAAACATACTAAAGTAAATAGATATACAGTGTTCAACATGGTGATTTTATACGAAACTGTTCGTTGGTAGGCTTTGCTAGATTTCAAACAATTCTCTTCCCCAAATGAGCCACAAAACGTAAAGTTTTACTGTGTCTATGTGTTTACAGAGTCTGTGAATTTTCAAGCACACGGAGCTCAAATTTATATACAAAAGTTTTAATGGTTATCAACTTTGATCTTTGAATTATTATTTATATTACCAATGATTAATATAAAAATTATTATAGAATAATATGGTAATAAATAATAATTTGATGTGTCACACTTAGACAATTTCTTATATGATTCATTTAACACTCATATATCTAAACTCTATGCCAGATCGGGGGATTGGGTGGCCGAATGGTTAGCACGTGCGTGCTGTATCATAATGCTTGTCATTGAGTCAACTGGCGTGGTTTCGAATCCACGGTTTTACGTGACAAGGAGTAGGGTCGCCTGTCCAACCTCGTGGGTTTTCTCCGGGTCCTCCGGTTTCCTCCCACTGCTAAAGAGACCCCTACGCGCAAGCGAATTATTGAAATAAAATTAAACCATATGTTAGTCCCGAAATGATATAGTTTGTGTCGAGTGGACGTTAAACCCCATTTCTCTCTCTATATATATGCCAGATCAACAATTAAAGGAATTTACAAAATGTGCGACCCCGACTTTCATGCCCGATTGGGAATTTGAAAATGATGCACTAAGAACCCATTAATATCGATTGCCAGCTAATAACAATCGGAAGGAGGTTTTTTTTCGTTTTGGTTTTGAAATATTTATATTTTATATCATACTTTTTCAGAATGTTTCTTGGTGAGGTTCTGGGATGGGGCAACCAGGATTTAACAATTTGAAAGTACTTCGAACCCGGAACATTGTAATAGTGATTAACTCATATAAATCAAATTGGCTGGGTTTAAAAAGAAAATGAAATGAATTAACTCCTGATTTAACATCACTTTTTCTGCCCCAACATCCGAGCTAATGACGACGAGTATACAGTATGCAATGTGTTATGAGGAAAGGTTGTCCGGTTTGTCGTCCCATCCGAACAACTTGACGCTTTTCCTTGCCACGCCCCCGCACTACACGACTGGCAAGGGGCAACCCCGCAGGCAAATCCCTAGGAACTTTCTCGTCCAATACCGGAATTGAATCACGGACCTTCGGGTTAGTGAGCCTGACTATAGAATTTCAGGAGAAAGTAAATTAATATGGTATGTTTTGCACCTTGAACTGCTCTTGAAGCGCTAGTCATCTTGTCATTGTTGTTCTTGTGGGAGTTGTGGGGAGAGTGGGGGGGGGGGGCTCCTCGAAAAAAAAAAAAGCCTGAGTTCGACATGAAACTTGGCATGCTTGGTCATTGGAAATTGCTCCTTAATTGATGAATTTATATTCCAACATGGCAGTGATGACGTCATACTCAGCTCCTGGTTCATACTATACTAGTAAGTGCAGAGGACTGCACATGACACAAACAATTTAACAGGACAAATCCACGGACATAACACACTACCCAGAAATCACGTACCAACGTACATATCACATTAAGTGAATGGTTGGGGGGCCAACCGTAAGCGTCCACTGCTCTGTACAGGCTTCACAGACTTCACTCAAACTGAAAACAAACTAACAATAATAGTCCATGTGGCAGACCTCGGATTTCGGAGTATCATTACCAATTTGATGAATAAATTCAACCATGATTTTCAGTTAGCCTGGTGCCCGAAGTGTTCAAATTTGGTTGATGGACTTCCGGGTCACTTTGCTAAATGCCATTTTGGCGGCCATCTTTAAAAATGGCCGCCGTTTTTTCATTGAAATTGAGCGCGTCAAGGAAACCTTCATAACTCTTTCACAGATTGACCTATTGATATGGAATATGGCTCAAAATGTTCGCAATAACATTCTACAGCTGCTGTTATATGACACATGTTGGTGAATGAATCATATATTTTCCAAATCAACAGATTATTCTGAAAAAAGCAACGTTTTGGCATTTTTTTTCAAGATTTATTTTAAAAGTTTACTACCAAATCATGTTCAGGGTAAATTTAGCCAAATTTTGTGTCTGGTCTTCTTAAGTTATTCATTTGGCATAAATAAATACGGTCAGTGACCCAGTCTGTACAGCTGCGGTGGCCGCAAACTCAACAAAAGTCTTGAGTAGACTGTCAATTTTAAAATGTTGTGCCTCGGCGAGATAGGGTACTAACCATGTGAACGTTTATTTAGGGTTGTCGCAATCACACCGATATTTAGGGACCGGTTGTTTCTGAAGAAAAATTTGTCACTGAAGACGATTTTGATAGTGTGTCACTTCTGTGACGTCATTTTCGGTTGAATCCGTCTGATTTCCAAAATGGTCGCCAAAATTTGACGAAAAATGAATTTCTTGTTAGGATGGATGAGTATCACGCAAGGTAAAACTTGTGATATATCATATATAGGGTTTCCGTAGTCATTGTACTTACAATTGATCTATAAAATTAGTTTCCCAAAATCCAAGATGGCGAAAATTCAAAATGGCAGTCAAAATTTGCCTAAAATGATCGATGCCTCGGATAATCGTCATTTTACAGTTTGATATGCCCTGTAATGCCGCTTAAGGGGTTTTCGATGTCACAAAACTTAAATACAACATCTAAAAAAAGGATTTCCAAAATCCAAGATGGCTAAAATCCAAGAGTGCGGCAAGATTTTCCCTAAAATGAATGATTTTTCAGATAATCGTCATTTTTCTGTTTTGTACGGCTTGTAATATGCCATTTATGGGGTTTTCAGGATCACTAAACTTAAATATTACCTCAAAAAAAGATTTTGGATATCGTAGATTATTGCTTAAGAACAAAACGGGACAATTGTCAGTCTTTCTCTTGGCTTGGCTTATTATAAAAATGTGTAGTAGTTTTTTAGGGGAGGATGGAATTAATTATACCAGATCTCGTAAATCAGAAAACAAGATTTAATAATATTCCAGCAAAACTGTAAGGAATTTTAATATATCTTTGCAAATATATCTAGTTGTTAAGAATTTATCTATTCTGTTTGTTTAGAAATTGGCCGAAATAGTGGCTCAGTGGGTAAGGCTCAACGAGGTCCGGAATTCGACCCCTGTGTCTGGACAAATTTTACCTCATTTCACACTGTATGACGAATAGCCATCTTCATTGACCAAGTTTAGAACAGTAGGACGTTAACCCACATTGCATTTCATTTCTGGTCCACAAATGGTAATATGATAGATTTTTACTTTGAAGAGTCTGGCAACCTTTTGTGGTATCATCTAGAATCTAGCCAGATGGTATCATGGATTCATATTTGTCAATTGTGAAAGTGTAAAGTGTAAAATGTATTTCACAACAAGTTCTAAGTTTAAAAATGATAATTACAGAGATAATTTGAAATACATTTACCCAAAAGCATGGCTCACGATTTCCTCTTTGTTAATGTCACAACCATCCACCTCATTGGAATTACTGTGACAATCGCAACTACTGTTTTTCTTCAGCAATGGACACTAGCCAAAGTACAAGAAGAAACAGGAGATCTGGGCAGCGACAATGATGATATCCTTTTAATATCATAGGCCTGCCTAAAGCGAAAGAAGAAATTGGTCGACATTACTTTTGTGATGCCTAGTCGTTAATGCATTTCAAATTATCTTCGCAACGATTCTTTTTAAACTTTCAACTTGTTGTGAAATGGATCTGTGGATACGTTATCTAGACTATACCACAAAAGTTGCCAGGCATAGAGTCTTTGATGAAAAACCGGTTCGGTTGTACCATATAACGAAAAAATGCGAAAAGTACCGAGATAAAAATCTAAAAAGTACCGAAAAATGCAGACAAAATACCGAAAAAACTTTTTTGATACTAATTACCGAAAAACCCCAAATATCGAAAAATCAATAAATAATGAAAAAAACGACACAAAAATTGCTAGGTGGGTCAGACTAGACCATGCATTAAAATTGTTGGGAACTGTAGGTTACGCATTAAAATTGTTGACACTCTAGCTAGGTGGGTAATGGGTCAAGCAAGATCAGGCATAAATATAGTGGTACACTTTCAGTCAGGGGCAGATTGGGGCCGGGAACCGGTCCGGGCTTCCTTGTCGGAGCTACCCCTTTTAATGAACCCCAAATATGCGATTTGGTGGCATATCTGATTATAATCTTTGTCAAATAATATATTTCATAAATCGATTAATTTAGGCCAAAACCCCGACCTACAAGTAATTTACAACCATCAACCTGTGAAATTATCATATCGTCATATTATTAATTAACGTATTATCATTGTATCGTCAAGAGTCAAGAGAATTTAACTGGTTTAAAAATGGGACTAGTTGAGAAAATTTTGACCATTTGATTAACCAGTTAGGAATATTGAATAAGTAGGAATATTTTCATTGTAAAATGTCCCATTTTTGTTGCCGGGAGCGCTAGTTGATTCCTCCTGTGATGGAATTCGGAATCCCCATTGCAGGATTCCGAATTCCGGCCCACACCCAGCACACCCGGCCCAGAAAGTCTATTTTACCAGCCCATTCCAGACTCCAGTGATGGCGTGGCGGCCCGTTAAAGACACTGGCCACATCATCGTAGTTCCATGGCCGGTCCAATACCCCCCCCCCCCCCCCACCATATAATGTTCAGCAGAAAAAGGTTTTTTAGACGAATTGGACAAAATTATATTTTTCATTTTTTTGTCCGATCGGGCGATCGCGCCCGATGGCCAAATCCGCCACTGCTATCAGTTGGCCATTGATCACAATATGTCCCGCATAAGACTAGTTGGGCATTGTAGGTGAGTCATGGGGTCAGGCATTTAGTAATTGAAGCATAATCAAATAACACACTATTTATGGATAACAAATTCTATAGTTTAATTCACTGCGACGTTTCAACAAGATTTTACCAACAAGTCCTTACCAAGCATATAACATTAATAAACAAGCCAACAGTGAGGCTGATGACCCCGTCGAAATACCTAAATAAATAGATGACCCATATTAATTAATCGCACATTTATTTTTTTCAAAAGTATCGAGCAATCAAACTGATTATCAATTATACACTAAGTTTCATCACTGTCTATCAGATAGAATCAAAGTTATCTTGTCCCAAAGCATCGATCATTGAAATTGCTTAGCTCTGCTTAGCTTTAGCCCGAAATGTTAATTACTGAACTGAGTCAAGACATTCAGCTAAATCAAGTTTCAGCATTCTACCTTAATTAAAAGCAGAGTTATTGCGTTCCAAAGTCCTGACCAATCAAATTGCTTATCGCTCTTTAGCCTAAGCAGAAAATTCTCACGATCGAACTTAGTCATGCTATTATCGCCCTCACTTCATTATAACCAAAGTTATCATGCCCCAAAGCATCAACCAATCAGATAGCTTATCTCTGCTTACCCTAAACAGACAATGTTCATCATCGGACTCCATCAAGGCATTCATTAAATGAACGCCTACACCCAGTTTGAACATTCTACCTCAATTAGAATGAGAGTTATTGTGTTCTAAAGTCTCGGCCAATCAAATTGCTTATCGTTCTGCTTACCCTGAGCAGAAAACTCTCATTATCGAACTTAGTCAAGGTATTGATGTAATGAAACTATACACCAAGTTTTATCACTCTCACTTAATTAGAACTAAAGTACTATCGTGTCCCAAAGCATCAACCAATCAAATTGCTTATCTCTGCTTACCCTAAGCAAAAATTCTCATCTTCGAACTCCATCAAGGCATTGACCTAATAAACACCTACACCAAGTTTGAACATTCTTGCTCAATTAGAAAGAGACTTATTGTGTCCCAAAAAGTGTGACGGACGGACAGGCGAACCCATTTTAATAGTCATCTGCTTTCTTCGAAAGGCGGGGGACAATAAAATGAAAAGAATATGGCTATATATATACAAGAGCGGTGCTGACCCTCCAAAGGAATGCAAAGTCAGCTGGTATGGGCATTGTAGTGTCCCAAGCCGTTAGATAATCAAATGCACATATACAGGTATAAACTGTAATTGGTATAGATAAGCACAAGAACAAAAGATCAAACAATTATTCAAGCGGTATAATGAACCACGAGCAATAGGCCATAACAGTAAAAACATGATAACGACATGTAAAATCTTGTTGAAACGTCACAGTGAAATAAACTTTAGTAATTGTTATCCACAAATAGTGTGTCATTTGCTTAAAAAGACATATTACAAGCTACATTACAAGCTACATTAAACAGAAAATCGATCATTTTACGGAAATTCTGGCCGCCATTATGAATATTCACCATCTTGGATTTTTTTAAACACTCTGTGTTTTGGTTAATTTTAAGGTCAGTAATCCCTTTCAATTGGATATTACATGTAATATCAAACTGTGAAATAACTATTATCTGACAAATTGGCCATTTGAGCAACTTTTGGCCGCCATTTTGAATTTATGCCATCTTGGATTTTGGACACTCATATTAGAGATTATTTTTTTATGATCAATGTTTCTGATATCTAGTAAATCACTTTAGTTGACCAAATAGATAATTTGGCTTATATGGGTCTGAACAAGATTTTTTTAGTAACCTTATGAACAGACATCATGAAAAAAAACCCTGATATGCAACATGAAATATAAATTTAGGCACATTGAAGGATAATATCCATACCGGTAACCATGTCGGTACTTTTTTTTTTTTTATTAAAAAAAACAACAACCCATTATCAGTGTGAGATGAAGTAATTCGTTTATGATAATTATATGGAAGGTTATTATTTACTAGCTCATAATCATGAATCGTATAATTATGAATAATTGAGATAACGATATCCATATTATCTGATGATTCACAATGTTTTGTGTACATTCTTATAATATCAGACGTCTAATTGTGCTTCACGTAGAACTTATTAAAACGGTATGTTTGGATCACGTATAACTTATTAAATCGGTATGTTTGGAATCTGTTTAATGTAAAGGTCTGTTTTTTATATCGCAAATAGTTTATTGTACCTATATGTATAGTATATCGTGTGTGCATATATAATGTCATTAAAGGGACAATAACACTCTTGCTGGCTTGAAAGCTCCAGAAAATAAATAATATCTCTATCTAAGTACTAGATGTTTAAGTGTCCTACCTGTTGTGTAAATTATCCATTACATCCTATTTTACTTGTCCAGAGGGTTCGAAAATATTTTTAAATCGAAGTTTCATTTGAAAAGGTTTACGTTAGACGTTTCAAACCATTATGTTGAATTTTTCAAAATTTTTAAATAAGGTGTGTTAAGATGAAATTTGTATCATCAATTAATTGAAATATTCTAAAATAGTACAATTTGTTGACCAGAATAAAGATTGGGACATATTATTCAGTTACAACAAGAGTGGTATTGAGCCTTTAAATGATAATCTAAACAAATTAGTCATTATGATATGTAATTGTTGTGCAATTATTTCTAGAATGATTCATTGACTAAAATACATTTGGTTTATAAATAGAAACGATTGGGGTCCTGGCCGTGTAAGGGTCAAGGTTTCAGATATTAAAACCATAGAAATGTAGTTCCTGGTCCATGATCGTCACTTAATGAAATGAAATGGGGTTTAACGTCCTACTGCTCTGCTCCTAAAGTGGGCTAATGAAGACGGGCATACGCCATACAGTGTGCTATGAGGGAAAAATTTTCCGGGCAGCGGCACTGCGACCTACTCTTATATTGAATTCCAACTGCCAAGGGATCTTTTACGTGCACGCCAATATGTACACGGGACCTCGGTTTTCGTCCTATCCGAACGATTGGACAGCTGTCCTTGTCAGGCCCTCCGTCCTGCATCACTGACAATGGGAAACCACGCTGGAAAATCGGGATGAACTTTCTCGGCTAATGCAGGGATCGAACAGCCGACCTCCAGGCTAGCGAGCTAGCCCGTCTTACCCACTTAGCAACGTGATCCCCCTCGTCACTTAATAAATTCACTACATGAACAAGTAAATGTATGCATTTATTTACAAACGTTAACGAATGAATGGACTGTGTTCTCATAAACTACTGTATTACTGATAAAATATAACAATTTATTTTATGATCAGCAGTGGAATACCGCGTTTTATTCCAATAAAAGTGTTATTCCACTGGCTAGTTGTTTTTACCTAAAATGATTGTAAAATCATAAAATAAATAGAACATTTGTCGTTTTGTCGTGAATAACATATTTTATTTCATCTCTAAGCAAAAAAACGTTTATATTTTCACTCATGCTACGCATTCGTGAAAATATAAGTTTCTCGATGAAATAAAATATGTTATTCACTCTAAAACGACAAATATCCTCTATATATTGTAAATAATTACGTGCAGGTGCGAACAATACAAAAGAATTAACCAGGAGGACTGACTTTCACATGTATGATTTATAGAAATTTACATAGTTAGTAGTAAACAATGCTCCTCCTTTTTAAAAACTAATCATTCCATATTCCATACAGGTTCGTTCTCAGTGTTAACCAAGATGGATCCCTGGGATTTCCTACCTGGTTTACCTTTGACAGTGGTTCAGTAGGGCATGCCAAGGAACAGTGTGTAGTCTTTCGGGTGGGACGACTAACCGTTGGCGTGCACGTAAAAGAACCTTTGGCAATTCAAATTTGATTAAAAGTAGGCAGATTTTCCGTCATTGCACACTGCCCGTTTTCATTATACCGTTAGGTGCAGATAAGTAACCTAATATAAGACGTTGAAGACCCCCCCCCCCCCCATTTAATTTCCTTTCCAAGTCCATAAAATCGTTATTCTTTATCCTACTATACCCATAGTCAAAAATGCAATAAGATTTGACCTGGATTCATAATTATCATATTCATTTCGTTGATTCACGCGGCACGTTCTCATATTTCATTCCCACCCTCTTCTATTAATCTGGGCAATAAGTTAGACAGGTCTTCTGGTATGATTTTCTAAAAATAATTTTATCATCTTACTTTTCAGAACCAATCGGGCCAAACTATATTGCTCTCTGTGATCAGAAGGGAGTCCCGGTGGCCCAGTGAGTAAGATGTTGGCTCGCTAACCCAGAGTCCCGTGTTCGATCCGGTGTTGGCTGAGAAAGTTCATCGGTGCTGCGCGGACGATCTGGTAAGGGAGAACGTATAATCGAAAGACCGGGACGAAAAACAGAGTTCCCGTGCACACGTTGGCGTAAAAGAACTCTTTACACTTGAAATTCGTAATTTCACTCAAGGCTCACTGTACGGAAAGTGTGCCCGTCTGTTGACACTCATTGTGGGATGGGAGTGTGGATGGCACATTTGAGGGGTTGTAAAAATCTTTTTAAACTACACTACTGTTAAAGTTGAATCTCTAACAGGAATATAAGTTAACAAATGGTCCATTGCCGTTCAGTATTTACAATTATATTGTCAACATTCGGCATCTATTGTGGACAATATTTCGGATATAGGAAACACAAGCCAGCGTTACCTATGATTTTCGATAAAATCTTTTGATGGGCATCTTGTCAATCGAGCTGAATCTAAGCCAGGAGATTATCACCGTTGATCTTTTGTTTTCTCAATTTAGTATGGATTATGCCGTGGCCAATTTGATATTTTCCATAGAATTCAGAGGACACACAGAGACTTGAATTATTTGAGAATTTGAATTTTTTTCAAAAGATGAGAATGACGATCAGCGTCTTTATTATTATTGTTGCCTTGACATTGCAAGTGGAGACACGAGATTATATTTGAACACATACCAATTATCGTTGTACATTTAAATATATCGGAACGACGAAATACAGATAACACTGTAATGTTATCGCGGAATCAAAGTTCGAGGTCAAATCGAAGTATATAATAACATTTAATCGTTAACTTTAGAGACTGTCCAATACATGATGTACAAATTAATATGTGCACCTTTGCTGGTGCTCTTGTGTTTAGGAAATGCACAATGTCAGAAAAAGAATATTCTGTTTTTCGCCTCAGACGACATGCGACCAGAACTCGGAGCCTTCCTCGGTCCTGACTTTCCATCTCCAGTTCATCCGACGGTTCATTCTCCAAATCTAGATGCGTTAGCCGCCCAGAGTTTACTGTTAAAGCGGGCTTATGTTCAACAAGCTGTTTGTTCTCCAACGAGAACATCTCTACTAACAGGACGTCGTCCGGATACAACTCACGTTTACGACCTGATTCATTACTTTCGGAATGTAGGTGGAAATTACACAACAATTCCAGAGTTTTTCAAGAATAACGGCTATAGGAGTATTGGAATGGGGAAGATATTTCATCCCGGAAGGGCATCTGGATTTGATGATCCGATTTCCTGGTCTGAACCGTACTATCATGCACCAGATCAAAAGTTCCGATCTGTGAATTTCAGTTGGAGGGCGGTCTCTAAAGACGAATACAACATTCGCCCACTACCAGATATGCAAATAGCCGATAATGCTATCAAGACCCTGAATCGAGTTGCTCCAGCTGCTAAAAGTGGAAATCAAAATTTCTTTGTTGCGGTTGGCTTCCATAAACCCCACCTGCCCTTTGTTTTCCCAGAAGAATTTCTGTCTCTTTATCCGAAAGAAAGCATACGATTACCAGATAATCCCCATGCTCCAGTAAATATGCCTGAAATAGCCTGGATTAATTACATTACAGAAGAGTTAGGAGTATATCATGACATCAATCGTCTGCATGCAACCGGCGCCATTAACACTACGCTGCCTGATGACGTAGTGATAGATCTTAGAAGAGCTTATTATAGCGCTCTGTCGTATACGGATTCTTTAGTAGGGAAAGTAATGGCAGAATTAGTGAAGTTGGGTTTAGCGGAAAGTACGATCGTTTCATTTTGGGGAGATCATGGTTGGCAGCTTGGTGAACACGGTGAATGGTGTAAACATACTAATTTTGAAGATGCAACTCACGCACCTATGATGGTTCGCGTCCCTGGATTGACCGATAAAGGGTTGGTAACAGAACGCCTAACGGAATATGTTGATCTCTTCCCAACCCTTGTTGAAGCAGCAGGATTTGATCCACTACCTCTTTGTCCCGAAGACTCAACTACAACAGCTCTATGTAGAGAAGGAACAAGTTTGATACCACTGATGCAAGACCCAACTCGGGAATGGAAGGTCGGTGTATTTTCCCAATATCCACGGAATAATTATACTGTGATGGGATATACTTTAAGGACCGATAAATATAGATATACAGAATGGCCAGCGTTTACCATGTCCCCTGTTTACAAACCAGATTGGAATAAACTTTATGGTGTAGAACTTTATGACCATTCTGTGGACCCAGAAGAAAATTATAACAGATTTAATGACCCTCAGTACCAAAATATAGTAGAACAACTTAGTTCTCAGCTTAGGAAGGGTTGGAGGTACATGCAGCCCACAGGTACAATGCTTGGTCACTGATACATGTTTTGTGTGTTAAGAAGGAAAATAAACCAGTTTTTATTATCAATTATAAACCCCAGACGTTTTATGTTCGAATCTTCTGTGACGATCGCGAGGACACGTTGTAAGATATAAACTTTAGGGTCTTGTCTTTAAAAGCTGGCCTATTGTTTAAATGTCGGCTTCTTGTCTATTCCAAGTATTAAACTATTTCGGCCATGCTCCCCTCTCAACATCTGGGTTGGCCACGAGGAGCCTTTTTGTCTAGTATATATTTGATAATTTACACATAAATTGCTCTACTGATATAGAAGGCATATCTTTATTGATTGAACACATTTTCATTCCTGGTTGTCTACGATGCATCATCGACCTTTTCAAACCACTCTATTTATCACATTCTACTTACCCATTATCTCTTCAAATATATCGAAAGGACTTAATACAGATAACAATGTAATGTTATCACGGATTTAAAAGGTCAGGGTCAGATTGAACAATATTATAAAATTTAATTACTAAGCTCTTGAAACTGTGTACAGATACATATGTTTACATTTGCTTGTGCTTCTGTGTGTTGGAACAGCGGTATCAGAAAAAGAATATTCTGTCCTACACCGTAGAATCTGTCATCATGCCTGTCAAATTCGTTACAACGAATAACTTTTTTCGTTGTAACGAATTAACATTTCATTATAACGATTTATCATTTCGTTACTATCTGACTTACTATCTGGCTAGGACGAATTAATATTGCATAGTAACGATATAATATTTCGTAATTACGATATAATAACTATTAACGATATAAAAATTTAGCTCCATTGGCCGAGAAAGTTCATCCTGATTTTACGACGTGGTTTCCCCTTGTCAGTGGTGCAGAACGGAGGGCCTGACAAGGACAGCTGTCTAGTCCTTCGGATGAGACGAAAAACTGAGGTCCCGTGTATACATTAGAATGCACGTAAAAGATCCCTTGGCAGTTGGAATTCGATATAAGAGTAGGCGATAGTGCCGCTGCCCGGGCAAAATTTCCCACATAGCACACTGTATGGCGTATGCTCGTCTTCATTAGCCCAGTACAGGAGCAGAACAGTAGGACGTTAAACCCCATTTCATTTCATTTATAATATTTCGTATTAACGATATAATATTTCGTATTAACGATATAATATTTCGTATTAACGATATAATATTTCGTTATAAACAAATAATTATAAAAGAGTGGAGTCGTTTACTTAAGAGGCCCCGTAGCAATTCGCACCCGAGACATTCTAATCGAGAGTCCTGCCAACTCCACTACCATCATCTGTATATTGGCTAGATTTTATTTAGATGAAGTTATCCGCGGTGCGAGCCACCCGCGGTTAATAGATGCAATCCTCCTTCAGTTACTAAATTCTAGACAATTGAGGTTATCCGCGGTGCAATCCTCCTACATTTATATACTCTTAAAAAAAAGTAGGGGGTATTGAAATGCAAATATCTATGCAGGTTGTGGTATGACAAATAGTCATAGATACTTGACATTCTTTGAGAGTATTTGTACAGATGAAGAACTTATAGCGCCATACACGTGGGAGGGGTTCATTGTCAAATTTGGCACATCAAGGAATCGTTGATGAAAACTGCCGCTTGATGGTTTATCCTATCCATGTTTGCTTTCCTATCGGTTATTGCATATGATTTAATGTTTAGCGTATCTGTGCTTTAGTGCGTTACGTTTAATTTGATCGGGAGACGTGGTCGTCGACGTCAACGGACAACAATGCAAGAATTGGCCGTGGTACTGCAAGAGGAGTGGGTCAGATTGCCCCAAATCGTGATTGGACGGTTGATTAGGAGCATGCCACGACGAATTGATGAATGTCTGAGGATTGGTGGAGCAATTACTCATTATTAAGACAAAAATCAAAAACGTCCATATTTTCACTTTTGACAGTGTATATCTTTGTGAGTGAAATGGGGCCGTCAGATAAGCCGCCCATATGAACTGTTTATGTACATGTGTAGGCAATTGACCTGTTATTAACATACACTGGTTACCTCTAATAAAAACAATAATGCATTTTCGCAGTTTGTATTGTTTCTGAATATCCCCTACTTTTTTTGAAGAGTATATATTAGACCCTAGTCATTTGACGTACGGTCCTCCTGCAGTTTCTAATTAGAAGAGGTTATTCAGCGGTGCAACCCTCCTGCTGTTACTAGTTTCTAGTTAGAAGAGATTATTCGCGGTGCAATACTCCTGTTGTTACTAGTTTCTACGTATACGATGTTATCCGTGCTTAAACCACAGCTATGATGTCATCCTTTGTTCTTTTAATCCATTGAATGTTCCGTGTCCGTTTATATTCAATTGAACGAATCTAGCCACCTGGCAGATGTGTTTTATTGTCTGCTGTAATAAATGAGTCACCATAGCTTACATTAGAATCTGGTAGCTTCCGAGGTCTCAGATAAAAAGCATCAGTCGGTTTGAAAACTAGAAATAATCTGGTTTTTAACATGATTTTCTAAATCATCACCAGTCTAATTGAACGAATAGTTGTTTTGTTTCTGTGGCTTATTAACATACAATACAATCTGGTCAATTCATTTTATGAAAAGTTGATTTTACGACCCATTTAATCAAAGGCCAATCAAAATGCTTCTGAATTTAGAATAATCGTAATGTGTACATATTCATCAAATGATTCTAGACTGGGTAATAAAGAGCGAAATAAACAACCAGCCTACCTTAAACTCGTGTATTTTTTTATAAAGACGTATTGTAGATTTTGCAGGCTTTGATACGCTCTAGTTCTATTCTGCGTTGGTTCAAGCGACCCCGAACGGTTTTTGACACATCTTCACAATATTGTATGTATTTCCTCCCCTCACTCTCAGTGTTAATTGAGAGTTGAGAATATTGGCCAACAGTACGTAAGCCCCTTAGAAATGGTACCACTACTGATGTCTTCCGCCTTACTCCAGCCACAGTAGTGGCTCGTCCTTACGGAGTTCCTTTGCGCAAGTTTTTTAGTGAAATCACTACAAAATGTTTACTGGCCTATACCTCCCTTAATTTACACATAAACTGACCCAAAACAGTACTGCACTTAGCTTAACATATAATAAATCAATTCCTATTGAAATAAAGGTGAAGCCTTGCCGCATAATTAAATGATTTGATGAAACTCAACTGCTACGCGAAATTTCAACAGGCTGGTGTCATGGCCGCTTGTGTGTAATAAGTCATCGCAAGAAACATCTCTATGCAAATGTAGAACGCATAACCACAAAGAAAAACTGTTCGGTAACTGTTTAGTGGTCCAGTCTTCACTATTTGTCATAGAATTACTTATTCCAATACAAACTGTAATGATATGTGTTGACAATTGTGCGTTTGAACCTATTTGAACTTGCGTAAGGATTCTTAGACTGTATCAATTGTAACGTTAAACACACAGTTTAACGTTACAAGTATAGTAACTAGTAAGCCCCTATACTCCTGTCCACTCTTTTCTGCTTGGGCACATAATCCACCGTTAACTAACTTTTGTAGCTCCGATAGTTGCAACGGTTCAGCAAATCTGGAATTACTACGATTATTATGAGCTTTGTATTCCAATTTAGAGTCAGGGTTTGTATCCACACCCGATATATCAGAATAAATATTTTACCCTATATTAAAATTTGGATGGTCAATCCTTGGATTTTCATTATCCCCCCCCCCCACTTTCCAATATGTCACTCCATACATTGTCATTGTCATAACTAGGAACAATTTTTGACTGGGTAATAAATATATCCTCTCCACTGGAAGACATGACTGTATTGATATCCTTGTTTTGTTTGTATTAATTGTTAACAAATCACTCAGTGGCAGTCACATGACTGCGGTGTTGGTTTAAGTAACTGTCCATTATTTCTGAGGTGTTACAAGACACTATTGTTTTAAGATGTCTACACTGAAAAAACACTTGTGTTGGATCTCAACACAAGTACTTGTGTTAAAACTAATCTACACAAGTTATGTGTTGTTTTGCATTGCATTAACACAAACTTGTGTCGATTTATAAAATCTTGTGTTTTTTTCATATCATTAACACAAGTAATGTGTACCTTCCAAGATTTGTTTTCTTTTTAAAAAAAAAACTCCATACAAAGTCTGAATTCGGGAGTCGTCAAGTTTTAAGAAAAGTAATAAAGGGCTTAATTCACATCTCGAAAATCACATCCTGTTCTTCACTGGAAGGGTGTGAGTACCAATTAATCAGACAATTGCCAGACAGACTTGAATGTTAATTGATGTTAAGTTGTCTGTAAAGTTAAAATGTCTGTCTTTTTTTATTGACCCAATAAACTGATAGATCAAATGAATATATAGTGTACATGTGATTTTCAGCACCCTGGTGTTTTCGAAAATTGATTCAATGTACAATGAACAAAAAAAATGAGTAAAACTCTTAATAATGTAATTGGTTGATGTAATCGAAATTGGACAGTATTGGTTAACTGAAAAGTAACCAATCAAATTTAATTGATCATCCACGTGTATCTCATAATCGACTTATTGATATAATGGTTCTCCAAGTTATCTATACTTTTTGTCTGCGATATCACTTCGGTGGAAGCGGACGTAAAATACAACTAACTAAGAAGAAGTATCTATACTTTAGTCATTAATAGAACACAATTTTTATGGGAAACAATCACTGGTTTATTCTAAAAGCACGACGTTTCGACAAGTATCCTCTTATCGTTATCAAGTGCTTGATAACGATAAGAGGATACTTGTCGAAACGTCGTGCTTTTAGAATAAACCAGTGATTGTTTCCCATAAAAATTGTGTTCTATTAATGTGTTTTCCAATCGCTAAATGCCACTTAAAGATTATATACTTTAGTCATTGCGACAAATTCTTTCTTTGATATTATATCTTCGACATTCAGTTAGATAGATGTAGTGAAGTTAGCATCAACAGGGTGCTTTAGCCGTGATATTTTAAAAAAAATTATAATGGTCACATAGAATACCAGACCGCAGGTTTGTAAATTTTTACAAAAAATAAAACCGTGTATTTAATTTAGCATGTATATATTGCTTCTATGTACATAATAATTCGTTTCGTTTAAAACAGTCAGATTTAGAACTACTGCCACTGACTGCACCGGAAGTCTATTTATATAATGGCGCCACAAAGAAATTTTTTTTTATGTGTTCTAAAAGTGTTCCGCTAATTCAGCAATCTAATGAATCTGTCTTAATTTTTCTGAAATCGTGCTTAATTATTATTAGCTAATCGGCGCTACACCGTTGTTCAAATACTTATAATTGCAAGAAACCCCCGACTAGGACCAGCAGGTAATTCGTTCGTTCGTTTCTGGGGTTTTACGTCCACTTCCACCTAAGGTGATATCGTAGACAAACCAGCAGGTAAGAATCTGTCTTGATTTTATAGTAATACCCGGTTGCAATTATTGGCCGCCATCTTTGATTTTTATAGACGTTCGGGCAAAAGGAGAAATGTATATCCAGACATGGACTATAGCTAGATACTAACTTTTGTGTTAGTTGTTTAGTTGAAATGTAATCTTATTTCTGTAAAAGAAAAAAAACAACAACAAACAAATCAGCCTTTTTTTTATATCAATGTCATCAATGTGTAGGCCTAATATTAGACTTTCAATGATTCAGAAGTTTCTCTACAGTTTCGTTATTTTTTTTTCCCAGTCATTGATGTTAGCATGTACTACACAAAGAAAAACAGGTAACAGAATTTCATTTCCTTTTAATATATTTTTTTAATAATGGCCAAATAATTGTTATTGTATGTAACACGAAAAGTATTTATCTCTGTAGAGAGAGGGCGAGTAAATGGGGTTTAAAGTTCACTAAATTCACTTGACACAAACTATGCCATTCATTTCCTTGTATTAAATTGGTCGAATCAAGTAGGTCCATGCTATATATATGTCCTAGAATCAAGTAGGACAGGTAGTCTTCTTCCGCCCTTTTTCTGAACACTGTCTCATTCTATTGCCATCTGTGTATGTTGTGTTATATTAATTCTGCATAATTAACTCTAGTTAACCTAGTTAACTCTATAATAATAAATGAATTTAATATATAAATAAATAAATAAAATATAAATAAACCAATAATATATTTGTAGTTTAATATGTTTTATCTTATCATTACAGGCAAAGCATGAAGCCAAAGGAAATGTTTTTACCAAGGCATGTTCCTCAATAGCGGAGAGAGTTTTATCCAGTGTCGGTTCTGCAGAAGAACCCATTCATAGCAGACCACCCATTGCAGCACTTGTAAGGTCGCTATAAAGAACCCGACAGACTCTGCGACCAAAAGATCCCACTGACGTGTCGTCAAGCGTAAGTACTCATGCAATTAAATACCCATGTATATAAGAATTTATTAACATGTAATTAAATGTACAATTTTATTTATTTATTAACATGTACTTAAATGTACTTTTTTATTTATTTTTTGTTTTAGCTTGACGAAGATTTCATCGATCATAGTGCACCGGGATTTTATCAAAAAAGAGTAAAAGTTGGGGAAAGGCGCCATCACATTTTTTGTACTGATAGACAGATGCAACTACTCGCACGCGCAAAAACTTGGTATATGGATGCAACTTTTCGGGTGGTGAACAAGCCATGGTCTCAGCTGTTTTCCATACACGCCTTCATTAAGACTGGAGAGACCACCCGACAGTTACCATTGGTGTTTTGTGTAATGTCGGGTAAAAGCCAAGACGACTATTATAAGGTAAATAGCACTTACTGATTGAATTACTATTAATAGTAAAAAAGGACTATTATTTGGGACCTTGAAATTGTCACAAATGGGTCGCACTAACAGCGACATTTGTTTCAGGCATATTTGTTTCATCGGTGACACGTCTGGTGTCATGTGAATGCAACGACAACAGCCTGGTTGATTGATTTGTTGATTGGAGTTCAGATGTCTACATTAAAATCGACCACTTTCAGGTTGCCGTATTCACTGCCAGGCAAGACCGACTTGAAATTTCTAGAAATTTTCCTGGGGGAGACAGGCCCCAACAAATCCCCCGACGGTGCGTTTCACGACTTTGGCGCAAGACGGTGACCTTGAAGAGACGTCGAAAACCATTTAATAGACATAGTAAAAGTCATATCTTACGAGATTATCGCTGGTCTTGTCAGAAAATGCTATTTTATATATGACCAGTTTGTGTTTGAAAAATTTAATTATTTATTCTCCCACCATTAAAGCACACTAATTACGAAATATCGCTCTCAGAAACTTCATGGTTTCTTTTGCAATTTGTTTGGGGTAAGACGTTATATAAATAATATCAATCTGTCTACCACACAAATTTAACAGATACAAATGCATGTTATTCCACAGGTAGACAGACAGGGCCTCCTTTGAAGGGACTCAGTGAAAGGAACGCGGTTGGTTTAGAGTTTGTCTGACCCCTTTGAATATTTGCGTCTCATCTCCAATGAAAACAATCATGTTGCTCTCATGCTGTTCTCAACCAGAATCAAACATATATCGTACCTGAGATTTGTTAGCATGTTCCACACAACCCAACATTTATCGGCACCGGGATTAAGGGTGTATATCTTTGTTTCTAACGCTTATTGGGAATACGCCACGGAAACTACAATAAAAACTTATTTACAAAAACATTCTAAAGAGGGAAAACTGACATATTTCAAGCTTTACTGTATTTAAAGATATAATTTAAATCAGCCGGCTGAAACCCCGTCTCCGCTATTTGTTCAGTCATTCTTTAGGTATAGTGCCAGTTTCCACCGACAATGATATTGCAAACAAGTGTCCAATCTATAAAAGCATACATTCCTACAAAATGTTTCTTTAGTCAAGTGAAACAATAAATTCATAACTATGCGAGGGTGTGGTGAGTAAATTCGTGGTAACGTGAATAGGCTAATGTGACATAGAACAAGGTCACATTGATGTTGACAAATACGTAAGACGATATGAACATCAACTAAAAAGATATGTAATGTGATTCAGCTGCAAGGTGATATATGCATATATGCAGCATAGATAATTAAAACTTCTATTCAAGTTAAACCAACTGTATCTATTTATTTAAGTCTTACGTCGAGCTGAATACATTTTATGATTTATTTTCATCTATTGGTGGTTAACAGTGTGTAACTAAAAACTAAAATTGGATCTTATTATTGCCAATGATATAATGTACATGTAATAGCAAGTGTATATATATTTTTTGTTCAGTCTGTACACAGTAACATATCTGAGAACCATATTATTATCATTTCTGCCCAAGGCTCCCTGTGCCTCATAGTTAGCAGTGATACAAGGCAATTACCAATTTTCCATGTTCTTGGCCTGAAGAAATAAAATAATAAAAGTCAAGTTTTTATTATTATGCAAGTGGAAAAATACAATTATTCATAGTATGATTTGAATAAATACAACTGATTTGAAGTTGGAATTATTATTTGTCTAAGATGACTGGGCATTTACAAATTGAAATAGCTACTCTTCAATAAGAAAATACATGAATATTTTTCCCAATTCACCTGGATTTTATTGTAGGTCTTTGTACGTGAAATAGCTTTATTTAACGTCCGCTACCACCGAAGTGATATTGCAGAAAATTAACATATTCGGATTCCCTTTTAAAGGAAATTGACTGCACTATTGCTGGATTGTATTATATAGGTCATGTCAGTTTTTTTCAAAATGGCGCCCAGAACACAAAACAAACATTGCAATTCAGGGCTGACTGGTGTCGAGGCTGTATCCTAAGAATGATTTTTTGAATATTTAATTACACAGAAACACAAGTATGCACATGCAGTTATGATATAATATTAAATTAGCTTACCTCAAATACCTCGAAATATACTGTTTGGTCAGTTTGTCCGCCCGCCATATTTCTATTAGTCACACATCCTTCGGCCAATTAAAATGGACGTATATTTTGTTTTAACCGAAACGAAAAATTTGCGTTATAAATAGTAAACGAGCTTGATTGACAGACCACTGCTAATGTTTTTTCGTGAAACGGTATAACTGCAATCAACACACGGCCGCCATTCTCGATGATTGACAACTCACATTTTTCCTCATCCACCAAAGAACCGTTAGGTTTCTTTGAACATACTGTAATAACATTGGGATTATCAGTTAATCAGCTTTAATTATCCCGCTTTGATCGTTGCCATTTCTTATATTTTCCACAAAAAAACTTTGCCTTGTACGCACTAATTTATCAATTGGTATTGCCATCTACGACAAGCATGTCAACGTGCAGCTCACGGATTATCGTTAACAATTTCTAGGGGCTTGTAAAAAAAGATTGCATGTCGTGTAAATATTTATTTTGTTTTTTGTGTAGGTCATTTTCAAATAAATTCATCAGCATATTATTCGTTTTAAATAAATATAAAACTTTATGAGAAACGATGATTATCAAAGAACCGTAAGTGCAACTAATGTTTTATCGTTTGGTTGAGCCTTTTACTAACCACGTGTTTCATGTTAATAAATATTTTCTTTCGTGTTTTGTTTGAATTGGCCTATTTCTAATAAATTATCCCGAGTCCCAAACGTCGTTAAGCCGAGTCCCAAACGACGTATACCGGAGTCCCAAATGTCGTGGTCATATTTTTTTGAGTCCCAAATGACGCGAGTCCCAAATGACGTGAGTCCCAAATGACATGTAATCAACCTAGAGTTGTTGTTAGTGTTTGTCGGATAGATCCTTTATACTTACTGGCGCTAGGTCATTTCGAGGCTAATATTGTTCAATTTTATTTGAATGATTTGCTTGCGCGTACCGTAGGAGTGTATTAGAAACAGTGTTTGCGCAGGTTCGAGAACGGCTGAAGAACATGAAAACACTTTCATGAGTCTCGAACATGAGAGAACGGTATCCATGGTAACAAGATGAATTAAATTCATACAATCTGTTACGATAACTTGTTTAGTATTTACTTCGCTATTAAGCATAATTTTGATAAATTATGACACCGTTTTACTCCTTTTCAATTCTTTGGATGACGATTACATCACCTTTTGATACGCCCTCGTCCGTAGGTTTGTCCGTCGTCTACAGAACTGATTATTTTAAAATTGATATGTTGTTTATTTTAATGAGATGAATCCTATTTAATTTCAATAATTTCTGTTAGTTTCTTCTGGAGTTATGGCCCTTGTTTCACTTTGTGAAATTCATTTAAATCTTTTAAATTAGTGAAACGAAGACGTCTATTAAATTTCTGCGATTTCTGTGAATTATGTCTAGAGTTGTGGCCCTTGTTTCACTTTTTCGAACCTTGTGAACGCACGAACAACAAAATTATCATCCGATTTGTATGAAAATTGTGTGCATTATTTAAATTAGTAAAACACAAAACAAAAAAATCTGTCAAATTTCAACAATTAAGGCCCTTGTTTCAGTTTGTAGAACCTTTGTAAACCCACAAACGACAAAAATTATAATCTTGTATGAAATTTTCTTCTAAATGCCCACATTACCTACAAAAGAATGAATATGCGACAATCCCTGTTGACTGCGCAAACGATTAAACTGCTGTGGGCATATGTTTCGTTGCCTGGAAACCTAACTTACTTCATGTTATACTGGCCACATACTACATCCAATTTTCGAACGGTATTAAACTTCTAAATTAATAAATGCACCCATGATGCTGTTTTCTCAGCAGTTATCGATGCGTCGACCTTTTTAAACCCACAAACGACGAAAATTATAATCTTGTATGAAATTTTCTTGTAAATGCCCACATTACCTACAAAAGAATGAATATGCGACAATCCCTGTTGACTGCGCAAACGATTAAACTGCTGTGGGCATATGTTTCGTTGCCTGGCAACCTAACTTACTTGATGTTATACTGGCCACATACTACATCCAATTTTCGAACGGTATTAAACTTTTAAATTAATAAATGCACCCATGATGCTGTTTTCTCAGCAGTTATCGATACGTCGACCATGTTTGTTCTCCCTCACACCAGCTATGAGGTAGTGTGGGATTTGAGAACGGGAATGTGTTCGTGAACGCATTCCAGACTGCTCAAGTCCGACAAGAACCCATTCTCCGTCCGTTCTCTGCACCGGAACACTGATTCGAATACACCCTAGGGGTATTTAGGAAAGGGAGGAAACCGGAGGACCCGGAGAAAACCCACAAGGCTGGACAGGCGACCCTATTCCTAGTCACATTCAAGTGGGGAATCACATAATAATGGCCTATTTCAAATAAGATATTTGCATATAAAGAAAGTAGGCTTACAGCCTCTTTCAAATGTGATATTTGCATATAAAGAAAGTACAAACTTAAATCGTCAGTGCTGGATAAACTAGCCAAAGGATTTGGCTGAATCAATTGGCGCAAAACTTCACCTAGTTTATCCACTGACATACGCCCGAATCAAACATGTTTGATATATTTGGCCGAATTGTATTTGAGTGGTGTGTCCGCTTCGCCGAAGCATTCGTCTGATTTTAGAATTCATTAGCCAATCACCACTCATTCATATCGAGTGGGTATCGCAAACTAGCAGTCGAACTGTGACACGGGTGCTACAGCCAACAAATTCCAACTACCATACTATCGGCTTAAATGCACGCCAATGGGACCTCAGGTTTTGTGTTCCATTGAAACGACTAGAAATGAAATGAAATGGGGTTTAACGTCCTACTGTTTTGCTCCGAACTGGGCTAATGAAGACAGGCATACACCACACAGTGTGCTATGAGGGAAATTTTGCCCGGACAGCGGCGTATCGAATTCCAACTGTCAAGGGATCTTTTACGTGCACGCCAACGTGTACACGGGACCTCGTTTTTTCATTTCATCCGAATGACTAGACAGCTGTCCTTGTCAGGCCCTCCGTCCTGCATCACTGACAAGGGGGAACCACGCCGGGAAATCTGGGTGAACTTTCTCGGCCAATGCAGGGATCGAACACCCGACCTCCAGGCTAGCGAGCCAGCGTCTTACCCACTTAGCCACCATGACGACTAGGCATGGAATCCATGCTGAAAAATTCAAATGAGCTTTCTCGGTCAACACTGGGAGCGAACCCGCAACCTCCCGGGTACCAAGCCAGTGCCTTACACACTAAGCCACATGACTCTCTTCTAATTACTGTGACAGTCCAGTCACATGACAAACAAGGGTTATTAAAACAGATTTTCAAGGCTTGGGTAAGATCTTCGGGATTCAAATGGTTTTTGATATCACACAGTTTGTATATGGTAAGGTATCTTAAACAGTTTATAACATGTCACATATTCATATTTTTCAGTTTCCATATTAGATGCCATAGCAAATCAAAGATCATATAATAAAATAAGTCAAAAAACCCAAATATGGAAAAAGAAAGAGCTGAAGAAATGGTGATTTGAGCACCTATGCTTTCTCATAGGTGTTTTTGGAGGGTGAGTGTTCAATTCTAATAGAAAAGATTGTTGTTATGGTATTTTAGAATCTCACCATAATGTGTTTGGCACAATATAGCCCGGTTGGAGCTGTTGTGACATAAACCTCGATTTCATTTTATTGTTTTGAAATTTAAAATTCAGTTTAGTATAGTAAATTTGTACACGTACATGTATGTGCACAAACAGAATCTTACTTATGTCCAGATACATGTAGATATGACTGTCTCATCTGTGGGGGACCACGGTGGCCAAGTGGGTTAGACACTGGCTCGCATATTTTAAGGTCGCGGGTTTGCAGTAAGACATTGCAGTACAGAGGACTGGGCTAATGAAGTTGGGCATATGCCATACAGTGTGCTACGAGAGAAATTTTGCCGGGTACCGTGACCTTAAGGCCTTCTCTTGTATCAAATTCTAACTGCCAGGGGATCTTTTACATGCACACCAATGTGTACACGGGACCACGTTTTTTTGTTCAATCTGAATGACTAGACAGCTGTCCTTGTCAGGCCCTCCGTCCTGCATCACTAACAAGAGGAAACCACGCCGGAAAATCTGGGTGAACTTTCTCGGCCAATGCAGGGATCGAACACCCGACCTCCAGGCTAGCGAGCCAGCGTCTTACCCACTTAGCCACCATGACGACTAGGCATGGAATCCATGCTGAAAAATTCAAATGAGCTTTCTCGGTCAACACTGGGAGCGAACCCGCAAGCCAGTGCCTTACACACTAAGCCACACGGCTCTCTTTTAATTACTGTGACTCTCCAGTCACATGACAAACAATGGTTATTAAAACAGATTTTCACGGTTTAGGTAAGATCTTCGGGATTAAAATGGTTTTAGATATCACACAGTTTGTATATGGTAAGGTATCTTAAACAGTTAATTACATGTCACATATTCATATTTTTCAGTTTCCATATTAGATGCCATAGCAAATCAAAGATCATATAATAAAATAAGTCAAAAAACCCAAATATGGGAAAAGAAAGAGCTGAAGAAATGGTGATTTGAGCACCTATGATTTCTCATAGGTGTTTTTGGAGGGTGAGTGTTCAATTCTAATAGAAAAGATTGTTGTTGTGGTATTTATAGAATCTCACCATAATGTGTTTGGCACAATATAGCCCGGTTGGACCTGATGTGACATAAACCTCGATTTCATTTTAATATTTTGAAATTTAAAATTCAGTTTAGTATAGTAAAACTGTACACTTACATGTATGTGCACAGACAGAATCTTACTTATGTCCAGATACATGTAGATATGACTATCTCATCTGTGGGGACCCATGGTTAACTACATGAGAAAGATCAAGACAGTTGGAAATGGCTATTCATATTATGGAAACTTTTTCTCACAGAGCTTGATAATCAGGTAAAATGTAAGTAACATACATATTTGTATTTTTAATCATCAACTAGTTCTATACACTTGATTGGTAATCTAGTTATTCTTCTTGGGGCAATGCCTAGGACTCTCCTATTCAAGTCTTGGCATTCTTGATTTTTGACAATCACATCCATTGATTTTCTTCAAGTTGTGATAGACCCTATGTGTATTTTTACAGTAAATAGCAGTATAAAAATGGACAATATTTTACTTTTCAAATAGATTTTAATAGGTAATATCCAATTTGTTGTCGATGGAAATAAAATATAATAATCTGCCTGGGTCTGTTACTGGACAAGACACAATAAGTGTTACCCAAAGATGAAACAAAATAGAGACTCAGTCTCGATGTGGCAAAATAAATTGTTTATTTAAACATTGTGAACCATAAATAGTAAGAAAGTATTCTTATTGCCTACTTTTTATTTTTTAGGCTGGAAGATTATTTGATGTATGATAACAACAAGAGATCCCAAGCATCAATTTATTTTATAATTCTGGAAAAGAATGCATTTGACCCAATTTTTGAATATTTTTTTTTGTTTTTACTGTTAAATATTCATCCCAAACACAATTAGATTTTAATTCTCTACAGAAATTTATGTATAATATAGAATGTAAAGTGACATATAAATCACTTAGAATTTGGTCGGAAATCATAAAGTATTTAATAGGCATAGTCTAGAAACCAAATGTAGATCAAATATACCCAGAATTACAAAAAACCTTGACCTACATTAAGGTGACTTTCCCTTGCTTATGAAATGAAATAGGGTTTAATATCCTACTTTTCTGTGTTATTATGGTGATTCTGCCCTACAACCTACTCTTATATCAAATATTTCATCTGTCAAGGGTTGTTTAAAGGGAACCCAGGAGGGCCGAATGGTTAACACACGCACATTGGATCAGAAGGGTCTGTCATTGAGTCAGATAATTCAATTGTCAAGGGTTCTTTAAAGTAAACGCAGTGGGGGTAGTTTCAATTCTGGGCTTATACCCAATTATCCCTTGCCATGTCCTACACTACTGACGTGTGGGAACTATGTCGGAAAATCCAGTTGAAATTTCTCGGCCAATGCACTCACTGAACCACAGTGGCTCCTCCTTGCTTTTGACTTGTGATTATTTATATATATTTTGTACATATTATTTAATGTTTGCGATTTTCTCTGATATTTTTTTATTTTTCAATCCTGTAATCTTGATGCTTTGCTCCTTTTATGTACAAAATATTCATTTTGTTTGAGGAAAAGGTTCTACATCATTTTATTACTCCTGCAAAATAGTGCATTTTTCTTTTGTTAGTTTTCTGTGTATGCTAGTTATTTCTAGATGCCTCACAAATCACTTGTAATATGACTTTGTAGCACTTTTCAGTTTCTGAAAGTATTTCAATTTAGTGCATAATTAATCTAATTAGGGCTTGGTTTGGATGTTATTAAATTTAGATATATTTGAATTATATATTTTTGTGGTATGGGGTAGGGATCTTTCTTTTCTCAGTTCTTGTTTTCGGGTAAAGAAAAAATTAAATAGCTATTTTGAATTTTGTGATGTGGGGGGGAGGGAGGCAAAGTATAACAAAATTTTTATTAGTATTAGAATTATATCTCTGTTTTTCTGTTAACATTTCAAATGATGTCTATTTAGTTTTGATTTGGTGGTGTTAATTTACCTTTTCCTATCATTTTATGAATAAATGATAATTTAACAAATAAAATTATTGTTACCTCATTTATCAAACTTTACAGGTTAAACAGAGCAAAAGGGGTGGGGGGCTGCATGGGAAAGATTGCTAAATTGAGGGAAAATAAAACACAAGTTTTTGTTGGTGGTTATACACAAGTTTTTATGAAACCACACAAGTTTCAGAAATTTCAACACAAGTTTCAGAAATTTCAACACAAGTTTCAGAAATTTCAACACAAGTTTCAGAAATTTCAACACAAGTTTCAGAAATTTCAACACAAGTTTCGACACAAGTATTGTGTAGATTTTCACACAAGTTTCAACACAAGTTTGTGTTGTTTGGTAAATTTTAACACAAGTCTTGTGTTGTTTCAACATTTAACAAAAGTTTGTGTTGTTTCAACACAAGTTTGTGTTGTTAAATAGAGACACCTAACTTGTGTTGAAAACAACAAGTTTTTTTTTCAGTGTATTATTTTAGACAAATAACGCCCCTCAGTTGTTCTTTCTATTTACATAATGGACAGTCTTCGGCCATTATCCATTACTGAGATACTAATTTCTAGTTATAGCAGTTTATCCCCGGTGCAATCCGCCTGGAGTTACTAGTTAGACTGATCATCCGCGGTATAATCCACCTGCGGTTCAGTTCTAATGTAGTTACCAGTTTTCATATGTTTCTTTAACGTACCTATAAAGGAACCCGCATCCTTGTCTAAAGTCAAGACCATATCTCAAGATGGAACTAGGCCAACAGAAATCATTTCGTAATAAAACTGTCCTGCTTTATAATTACATAGATCTGTAATAATTACAAACATTCAGATAGATCGAAAAAATCACTGAAATATTCAATTGTTGTACATGTATAATATAATATTAAATTTCTACATATTTTGAAATATCTGAATAGTCATGTTCTTGTGCGAGAGACACACGGTCTAACTCATGGTAACACCTTATTTCAACAAATCCCTTTCGCATAGGGGTCTTTAGCAGTGAGGGAAAACCGGAAGATTTTATATTGATATGATCCTTGTCCTTGTCTTAGATTATTTACGGTTGTAACAGAACAGGTCGTTCTCCATTTGCACTCGAGCGTCGCGAGTGACCTGCTCGTACTCGGGATGTCCAATTTCTCAAAAGAGAACACTTTCATAGAATTTTAAATACTTTATTTCTTTAAATACAAATATAAATGGCCGAGGCGCGTGTCCGGGTCTTTTCTTCCTCTCACCAGCTGAAGGAAAGATTTTAAAAGGACGCAACTCTACCCTCGAACCCCTTCTCATCCTAAGCGGAATACATAATTACTCTGGTAGGACTTGCCGGCTGTCCAAAGCCAGAACTCCCGCTTGGGATGCTTACCTCAAGCGGAATAAATAATTACTGCTGCAAGGTTCACACCCCTCGTTTGTTCGTTCCTGGAGTTTGATGTCCACTTCAACCAAGGGTGATATCGTAGACAAGACTAAGACTGAATCTAACTTTCGTGTTCTCTTATCTAGTGACAGTCAATTCTGTTTATGAATTGTCAGATATCCTCTCACACAATAACTTTTGGTCTTTGAAGGAATTATTAGTGAGCAGAAATTCGCCCATATATCTGTTATCACTCACCACTTCAGTCAGTTATACAGAGGGATAACTCGTGTTTTCCTTTTGCGTTCGTCACTTACGATTGTTGAAACCTGTATTACGCATCTATCGTAGCAATGATCTCTGTGTTAAAATTATATTTGGAACGTGTTTAACCACTTCTATCAGATATGTGATAATGACTGACACCAATATTGTCCTTTAAATCACAGTTGAAAGCATTTTTATTTAGACAAGCTTTTAATATATATCTATACAACTTTATAGAGTTGTTCATATTTAACTATACTGTCTTTTTAATATTATAGATTCTGGATTGTATGTTCTTATCTATACAACTATATAGAAACCTTTTTTAATATTTAAATTACTTTTTACGCCCACATTTTCATGTCCGTCCGTCCACATTTTTTTGTTGTGGTAATTGTATGTAATGTATCTTTACAAGGCATCTGAACACATTTTTGTAAGATGGTGCGCTATACACATGATTTTATAACAATAATAACTAGTTACTTAACGATTGCCGGATTCTAAAGGATTATCTACGACAGAACATACTCTTTTTTCTTTTCCTGTCTAACTTTGGCAAGTTGAAATACAAACAACCAGTGGTGCTAATAAATATTTAAATAAGAAAATTACAATCGATATTATTTCAATATTTCACCTAATGAAGATGGTTACTATCGATTTTAGCTTTTACTCAGGTTAGTAAATCAACGTGTTATTTGTTTATAGTATTATTTACAGTTCTTCTAAACAACATGTCGGTACATACGTCTTACCAACATATTCAATAAGTATTTGTATAACAATTGATCTGAAATTTGACCAAACAATAGGCCTACCTCCTGTGTAGGATAATGTCTCTGGATTCAAACAATACAGTTCTTAATATGAAGTATATCTGGCCTGGGGCTTGTCTTGATTGGGTTATGTTTACCCAACATATGATCAATCGTCGTATGTTTTATGTTGTGCTAGGAATAAGCCTGAGTGAGATGAAGCTATCTGTTTAGCTGGCTGAAATGGCAGTATCAACCAAACATTGTACAGCAAGTACTAGTCTAACTTAAATCAAAGTATCAGACATATATGGTGAATCAAATGCTATTATGGAGAAATTGATTGTCGCATTATAGCCCACTGTCCGTCAGTTAGGCCCGAGTTAAGACGAGTGTTGGTGCAGCTAAATGATAGCCAAACAAAACATAGAAATACGCCCACGGGGGATAGCCATAGACAGTATTCAAGCTTTTCCGAAAGGAAAAATTGTGGCCTCCCGAGAGCGGACAAGCAAAGTTAAAGGGCCATAATAGCAATTGTCTTCAAATTGATTTCGAAAGTTCATCATCCTAAGGTTTGAAAATGATTATCAAAAATTGTGGCAAATAAAGTTCTATAACGTATGCCTTCTAGAAAGCGGACACTCCAATGAGGGTGGACTGGGCAACAGCATTATAAAAAAATCTTCTTTACCCTATAAATTTGGTTATCTGAAAGTTAGATTTGTTAAGATAATTTGTATTGTATTGCCCTTTCCCGAACCGATAGCATTGTTTTGTTGTGGGAATAGCATCATATTCGCCGTATAGACGAACAGTTTTAATTTAGACCAGCCTAGGACAAATTGCACCATAAGGTTTCTTGGTCCGGTTGTGATCGTGGGATCATCCTCTACAACATATCCAAAGTTCTCTGATTGCCGGGGCGGGGAAAGGGCCTAATTTACATACATTCAAAATGGCCTCCAAATGGGCCCCTGGAGTTTCAGAACTCCGTTAACCCCTGTGAGTCAGAAATTATCACAAATCTACCCCATGACGTCATGACTTTCTATTTCGACAATGATGATATCGGAATACAATTTTCAAAAAAACTGACTCGGCTCCAAGAAAGAAGTTAACTGATAGAAATTGAGATGTAAATAATCACTTTAGTATTAAATTACAGTCCAGTCTTTGTAATAAAGTGCTAACATTTTTAAAAGAGACAAACTTTTATTCTCAATTTTAATTGTATATATTTAATCATGTATATCGTTTTAAATATTTATATATGTAAAAGATTTATTATATTTACTTTTAATTAATATATTTTCTGTGATATTTGTTTTTATTTACATATATAAATTCAATTATGTGATATCGTTTTAATTTGTTTCGTTAGATTCACCATATGTTTGGCGCAATATAGCCCGGTTGGAGATGACGTGCCATTAAACAACATTACATTTCATTTCAGTCTTTGTAGTCTATCATATGTCCAAAATAGGGTTTATCTTATTCCAAGTTCGAAACCTTACGCCCCCCCCCCCCCGAATCAGTACACTGTGTCACATTCTACTGGACAGCCACACTAGATACTTTTAAGGATTGTTAATTGTTTTGGGCTCTAATAAGTCTAATTTGTCTGTCAAATCTCCATCCCCACTTTCTGGCCTTCATTCATCGCCCATCCACAACTACAACTGGTAGTACACACGGAAAGTCGGAAACTTTGCAACATCTGAAATTGGACACAGGGCAAGCTTTCCACCATCTTTTCACTAAACTTTCTCATGCGCAAGCTTTCTAGTGTTTCCAATGTTCGCCCACCATACAAACAAACATGACCTCTTCTATCATTGTTTGCGGACAAAGATTTCAGCGTGTTTGTGGAAGTTCTATTCCTCTTATATCTTTTTGAAAGCGACACCTTTGCCAATTCCAAGCAATCTGGATGTTGTGTCACACCAAGCCAGCTATGGCATGCACAAACGGAAGGTATAGTGTGACGTCCTAACAACCATCTTTGGACTTATCAAGTTGTGTAACATTGGCATACCCATAAACCAGGTTGGGCATCTTTGGCTTTGCAAGATATAACAGTAGAACCAAGAGGTCAGTGTCCACCTCAACACATGGGTACTACCTGATAGAGCCCGTTCGATTTTTGTCTAGGCAATGAACACATCGGCGTCCCCACTCACCTTCATGATTTCCACATTATCGTCTTCAAATTGTTCATACAAAAAAAATCTATGAAGTTCTGCTTATTGACAAGAGTGTAATACCTTCGGTTTGTATATGCTATAGCTGGATGTGTTACAACATCCAGATTGTTTGGAATTGGAAAAAAGTGTCCCTTTAAAAAGATTCGAGAGGATTCGAACTTAGAACTGGGTTTGTAAACACTAGAAAGCTTTCGCATGAGAAGGCTTGGCGAACAGGTAGTTAATAGCGTGTCCAGATTAAGAACTTACCGCAAACTCCATATGTTGTAAGTATCATGGATTAACTGTGTGCTACCAGGTGCAGTTGTGACTGGGGAAAGACGATGAATTAAGCCCAGAAAAGAATTTGAAAAACATAAAAATTATTTAGGACATGTGTTAGACTACTAAGTCTTGAGTAGAAATGGAACTGTAATTTGATGCCCATATTATTTACATTTAAATCTCTATCGGCTGTCGTCTTCCGAGATAATCAGTCATTTATTTTTTAAATTGTATGCTGACATCATTAACGCAAAATAAGACGAAAATGTGCTGATGTCATGAGGTTGATTTAAGATATGCCAACTCGCGGGGGTCATGTTTCTATCTGTAAAAATGTAGTAAGGCAAAAACTCAATATTAAAAGGAGTTATGAGACTCCAAGGGTACATTCGGTGGCCACATTGAATTTATGTATACGAGGACCCTTCCCAGCCCCTAATATCAGAGAACTTTGGATATGTTGTAGAGGATGATCACAACGGTACCAAGAAGCCTTCTGTTGCAATTTGGTGTAGGTTAACTCTGACTATGGATTACTTCAAGAAACTTAAAATTGTAAGCGTCGAAGGAAATGAAATGAAATGGGGTTTAACGTGTTACTTTTCTGTATCGACTGGGCTAGTGAAGACAGTCATACGTCATGCAGTATTATGGAAATCTTGACCGGACAGCGGCGCTACGACCTACTTTCATTTCGAATTTCAACTGTCACGGATTATTGTACGTGTACGCCAACGTTGACATGGGAACTCGGTTTTTCGTACCATTCGAACGACTAGAAAGTTCCTTGCCGGGCGGGGGGGGGGGGGTTGGATGGCTGAATGGTTAGCGTGCGCGCTGTATCATAAAGTCTGTCAGTGAGTCGACTGGCGTGGTTTTGAATCCCCGGTTGTACGTGACAAGGAGTAGGGTCGCCTGTCCAACCTCGTGGGTTTTCTCTGGGTCCTCCGGTTTCCTCCCACTGCTAAAGACCCGTATGCGCAAGCGAATTATTGAAATAAAATTAAACTGTTAGTCCCGAATGACCTAGTTTGTGTCCAGTGGAAGTTAAACCCCATTTCTCTCTCTCTCTCCCTTGCCGGGCGCTCCGTCCTGTACCACCGACAAGGAGGAGCCATGCTAGAAAATCCCGGGTAACTTTGTTGACCAACATCGGGAGCGAACTCCTTTGGTTAGCGAGCCAGCGTCTTATTCACTGGGTCGAAGGAACTACACCATCAGTTCAAGTTAGATGCTGAAAGGTTTTAAAAGGTATTTCTTATTTTTACTTCTGAAGAAAAGGAATACAAGTATACTTAAATAATATTTCTGTCTCAAATATCAATTGATCTAAATGTTCTGGTATATCAGATTAAAAATTATTAGAAATCATGCTGATGCTACAAATATAAAAATATTTTGTTTATTTTTTAATGTGCTGAAATTTATGTAAATTGTATATGACGTTATTTTGAAAAAAAAATTATATTAAAAAAAAAAAAAAAAAAAAAAAAAAAAAAAATGACTAGCAGAATAAACAATGCATATCATGTCTTTCATTTATATGTCACTTAATTAAGACAGGGATTTTGGTATAATAAATTTCACGATCCGTCAATTCTCTAATTGAATTTTTTCATTGAACTTTTTGAACTTTATTACAGGCGAAGCAAAGAGTTTGGTATTGCCAAAAAATACATACAGATATAATTAGTATGTATTGTAAATTATATATACATATAGATAACAATAACGTATTTATAATCCCACAACTTTTTTGCAAAATTCAATCAAAAACAGAAACGATTGAATGTAAATCAGTCTATATACATTCATATGTCATTATAATATGTGTTGCGATCCATTTGTGCCGACTTCCAGGTGCCAAAGAATGAAGATTTAGCTTCTTTAAACAATTTTACTATATTACACACTGAACGATACTTTACCCCCACCCCACCCCTCTCTCTCTCTCACACACACACTTACACAATACACATCATCTTAATATAGCTATTACATATGCTTAATCTCTAGACTCGCCTTCGAGAGGAAACAAATACCCCCTCCCCCCACCAAGACACTCACACTTAAATATATACAAACAAAAACCACCACCCCATTTATGATTTATGTATATAATATAATTTATAAAATTTGGAGAATTTATATTCCACTGATATTTAAAAATTATATTCAGAAGTAGGTCAAAAACTGAAAATTAAGAAAATTTATATTCGGTTAATAATAAAAGGGTATACTCAGTTAAGGTTCGCGATTCCCATTAGGTAAGGTTATCAAACTGTCATTCGCTTATTTTCATTGAGTAATGTAGATATTTTCTAAGATTAAGCAATTTTTTTATTATTATCTTCGTGATTCATTAGGTTTTTTTTAGCTTTTCTAGTGATAGGGAAAATACCAAAAATAACGCAAAAAATATTTTCTACGGAGATATATAACCGGGACAGCACCTCCGAATGTAAAATTCGGCATAGCTCTCATATTACAACATTTGGATAATCTGTTATATCTTTCGATTTTATTATATCGCCCGGTTACAATATTTAGATAATAGTTTTACTTGAATATTCGATTGAAGAGTTTTATATAATTTATAAAACCGTAGTTTTGTTCGTGATAATATTGATACGTCAAAAGCATTTTGTTGATCCCAAATATAAGAAAAACCCGGATTATTTAGAAATAATTTTATTTCAGCTGTCCAGTTTAGGGAATCACTTAACGATTTTGTTAATTGGCATACAGATTATCAAAAATAGATAATTAAAGAAAATGTATTGAAAATTGTATCCAATTAATTTATTCCGAGCGAAGTTTTGACAATATGCCCTAAATTGACCGGGAGTACCAGCCAGATTATCGTTTAATGATGATATGACAGGCGTTGTCCATATCTAAGTGATTATGTGAATAAAGAAATGAAATGAGGTTTAACGCCCTACTGTTCTGCTCCAGATGGGTTATGCGGATCTTTAACTATCTACAACTAGCGATGCATACAGTTCTTAGAATGTTGATCAAATAATTGTTATTTGTTTGGGTATTTTCTCTCTGTTGTGTCTAAGTGCAATAATTGAATTTTTTGTATGGTAAAACCTGAATAAATCGATGTCGATTGATATCATTCTGAAAAACTTGGAAGGATAAATTGAACGTTTACAGGACTCTAATCAAATCAATACATCTTGAGTTATAAAGTTGTACGGTACGCCGCTTCAGTGCAAAAGAATTAATCTGAAATAAGAACTTAAAAATGCCTAACTGGTCTTGAGATGTAAGAATACTTGAGCAGATGTTTCATTTTTGTTAAGATGCCAATTTACATGATCCGGGGTTACTTGTGGCTAATTTCAATATTTCAAATAGGACATACAGTTTTAATTGAGGAGTCGCGATGGAGGTTGTACAGACACCAAGCTCAGCTAACAACCAACTTTTTTCAACAAACCAATTCTAGATTTAAATTTCAATGCACTACGGATTGTTCTAGATTGTCAGCATGTAAAAGTTTTAGCTTTGATGTTGTATCTAAAAGATGTCATTTCTACAATTTCATACCACTACTATCCAACCCAATGACGGAAACTAATGATCTGTTAAAATATTACTCAAAACGAAGAGGTAAGGACTTTCACTTTTGTTTTAAATTCATTTAAACGTAAAAGAGAAGGGTGTACAACACACGGATGACGATATTCCCCCCCCCCCCCCACAAAAAAAATAAAATAAAATAAATAAACAAGCCAACAGTGAGGCTGATGGACATTCTAACTCAATTAGAACGAGAGTTATTGTGTCTCAAAAAGTGAGGCAGGCAGACGGGCGGACCCCTTTTAGTAGTCCCCTGCTTTCTTCGAGAAAAAATGTACGCCGTTTAGTTTTCATGTTTTAGATCAGTGGTTCTCAACCTTTTTTTGCCAAAGTCACACCTTGGAACACATGGAAAAACAGCGGCACACCTGGCTAAATATATATGAAAAATATTTGAATTTTGCAAAATAAAATCACGGTAAGTCATACGCATACAACCGTAGACACAGACTAGTCATAGACACATAGAATGACTAACTACACCCAAGAAAAACACAGCTATGAACTTACTTTATTGCAGTGTTTCGAATTTCATCAGTTAAATAACTGGCTTCTTTAGTGACAAATTGTCTTAGTGTGCGAAATTTCGCAGCACACCTAGGAAGATCTCGCGGAATCACTGTTTTAGATAAACCAATATTTGTAAAGATTACATGGGTTGAAATTATTATCGAAACGAAATCGAGTTAGGTGTCCTCCTTTTCTCCACCCACTGGGCTAATATATTTTAAAAAAGAATCGAAGTGAAACCTACAATTTATACCAATCATTTTTTTTTAGTTCATATGGGTTGTGTTACGGGCCTTTATGCCAGGTTCTTGACAACATTGGTTTAACTTATATAATACTTTTATTCTTCTTTTTAACATATCATGTACAAAACTTAAGACTTCGTAATTGGCTTGTGTTGAGGGAGCCATGGTCCTAGGTTGGCTTGACACCCTTGGGTGCCAACTCCCGACTAAGTAGCATGGCCGCTGTCTGGTCTTAACTCGAGACCTGCAGGTCCCAAGTTTACTTCTAAACGCCCTTGCCTAGTCTCCCCTTCTCGTCTCGTCATATCAGATTTAACATTCAATACAGTTTGCTTATAAGACAAAAGGAAATGAAATAAAACAGGCCATGTTTTTTCAGATGTTGTGTACAGCATTGGGGTCACCAGAGGACCAACTCTACCGACTTTCGGCATTAAGTGACTGCGTGCCCGTTTCAGAGATATGCCCCATTTACCAAACATTTTGTGAACGCAATAGAGGCTAGTTCTTTTTAAAAACTAACAACTTATAGTACTTTCTATTCCGCCCCTTGGAGTTACAGCTTGGCATAAAGCATGTGAGAAGATGACCCGTATAAATTTCAATTCTGGTGTGACGCATTAGAATTTGTTAATTTTTAGATTTTAGGACTTTCTATTTCAAAAATATATTTCATGCCTGGAATAGCTTGTTAATAGATTTGGTCACTATCCCAGTTTCTTTACGGTTAAGCTGTTGTCTATTTCTATCATTTAGTATCCTAATGTATTGTAATTTGTAATCAAATGCTCGTTGAACAGTCGGTTCCGTCCGCTTCGTTTTGTATATTATTATTGTGTCGTTTGTGAATCAGCCATTACTAACTACCTTTGGATTGTCTTGTAAGATATGGTTATCTTTGTTCATTGCAAATGGCGCCCGAAACCATAGAGTATATGACTCATGTAGGTTACTGATTTTAAAATGTTCATTGTTTTAGGTTTAGCTCCTTTAAGTCATCTGGAAAACTAAAAACGACGGAGAAATAAATTGCAGCCTGTTGACAGTTATCCAGACATTCACGCAGAACAATCATAGCTATGAAGCAACATTACATTCACTATGTACAAAGTTGGAAGTTTCTTTCGAACTTTAATGGATGCGAAAAGCAATTATTTCATTAAAATCAATAAAGAGCAGTCTTTTTTCTTGACTTTTGTGAGGAATCCTATGGATTTATATCTTTAAAAAAAATATTAAATCACAATCGATTATTGATCTAATTCGAGTTTATGTAATATATTATTTATACAATTGCCATGGTTACATTTTTGTCTATGTATAGAACTGCGTGACATTATATACTAAAAGTGGATTAAGCTGGTGCGGGGCATGTCAAAAGGGGTACTAGATTAGAAAAATAAACATAACCATGTCTGGGCCGCCGAGTTAATCCCTGTCTATTTCTTACGTTTTAACTCCGTACATCTTATCAAGGACTTTACACAATACCCTGCATATTTCGCCATTAATTCCGATTGGCTACTAACCCAGTTCTGGACCACTCGGATTCCTCTATAGCAAATATCACCGCTAAAATCACGTCTCGCGCTTTTTAGCTAAAATGTATACCTGTGGTGACCGAGTTGTAAAGTTCAAGGTTCGTTCAGTATCAAGGCTCCAGTGGAGGTCGCCATGTTTTATACGAGTATGTGTTTGTGTCACGATCTCTGATTGGACAACGATATCGTTCACGTGGTAAAGAGGGATATAAAGTTTCTATAACTTCGGGAATGTCAGACCAATCTAGGAACGGCTAGATATTGTAAAACTCGTGGTCGTTGCATAAGGAACGTGCAGTTTTACATACTATGGTATTTATGTTTAATATGTGTGACACCAGATACCACACCCCCATTAATTACTATTAAAATAATAAACGACCCAGTGGTGGATTCACAGCGTAACTCTCTAGTATCAGTGCAGAATCACTTTAGCACGGGAGCGAACATGTTACTTTTTTACTAGAAAAATCTAGCACTGATTGCATAAATGCTAAGCATTTATCGACACCAGAAGGCCATAACAACTTGAAACGTGGGCACAGATGGTAAAACCGGTAAAGACAGCAACGTACGTTTGTTTCCATGGAGAAAAATGTATGCGCTGTGCATATCTTGATGACTTTGGGGCTGACTTGCACGCAGTCAGACAGGGTGTAATTGGCGACGGACAGTGTCTGCGGGATCCTCACATGAGCATAAGTGCGGGATGTTGCCGGGTGACGTGCTTGTCTGGTCCAGGTCTTTAATGAAAACCTTGTTTGCTGAAAAGGACAAGCCGAGCTCGGGTTGGCAGCATGATGGCACCCCGAATTACCAAAATCGCGAGTTTCTTGATGTTATCATTGACACATTGTTTGATTTTCCATAGGGCTGGGTATCGATAGTGATTTTTACTATCGATAATCGGCAATGAAATATCGGTCGATAATCGGCAATGAAATATCGGTCGATAATCGATAGTATCGAAAACAAACTTATTTTCACGGTCGTCATCAAGACTGGATACAGTGTAAGTTCAAAGTTCAAAACCATACGAAGTTGCGAAAGATCGTTTGCTCCTGTCTAAGGAGATTTATTTGGAAAACATTAATAAAACTTGTTATATCACGTATATATACGTAAATTGATGTTGTTTATTATTAAAATAATGCAGCCGTGGTTCCGAATGAAGAAATATCGTAAATAATTATGCTAAGAGACCAAAATGAACTTGTTCCGATTCAAAACATTGCGTACGTGCGCACGAAAATATCAATATGGCGGACAATTCTGTGTCGTTTCGTGTGCCAATAGAGAACCATTATTCGTATAATATATAAGTAAATTGTTGTTGTTTATTATTAAAATCGTGCAGCCGTGATTCCAAATGAAGAAATTGTATAAATAATTATATGAAGGGGTCAAAATGATCATGTTCCGATTCAAAACATTGCGTACATGCGCGCAATAATATCAATATGGCGGTCAATTCAGTATCGATTCGTGCGCCAATAGGGAAACTTGTACAAAAAGTAAAATAAAATAAAACAACTACCTGTAAAATGATAAATTTATTTCAAAAATATATTAATAAACGATAACCACGTTTACACATGCAGAAAAATGCTGGACTTATTCTCAAGTCCAAATCAAACAAAAAACAATTTCTTACAATTTACAAATTTAAACTGACACATGTTCTCATTAAATGTAAGCTTACAAAATAATCCTTAATATTCAAAAAGGTAAGAAAGATAAACACTCGAAACAAAATAAAAACTCGGAAAACCGGAATCTAAAACTGACCATACGCATATAATTTCAACAAAGTTCTCAAGGGCAACAGTTAATAATTTTTATTTAAAAATATAACTTTGTCAACATTTTCGGCCAACAAACAACTTCTCTGCTTATTAACCACAAAACCGGCAACACTAAATACCCTTTCGCTGGGCACAGAGGTTGCAGTTATTGAAAGATATTTCTTCGCTAAGTTAGAAATATTAGGATAAATAATTCCATACCGCCTATACCATTCCAAAGTGGATAAATCTTCTTTTCTACTCTCCGACATAAATCTAGTTACTTCTTGCCGAGCAAGTTGTCGAGGAGAAGAAGGTTGCCCAAAGTCATTCATCTCATCCTCTGAATCCACGATGTCCGAAAACCAATCAGGTCGCAGTCTTTTGGCCAGTGTGGGGGTTGAGATGTTGTCTGAGGAAACTTGTTCTGGGTCATCCAACAATACTTCATCAGTCTGTTCAGACATGCTCATTTCCACGACTGTATCCCTCAAATGTGTTTTGCTTTCATTTAGTTCTGCCGTAAGTAAGTATTTCAAAGACCTATATTTGACATCTAGCAACATGGCTAATGAGAGAACCTTTCGCAATTCCGTATATTGATATCTTTTGTTAAGATTATTAACCATTGCTGTTTTAACTTGTTGTACGGGTTCACTATCTTCGTCAGAAATAGACAAATGTTTGTTTAGTTTTGAAATAATCGGAAGTATCAATGAATTACTGGGATTTTGTTCCGTAGATACGATCTCCGTTGCATCTTTAATTACTTTATATAGTTTTACTACATCTTCAGCGAGCGTTTGTTCGTGTCCTTCTAATATCATGTTTCTGCAGTCCTTTTTAATTAATGGATCGTTGAAAGCAGCGTGGATAGGTACTGTTTGCTCCAATATTCGGCAGAGCATGTTTTAAGAGCTATTGCACCTGGTTTCAACATCTAATAAGAGCTTGAGTTCCGGAAAACCTAACATGTTTTGTTTTTGCTTGAGAATACCAGTGCCAAGCGAACTACGTTTGAAGTAAGCAACAAGGGTGCGACATCGACTCAAGACATTCTGTACAGTTTTATTGGCTTTTAACCCATCCTTGGCCACTAAATTCAGGGTGTGAGCGAAACAAGCTATATGTATTTTGTCCTCAAATAAATAAATGGCTTTGATTACATTGTATGCATTATCCGACACAACGAAATCAGGTGCTATTCCCCATTCTGTCATACACGAGTCTAAAGCATCCTTTAAATGTTCTCCCGTGTGTGAACCCGGTAATTCGCGAGTTTGAAGAACAAATGAACCCATCTCCCACTCTTGGTTGATGAAATTAACGGTGACTGTCATATAGGCTTGAGTGGAAAGAGATGTCCAACAGTCAGTTGTGATGGAAGTAGAAAAGGCATTCTTGAGTTCAGTTGCCACCTTTTCGCGAGTGTCGTGGTACATTTTAGGAATGATTTCTGTACTGAGTGTTTTTCTAGTTGGAACCTGATATTTGGGCTCTGCAATATGCAAAATATTTCGAAAATATTTCGATTCAACAGTGCTGAACGGCTTTAAATCTTTAATTATATATTCACCGATTGCTGTTGTTAGTTGAATAGATTTTGGGTTTTTTGAATTAAGGTTGTTAATGCCCTGGCTAATTGTGGGTTGATTAGTGTTTGAACTTGACGACGCTTGAGCTGTCAATTCATCAGAGTGAGATTTGTCTAAGTGATATTGTAAGTTGGTCGTACTTGATTTGTACGGAATCTTAGCAAAGCATTTCTTGCATACAGCACAAGCTTTATCAATTTCATGAGAATCGTCCTTGAGATAAAACAAAAGTGCTTCCACTTTTAGCTTTGCCGGGAAAATCAACAAGCGTTTTGTCGTCCATGTGTGCTATTTATTGTACCGGGTACTCTATTACTGAGGCACACGTACAGAAATAGTGAACTGTACAGACGAATTCTGAAGCTTGCAAAGGGAAATAACTCTAACTTTATTTACACACCCGGGTATCTCCGATTTAGCGATATTCAACAATAATTTCTTCAAAACTAAAGTAACGTTTCAATGAGAGTGAATTTATGAAAACGGCTGTTCAATAAGCAGTGTATTATGATTAACTGAAAGAAAAAATTGACATTTCAGACGCAAGAAAAATAGACGAAGAGCGATAATCGATAGTCATGATTGGATGTCACACCCAGAGATTTGCAATTTTAAATTCACAAATGTGATATAATTTCATTGTGTGATCAAAACTATATTAAATTAAAAATATACTTAATTATACATCGAAATTGATGATTGGACTAATTGAATATTTTGATAAGATAATTTTAAAAGATCTCTTAACTATGTCCTGTAGAGCGCTTACAGCAAGTTCGTCCGTGTTGACATGTACAATAAAGTTTTAAAAAATCGAATAATATCATTGATTTATAAACTTTGGTGTGTAGCAGATGTTTAAAACATTAATCTGTATATTTGGGGAGTTAGCTTACCTTACCGTTGTTTCCAAACTCGCGGACAAAATTGCCACTATTCCTATGTATTCACCATTATAACCGATTGATTTTCGGAGGTTGTTTTAGGTTTACTGTAGCAACCCTGACCCATATTTAGCGATGATGAACTTTGACGAGTGATAATTTGATCATCGGGCATAGTTGCGATTTTGTCTGCAAGTTTGGTAAGAATCGTCCGCTACCTCTCCGACTTGCTTTTTTAAAATGCAAAACTAGTTTACGGATGCAACTTTTTTTTGCAGGTAGTTGTCCTCCCACTTATACCTTCATACCGACAGACGGACGATGTATTTTTGTATCGAATACGGCAAAGAATTTCGATGATGCTTTAACGCAATGCGAGACCGATGGAGGCACTTTAACATTTGTAGAAACTGAAGCCGACAGAAACTTTATAAAAGATAACTTTGGTAAGTAAAAGAGATCCCAATCCCACAAGAACTTGATCAACATATTCTATAGCTCCCAGGTATCTTTTCCGCCTTAACATCAAAAACATAATACCATTTTATACACAAAGAGCCTCGGTTCGAATCTAAAAATCTATTTCATTTAAAGTGTATTTTGTTTTTTCTAGTGTCGCGATTAAATACGCGAATCATGTTCATGATTTTGAAAGAAAAACCCGGATCCGTTATTAAAGTCCTGCACATATCAATGATCGTTTTTGGCCGACGGCTGCATTTCTTGTCAGCGACATACTAATCATCATAGTGAAAGCTTAACGCACGCCATGACGATGCTCAACTTTTATATCTAGGCACCGACGTTTCGTGGGCGGTTGTATGTTTTGAAGGAGATACCCGCGACGCCTTCGTGGTAAGACGGGGATACTTAATTAAATGATCACAACGGTGAAAATAAACAAGTTAATGCTAGTAATTGCTTCCCCTTAGCTCATGAGCAATTGTGTTTTTCTCCCTTTTCCCATTATACATGGCATTTTTGACTTTTAGTCTAAAATCAAGGCAGGTGATTGAATGTCCATTTTCAGTAAGGTTTTGATGAATATTCATGACCTTTAGGCGGAAGGACCAGGAAGTAAACACATGAATTAGGGAAAATGACTTCACTGCCAATAGATTCCTTAGACCGGGCCTATCAATAGTTTTATTCGGATGATTATTACTTGTTGCGCTATTTGATGGTCGGAATGTTAACAAATTTGTTATAGGCCAAGAAAAAGCCATGGATTTAACATAGAAGTCAATGGGCAGAGAATTACTCGCTGAGTCCAGGACTAACCGTATAACAAACTCCAGAGTTATCTTCCTTCAACCCCTGTTTCATATTATTAAGGTCAACACAAATAGATACATAACACGACGGTTTGCAGTGGGTGATCGCTGATTTTGCATGAGGAACAAGAACCCAATATTTATTATTTATATCGTTTGTACGGTATGTTGGAAACTGGTTGAGCATTATGATTATAGTGTTGAATACCGCACTGTAACCATGTGAATTTTTGCTCCATTTAAGAGGTTCCTTTGTCGTAAACTAATATTATACATGCTTTTCGAGATTGGGTATTTGGACTATAATACACGGCCGAAAAAAACGGATGTTCCATACGAATCCAATCATTAAAATTGTACCAGTCGATCCCATTTATTACATGTACAATTTATTGAAGAATTAAACAGGGTATGACGTAACATTTTCATGAACGGATCAATGTAATTTCAAGTTGTCTCCCAGTTTGTGTCATGTGTATAACGGTGTGAACTTGTGGCCAAAAAGCAACAAACTTACGACGGCCATCTTGTATCTTCGAGATTTCAGCTGTCCACGAATTTATATCTAAGCTTCTAAACCACTCAGATCACCATCTTTATGTCTAAATCTACATTTTTAGGCCCAATGAATACAATCGTACTATCTAGAAAAGGCACTATTTCCTCCCAATATATTATGTCGGCCATCTTGTATATTCAAAATTTACGCTATGTAAAACGCTATGTCTACCAATATCTCAGCTTCTAGGCCACTTAGGATAGCAAACTGTGTGTATAAACCTACATTTTGAGGGCACGGGGCAAAGGAATGCAATTATCTAGAAAGGATCTTTTACTAATTCTTTATTTACAAAGTTCGGAGGGTTGGTTGACCGAACGGATAGCACGTGCGCGCTATATCATAAGGCCTGTCATTGAGTCAACTGGTGTGGTTTTGATTCCCCGGTTGTACCTCGTGGATTTTCTCCGGGTCCTCCGGTTTCCTCCCACTGCTAAAGAACCCTACGCGCAAGCGAATTATTGAAATAAAATTGAACCATGTGTTAGTCCCGAAATGACCTAGTTTGTGTCGAGTGGACGTTAAACCCCATTTTTCTCTCTCTCTTTATTTAAAAGTTCATTTTCTTAAAAAAAAACCTCGCATATCAATATCTTAGCTTCTGAACCAGTTGGGATGACCATTCGTCATGCATAAACCTAAATTCTTGAGGTCTACAAATACAATCATGCAGTCTAGAAAAGATCAAATTGTTGTTATTCCCATAAGGAAAAAAACCAAATCGGTATTCTTAAATCTACCAATACCTCAGCTTCTGAACCAGTTAGGTTCGCAATCTTGGTGCTCAAGTAAAGCACAAGGATCAGATTGCTTTTATTAACACAAGAAAGAAATCGCTCAAGTAGGTTTGAAAACAAATCTGTAAAGGTAAGTTGGGAAACAAAACCGTATCAGCATATGATCTTACGGTACTGTAGTCAATGAAAACATTCCAAGGACTCTAGAAATGTGTTAGATAATATATTATCATCACTGAGTTCATGCAATTTATTTGGAGTAAGTGGCGCATTTTCTAGATGATGATATAACTCTAATCCTTGGTCGTGCAACTGCACGCTCAGACACCAAGATTGCGTGCCTAATTGGTTGATACAGGTTTTTGCATAGAATAAATCTTGAATATCCAAGATGACCGCCATAATATATTTGTAGGAAGTGGTGGATATCAAACATGTAAAGCTAAGGTGATAAGTAGAATTGGTGGACATGTTGGCTCCTTTATCATTTTGTTAAGCTGCCTAACTATAGGCTTCATAGGCACCTCGTCTACACAGGAATTTAAAGCGTTGTCATCCCGGCTCTCAGACGTTGTTTTTCGTCATGGTCATTAGCATATTTACAAAAATTTGAGAAACTTTAACCTGCAATGCCAAGTGTTAAAGTGAGATTGCGACTAAAAACGCTTTGTGTCGCTTATGTGTGGTTCAAATTGTATAAAATATATTGTAATGAAAATCTCTAAAGATTATGAATCGCCAACGATACCGAATCTTCTGCTATTTTTTTTCAGTCAAATGTAAGATCTCATTTTCGATGCTGCACCACATAAAGTCCAATATAAAAAATACCAACACTCTTTATCAAAAATACCCCGAATGTAATTAGAGGCGCAACACAAAATTCTAAACCCATGACTTAAAGTGTCCTTCAATTAGTCACCGCTAGATATGATCATACGTCGGATTGTGAAACCGTATGTGAGAGGAGGCTGTGAACGAAAACGCAACCGAACATCTTTTCGGATACAATTTAGTAGCGATGCTAGGTCTCTAATAGGTGTTTGAAATACCTTTATGAATTTTTTAAAATATGTAATCAAATATATTGTGTTTCTCTTTTGTAGCCTTGGATATATCTTATCATTTTGTTGGTGGTACCAACCGGTATGGACCCAATAGCAGTAGTATATTCTATTATTGGTTAAATGGTACTCCAGTTGGTGGTCTGTGGGCGCCTGGTGAACCCGATGGTGGAATAGACAAATGTAACGCTATATCACCGGAACATGATTATTATATACGGGATATCATGTGTGCAAATCTTTATCGTTTTATCTGTGAAATACTTGTGTAACAAGGCAAAGGTTTCTGGCATCTTGCCATTTCTGTATGCCATTTACATACTTACATACTCAAAATTTAATTGTATTTGAAAGCATAATATGCGTAAAGTGGACAAATATTGTGGCCATGGGGGTTCGAAGGCGCTATCTAGGGTTCTGTTGCTAAATTATCAAAGCGCATAATAAGCCCACCCTTGTTTGTGGTCGCTGTTACTACTGCATTTCCTTTTTTCTATATCCCTTTATTTGTCTGCAATTGTATTACATAATGGCGGCTACGTTAGCACATGTTGGTGAGTTTCAGGTACAATGTAATGCTGGTTTTCTTTCGAACACATACATTTTTTAAGTCGATAGCATATTGTAATCCTTTGTGAAATATATCTTAAAATGTTACAATTGTACAGCTGTCTATTTCTGGAACGCCCAATTTCACTTAATGAGACGTATTTGGAAATCCAAAAATATCATATACTATTATATTGTTACCTTTTTTACTTTGTACGAGTGGGTTATTTGTGAATAAACTCTCAAACAGTTTTACAAAACGATCCTGTCCCTTCAGACCAATGATGTCGCCCAGGTTCAACTGCGCTAATTGTCTTTTCAGCTGAGAATATGTAGAATAGCAGACTTTTTTAAAACAAAGGTTACCAGGCAACGAAACATGCCTACCAGCAGCTGAATCGTTCGACAAATTATACGTTACACAATGCTTAAAAAAAGAAAAGCTCCAGACCATAATTAAAGCACGTAAGATGTTAATACGATTTCGTAAAGAATCGGTAATAACTTTGGTAGTTATTTTTTTTTAAATAATCAATAAGATTTTTCCATGCAATCGATCAACTCATATCAGTTTCATATATATATATGCCTATATAGATTATTGTAGCCTCTGAATGGTTAGCGTGCGCGCGCTGTGTCATAAAGTCTGTCATTGAGTCGATTGGCGTGGTTTCGAATCCCCGGTTGTACGTGACAAGGTGTATGGTCGCCCGTCCAACCTCGTGGGTTTTCTCCGGGTCCTCAGGTTTCCTCCCACTGCTAAAGACCCCTATGCGCGGGCGAATTTTTGAAATAAAATTGAACCATGTGTTGGTCCCGAAATGACCTAGTTTGTGTCGAGTGGACGCTGAAGAGAATATAATTCTTCCTGTGAATAAATTAATCAACTTCATGACATGTAGGGCCATAGTTCATGTATCTAAGGTACTAACACGATTTCGTAACAAAAGAAATTGTAATCGAGAAATTAAAAGACTTCTACCTTTCAATAAGGTGGGTAGCGAATATACATTTCAGAAAGATAGGTTAATAATTGCAGCCAATAAAACGCTAACAAGATTCCGTGAGCAAGGAGCATGTCAAAAATCAATAGGTATATTTATTTCCATGCAACAGTCAACCCGAATCAGTTTCATAAATGTATATGTATTTGTTTTACCTCTATTGTGCTAAATCTGAGTGTCTGATCTACGAGTGGGGGTGACAGAAATTAATTTGAAATAGGGTTTTAAAGTCCGACTGTGCTGCACCGACAGGGCTTATGAAGAAATGCAGTGAACTATGAGGGAAAATTTATCCGAACAGTTGCGATATGACCTACCCTTATATCGAATTCCAACTGTCAAAGGAATATTTTACGTGCACGCCAATGTTTACGCGCGAACTCAGCTTTTCTGTCCCACCCGAACGACTAGACATCTATCCTTGTCAGGCCCTCCCTCCTGCACCACTGACAAGGGGAAACAAAGCCGGAAAATCTCGGCCAACACCGGGGGGCCAACCCAAGATCTACAGGCTAGCTAGCCAACGTCTTACTCACTGAGCCACCGCAGCTCCGCAGGGATGACGGAAATATATATACAGCCACATTTCAACGTATGGGTGCCAACCGGAGAGACTTGTAATAACTTTCTGAAAGCCTCACTAAAAAGTATGTCATACTTATAGAGATGGCTTAATTTCTGGGGTAAACAAACCACTTGAACTTTGTAAATGATACAACATTATGTATACTAGCCAATAACAGACCAGCCGTTTATGAATCGTCGATGATATTTGTACTAATTCAAATGTAAATGCCAATCGATACTGGTTTCAAGTATCGATTATCACCGACCATCGATTATTTTTTATGGACTTCATACAAATGAAGTACATATAATTTCGCGATAATCGATGTCTTAAAACTGTGCCGATTATCGATCTTCAAAACGCTTTACAGACGATTGTCGGCAATATCGATATTTTATGTCTGTCCTAATTCAAGGCCATAACCGTAAGAGCGAGATATCTCGATCATCGAGACAAATCCTCAAATTAGATATAGTATATTTTTGATTATTTCTGAGATTATTGTACCATGTAAGGTACTCAATAGGAAATAGATTATTGAATCAATAAAGAAAAAAAATAGACATTTCTAGAGTAACAATGTGTGATATTAACTTTCTCACGGCTTAAACTACGCTAATATATACTTAAAATCAAACTACCAACGATTGATAATCTCCTGGCTTGGATTCAATCGGCTTTAAAACAGGCCCATCAATTTGGTTTACGGCAAATACAAATAATTAGATATAATTTTCAATTGGTCATATCTTTGTAAATACTGAAAAGAATTGGATCATCTTTGGACTGATATTACTATTAGAGATTCAACTTCCACACTATTGCAACGGATTAAATAGCGCTAATATCACACATTGAGTCTTTAAATAAATTTGATTTAGAAGAGAATCGCTGTAGCAAGTCTTATATTTGAACCAGGTAGCTCTGATATCAATATTATTTAAGGTCACGATAAATAATTAAGGTCGATACTTTAGGTACACATTCACCAAAGTAAGAGAACATTGATTTACCATATCTGTAAGTGTGTCAGAGTCGATTTGAAATCAATCCAGCATAGCGTTATTGACAAGCAACATCAGGTGAAAAACCAGTGGTTATTATTTAAAGGGCATATCCCTTTCCTTTCTAGTAATGATTTCCATGACAGCTCTAAAAATATATTTTAGTTTGTTGAATCATTAACAACGTATAAATATTGCAGTGTACCCTACGCTTTTTTTTTCATTTTCGTGACCTATCATCTTCCCCATGTCAAATATTTATCGACAGTATTTGCAAGAAATTTTTTACAAATGAACATCAGACCACATTTAAATTTAATCTTATATGGAAATACAACCCTGAAATCAATAAAAAAAAAGGTAGAAAATAAGACATTAATTAATTAAACTTTTACCATGTGTACTAAATAATGTTCTCCGTTTTTTGTATGTCTTTTTTATGGATTAAATGGATTAATGTGTTGTGTTTGTTGCAAATTTATATCAGTTGTACTTATTTAAAGCGCCCGAGAGCTGCTCGCTGAGTTGAATATATGCGCTATATGAATTAATTATTATTATTATTACTTAATATAATATATACCCCCCTCAAGAAAAAAAACCTCCAAAAGTTTGAGTTGAGAGTTAAGTTTAGAGAGAGAGCATTTTCACAAGGAATTTGCTGTCACTTGCATCATCAAGCGAATACAATTCTAATGCATCAAGTCGTTTTTGCTTAAATAGCGCACAGTCGACAATAGCATGACGCAGATTACATGTAAGAAAAAGGCCAGTGTTCGCACACGCACAATGTTCTATGCAACAAGGTTGGATCATCGATCCTAGCGTACGCACGCACCTTCATAAATACTCTGCAGGCTTTGCTAAGAGACCACAGAGAAGATAGGATAGGGCTCTAAGTTCTGATGGATTTCACTGAATACTCGCACGTCGTTATCCTGTTTAATTCGTTCTAACCATTTTCTATCAGTTTTACAGAATCTTTTACTATTTTTTCCAACACACTTTACTTGGGAAGGTCCTAGATACGATGAAATCCTGGATATAATTCGAGGGATTATAACTTTTTAAAATTTTACTAACATCAGCAATGAAGCCGCGTGGTTGTTCACAACAATTGTATGTGTATACGATTCACGCAGATCTGATGGGATAGGAAATCTGCCCTTAGGTTCAGCAGTTGCCTTAGAACGAAAAGTGTCTGTATTGATATATACGATTCTAAAGGACACCATCCTATTAGGCGTTCGCATATGTCAGTTCTATATAGTATTAGTTTGATAAAGTGTCTCTGTGCTCTTTCAAGCATTGCCGGTTAAATTGTGGACAGATTGTTCCAAATTTGTCACGATTTACGTAGCCACATATTATATATGACATCTACTATATCAGTTAGCACGTGGGAATTTATTTTTTGTTGAGGGATACATTCTTTTAGGTTGTATCAAAAACAAAAACAGAAACAAAACAAAAAAAATAATAAACAAAACACGATACCCCCATTATATCAGTCCGTGTATCGGTCCGCAATTGTTTGTAACCTTCTAGAAATTATATTCTGAGCATATATTCCAGTTATGGTCTAATGTAATAAAAACGCACACCTTGTCTATAAACCGAAAAACGCCGATGTTGTCTGTAAAAAGAAAAGCACAGACGTTTTCTTTAAATAGAATAAAACTTGTATGGATACACGGGCGCGATTTAGTTGTCAACAACGCAAAAACAAATCACCTTTTTATTATTATTATTTTATTATATCTGTTTTTCATTTTTCTTTCTAGGTTATTGGCATATATCACCTGTTAATTGGACACTTATATCATTACAAAAATCCTAGTAAACAGTCACGACTACAATGTGTCTTCATTGCGCAGTCGTCACGTGATCATTCCAGATGCATCTACGGTAAACAGTCACGCCCACAAACAAAAAAGGGAACAACTCTTCCGCCGTTGATATGGTCAATTACCCATAATGCATCAGGTGGAGATAACTCCTCACTTCCGAGTAAGTTCCTACTACTATCATGTAAAAGAATACCCTGTCACACTCATCCGCGATTATGCTGGCGCATGAGGCAAAGCGTAGTAAGGTCTCTGAGAAAGATTGGGTTACGCAGTGGAGACTGTCAAGGACGGAAGAGTCGCACCTATAAGCTACCTTGAGCTCTAAACCCTAACGCTTTTTTCTTATGTCCATGCATAACTCAAGCGCAGTGGACAAGCGCTCTGAACAGAATGATGTAACGCCGCGGTACTGTCGCCATGCCGGCGCAAAGCGAACTACACGAGCTTATCGTGTACGTAGCTATAACCCGTACAAACGACATGGGATAAAATCCATGATAAGCGATAGCTTACAGCGCGTTCTTGGTCCGCTTAATTAATACGCCCTTGTTGTGCTCTGGCTACGTTCTGTATGGTTTCAGTTCGCACAAGACGCTGTTGCTGTCCAAAAAGCATATCAGTCCAGTAAATGCACAATAAGAACACACCTAAAAGGTACGTATTAGCAGCACATGAAGCCTACTGGACGATTTCAGAAACCGCAAATCGCTTCTATGAGTTATTGCCAAGTTCAGGATATACTCATGTGGTTCGTTTATCGCACCGCATTTTTTAATTTGTTGCATGTCCAAAACGTAAAATTGATTCGTTTTACTAATTATTAAACGAATTAAGTATTTTCAATGGCTACGATAATGAACAAACTCTCCATTATCCTCATTTAAATGTTAAATTATTATATGGCAAGGGTGTTCTAACCCATTTACTATCTCGGCCATCCGATGCTCTAAAGATTGCATTATGGACTTGCCATTTAAATATTTCTAAATGATAAATGATAATGAAAAGTTCCGATCTGTGAATTTCAGTTTGAGAGCGGTCTCTAAAGACACATACAACATTCGCCCACTACAATGTATGAAAATAGACCATAATGCTATCAAGACCCTGAATCGAGTTGCTCCAGCTGCTAAAAGTGGACATCAGAATTTCTTTGTTGCGGTTGGCTTCCATAAACCCCACCTGCCCTTTGTTTTCCCAGAAGAATTTCTGCATCTTTATCCAGAAGAAAGCATATGATTACCCGATAATCCACATGCCCCCGTAAACATGCCTCAAATAGCCTGGATTCATTACATTACGGAACAGTTGGGAGTGTATCATGATATCAATCGTCTGCATGCAACGGTGCCATTAACAGTACGCTGCCTGGGACGTAGTGATATATCTTAGAGGAACTTACTATAGCGCTTTATCGTATACAGATTCTATAGTATGAAAAGTAAAGCCAGAATTGGTGAAGTTGAGGTTAGCTGAAAGTACGATCGTATCATTTTCGGGAGATCATGGTTGGCAGCTAGGTGACACGGTGAATGGTGTAAACATACTAATTTTGAAGATGCAACTCACGCTCCTATGATGGTTCGCGTCCCCGGACTGACTGATAAAGGGTTAGTAATAGAACGCCTAGCGGAATGTGTTGATCTCTTCCCAACCCTTGTTAAGGAAGCAGGGTTTGATCCACTGCCTCTTTGTCCCGAAGACTCAACTGCAACAGCTCTAGGTAGAGAAGGGACACGTTTGATGCAATAGGCAACCCGGGCGTTTTCTCCCAATATCCACGGAATAATTATACTGTGATGGGATATACTTTATATGTTTATATGACACTCTACTTACCATATACAGATAACAATGCAATGTTTTCACTGGACTCAACGGTCAAGGTAAGGGTTAGACTGAGCTTGAGACAGAATTGAGGGCGTTACACAGATACATATGTTTACATTTGCTTGTGCTTCTGTGTGTTGGAACTGCACAATATCCGAAAAAGAATTCTATTCTTCGCCCAGAATGGCTGTCAAATACATCAAAAGGAATCACTATTTCGTTATAACGAATTACTATTAAGAATTATTATTTCGTTATAACGATATAATATTTCGTTATAACAATTATATGAGTGAAATCGATTACTTAAGGGGCTCCGTAGGAATTCACACCCGAGACATGTAATCACGACAAGTTCCCACCCCCATCTGTCAATGTGAGATAGATAGTCCTAAGCTACCGGCCAATGGGGGCTATTCAGAAAAGCACATACGCCTTCTTAAGACATACACTACACCCCCCCCCAACCAACCTTCACTCCCTATACTTTCCACAGCTTGTCACATCACTTCACAATTGGAAACAAATGGCTGTTGCCGTTTTATATTACTATGGTGTTGAAGCATGGACTGTAGGTCATAATTGATATTTTCTATTTCCAATTGCAATACATTATTTCATGATAATACAGATTTAAATTTACTCCCCAAATTTATTTTGTTCTTAGCATATGAACTGTCTACAACATTTATATCGCAGGTCTTTTTGGTATATGGAGTTCTTGTAATTATACTTGTCGCCATCTGTCCACAACTTTTGAATTGAAGAATATAGTCCCAAGTTTATCGATCAGAATTCGAAATGTTCATGGAATGAATCACATCAAAAACGGGAGAAACTTCTGTCAAACTCTTAAAATAAATAAACATCTATTTAGCTGTAAGAAATAAAACAGGCCATGAAATAATAAATATATAAAATATAAGATTGATAAAATGTCTTAACAAAATAAAATAGTTTAGCATAAACTGCCACTGATAGACTGAAATGCAAGTCAACTAAATTTGTCTGGAACGAAATATTGAATATTTCGACCAACAGAAAATCCATGGAGTTATTTTCTTGCAATGATCCTTTTGTACAGATAAAAGCTTGTAAATTACCCCTGTAAATTACAATTTACATTTATAATGTTCATGTTTGCTTCTCGTGCACGTGTTGTCTTGTGAGTTTCTAGTCTATGGATGTAATTCGCGGTGTAGCCACCTGCAGTTAGATTCTAGTCAGTGAAATCGTTCTGCAGTTATTAGATTCTAGCCAGTTCGGGTTATTCTAGCCAGTGCGGTCTTCCAGTAATTACTAGTTTCTAGTTAGATGAGGTTATCCGCGGCGCAATCCGCCTGCATTTAATAGTTTTTAGTCAGACGATGTTATCCGCGGTGCGTGCCACCCGCGGTAACTAGATTCTCGTCAGTCCAGGTTATCCGCGGTGCGGCCCTCCTGCAGTTACTATATTCTAGTCAGTTGAGATTATCTGCGCTGTGGTGCCTCCTGCAGTTACTAGATTCTAGCCAGTTTAGGTTATCCGCGGTGCAATCCTCCTGCAGTTACTAGATTCTAGTCATTAGGCGTGCAGACCTCCCACAGTTTCTAGTTAGAAGAGGTTATTCAGCGGTGTAATCCTGCTGCAGTTTCTAGTTATACGAGGTTATCCGCGGTGTGATCCACCTGCGGTTCAGTTATCATGTAGTTATCTGTATTCTATGGTGGCTGATTGGTATCATGTCGTGATGTCGTGGTGTCGCCCTTCATAAGGCGACATCACGACATTATAACCCACGACAACCCGACATCACGACATTTTTAACCCGACTCTACGACATTTTCACCCGACACCACGACATTAAGAATGTCGTAATGTCGCGTAAAAATGTCGTGATGTCGGGTTGTCGACTGTATTTATCAATGAGATCAAGTCAGCCCTCACTACCTCATCCTTCACTAAGAATACTTACCCTTCACTAACTGCGAATCAAGCTGGCCCTCACCACCAAATTACGGGTCTTAATACGAATTTCCAGATATTATGTTATATATCACTGAAAAGCACTTTCATTTCTCTTAGGCACATTATATATTTACTTACCTTGAAGAACTATCAAAGTTGGATAATACTGAACTCTATTATTAAGTATTTACGTTGGGGTGGGGGGTATTCAATGTCAAATTACGTGTTCTAATACGGACATTCCAGATATCACCAGAAAGCACTGTTCTTTTCAAATATATAAATAATTTTCTGGCACATTTGTATTTACTTGCCTTGAAAAGTGAAAGGGGGGGGGGGGGGGGCGGGGGTATTTGAAATACTGAAAACTAAAGTTAATCCTCTCTTGAATTAAAGAGAGTGGTGGGGTGGGGCGAGTGTTTAATGTCAAAATACGTAACAACAAAACACATACTTATGGAAAACAGCTACTAGTGTATTTAAGGCGACGTTTCGTAGAGTATTTTCTCAACGTTATCAAAATACGTGTCTTAATACGAAATTCCAGTTATTGTATCATACATCACCGGAAAGTAGGTTTCAATTCATTTTATTTATCGAAGGCTCGAATTAGCCCATACCGAGCACGTGATGACACTCAAGTCATGGTCATCCATAACCATTTGGTAGTGAGGGAATTTGGTAGTGAGGGCCAGCGTGATTCGCAGTTAGTGAAGGGTAAGTTTTCTTAGTGAGGGCTGACTTGATCTCGGCAAGGGACAGCACTCTATTATTCATGGCCGCTTCAACATTGATAAAAAAAGTCGACGACCCGACATCACAACACGACATAACGACATTTTTACGCGACAATACGACATTTTTACGCGACATTACGACATTCTTAATGTCGTGGTGTCGGGTGAAAATGTCGTTGTGTCGGGTTAAAAATGTCGTGATGTCGTTGTGTCGGATTATAATGTCATAAGGCGACAGCCCGACATCACGACATGATACCAATCAGCCACCATAGTATTCACATGTTTTGTTAATGTACATAACATAAGGGAACTTACATCCTAGTCTGAATCCAAAACCACATCTCAAGAAACGTTTTGATGGAACTAGACCAGCAGAAATCATCTCGTACATAAACTGTCCTGCTTTATAATTACATACATCTGTTGTCATTTCAGCCAAACATTCAGATAGATCGACCAAAGCACTGAAATATAAAATGGTTGTATATATTAAATCTCTACATATTTTGAAATATCTGAATAGTTATTTTCTTGTGCGAGGGGGACGCAATCTATTTCGGGACTAGCTCAATTTTATTTCAATAATTCTGAGAATATCCACGAGGCTGACCAGGCGATCATACTTGTTTGACCAATTTTGAGATCAAAGTCATGCCATTTGACCTAATTGCAGACTTTCGATCCAAAGCGCACGCGTGAGATCACTCGGTCATCCAACCTCTCTGTTGAAGGTGATAATGCCTCTTTAAAGAGACAACAAAAATTGTAAATTTTAAATTGTCAAGGGTTAGATTATCTTCTTTTTTTTAAAAAAATAAAAGAAAATGGATTACATGTTTTGACGGAGATAAATAATTACTTACCCGCATTTAACATGGATATCATTGGTGGTTGATATAACATTACTTGTTACTGCTTCGCATATTTTCATTCCTTCTAAAAATTCCTCACTTTCCCAACATTTGGCTTCTGACAAAAACACTAGAAAAAATTGGTTAATGCATGTCATCATCATATGTATGGTGAAATGGGAGATATATATACAGTAGAATCTGCATTAAGCAGCCACCCAAGGGAATTTTCACGACTGACCGCTTAACGGGAGTGGCCTCTTAATAAAATCTCGGTGCTTTTTGTGCTGACATAAATTAAATATTACGCTTGGATGCATTGGAAGCGAACATCAATACTTGCATCGGTAAATTTGACCGTTGCTGAATCTTGCGCCGAACGAAAATTCTTTACCCAAGTCTCGGATAAGTTCTGTAAACTTGTCATTTTGTACCAACCTTCGATACTACTGTCTACCATTGTGATGCATTCGATAATATTTATCCAGTTTTGTGAAGAAAATCGATGAATTAATTTTATTTTATCAAAAAGCACATGAACAAAAAAACATCGCTGATTTTATCACCTATTTACAGGGGGTGTAACTCTATGAAATAATATAGGAGGCGCTAAAACGTCTGTTTAACAACAAAGTGGCGATGGAAAAGAGATACTAGATGAACGTGACAAAACTCGGTACTTTTATTTTATTCAATCAGTATCAAATAATGTGTCGTTACACGTGGATATAGAGAATATAAACTTATATCGGCAAGGGTTCTTTTACGTGCGCACCAATGTGTAAATGGGACCTCGGTTTTTGTGCATCTTAACGACTAGACTCTATCGTTGTCAGACCTACCATCCCTCATCACTGACAAGGGGGAACCACTCCGGAAAAACCCGAGGAACTTTCTCCGCCAACACCGGAAAAGAACTCGAGACCTGACCAGCGAGCCAGCGTCTTACTCACTGATCCGCCGTGGCTCACGTTAAACGACAAACAACGTCTGTTTTTTTAAACACAATCACCTGTCTGAATTTATTCGGGGGTAAGGCGCCGGATCGCTTATCTAGGAGGTAGCTCGCTCGATCCAGGTGTTGAACGAGAAAATTTTTCAGAACATTCCCGCTATTTCTCTCCATGTTAGCGTCAAGATCCCATGCAGCCTACAAGTTGTGCACTTTATAAGAATCATTGACAGTTGGAATTCGAAATGAAAGTAGGCCCTAGCTCCACTGTCCATGTAAATTGTACCCACAGCACACTGCATGGCGTATGACAGTCTGCATGGAACCAGTTGGTTCAGAAAAGTAGGACGTTAAGCATCATTTCATATCAATTCATTTCACAAAAATAAACATTAACATCAACACATACATTGAAACACAGCGCACACTAATTTGACAAATTATTGTAAACATATTCAGATTTTGTTTCGTGTAAAAAGTTCATAAAAGAGAAAGAAATAATATGTTATAAGGACATTAATGCCAATAAATTAGACAACGATCAAGTTAATGGGAGAAAACTACTTGTGCTGACTCTGATACCCCGCAGAAAAGCGCGACTGGACGGAGTTATCTCCCATATATCGCTTTCTTCTTGGTTTATTCTACCAGCCTGACATTATGGGGGTCAGTGAATAATAAAAGAAATGAAATGAAATGGGGTTTACCGTCCTACTGTTTGTTCTGCTCCGAACTGGGCTAATGAAGACGGGCATACGCCATACAGTGTGCTATGAGGGAAATGTTGCCCGGACAGCGGCACTACGTACGGCCTACTCTTATATCGAATTCCAACTGTCAAGGGATCTTTTACGTGTACTCCAATGTGTACACGGGACATCGGTTTGTTTCCTGTCCGAACGAATAGACAGCTGTCCTTGTCAGGCCCAGTGAATAAGAACGCGGTTCGCCGACCCGGGGTTGGCCCCGTAAATATCTCGATTAGTGGTACATAATGGAGGGCCAAGCAGGTCATTCAAATGGGGCGGAAACAGATTGAATGTTGTTGTAGACAATAGTTCTGGGAAACAGAGACTAGCCAAAATAACAGGTTGGAGAAAGGATAAATTCCACTCCTTACTCAGCTGTCTAGATTATTTCCAATTAGTGGGTAATGGATGGACCATATTTAACATTCTGCCAGGGAACTGAAGACTGTAAAGAACCCTCGGAATATTTCAAGCCTGAGCTTCACCATGGGGCTGACAATAATTAGGACAGGGTAGTCAGTTGGCGTGCACGTAAAAGATCTACAGACAGTTGTTAATTGAAGAAGGCCACTGTCCGGGCAAAATTCTTACCATAGGTTTGTCTCAAACAATTATTTGTTGATAAGACATAAACACCATTTCATTCTGGTATTTAATGTGTTGTGTTGTTCAGTCTGTGGATTTAATGTATTTATGTAGCACCGTGGTGTTTGTTCAGTCTAGGTTTTAATATACATTCCGACGAAAGTATTTATCGGGCAGTTATTTCTAATAAAAGTATGACAATTTTATTTTGGTATATATGGAAAGTATAGATACCCAGTCTTACTAGAAAATTAATATTGGATTCCCTTAAAATCACTTATGGGGCGCGCACAAGACAAAAGGTTCGATGGTGTGCCTAAAAGAGGGCCTATCTTATCGAGTGACGTGTGGGGCGCTTCTCGTGTTGATCTAATGGCTAACGGTTGTGAGAATGTTCATAGAATTAAAAGTCCAGGGCCCTTATTCACGAAAACTTAAACTAAGTTACAATCGAAATTTTAAGAAATACTGCAATTCGATTGGCTGACCAGTAAAATCAATTTGCATATATCCAATGAAGTTGCAGTATTTCTTAAAATTTCGGTTGTAACTTAGTTTAAGTTTTCGTGAATAAGGGCCCAGTAGACTTTATGATTAAACAGCAGAAAAAGAAGTTGGGAGAGGATAATCCATGAGTTTACTCAGGCTTCGATATATATGGTAAATGGATAGCCACTAACTACAAATACACTATGAAAATAGATTCTTACGGCATGGGGTAGTTTTCTTCCGATTAAAACGTTTTGAGCGGAAATGGAATCAAACTCTTGACAGATAATTTAGTTTACATACATTTTAGTCCAAATATATCATCAAATCACACAGTTTGTATGCCGCGAGGCATCTTAACTGTAACACATTCCTGTAAGTAGCGCTTTATTGTTTGTTGAGTCACGCAGATTTCCCACGCTGTCTATTAAAAGCATACACAAGTCGAGGCGACTCCCTTTGGTTAGATAAGTTGCAAATGATAATGAATTCATTATGACGAAATGATATTTCACTATTTCGTAATCTGATTAAATACTGAATGTCAAACATGATTAAAGCATAATCTAAAATGTTAATTGTTTAAATTAGCAGTTTAACAAAATTAGAGATACCCACTCATTATTTAGACTCAAATTGTATTTACATGCACGATGGAACATACATTGTATGGTTATGCTTGTATGGTAAAGTGTAGTGGAATATGTAGAATGAATGAATAAATGAAATAGGGTTTCACCTCTTCCTTATTTGCACCAACTGGGCTATATAATCCGGGTTTACCTGGCTAGTTGTGACAACTATATAGTGTATCATGAAGGAAATTTTGCCGGGACAGCGACTACTTGGTCTACTCCTATTTTGATTTCCAACTGTCAGGAATGCTTGCAATGGAACCCACGGGACCTCGATGTTTCAGGTCCTCCATTACTGTGAGAGGGAAACCACGAACTTTCTCGGCCAACAGCGCAAGGAAGGATCGAACACGGATCTCCATACCAACCGAGCCACCGAACCACCGCGGCCCCCCGTTATCAAAATGGTGTTATTTAATTACCTGCTTTAACGTTTCCTCATATATAACCTAGTATATTTACCTGCTCTACCGTTACCACATAGATAACCTAGTATATTTACCTGCTTTACCGTTACCACATAGATAACCTAGTATATTTTCTATTGTATCAACCGATAATTTAGCTCTAGTATTATAACACTGTTGTAATTTCTCTCCTATACAACTCTTCACTTCGTCTACAACACTACAAAAAATTGAAAAATGCACAGCACACATAAATCGCGAATAACTGGACACTTTTTATATATATGTATCACTGATATCGTTGACTCATGCACCTAGGATTTTATTATTGAAGATTTTTGTTATTAAATCTTACAAAGTGATCATTAGAAAGTGTATTATAGAAAGTGGTTAGCAATTATATACAGTAGTCATTAATTAGCATGTGTGTAACTACATGTAGTTGTAAAAGATGCCACTTCTAGTGTAAAAGCGTGTCTAACTCTTAACACTCATCACTATGGAATACAATAACCTATTATATGTGTGTATCATTTTATCGTTACTGTCTTGACACCCTAGTGACGCAACACTTACTTTATTTAAATCATTAAAATGACCCATGTCTGTTTATCTGTTTATCTTATACATGTATATATTTTAATTGTTAAAAAGTTTAAGCCTATTAAACATACATTATGCAAGAGCTAAATCTGTCTATTGCAGGTCTTTCATTAGGCCTGAAATGTTATCTAAATTATTAATTCGACATTAATTTACCTATCCAGGACATAATCAACTCTAGATGGCAGCGCTAGCCTGCGATCTTTAGTGGATTGTGAGTCGATTTACTGCATAACTTTCCTTCTCGATTTAACGATTAAATGGATAATCGAGACTATGCTGTTTATTGTACTGACTTTAGTAATGATGACCGAGGCTAGGGGGAAATTTCAGTCGCTTAGTTCTCGGTTCATAGTGGATCAATTTGAATGAAATTTTCAGCAAATTGCCATTATATTATCTAGTGTTTAACTATTATAGTGAGAACTGCCAACTCCTTATCGAATCTCCCATAATGTATCTTTAATCAAAGATATTAACTTTACAGTGTATGTACATGTACATAGATATTGTGAATGGCGTTTTAAAAAAATACACAGGATTTTTTTTTTTTAACTAAAAGTTGATGTTGTTTTCGTCGTTCCCTGTTGTCGGTCGTCGGTCAATTCATGGACCCGTCACGATAGAGAAATGGTACCTTGGTAGACCGACGTTTCAGCCATCGAGGTTAATATGAAATGAAATGGGGTTTAACGTCCTACTTTTCTGCAAAGTGCTATGAGAGGAATTTTGTCTGGATAGCCTGTTCTTCTTATTTCGAATTCCAATTGCCATGGGTTATATTACGGGTATGGCATTGTGTACAATGGGTCTCGGTTTTTCTTTTCATCGGGACGACTAGAGGCCGTTCATTGCCCTGCTGTGCTTCCTGCACCACTGCCAAAGGAAAACCACGCCGAACTTCTGGTTTGAGAGCTATCGACTTACTCCATGCGTCACCGCGGATATGGGTTTAATGGGAGTCAACGGAATTTGTTGAAGGGCCGTCTTAACACATGGGTACACTGGGCAGTTTTGAATTGCTTTAATATTTCAACACTGATGTTGTTAGAAGTGCCAATGCAATAAATATATGTTTGCTTACATCGACTATTTACATTTTTATTCCTGTGAGTAATTGTGTAGTATGGGCACCAGTGCATAACTTTTACCGGGACCCACAATGGCGGTACATTCGGAACAACCAATTAAATTTCTGAACGAAATTAATAACTTTTTGTCTCTCGAGTATCGGGAAGTTTTGTTATGAAAATTCAAATATGGCTTACCCACACATTTTATGCACATCATCTTCATTATCAAACTTAGCTAACTGACTATCAAAAGGATTCTCAAACTCAGCTACAGGAGACAGACATCTAAATATCTCGGCTTCATTACAGTGATAGTAACGTTTAACCATCGTGTTTAGTATAGTGGATTCTAGATTAAATGAATAAATATAATTCAATATAATTAATAATAACAATAGAATAAAAGCAATTATGATAATAAACTAAAAATATATAGTTTAATGATAATTTAATACATAATAATTTAATAAATAATAATTTAATACATAATAATTTAATAAATAATAATTTAATAAATAATAATTTAATAAATAATAATTTGATACATAATAATTTAATAAATAATAATTTAATACATACTAATTTAATACATAATAATTTAATACATACTAATTTAATACATAATAATTTAATAAATAATAATTTGATATATTATAATTTAATGAAAAATAATTTAATACATAATAATTTAATACATAATAATTTAATAAATACTAATCTAATGAATAACAATACTAATAGTTGTTCAATAAATAATAAAATGAGTGGCGCTGATTATACGATGACATTTGGCCAAGTAAAATAACATAATAGAACACAATATAATATACATAAATATTAAACATAAGCAAATGAACAGGAGCCATGGTGCTTCACTGAGCAAGGCACCCCGGTGGTTCAAGGTTCGATCCCAGTGTTAGCCTAGAAAGTTTCTCAGGATTTTCCATCCCAGTTCCCCCTTCTCATCGATGTTTGTGAGTGCTGCAGGGCGAGGGCCTGGCAAAAAGAAACCCAGATTGACGAAAACCCGAGGTTAACCCATATACTCGTTAGGACTGTCAGAAAGGCATGTAGTCGTTTAGATAAGACGGAAAATCAAGATCCCATGTTGACAGTACATACATAACGCTATGACAGAAACCGAAGGCAAAATTGGCGTCAAAACTATGCATGGCGTAATGTCCGTCTTCATTAGCCCAGTAGGTACAGAAATGTGAGATATTAAATGGCACCCCTTAGAGCATGATACTAGGCGTCAAAAACCACAAGGCTCTTTGTTTCATTTTTTCTTTCATTCTTTTAAAAGAGATGTAAAAATTTCAATTAATTGTAAAATATTTAACTTAATTAATACACATTAATTGTCACCTCTGAAAAAATATTTCTTTCGAAGAAGGGGTTCTTTTTAAATAAGAAAGACAAAAAAAAAAAAAGAAAAAATGAAAGCCTAACACAGACACCTCTTACGAAGGCTGGCTGAAAAGTTCTAAGCCTGAAAAAGATAGATCACAAGTTTTGGAACAAACTTTTGCCACTACAGTTGCAGTTTTTATGTCTATGATTCATGATTGCATGAATCATAGACATAAGAACTGCAACTGTAGTGTTATTATTGTCTTCCTACCAGACCATCTCGTGAACCTACCCATTGAAATCAACAGAAATCGACAAAACTGGCAATAGGGCAGTCATCAAGTACCTGCAACTGAAAGGACGAACCCCAACAGAGACATGCCGACATGGTCTCTACTTAGAGCATGATGACCCATTCCTTTTCCAGAGTAAAACAGTGGGCTGTAGAATTTAAGGGTAACAGAGAAAGCATTGACGATGACCCGCGTCCTGGAAGACCGTCAACAGCAACTATTCAAGAAACATTACCCGGGTGCATGACATTGTAATGGCTGATCGGCGATTGACAACTCGACATAATGCCAGTGTTGTGGCCATCTCTCATGAGAGGGTTGAACACATTATCGCCAATCGTTTCTGCAACATGGGTGTCAAAGCTCTTGACTGACGATTAGAAACGTGTCAGATTCATGACGTCCCGTGACAATTTACGCCGTTTCGAAAGGAATCCTGGTACTTTTTTGTCCAGATTTGTAACTATGGATGAGATCTTTTTCCAAAAATGAAAAAGAACTAGCCGGTGGTCATTTTCCTAATAACATTGACGTCATGTCAGCTCTGAACGACCTTTTTTTAGGGTGGTTGAAGAAAATTTCTCTGACCGGCACCCGGGCCTTGCAACATCGTTGGCAAAAGTGTGTACTCCTCGAAGGGGGCTCTATAAAAAAATAAAAGGAAACCATCGACTTTGTACAAGTCTTTTACAGATAGGCTTGAAACGTTTCACCCAGCTCTCGTTTATGCTACCCACTGATTCTACTTCATTCAACTAAGCAGCCTAGCGATGACCGAAAGACTTTCCAGTGATTTTCCAGCGTGGTTTCTCCTTGTCAATGGTACAGGGCAGATGGGACGAAAAACTTTGGCGTGCACGGAAAAGAATCATTGACAGTTGAAATTTGAAAAAAGGTCGTAAAGCCGCTGTCCTGGGCCCTTATTCACGAAAACTTAAACTAAGATAAAATCGAAATTTTAAGAAATACTGCAACTTCATTGGATATATGCAAATTGATTTTACTGGTCAGCCAATCGAATTGCAGTATTTCTTAAAATTTCGATTTTATCTTAGTTTAAGTTTTCGTGATTAAGGGCCCTGGCAAAATGTATCTCATAGCACACTGTATGGCGTACCCCCGTCTTCACGTTAAACCCCATTTCATTTAATTCCATTCAATTAAATACCCAAAGAAGACATTGCTGATAAAAAAGTTAAAAAAATAAAAATACACATACCTGTCTTTAGAATAATACAGGACACTATAGTTGCTAGTAAAATACAAGTTTTAATCTCCATTGTTGATTACTAGTACAACACTATCGCTACTAGCAGGGTTAAAGATGTTTATAGATCTGAAATACTTACAACTCATACCACAAGTACATCATTATTACACCTACACATACATTTAAAATGTCATTTACTTTTTAACAGAAAATAATATTTCCGTTACGCCTCGCACTACCCGTGCGTTGCGGTAAACTATAGTCGGCTCATGAACCACACGGGTGGCCCGAAGACAGAGATCATTATTCTATTACGTTCTCAACATATCTGACACCCTAATGTTTTTCTGACATTAACTTTAAGCTATACACTATCATTCGACATTTTACCGAGGGCAATTCTTCACCGCCAATATGTATTAATATATGAAGTATTAAACACCATTCATAATGACAACTTCAAGGATTTACTATTTGTTGGTCTGTTACATACGACATTTACCCGCGTCTTTATCAAATTCATCAAGCAATCTATCTGCAAGAGTACTGAAACGTTACATGTGATAAAGTTTTGAATCCATAATGAAGTGTAACTATGAATGTTATAACACTATTTATAAATGTCATTTAAAGAACGTATACTTTTCATTCCATTCCTTATGAAAACTGATATAGATGCATCTAAAAGTAATAAACCAAGAAGTAGTAAATCCATAAAGTTGAGTTATTATGAATGTTATACCTCTATTTCGAGATGCCATTTATGAATATTATAATAATATATCACTTCTATTTACTTACAGAAGTAAAGACGGATTTCTACAAATGCTTTTATCCAAATCCTTAGTTTACGCTTGGCTGTTAATTATACCGGAGCAAGAAATATATTCCTGTAAATGAACGTTTTTCAGATACTTGGATATTTATATGATCTCAACAGACATGTCACAGAAAGGTTTGCAATATGTTACGTGCCCCCTAACTGACAGACATTGAAATCTCCATACCACGATAACACATAATTATACATACTGTCAAATGAATATTCTTATTATTTCTCGAAAATGATTATTTATAATTGGTCTTTTCTTCAATGTACTGACATTGAGATTTCTTGTAGCACAAAGCCGATTATTATGACAGCAGTATAATACAAAGTCTGGGAAATATTCCCATTTTTTTCTTGGATTGTTTCCTTAAGGGGTGAGGCTACCCGAAAAATGTGTTCTGAATTTTAAAGCTATTGAATTGAAAATGACACTAACATTAAAAAAAAAGAAAAAAAATGTTGCTAGGGTAACACATTTTTATGGAAAAGGTATGAAAAATGTTGGTACACCATATCTCTGGCACTAATAAAGATAAATGTCTCATTTTCGGACTGCTTATTCTTTAATGATAAGCCTAAAATCAGACAGAGAGTTTTTCTCTATAATTTTCATAGTTTCTTGGAAAATGGTGTTTAAAACATTTGCTTCACCACAATATTTTGTCTTTTGAGAATATTTTGATAACTTTTGAAATATTAATAATAATTAAAATTGCTTTCTGTCTGATCCACGGTTGGATATTTGTTTATATATCCTGCAAATTTGGTAACGATATCTTAGTTACAAAGATATAATGTACCTACGCTTTTCATAATTTTTCCCAAAAAAATGAGTTACCCTGGCAACAACTTTTTTAAAAGTTACTTTTGCCTTCTTTACTACAATTCCTGACTACTTGTACCATTTTTAATTCAATAGCTTTAAAATTTCAGAACCAAAATTTTCGGGTAGCCTCCCCTTTAAAGATACATTATGGGAGATTAGATAAAGAGCTGGCAGTTCTTACTATAATAGTTAAAAACTAGATAATGTAAAGGGGATTTGCTGAACATTTCAGTAAAATTGATCCACTCTGATCCGAGAGTTTAGCATTGAATTTTGGGCCTAGCCTCGATCATCATTACTAAAGTCGGTACGACAAAATACAGTCTCGATTATCCAGTAAATATCGCAGGCTAGCGATGCCATCTAGAGTTGATTATGGTCTGGATAAGTTAATTAATGTCTAATTAATAATTTAGATAACATTTCACGCCTAAACAAAGACTTGCAACAGGCAGATTTAGCTCTTGCATAATGTATGTTTAATTGCTAGTTTTGTTATCATTTTGAGCGAAGCCTGTATCCCTAAAGACCAGGGACTGTACAGCGCAGTGCATGCTCACGACTGCCCCCCCCCCCACACACACGAATCCATTTAATCCAGGAATATTGAAAAGTCAATAAATGTAACCTTCAAGGAAGAGTTAAATTCAATAAATTTAATCCTCCAGTGGGAGTTAAAATTCAGTAAATGAAAACCCCCATGAAGAGTTCAAATTCAATAAATGTAATTACTCAGGAAGAATTTAGTCAATAAATTATAATATAATTCAGCGGCAGAGTTAAAATTCAATAAATGTAAATCCTCAGGAAGAGTTATATTCAACAAAAAACACCGTAATTCCGCGGGAGAGCGAAAATTCAATAAATGTAATTCCTCGGAAAAAGTTACACTAACAAATTGCAATCCATCGAAATGAGTTAAAATCAATAAATTTAATACCTCGGGAAGAGTTAAAATTCAATAAACGGCCGTATATACACTGCAAGGGTTACAATTCAATAAGTGTAATCTCTCTGGAAGAGTTAAAACTTAATAAATATAACCGTTCTAAAAACTTTAAGATTTGAGACTTTCCAGAGCAGCGAAAATACCTATTATTATGATAACGGACAATTACGTATAATGAAAAAAATACTCATATCTGGAAAGACTATTGATCAAGTTTTACTACGATTTTCAATTTCACAGAACGTTGTGAAGCTCATTGGAAAAGCCTAAGGCTCCGTCAATTTAAGTACAATCGTTCTGAAACTTCGGATGCTTGTTTCATTGACAAATGCTTATGTGTCGATTTCGAATTTTAACATGATGCCATCATTCAAAGATGTCACACTGGTCCATAGCACGCCCGTGCTTGTTAATAATTAACGATCTGTGTTTAAACTGTAACGCTAATCATTACATACCTAAAACCGAATATTCCGTTTTCAATACTACGAGACCTTTTCCGTTTAAAATAAGGGTTATAAATGTGTTTCCAACATGTACTAATAGTTAATACTTACATAAATCCGAGGATTATGATTTTTAATACACCTAAGTTCTCCTGATTTTAAACCAAGGTTTATGAACTGTACCCAACATTTAATACTTACCTAAATCCGAGGAGTCTGATCTTTAAAAATACTATAAGATCTTCTGAGTTTAAATGGACGTTTATAAACTGGGAATATATTCCAAAAACTTTAATTCCTGACTTCTGATAAGGAGGAGATAATATTTCATTGGTTAAAATATTATTAAACATGCAATTTTACTTCCTGCGTCAATTTATTGCCTTGCAAATAATTAATTTTGTTTTTTGCCATCAAGTTTCATATCAACTTGTTTTTCTTGATTTGTTATGCGAGCAATCGTTTATGACGTTGTAATTAATGTAAATGCTAGGATGTCAGTGGGTCTTCAACCTATGGTATTTAACGTTTGGTATTACGATACATCTAATTCAGATGACCTTTGACCTGAATAATATCTAGAAAAGTCGGTCAATGACATACAATGACACACAATGATAGAATATAACGCGAAATGAATCAAATGGGGTTTAATGCCCTACTGCACCAAACGGGATAATAACATCGGGCATACAGCATGAAGTGTGCTGTGGAGGTACTCTCTTCGTCGACTTCTAGTTGCCAAGGTTTTTTTTTTTTACGTGCGTACAGGACCCCCCTGGGTTTTCGTCCCACCCGAGCGACTAGACGCGTTTCCTTACCAGACCCTCCGTCCAACAACACTGACAAGCTACTTTATCAGCCAGCATCAGGATCGAATCCAGGACCTCCTGGTTTATGAGCCAGATTGGTGGACTACTTTAATCGCCGACTACCATAACCTTAGATTGGTGGACTACTTTAATCGCTGACTATACAACAATAACTTGTGGACTACTTTTATAGCTGACTATACCATTAGATGGGTGGACTACTTTAATCCATGACTATCCAATAACTTAAGATTGGTGGACTACATTAATAGCTGACTATACAATAACTTTACATTGATGGACTACTCTAATCGCTGATTATACACTTTAGATTGGTGGACTACTTTAATCGCTGACATTAACTTTAGACTGGTGGACCACTTTAATAGCTGACTATACAATAACTTTAGATAGGTAGACTGCTTTAATCGCTGACCATAACTTTAGATTGGTGGACCTCTCTAATAGCTGACTATACAATAACTTTAGATTGGTGGACTACTTTAATCGCTGACCATAACTTTAGATTGGTGGACCACTTTAATAGCTGACTATACAATAACTTTAGATTGGTGGACTACTTTAATCGCTGACCATAACTTTAGATTGGTGGACCACTTTAATAGCTGACTATACAATAACTTCAGATTGGTGGACTACTCTAACCGCTGACTATACACTTTAGATTGGTGGACTATTTTAATATCTGACTATACAATAACTTCAGATTGGTGGACTACTTTAATCGCTGACTATACACTTTAGATTGGTGGGCTATTTTAATCGCTGACTATACAATAACTTTAGATAGGTAGACTGCTTTGATAGCTGATTATGCAATAACTTCAGATTGGGAGTGGCCAACCTTTTACAATCCACGTGACAAATATTATCTGTAGGACATCAGATGTGCCACACAACTTTAAAAGATTAAAGTAGAAAAAATCTAACATATAGATAGTAACATTGCTTACCATATTGGGATTTGATTTTGTTTTGATTTAGCCAAGCTATATAAAGTTGGATTGAAATTAATTAGCAGCGGAGAATGTCTCAAATTCACACTGGTCGTTTTTATATTACCTGCCACATCGAATGGTCAAATGTACCATCTGTGACTTGCCCCATAGGTTGACAACCACGCTTATTTCGAATTCCAACTGTCAATTAGGGTTCTTTTACGTGACCTCGATTTTACGTCCTATCCGAAAGACCAGACTATGTTCCCCGTCAGTCCCTCCGTCCTACATCACAAGGGGGGAGGGGCGTCATGCAGTTAATCCCGAGGAACTTTCTAGGCCAACATCGCGAGCAAATCCGGGACCTTCGGACCAGCGAGCCAACAGCCCCTAGACGACTTTTTAACATTATTAAACTCATTAGTTCACGTATGCTATATACGTGCTACTGTGTACTCTGGGCGGCTGAACTCCAGATACAAACGATCTCTAATTTGCTGTATGCGGTGGCATTGGAGGGAGTGCTAATTTTCATCACTTTGTGTATTCAATTTTATGCTGTTCTGGTGTATTCATTTACAGGGATAATGCCATTTTTAACAGGAGACGTGGTTTACGCATAGACATATACTATGTATATATTTATATTGTTTAAGTATGTAAACCAACCCAAATGTCACGATACAGCATATTTAACTCGTTAAAATTTTCCAATCAAAGTACTGAGCCGTTCGGAAATGGGGTTTAACGTCCTACTTTTCTGTACCGACTGGGCTAATCAAGACGCACATGCCAGACAGCGGCACTACGGCTTACTCTTATTTCGAATTCCAACTCTCACTGGTTCTTTAACGTGCACGCACATATTGTGTACACGGGAACTCGGTTTTTGTCCCATTTGAACGAACTAGACACTGTTCTTTATAAGGTCTTTCGCCCTGAACCACTGACAAAGTGAAACCACGCCGGAAAGTTCCGAGGAACTTTCACGGCCAACAATGGGAGCGACTTTGCGACCTGTTGGTTCGTGAGCCAGCGTTATGGCTAGATTCCCTATACAGCAATAAAATGAAATGGGGTTTAACGTCCTACTGTTCTGCTCCTATGCTGGGCTAATGAAGACGGGCATACGCCATACAGTGTGCTATGAGGGAAATTTTGCCGGTCCAGCGGCACTATCGCCTACTCTTATATCGAATTCGAACTGCCAAGGGATCTTTTACATGCATTCCAATGTACACACGGGACCTTCGTCTCATCCGAAGGACTAGACAGCTGTCATTGTCAGGCCCTCAGTCCTGCATCACTGACAAGGGGGAACCACGCCGGAAAATCTGGGTGAACGTTCTCGGCCAATGCAGGAATATAACACCCGACCTCCAGGCTAGCCACGTGATCCCCCCCATACAACAACACAACAGACATGAATTAGTTGTCAAGAGTCGCTGGTAATGAATGGAAGCTAAGGATTAGGTAAAAAAATAAAAACTGTGCAAGTTTATAATAAAATAACTTTATTTCTCAAAGTTAAAATTCAAAAATTTAAAAACTTTTACATCAAATTTAAGCATTAAAATTAGTTCCATAAAAAAAATTAAAATAGTGTACAACAAATGAATGAAGTGGTGCGCGCATCTCCAGGCTAAAATTATTAGATTACTTACAATATTGAAACAATTACTTATGATGAAATATAATTAAAATTAAAGTTTCTGACCCACAGTCATTTTTATCTTCTTCTCGTTGATGTTTAGTGGTCTGCTTCCACGGTAGTTATATCGCAGACAGCAATAATTTGCCAAATGTGACATTATTCGTATACTGCGCGAAAATATGTACATAAATACAATGATTAAATTCCAATCTGTTATATGGCAATGCAATGAAAGCTTGTAAATAAATTTAGTGAAACTTTTAACAACGTTATTTTACATTAAATGAAATAAATAACTCAAATAGGTTTAATAAATTGAAAGCTAGTAAGCTTAAACATATGGAGCGGCATTCACGACACAATTCTAAATCTTAACCTGGTGTTCTAATGTGCTTACTTCTAACTTACATATTATTATCGTAAATTAGCTATTTACACATGTATGTGGGTATGGCTTCTTCCTTAAATATTGGGGTGTGAATTTGTATTTTATTGTATTTTCATTATCACTTTTACTTTACGGTCATATTCGTTTAAATATAAAAGCAGATTGTAGTCTGTTTAGTTTCGTAAACATTTTGACATTTCAAAATACACGTTACATTCCTTAAAATCTGCAGTTTGAATTTCTATTGTTAGTTTTACTTTACGCTCATATAGGTTTAAAAATAAAAACAGATTGTACGAGTGGTCTGTTTAGTTTCGTAAACATTTTGACATTTCAAAATACGCGTTGTAAGACACGATAAAATTCTAATTCTTATTATGGCAACAAAAGGCCTGTTTAAATGGCCCTGAATTAGATTTCTAAGAATTAGATTTATATCGTAAATGCCACTCCATAAAAAGATAATACTTTTTAGGCGTATAAGTTATATATTTATATACATTATAATGATTTAATTAATTAAGTAGAAAATGAAATATATACATCTTATTTACAAATTAAAAAAACAACTGAATACGTAGTATTTACAATGTAATGCATAATATTTGAAGACTAGGCAAGGATTAGTTCACAACACGTGCATGTGTCACGTGATCTCTCACGCGGCATTTGTTCAAATTTGCGTAGGCAGAATGGTAGCTGCTTGACGGGAAAGGGAAGACATAGTTCTTAAATAACAAAACATAGGATTGTTAGATTTGAATATAGTCAATGAATCTGGATTAATTCTGGGATTTTAAAAGTTGTAAATGTTGACGAAATTAAGGAATAAACAAATTCTGGAAACGTTGCAGTATTCCAATGTTTATGACACCAAAAGAGAATACAAACGCACATCGAAAATTGTTGGCTGAATAAACACAGGAGTTGAAGAAATAAAGCTGTGTATAATTTCAGACCAATATATTTTAACGTATCACACTTTTAAAGAATGAGAAGCACTCCCGGTACACCCCTACACAGACTACTCAAGTCTCACCATACTTCACACTTCACGCGAGAGTTCATGTTACTTTCGTACGAACAGTCAAATGCCCATGAAAATGATTTCGAATTCGTCAAAGCTCCGTTAACCCTGAAATATAAAGGTTGGATAAATTAACAGATTTGTTCATATAAAATCGAAGAAGGAAGTAGATTCGGGACGTAAGCTATTTGGGGTCAGACTACTAATTAGTTACAAATGTCGTTCCTTCTATTTATAATCCCCCCCCCCTCCACCATCTTTAGCATAGCCATTTCGTTAACGTTTTGGACTAGAATCAAAGAACATAGTTTGAGATTACATTTATGATTTTGAAACGAAAGGACAACAGAATTAAGAGGTCGGTTACGTTGAAAAGTTTTTCTCCAATGACGTTTCAGTACCGGTTAGCACAAATCTGTGTGGCCTTACCGCGTTGAACTTAACCTGGGTGGACGAAACGTCAATGTACTGCACTGCTCTGTTAACAAAAATGGAACGATAGGTACTCCAAGAAAATAAGGCGAAAGCGACACTACCAGGGCATCTATATCGTCACATTACTCAATGGTAGCAATGAAATAACCATGGAAGATGCTAATTGGGGTAAAAGGTAAATTGGATCCAATTTCCGCCTGCTAAAAAGGTTCAGGGTTAGTGTTAGTATTCCCCAAAATACTCATTTATATAAAGCGGCCATTGTGGACTCCGAAAATTCCCGAACCGCCCCAACCGGCCTACCATTAGTAGGGTGACCCACCATAAATAAATATCTCCATATATCTCGACAATTTCGCCACAATATTTATATATATGCCAAGCCTCAAATCAGTTTCACACAATTATAGTCACTAAATAAACGATCATGTTGTACTTAATAAGCTATGACCATTAATCATCTATAAATAATAGACTGAAAACTGGTTCCATGTGTCGTCCATAACATCCAGACACTTTTGAGTAAAAGATAGGTTACGTGCCCTTGTTTTGAAATTAGTCTCGCTTAACCAGTCTATCGACCATTCTAGGGCTGATTGACAGGTCGGGATAATCAAGACTACTTTTTTACGAAACATAACAGAAAGCTAGAACAAGAAATTGAATTTAGAAATGAGCACGTTAGCTAGCTCAACAATTGTTTTAAGAAGCTTGTAAAAGTAAAATGAAACTACTGCTAGTATCATGTTCCTGTCTAACCCGAGTGTTTCTGAGATATTATTTGTACTAAACCAAAAGATGCCGCTCTTAGCGGTACAGTTAATGATAAAGCGATTTGAAAAATGAAACGAACGTAATTTCTAAATCTGCTGTAATAACCAAGAAGCTTAATTTCACTGCTATTCAAAATCGTCAACAATAATTTTTTTACGGCTGTAATAGTTGATAGATTTGTAGAGAATTGCACGTGCCATGGCTATTTATAGTATCATACTGTCAGAAAGTTGGCCTCGACACGGCGAATGTGCACGCTTCAGTGGTAGTCTCGAACTATCAGCGGTGGACTGTATTTCTGTAGGTGCGTGGGCCACCCTACCATTAGCATCTCCTGTAACAATGTCGTTTACTGACAAAATGGCCGGTAAGTACAAATTTAATCCTGTTGCCAAAACCTTTGTGATACGTCAGTCTACCAAATGGCTAATTTACCTGGCTAATCCTGGACTATGTTTGTCTGTTAATAAATGTTTTAATAATCCTAAGTTTGACCACTTAGAACAGTACATCTGAAACAAGAGAACAAAATGGTGTTTTAAAAGACTCGGTACAGTTTAACTGAATTAAGAGAACATGAAAATGAAATGAATGAATGATTGAATAAATGAAATAGGGTAAAATAGGTTAAATTTCTTTACCTACTGGCCTGTGAATGTGATTTGAAGGAAATTATGCCCGGGCAGCAGTTGCATTCTAACTGTATAGGGTTTTGTTTACGCACACGGCGTGCACACAGAGCATCAGGTTTTCGTCTAATCCGATTGACTAGACAACTTTCGTTACCTGCAGGTTCTCCGTCCCACCCCAACGACTAAACGCTGTTCCTTCTTAGGCTCTCCATCCCAACCCAACGACAAGACGCTGTTCCTTGCCAGGCCCTCCACGCCACCCCAACGACAAGACGTTGTTCCTTGCCAGGCTCTCTGTCCCACCCCAACGACTAGACGCTGTTCCTTGTTATGCTCTCCATCCAATCGGAACGACTTGACGCTGTTCCGTACCAGACCCTCCGTCCCACCCCAACGACTAGACGTTGACTAGACCCTGTTCCTTGCCATGCTCTCCACCGCATCCCATATTTATGTGAACTATTACCTGTGCATAGCTAATGAAGAAAACTTGATAATTCGTCAGATTTAATCCGGGTAAAGGTAATTCTGCGCCATTTTCTTCTACCCACATTTGATAAGCCTGATAACATAAAATAAAACAAACTGTTATTTATTCTGTGTTACCTTATCTCATTTACCATTAAAGTAATTGATCATCGCCATTTTGTCGCCTGCACTCGATGCAGAATGTTGACAAAATTTCAATGAACCATTTTTCGATTAAAATTCTTTTTAGAGATTCTACTTTCACGATATGGTAGTCTGCAATGACAACCAGGAACGAAATAAGAGGGGGTTATCGTCCTACATTCCTGCACCAACCGGGCTAATGAAGACGAGCTTATGCCATACAGTGTGATATGAGGGAAATTTTGCCAGGACAGCGGCACTATACTCTTATTTCGAATTCAAACTGCCAGAGATTATTTTACGTGCATTGCAATGTATACACAGGACCTCGGTTTTTCGTTCCATTCGAACGACTAGACACCATTCCGTGTTTGGCCCTCCGTCCCGCACCACTGACAACGGGAGACCAAGCTGGAAAATTCTGGGGAACTTTCTCGGGGGATCGTACCCCGTACCCCCTGATTAGCGAGTCTCAAATGACAAACAAGGTTCCTAATTAACAAGACACAGAAATGTGACATTGACTTATATTTCTATCCCATACTAACAATTCAACTGCCTCCCATTGTATCTATCATTCGGTCTTTCAGGTGTTCGCCCCTGCTAAAGACCTCTGGGCGCAAGCAAATAATTTATTATATGTAACATATTAGTACCGAAATGATCGGGTAAATTGGTCAATGTCGAGTGGGCTTTCAACAATTGTCCTTCCCATATATATAATAATTATAAATATCGTTTCGGCTGTCGTCATTTAAATATGCATCTAACGTAAAAACTTACAAAATTAGCTGCCCTTAGACCACCATTATCTGCAATATTTTCATCTAATGTAAAATTACCATTCACCTAAAAACAGAATAAAATATAACAATAATTAATAGAAAAGAAAAATAATTGTTATTGAAATGTTATTAAAGATACATTATGGGAGATTAGGTAAAAAGCTGACAGTTCTCACTATAACAATTAAAAACTAGATAATGTAAAGGGAATTTGCTGAAAATTTCAGTTAAATTGATCCACTCTGAATCGAGATTTTAGCGATTGATTTTTCGGCCTAGCCTCTATCATCATTACAAAAGTCGGTACGATAAAAGACATAGTCTCGATTATCCATTTCATGATTAAATCATGAATGAAAATTGGGCATCAAATGAGATCTTAATCCAGTAAATATCGCAGGCTAGTGTTGAGATCGAGAGTTGATTACGGTCTGGATAAGTTAATTAATGTCTAATTAATAATTTAGATAACATTTCAGGCCTAAAGAAAGACCTGCAATAGGCAGATAAAGCTCAGAGGTAGCTCATAACCACAGAAGTGGGTAAAGTTTGCAGTTAGTTTTTGAATTAATGGGAGCTGGTTGAAAGTTTCCGGTCTGTTAGTATTTGACAAGCCCGCAAAGCTATATTAAATATTGGCGCGACTGTGACTTTTTCTTTTAGACCTGGACTCAGGCTTCCTTTTCAATCATAAGATCTTTCATTGAGTCAAGACGTGGCGGCGTTTCCATACGTGACAAAGACTAGGATCGCCTGTCTAACCTCGTGGGTTTCCTCCTACGTGCATGCGATTTATTGAAATGAAATTGAACCATATGTTAGTCTCGAAATGACCCAGTTTGTGTCGAGACTCCCTCTCACTCGAAACAAAGTGACGACTGTCTACTTACTGTATAATCCTGTATTTTTATTTTACTGTACTGGTCTTTCATACATTCTGTCGTTATTGCAAACTTTTCAGCGGTGCTGGGATCCCACCAATCTACCAGCTTGCCTGTATTATCATGTTTACGACCTGTAAGGTTAAAGATTATTCCCAATCATAACATTGAAATGACATGCAGACAATAAAATGGTGGACATAAAATAAATTAATAGATATTACAACTTACTAAAACACACGAATCCCATGTACACTGAAATGATTGATTGATCAGAACTTTTATTGTCAGGGAAAGTTATAAATATTTGCCTATGCTTATTTCTTGTTTCATTGGTGGGTGGGTGGGTGGGTGTGTGTGTGTGTGTGTGTGTGTGTGTGGGGGGGGGGGTAATCCCTTGTAAGGTATTGTGAAAGTTGAATAACCAAAAAGAATATAAGTTCAATTCCGTTCAGTATCAGTATCTTCTGCAGGCGATATAAACAAGCCAACGCCACCTATAAGTGTTAGGTATTTTTTAAAACCCCATTGAAAAGATAAGTATAGCTAAATCTGTACCGTTGTCATTTTGTCAGACAGAACATAGTTGAATCAAAAAAAACCAGTCAAAAGTGGTTTAATACCGTTCAGTACTGGTATTCTCTGCAGACGATATAAACATACCAGTGCCACCTAGTGTGTTTTCTAATTTATTCAGCTACTACCCAAGTCCATAACCCACGAAACTATTAAATCATAGAATCAAACTTTGTAGTCAATTATATCTAGATGGATTTCCATTTGATTTTGATCTAAATTTAAATCCCACAAAAATTAAATGTTACAAATTTTTACCAACCTTGAATGTCAAATGCGTGGGCGATTTCATGTCCAATAACCGAACCCATAGCACCAAAATTCATCGCTCTGAAAATGATAAAAAAAAATATTAAGGCCTTATAAAGTGTCGTCAAGAGGACACTGAATCTGGTTTTTTTTGGTTGCTTTAATTAGAGACTCTTGAGAATTAGGTAAGTACACATTCTCCAGAAAATAAAGGTATTTTACATGTAGATGGATCCAAATCCTATATTGAAGCTATTACCTGAAAATATACCCTTAAAGTCTCTGATCGTCACCCACGGGATTGTTAGTTTATCCCTAACTACAATATTGTAAACGTATTTGAAAATTTAACTACATTCGGCATTTTTTCGATCAATTGCAAATGAAATGAAATGAAATGGGGTTTAACGTCCTATATTGTTCTGCTCCGACCGGGCTAATGAAGACGGGCGTATGCCATAATAATATAGTATGCTATGAGGGAAATTTTGTCCGGACACCAGCACTACGCCCTACACTTATATCGAAATCCAACTGCCAAGGGATCTTTTACGTTCACGCCAATGAGTACACGAGACATCGGGTTTTCGTCCGATTCAAGCGACTATACGTTGTGTCTCCCTTGCTAGGCCATTTGTCCTGCGCCACTGACAATGAGGAACCACGCCAGAAAATCCCGATGAACGTTCTCAGCCAACCCAGGGATCGAACACGGGACCTCCAGGTTAGCGAGCCAGCGTCTTACTCACTGAGCCACCGTTAATATAAACCCTCATCTGATCCGAGAACATTACTTTAAGCTTGAAATAACCCTCCCGTTTTTTTTTATATTTCGCCGGTAAGAAAATCCAATGTAGAAATATAAATTCAAGATTCTTTTATCTTGAATAGTTTCGTGAAGTATTAAGGAAAGGATGTGTTCTGTAAGTTTCTGCGCGATAAGAGAACATCATTTTTATGGGAAACAATCACTACAGGTTAATGTGTTTCTAAATTAGTAAATGCCGTGACTTAAAGATTGTGTTTCGTGCACGCATGACGGAAATGATGTTTTTGTAATGAAATATGTTTAAATAAACACAAATAATGTAGTTAATTAATATACTTACAGTGGGCCTCCGGGTATGTAAAATGGTAAATGAAACATGGCGATAGGAAATATGATATCATTTTTAATCGGAGAATAAAAGGCGTTTACTGTGACTGGTGGTCGTATCCAACTGAAAAATAATAACAACAGGTTACATTACTTATGCTTTTTCTAAACACCCCGCAGCAAAGTTCAAAAGTACGATAAAATGGCGTCCATGGCAAGAATCCGACAGATATTCTGAGATATGTTTCCAATGTATGGATATGTCCGAGGTACAAGATTTCATCATTAGTCCTATCAAGCATACGGAAAATTACGCCCGCCCGCTCTCTCCCCCCGCTCTCTCCCCCATCATATTTTTTAGTGGATGCGAAGATAAATTTTATTTATTTTGAAATAAATATATTATGTCAATTTTGTTTATTTTGAAATAAATATATTATGTCAATTTTGTTTATTTTTAAATAAATATATGTCTATTTTTATCCCGACCACGTCCGACGGTCCGAGGCCCAGTCCGTCCCTGAATATACCACAGTTCAGAAAGTAAGAGAGTATACCTGTGTTTACGGTCGGGTTTTTCAGTTAATAATCTATTGTTTGTGGTAAGTTGAAACTTTCTCCAGTGTAAAATATTTTTAAACCAGTCATCTGGTACAACAACAAACTGAAACACAATAAATATATAATACATTGAACTACGTGGACATTAATAGTTTTTGTGTAAATCTATAGTTCAGGGGATATTCCTATTATATGTAAATGTATAGTTCAATAGGTATACCTATTTTGTCCAAATCTAAAGTTCAATAGGTATTTCTTTCTATTTTGCTTTCTTAAGTAATGCCTCATCTCATAATGATAATAATAATAGTGTACATTTGTAGAGAGCCAAATCCATCCAAAAGCATGCTCAACAAAGCCCAGCGAGACAATAATTATATACAAGGTGAACAGAAAGTTTAATTCTCATAGCATTCCCAAAATAAGCGAGTCTTCAGCTGTGATTTGAAAGTAGTCAAAGTTTCACTGATTCGGATTATCAGAGGTAAATCAGGAGCAGCTACACTAAACGACAGTGTTCTGGTTATGAGATCTCATAGTTCTAACAAAACGGAGCATTGCTTCTTTAAGGTTTTTCCAGTGAGGTGTTTTGTGTCGTGGCACCGTTCACTTGATTGGGCATCCCAAAATAAATTTTCTCAAAATAGTGTACGATTGGCAGGTGTCCCGTACCGGTACGCCAACATGGAAGGAAGACGTCACATCTGTATTTTTAAGTAATATATCACAAAGTAGGGTTCAGGGTGGCTAAGTGGGTAAGACGCTGGCTCACTAGCCTGCAGGTAGGGTGTTCGATCCCTGCATTGGCCGAAAAAGTTCATCCAAATTTTCCGGCGTGGTTCCCCCTTGTCAGTGATGCAAGACGGGGGGGGGGGGCTGACAAGGACAGCTGTCTAGTCGTTCGGATGGGACGAAAAACCGAGGTCCTGTGTACACATTGGCGTGCACGTAAAAGATCCCTTGACAGTTGGAATTCGATATAAGAGTAGGCCGTAGTACCGTTGTCCGGGCAAAATTTCCCTCATAGCACACTGTATGGCGTATGCCCGTCTTCATTAGCCCAGTTCGGAGCAGAACAGTTAGTCGTTAAACCCCATTTCATTTCATTTCATTTTATTTCATTTACTTATCACCAAGTGATTATAAATTTAAAGATTTCTCAATATGGCCTGGTGCGTACGCAAAATTTGTTTCGTTTATATAAAAAATGAACAGAGAGAAAACCTACCTCTTTATAATACGAGTCTAAGAATGTAGAATTTAATATAAAAGATGGATAACTAATTTTTTCTATGATGTCATCAATCTGAAAAATAATGGAAACGATGCAATATTACGGAAGAAAACGAAGTGTGCTCACATCTTACAGTTAACATATGTCTATCCAATCATCTTAATTGAAAGAAGACACGTGTTTTTTTTCTAATTATCCTTTCCTGCCAATCAATAAAAATGCATGAAAATGTCACATGACATGTAGTTTTAACAAATCAAGTCACCCAAGAACAAAAAATATCCCGCCTGAAGTTAATCAACTGAAACATTTATCATTTCTAAATCTAATAAAGGACTTCGGCTTTTAAAATCAATTTTATTGATTTTCCTTTTTTTTCCGCAACACGATTTTCACCGCAGACTATGGTCGATAAAAAAATCCATTGAAATTTAATCTTTTAAGGAACTTTTAGACAAACAATTTAACTCTTAAAGGAATATAACCCGCCTAACCTTTTGAGCCGCTTTCTGTTTTGTAACGTCATCCATCCAAAATTTTCTAAGTAAATAATCTTTGAAGGCATCTTTGACATATGATATTAATCTCTCGATCTGGAAATAGACAGAAACATTTAATAAATGATGAATTTGACACAAAAAAAGTATAAAAACCACGCGGTTGCTGTGCAAGATACGCCCACGTTTTGCCAGAGATAGATGAAGAACTGGCAAAATCGGTAGGCCTCGTGCTCTCATTGTCCCAATGCTTCACATCGAAACCGTAGCCCCCATTGCGTTTTCGGCAATTAGAACGGAATGTAACAGACGGACAGGTGCGACGACATAATACGTCGACATGAAAAAGTATGTGATAAATTTGAACAATGTAAATACAGATTTTCGTTGTTGTTAAATTCTCACTTGCGGCCATGAAACTAAAAATAAGGAATTGATATAACATGGGCTATATTAAAAGACAATCGATTTTAGTGAGCATGATAATATTGTTTCTAAAGGTTTCTGTTGGGGCTATGCAAGAAAGGTCATGGTCTTTTCCATTCTGGTTTCCACGTGTCAGTAGTGTGGAACCTGGCATGGAAACGCTTCTCCAGGGCAAATTTCCCTCACACTACACTGCGAGGCGTATGCCTGTCCTGTTTTTCACCAGTCTGGGGCCTGTTTCATCAAATTTTTAACTAAGATAAAATCCAAATTTTAGTAATTTGATTGGATAATATTAGACTGATTTTAGTGCTTAGCCAATCAAAATTGAAGTATCTATATACTAAAATTTGGATTTTATCTTTAGTTAAGATTTCAAGAAAGAGGGCCCTAGTTACGACAAGACAAGTAATAAACGTTTATCACACATATAAAATAATGAATTAATATACACCTATCAGTATATCAGAAAGAAGACGTAAAAATAGTTGACATTTTAATCAGGACATATTTTTTGATGTAAAAATAAAAGTTATGAATACCTTGTCTACATTGTCGGCTTGTGTTGTACCATGTACATAAATAGCACCTGTAGCAAATCCTAAAGCTTGGTTAGTATAGAAGGCACATCTCTCCCACGGTACAACCATACTATCTTCTTCTATTAAACAAACAAAACATAATAATATATACTTTTTATAACTAGTTAAAGATGCTAAATCTGTCTACTACATGTCCTTATTTTGACTTCAAATGTTATATAATTTAGACTTTTATTGTCATTACAAGTCGATCATCAAATCTCTACTCCATCGGATGGCCGAGATTTAATCGAGACTTAGCCTCGACTGTCAAGTATCGTTGCTTCGATAATAAACAAATCGTGCCAAAACTTCAAACACTGATAACTTAGCTCAAAATAAAATAATTTGAATGAAACTGGGAACAAGTCGCGGGCACAGAGTGGGGTGGGGTGGATGCCTGAATGGTTAGCGCGTGTGCGTTGAATCATAAGATCTGTCATTGAGTCAACTGGCGTGGTTTCGATTCCCCGATTGTCATGACAAGGATTAGGGTCACCTGTCCAACCTCGAGGGTTTTCTCCGGGTCCTCCGGTTTCCATCCCGTATTACTTACCAGATTCTTCAAAATCAAAGACTCTAGGATCAAAATATGGTTTAATAGATCGGATTAATGACAGCACCATATAATCTCTTAATATTCTGAAAAGATAATGTTTCATTGTTTAATTGACACGACGCTTTAATGTGATCAATAGATATTGTTAATGTTTACCCCTGTTACTAGCAACATACAGAGTCTAATCGCCGATCACGCTGTCTTGTTCGTTTATCGCCGGTATCAGCCGTTCAAACTTGTTTTAATTTAATGGAGTTTATGAAAAAAGAGAAGCAACTTCTCAATCACGACTTTTATGGGAGCAACGATGGTTCGGTAAGCTCACTAATCAGAAGACCCCTGGTTCGATCAAAGCATTGGCCGAAAAAGTTTTTGTGTCGAGGTATCTAGTCGCTCAGATGGGACGAACAGCATATACCATTGGCAGCACGTTAAAGATTCCATGGCACTTGGAAATAAAAATATGAGTAGGCCGTAGCGCCACAGTCCAAACAAATTTCCCCCATGGCACACACTGCATGGCGTTTGCATGTGCTCACAAAAGTAGGAAGTTATTTGGATGGGACTCTTTTAATCCGATTTAGCTTGCTGGATATTGTTCAAAGAATACTTTCTGGGTATAAAGGTAGTAAATAGAACATACTGTTTTGTAGAAGTATCAATAAAAAGAAGTTACTGATTAATGTTTTGTACTGTTTTGTAGTAGTATTAGTAAATAGAACTTACTGTATTGTAGTATAGTATTAGTAAATAGAACTTGCTGTTTTGTAGTAGTGTTAGATGTAGTAAATAGAACTTATTCTTTTGTAGTGGTATTAGATGTAGTAAATGGAACTTATTGTTTTGTAGTAGTATTAGATGTAGTAAATAGAACTTATTGTTTTGTAGTAGTATTAGATGTAGTTAATGGAACTTACTGTTTGTAGTAGTATTAGATGTAGTAAATAGAACTTACTGTTTTGTATTAGTATTAGTAAATAAAGCTTACTGTATTGCAGTAGCTGTATAGGTGTAGTAAATGGAACTTACTTTTTGTAAATGCAACTGACTGTTTTGTAGTAGTATTAAATGTAGTAAATATAACTTGCTATTTTGTTGAAGTATTAGTAAATAGAGCTTACTGTATTGTTGTAGTATTAGATGTAGTAAAAAGAACTTACTGTTTTGTATTATTTGTAGACATATAATCTTGTGTTAAATGTGATAATCGTGTAAGATATAGAGGATGAAGTACGACAACTTCATCATAACCAGTCACACGAAAACCTAAACTATTTATATACTGTATCCAGTCTACCTGAAATATATAAATACGATAATAATACAACAATAATATTAAATTCTCCCTACCTGTCCATTATAAAAGTCGCGGAGCAACTGTGGCTTAGTGAGTATGGAGTTGGAAAATAGAGATTTTTTATTATGTATTCAAGGGGGCGCCTTCTGCTTCCTGTCTAATTGCAATATAATTAAATGCAAGCGGATATCACTTCCCTTGTCTACATTTATATTAATGTAGCACATAGCCGATCATGACTCAAACTAGTATTATACAACGTTTGGGAAATATTCCCTTCATTTTGAGTGAGGTCTGTATCACTACAGGCCGTGGACTGTACAGCACAGCGGGCGCTAACGGCTAGCACCCGGATCTATTCACTTGGTCTGATTTGTGATTTCTGTATATTGTGTCTTGTCCGTAGCTTTGTCTTGAGTAATAGATTGTGTGTAGTGCAGTCCCCCTGCACTTACTATTAAATATCCCCTAACAGTTGAAATCGAAGTAAGAGCAAACCATAGAACCGTTTTACGAAAAAATATAATTTATTCTCAAATTACAGTAGCATATACTTACGATAGGATACTCTGTTTCCATACTCTCAATGGTTTTTAAATTATATAACGAGTTTGGATCATGAGAATGTGGCATGTTAGGACTTATCTGGAAAAAAATAATTGTCCACGAATTAACTATAATATGTGAGGTAAGGAACAAGCATTTAAAGAAAGACAACACGCAGTAAATCTTTCTGTCATCGTTATCCCATTTGATGGTCGCTGTATGAAAGACATACCATAAATCTATAAAATTCTAAATCTGAAATATTTCTGAGAATAAGCTTTAAACATCATTACTTACCGAAGCTATAGCCTCTTCCAATTTTAGTAAATTCTGAGCTTTTGTTGCAGCTTCATCTTTGGTTAAACCAAAGAACATTAACAGGTGAGTTGTTTCGTCCAGAAATACTCTTTTCACCTGCCAAAACGTAAAATTGTAATACCAGTTCGTCACACAATGAAAAACGAGTATCATATTATTGGTAAACAAAATACACTGATTTGAATCTACCAAGGGAAGTAACTACAGTCAGATACTAAAAAGAGGCCATAACGATGTCATCGTACAGCAGTGTAGATTGTCGAATCATAAAACACAGCGCCGATTTAAATATTACAATCTATCTGTTTGATGGGTTTGACGAATCTACAGGCTACTATTACAAAGGGAAGTAACTACAGTTAGACACTAAAAAGAGGCCAGCAGTGTAGAGTGTCGAATCATCAAACAAACATAGCGCTGATTTGTATATTACAATCTATCTGTTTGATTGACTTGAATAATCTACAGGCTACTACGATCAAGGGAAGTAACTACAAGCAGACAATTTTTTAACTACAATTAAAACAATGCGATCCCGATGTCATCATACACCAGTGTAGAGTGTCGAATCATCTACATATGTACAGATAAGTTATTGCATATCATTTTACAATTTTTGTTTTGACAATCTCCTCTACTTTATATGCATCATAAAATTTAACTTGGTGTATCATATGATATATTATTGACATTTTGAATAATGTGAGTTATCCTATATTCTTACCTCAGCTATATCTTTATTAACAGTAACTTTTACAGGTGTAGGTGTTGTGCTAACTGTAGTGTTGGTAGATATAGGTGTGGTACCGGTCCGTGGTACAGGAAATAAATCCGACGGTAAATTAGTCTCTCCTAAATCAATCTAAATAAAATATACAAGAAATTTTTATATATCTTCAAGAAAATAGATTCTTAAAGATCATCAATAAAGAGTTATGCCAAAAAACCCAGATTTAATGAAATGTTTTAATTTTGTTGTTTTTTTTGTTGAAATCTAAAGTTATTGTTTGTGAAGTTAAATCAAATCCATTCAATTTAGTTCATCGAGTGAAATAGATTTACTGGTGCTCGAAAGAATAATGGTACTACATTTTAGCTAATGACGAAAAAACATATTCTTAAACAATGACTAAATTGGTTGTGTGTGATTTCTGAAATCATGGCATATTATCCATAATATTCATTAGGTTTTTTAACTGCAACGTTTTAATGCGGGTAATCTAATCATTATGAATCGTCACCATTGCTTGATAACGGTGAGATTACGCTCATTGTAACGTTGCAGTTAATAAAGCTAGTTATGTAATCCACAACGCCGTCTGTTATCATATATTTCTTTCACTAAATGCCCTTTAAAGATAAATTATTGGAGATAAGATAAAGAGCTGGCATTTCTCACTATAATAGTTAAAAACTAGATAATGTAAAGGTAATTTGCTGAAAATTTCGGTCAAATTGATCCACTATGAACCGAGAATTAAGCAATTGAAATTTCGGCCTAACCTCGATCATCATTACTAATGTCTGTACGATAAAAAACAAAGTCTCGATCATCCATTTCATGATTAAATTATGAATGGAAGTCGAGCAGCAAATGGGATGTTATCCACTAAATATCGGAGGCTAGCGATGGTATGGAGAGTTGATTATGGTCTGGATAAGTTAATTAATGTCTAATTAATAAATTAGCTAACATTTCCGGCCTAAAGAAAGACCTGCAATTGACAGATTTAGCTCTTGCATAATGTATGCTTAAACATATAATATCCCAGAAACATAAGATAATGGATAATGTATATACCTTTAAAATGTGTTTTTGAGACGGTGCATACTCATCAATCTCAATCTTAATTTCAAATAATGGCCAAGCTCCTAATTTGTGAATACTCTCCAGGGCTACGTTGAATAACCACGTGTCATTGGTTGTTTCTTCTCCCGGAGATCCTGGTACGGACCAACCACCGACGTTCTTTATCAAATCTCTGAATTTACGAAGAGTCGGGTCCACATCTTGATTGGTGGTCATCATACAACTTTCATAAAAAGATTTGACGTTTTTCTCTGCTGCAGTTTTAAGTTCGTGTTTTTCTGTAAAGAAATACCTAGTTGTTATTAACGGAAGATCGGGAGATGGCTACTGTCACTAGAGTGTGCACAAGATTCTTCAAATCGTATAATAACTTTTGTTGCAAGATAGTTCAGCAATGGAATTTATTGAAATATTTGATAGGCTTTATCGTTTTACTAATCTGAACAATAATAACTCTGGGATATATTATTATAAATCTCCAAAATTATTCGACCAATTTGAAACATAATCCAATTTAACTGAGGTGTAACCTTACAACAAATTATACAAATAGCTGTCTTAATGGTGAGGGTATTTTTTAGATAAAAAGAATAATACATTATGTAAACCAGGAAAGGAAAACAAGAAAAAGATTTTATATGATACGCTGACTTTCTATGCATATGTTTATTTTCCGAATTATAGAGCGGGCGGCGTTCCTACATAACCATCTACTGCCCCTAACAGAGAGAATGAGAGAGAGAGAAATGGGGTTTAACGTCCACTCGACACAAACTAGGTCATTTCGGGACTAACATATGGTTCAATTTTATTTCCATAATTCGCTTCCGCGTAGGGGTCTTTAGCAGTGGGAGGAAACCGGAGAACCCGGAGAAAACCCACGAGGTTGGATAGGCGACCCTACTCCTTGTCACGTACAACCGGGGATTCGAAACCACACCAGTTGACTCAATGACAGACTTAATGATACAGCGCGCACGTGCTAACCACTAAGCCATCCACCCCCTGCCCCTAACAACTAAAAGAAATTGAAATGAAATGGGGTTTAACGTCCTACTGTTTTGCTCCGAACTGGGCTAATGAAGACGGGCATACGCCATACAGTGTGCTATGAGGGAAATTTTGCCCCGGACAGCGGCACTACGGCCTACTCTTATATCGAATTCCAACTGTCAAGGGATCTTTTACGTGCACGCCAATGTGTACACGGGAACATGGTTTTTCGTCTCATCCGAATGACTAGACAGCTGTCCTTGTCAGGCCCTCCGTCCTACATCACTGACAAGGGGAAACCACGCCGGAAAATCTGGATGAACTTTCTGATTCTCGGCCAATGCACTGATCGAACACCCGACCTCCAGGCTAGCAAGCCAGCGCCTTACCTACTTAGCCACCGTGATCCCCCCAACTAAAAGAGCTTTACATGCATGATCAATTCTTATGGAGACCAAAACGACAAGACACACAGGCATTGATTAGTTTTGCTTCAAGAAATCCAATATTAAAGGAGCTAACTCGCTAATATTTGGGACCTAGAAATTGACACAAATGGGTTGCAACGCATATAATAATGTAATATGAATGTATATAAACTGATTTACATTCAATGGTTTCGGTTTTTACTGTAATTTCTAAACAGTTATGTTCGGCTAAATACGCCAGAAGTCTCAAACGAATGGCAATCTCTAGCGTCTGGTTTTGCCAGTCTACATCGATAGTATTTTTCGCTTGTGCTCTACAGATAAGAATATGGCTTCACCGTTTGACATGACTTGTGGAATATGTCTAGCCTCGTTCTTCAAGTCCCTTGTTAAAAATGGCACCGAAACGCATTATGGTACACTATTCGTGTTCCACTGCTAAAATGTTTATTTTGTCTTAAATATTGGATATCAGAAGACCACCTTTTCCCGGTAAGATCACAACATCAATGTTGATTTAAATTGACAAGTAATTCATGTTTTCAATGTCGAAGACTTTGGATGATATTGAGTTAGAGATTTAGTTACTTTAAATGGGTATCAGACTTTACCCGAACACTCACAACACCAATTCCTCTCTATACTGCTGGAGTTAAAAAGCATCAAATGAGCTTCCCGTATGGTTTTGGTAAATTCGTTAAAGTTTGGGCGATTTCGTTAAAGCATGGGCCTTATATACAAGGTCCATGGTTAAAGTGGCTTTTCGCGGTGGGAAATAGGTTGCAATTCCGAACCCTTATTTTTTTTTAACACCACTGGCAAAGAGGCCATCAATTTTTTAAAAACAATTTAAGGATTTATACTCTCTCCTGTCTCAACATCCACGCCAAAATTCAAACAAAATAGATAACTATAGCTTACCTATGAGATTCTTCAAAACGTAGAGATTCTGTTCTGATAGTTGTTGAAATCTGTCCCACATGTGATGACCTGGAGGCATCGGTGTCTTCTTCTCCCAACCACCACAAGCATACTGATAAAAGTTGCTACACGGTCGAGCCGTTTGATCCATATTCTCTAAAATCGAACTCGCAGCTTGAATACATTCCTTCGTCTTGCAATGTTTTTTCTCTGTAACGTAAAAACAATTTTGAGGTGTTGGTAGAACAAGTGAGAAAATTAAAAATAAAATTCTCGTCGCCATCTTTTTGGCTTTTTTTTTTCTAAATATCGAAGAACACGTAGACTTGCGAGGACAGTCTAATCCCAGTGACGTATCGAAGGGTCTTTGCAAAAAAGACAGAGTGGTTTGGGAGATTTTCTTTTATACTTCCAATTAAACGTCTAATCTACATATTTTACAATATAATGAAGAATGGTCAATTGAGACTACGTCTCAGCCATTCTTTAAAACTCCTCACTACTCATGATCGTTTCCTGGCACTATTTTATTCATCAAGTGTTTATTATGCAGTCTTTCTATAGATAGTTCTAGGAATGTATGCTTCCACGTCAAGAGGAATATACAATTTTATCTTAGATTTTCTTTTTTAAAAAAAGCATCAAAAAATTAAAATTAAATTGGTTTGTTGAATTTTCAAAAACTGAAATATGCATTTTGAAACCATTCTATGGTTGTTATCATGGAATTCTATAATGTCTGTGTTTTCTATCGTCAAGTTTGGCGTTAGGTCAGGAAAAGGAAACTACCCGCGAAAAATCAGAAGCTTTGAGACAATATTTCTTCTAATTTTGGTGCATATATGTATAGGATTACAGCACAGTGAGCCACAGCAGCGTTATTTCCAAGAATGTGGGAGAATTTTTTTTTTACAGTGGAGTGAGCCAAACCGCCCTTATCTCTGTCCGCCCCGACCCCCTGGACACGCCCCTGGAATATACATATTGAAATTCTAATAATTGAAGCTCCGCTACATGGAATATTTGTTTATGTCTTATACAAACGATATCTACCAACCAATTTAAGGATTGGGGTTTTCAAACGTTATATTTGGGAACTTTAAACTTTCTTAAGCACTTTCTTAAGATGTGCATGATGGAGCTTGAATTATCGTTCACCTATATGAAGAGAGAAATGTCATTGCATTCAAAGGCAGTCTGTGATAGTTAATTACTGGCATGGTTGTAAGTGACATGCGTTGTTGGGGGCATTTTATCTTTTATATTTGCAACAATTCTATATTAGATTAACTGTGAACCTGCGAACTTGTGAACTATAGTTATACAAAATAAAACCAGCAATATTCTGTACAAGACATTTCTTCAAGTGGACATTAAACCAGGAAATGGATTTGTTTATGTCGATAATCATTCAAGCCAGATTTGGAGAATAAAAGGAGTTGTCGTGGGCGTCACTAATAGCCAAATAGATTTAAAGGCACGGAAGACCGACCATAATTGCTTCCCAAATCATTAGTGCTAAATGAAATAATATGGGATTTAACGTCTTAGTTTTCTCCACCAACTTGGCTCATGAAAACGGAGATACGCCATGTAGTGTGTAATGACGTAATTGTGGGCCATCCGAATAAATGTACGCTTTTCCTTGTCAAACCCCTATTCCTTCGTCACTGACAAGTAGAAATCAGACTGGAAAAAATCCCGAGAAACATTTTCGGCCGACACTGGGATCGAACCCAAACGTCCTAGTTAGTAAGCCCGTACCAATAGCCATACCAGACATTTTATCTGTTTTCAGCTCGCGATCATTTAATCTACAAAGAAATATGACGTCAGAAATAAAAATACTAGGCCTACCTTCTTTTAATATAGGCCTTGTTAATCCTACTGCTAATCCTATTATTACGACAAAAGCTACTAACATTGCTGCCATAAGAAACTTTTCTAGCCCCGTCCTGTTGCGACAACATGGTGTCCGTATAGCTAACACGTCATAATCCTCCACAATATCATCCTCGGAATCGGATTTCCCAAACGGGGCCTCCGTCATCTGCAAGAGAAACAAAAGATTGATATCATAGTTAGAAAGGTCATAGTTAAAAACGCTATCTGAATTTAAAATCATAGATGCGAAACTGTGGCTTTAAGATCGTTTTTTACGATTCCAAAGGCATGAGTCAACTCGAAGATCAGACGAAAGGGGTTGAAAAAGTCATCCATTATTTCGGAACATTGTTCGAGATTATTCCCAGCGGTCTGTAATTCCTTACCAAATGTTAAAATCAATTATATCTTATACAAGTGGTAACTCACCTTGATGGCATTGGCATTAAGAAGCTCGTTCTCTTCTGAGCAGGCAGTTCTGAAAAACATATAATTCGTTGAATTAATGGGTGATAGAAAACGTCGTAGAGAATTCACAGAAATGTCATAAGATATATTATTTTACATCTATTTCAGAGATCGATAAGAAAAGTACTGATTCGTTCTCTATGAAATAAGATTAACCAAAAGAATGCATTTGAATAATCATTAGTTTAGTTCTGGAAAAACTCTAATACAACAAAGGCCACCACCATCCGAAAAATTATTACAGATGCCAATGTGATTTCAGGTGTGACTAGTTTTAATACAAAACAACATCATCAAAACGTTGAACCTAAATGATGATTTATTGAAATGAAATGAACTAAACAGGCTGATGAAGATGAGCATACGCCATGCAGTGTGTACTGTGAGGGAAATTTCGACCGGACAGCGACGTATCCGCTGGATTTCGTCGAAATGCAACTGTAAAGAGTTTTTAACGTGCACGCCAACTAAACACCAGGCTTTGCCATCCTGAACCTTTGACATGAAGAAATGCCAATACAAAACCCCGAGTAACTTTCTCAGTCAACACTGGGATCGAACCCGGGACCTCCTGATTAGTGAACCAGCCTCTTACTCACTGATCCACTATTATCTTTAACAGTCCTGTCCCAACAATAACCCTCAAGTACACACATTCCGTATTATCACCAATGCGGTACTTGTAGTATACAAACATAGTTTGTTATGTCCTCTAAGCAACTCATCGGGTATTTTCTTCGAGTAAATTCTAATTGAATGAATGCCTGTGTATAATAAAACAGGTACACGGAGACATGTTATCAAACATCCTGCCAGGATAAACTAGCAGTCATCGACAAACATCGATTGTTTGGCCAATCATGTGATTAATCCGACATCAAAAGTAAAAGATTTTCCCGTTAGCATAATTCTACCCATGTCTATCAGTACAATACATCTATCGACATGCTAGACACGATTTCTATTAAAACATATCGGAGCTGTCTTTGTTACATAACAAGCACAAAGAACGCCACCAGCAACCATGTTTTCATATGTTAAAGCTGCTTGTCGTCATTTGAGAGAGAGAGAGAGAGAGAGAGAGAGAGGAGAGAGAGAGAGAGATGATGGGGGGGGGGTCTTAAGGAGTGAAATTATACAGATCACCCTATCGTACAACGTACAAATGTTGGATCGATATCGCACCACCTGTTTCAATGTCAGAACTTTTAATCTAAAGCACATGGGATAGATAACTTCGTCCCCATGGGATAACGTCAACATGACTTACACTAGGTCATTTCGGGACTAACACATGTGAGGAAACCGGAGGACCTGGGGAAATTGCACAAGGTTAGGCAAGCGACCCTACACCTAGCAAACTACAATAAGTTGAATCTACAAGGGGAATTATCAGTTTAAAAATAGTTCAATTCCATTCAGTATTTACAAAGATAAGATGAACTGAACATTTGCAACACACTGCCCACCTTCTCCCAACGATCCCGCTTGTGCCACCTATAAGTGTTACATAAAATGTTTTGTTGGACCTCTTTTTAATTTGATCAAACCCAAGCCGGATAGATTATCTACCGTTGATATAATGGTTTTGGCTTTTTTAAAAAATTAATCGTTAAATAATCGATTAGAGTAAATTTTGTTGTGGATTAAGCTGCAAAAAGTAGACATTGGTCCAAAAAATGCGACTTTAATATTTCAGCAGTTAGAAATATTAGAGACTTCGACTAAAAGAGCGCCACAAGCAGAAATAGTTTAGGCTCCGAATAAAAGAGAGCCACGAGCAGAAATAGTTTAGAGTCTGGAGATCAAAGATGTATTAAGTTATTCTACTTCTATAGTCAAATACAACAAACATAAAACCCATTTTAAATGTCCGTGTTAAATAATGGTATCCCAACACCACGAACTGTCTGATATAGATTATATCACCTTGGGATGGAGGGGAGGGGGCGAATTAGAATCAATTGATGACCACTTTTATAACATTTGCCAAAACGTCTTTTAATATGACAAACACGATTTCTATCTTAAACTTTGTGTAATCTGTCTGTCTTCTATAATAGGTTAAAAGATCACCACTTGCAGGAATTGTTTGTGAACATTTTAAAATAGTCTGCGTTAAGCCAAGACTATCACACTTGAACAATCAATAACGAAATGCCATGGCGAGAGTTTTAGACAAAAAACACGTAACCAAGTGTGCTGTTTTTGAACCTAAAAACTACAATTACAAACATTTTAACATCGATTTCAACAAACAGAAAGTACAACAATGGACGACATTTAAACAATAAAAAAACCCTAGAACATCGACCTGTAGATTCCGTTTAATTTCATCGCATTTGTATATACATGTACAAAGAAATAAAATGAGGTTTATCGTACTACTTTTCTGCAACGACTTGGTTAATGAAGACGAGCATACGCTATGCACTGTGTTATAAGGGTAATTTTGCCCGGATAGTGGCACTACGAATTTCGACTGTTAGGGACTATTTTACTTGCACGCCAATGTGTATACGGGGCCTCAATTTTTCGTCCAATCCGAACGATTAGACACTGTTCCTTGTCAATACCACTAGGGGACACCAAGCCGGCGACCACCTGTGCGAGCCAGTGCCTTACTTATTGGGCCACTGTGGCCACTGTATGTAGTACGGCTTTAAACTACGTTTCATATCAGATTATGAAATAAAGATAATTGATAATATCCCGCAGTCAACTAACAATATCTTTGTGGAAGAATAGAACAAACTCAATCAATATCAATTGTAAACAGTACCAAGTTTATCGAAAGCATATTCTATCTCATGTGTAAAACAATATCTACTATTTGAAGTCATAACACCAAAGGTATTGAGAGGCTGTGGGTATGTGTATATAAAATAAAACGGAACGAAAGAATATTCTAATTTTATTAGATCGTTGCTGAAAATAAGAGAGAGAGAGAGGGGGAGAGAGGGAGAGGGGGGGGGGTTACGTCCATTCGACACAAACAAGGTCATTTCGGGACTAACATATATAGTTCAATTTTATTTCAATAATTCGCATACGCGTACTCCTTGTCACGTACAACCGGGGAATCGAAACCAGATGACTCAATGACAGACCGTATGATACGGCGCGCACGTGCTAACCATTCGGCCATCCAACCCCTCTGTTGAAAATAAAATTGCACACTTGATAAATGTACAAAAAAGGAAATGAAATGAACTGGAGTTTAACGTCCTGCTGTTCTGCTCCGACTGGGCTAATGAACACGGGCATACGCCATACATTGTGCTATTATGGGGGTAATTCTGCCCGGACAGTGGCGCTACGAGCTACTATTATATCGAATTCCAACTGTCAAGGTATTTTTTTACGTGCACGCCAATGTGTACACAGGACCTCGGTTTGTTGTCCCACGACAAACAAAGAAGAGAACTACAAATATATATGCTATGATGGAATATGTGATAGAAAGCAGTGTCATGTGAACGTCATTAAAAATTATATAAATTATATCATATTTCGATCAGGTCGTTACTGACGAAATTATATTCATTTGGAAATAAATAAATACATAAATAAAAAGAAAAGAAAATCAATTGTCAATGTAAAAACACTAAAATGCCTATTTACTTTTTCAGAATCCTACTCATTAGCGTTTATTTGAAAAGTTACATTTTTTACTACAAAAAAAATAATGGAGCAATGAGTCATGCTTGATCAGTAGAACGTAGCCTGCTTTAAAAGGGCCTTTATTCCTGGTAGTTATAATTAGTGATAAAATGGTTGTTTGTCATTATGACATATTTAATTAATAAGTTATAACAATAGAGCTGCACTGTTCATATAACTGAGGTCTATATTGATCACCAATATTACACTGCTATCGGATCTTGTACAGCAAAAACTGCTGGCTTGACAAACTCACTCACGCATTAAAAATCACTAAAGGTCGGAAACGTAGTCGTAGTTTCGAGGAAATTGGAAGATTTACGCCAATAGTCATCGCAAAGAAATCGAATACCAAATGAAAGACAATAAATGGGGGTTGACGTCCTATTTTACAGTACCGACCGGGTTGATAAAAACTGACATGCGTCATGCAGTGTGCTATGCGGGACGATTTGCCCGTTCAGCGGCGGCCTTTTCATATAATTCATATAATTCGAACTGTTAAGGACTCTTCTACGTGGACGTCAATGATTACATGGGTAAACCTTGGGTTTTCGTCCCATCTGAACGACTAGACGCTCTGTCCTTGCTAGACCATTCGTCACCGACAAGGTGAAACCAGGCTAGAAAATTCCGAGGAACGTTCTCGGCCAACACTGTTATCGAACCCGGGATCGGTCGGTTAATGAATCAATCTCACCGAACCACCGTGCTCCCCCCCCCACCCGAAACAAGAGGCGCCGAATCCATCCAAATACTGTTCTGTTCCTTTAACATCTTATATGATTACGTAAAGATGTCAGATAAATGAATAAGTGTGTATAGGTAGTTAAAAGCCCGTGTTTTATGGAGTGGAATGATGGCATTAATGTTGATAGGAACATAAAAACTGTCTGGAGGAAGCTACAGGCCAGTATTATTGTCAGTTAATAGAGTGGAATAAATGAATTGATGTCGATAGGAAACAAAAAGTGGTTGGAATTCGCCAATAGCTATATCTGTCAATTACAATATATATCAGTGTATATAAGATAAATTAACAATGACAATACTTATTACTTTTATTGATTTCTGGATTATTTTTTTGAAATTTGTGGCACCATTGTGGCTCAGTGCGTACGTCGCTGGCTCGCTAACCAAGGGGTCTAGGGTTGGCTCCCGTGCAGTGTTTTCTGAGAAAGTTCTTTGGGAACTTATAAAAATAAAACCTTGATAGGTGGAATTCGCAATTAGAGTAGGCCGTTGTGCCGCTGTCCGGGCAAAATGTCCCTAATAGCAGACTGTATGGCGTATGCCTGTCTTTATTAGTCCAGTCGGTGAAAAAAAGTAGGACGTTAAACATCATTT